CTCCCCCTTCGCCGCCTTCGCCCCAACCCGCTCCCCTTTCCCCTCCACACCCTCCTTCCCCTCCCCCTTCCTCCCCCCCTCCTCAGCCCTCACAAGGCCACAATCTCGCACCAACGCGCACCCCAGCAAACACGCTGCCAAAAACGGCACCAGCGAGACAAAAACCGCGCGACTCGCCTTGGCATACGCGTCTCTGACCTCATCTTCATCCTCAAACTTGACTCCAACGCCCCCATAAACCCCTCCACCACCACCACCCCACTCCGGCGCCGCAAACGCACTGCTCGCGAGCGCCTTATACGGGGCGGGCAGCTTATCACGCAGCGCCTTCTGCAGCACTGCCGCCTCCGCCGCAAGCCCGACCGCGCCGCCCAAGCTGCGCAGAAAGTTGCGCGCAGCAATAACAACCGCGCGATGTTTCTTTGGCGAATGCGCCTGCAACGCGACGAGCGTAGGCTGAAACACCAATCCCACGCCAGCGCCGCACAGCGCGAGCACGGGCAGCATAGCCGCGGGAGCCAGGGCGCGGTCGAACAGCGTGATGAGTGCGGCGGCGAGGGTCCAGAGCGCGAAGCCCGCCCAGAGGACCTCGATGTAGCGGTTACGGGCCGAGATGTACCAGCCGGAGAGGGAGGAGCAGAGGGCGTGGGCGATGACGAGGGGGAAGACGAAGAGGGCGGATTGCAGCGGCGTGTGGCCGAGGGCATTTTGGAAGAACAGTGGCAGGTGGTAGATGTAGGCGTAGAAGGCGTAGCCGAAGAGGAAGTTTTGCAGCAGCATTGTTGCGACGGGGACGGAATGGAAGAGCGAGACTAGGTGGCCCGGTGCCGCATGCTGTTAGAACGCGTTTTGATGCTTGCGTGTATGCATGCATGGGAGGGGCGGGCTAGAGAGGGTCCGAGGTGCTTACGCGGTAGCATGGGCAGGGCAGCGACTTTCCACTCGACGAGCACGAAGGCCACAGCGCAGAGCCCCCCAATCGTCAGCATGGCGATGGTGAACGCCGAGCCCCAGTCAAAGTACGAGCCGCCGCCCGACACGGGAATGAGGATGCATATGACAGCCAGCGAGCCGGTGACGAGGCCGTAAAAGTCGATTTTCTTGACCACGGCCCTGTAGTCGCTGCAGCGCATGGTCGAGGGCACTTTCCAGCAGCTCAGCACGCCGCAGAGCGCCGCGATCGGGCACAGCAGGTAGTACAGGGCGCGCCAGGTGGCGAGCTGCGAGAATGTCGCGCCGAGCAGAGGGCCCAGCAGGTTGCCTAGGCCGATCATCGAGCCCAGGATGCCTTGGTAGCGCCCGCGCTTCTCGAGCGACACGATGTCGCTTACGATCATCATCGTGAGGCTGTATATATGGCTTGGTTAGTTGCTGATGCTGCAGAAGGACGCCGCTTCACTCCCTCCCATGCGTACGTACCTGGTGATGCCTCCGCCCGCGACGCCTGCCAGTGCGCGGAACACGTACAGCATGGTCGGGTTTACGGACAGGCCGCAGAGGAGGTCACTGATGCTCAGGAGCACCAACGCCGAGATGAAGACGACCTTGCGCCCGAAGAGGTCCGACAGCCGCCCGTACAGCACTTGGAACACAGTGTTAGCGATCAAGGCCGACGTGCCGGCCCAGCTGATGGTGTTCTCGGCGTGCAGGTCTCTCGACACCGACGGCAGCATCGTCCCAATGCCGTTTTGGTCGATGAAGCACACCGTCATGCACACCGACAGCGTGCAGAATACCGTTATGAGCTCTCGCTTGGGCAGAAAGTTTGTTTGGTCTGGGAGCGCCGCTTCGGCACACTCCTGGCGAGACATCGTCGCCGGCATGTACGACAATCGAAGTGGCGGGGATGGCGGAGTATAACTGATAATAGAGAGTGGACATCAAGCGTCAGGCGAGGTCGAGGGAGTGAGTGCTTGCCCATTGGTTAGCTGGTTTTTTGTTTGGCAGATATATTAAAAGGAAATTCTGAATGAAGTATCCAGGCGCGTGAGCGTATTACGAGTACGCGGCTTTCTGCGCTCCGCTAGGAGCTACACGAAGTAAATATGCAGGGTCCATGTTCCAGAGCATTGGAACCGTGGGACGCTGTCTGAAGGGCGTGTTGCGTGTTTATTCAATCGGTTACAGACCGTTGAGACGTGGAGATCTGACCCAAGGTATTTGGTCTCATCTTTCTGGCGAAAACATTTGTGATATTAGGAAAAAATTCCGGGGGAGCAAATTGGGTTGAGGAAGCACCTCCGAAAGCAATAGACAGGGGACTGACTGAATGACTGACTGCAAAGAAGCGCGCACCCAGAACTATACCTTTCATCTAAGAATGCCGTGACTGACAGCTCCTGCTCACCACTAAAGAAAGGCCAGAGGCCTTACTCGTACCTACCACGCGACGCTTGCCAAAGCCTACTCGTACGTTAAGGCCTCAATCCCAACATCGCAACAAAGCCCAGGCGTCCCGTCCACTCATCTCCAGAAATCGAACCAAACCACAGGCAGCAGCAGCGCAAAAACATACGACGCGCGTCAGGCCAAGTAGACACGACGAGACGGTCACAACTACTCTAGGCGTAAAAGGCCCATGATGGCATGCCTACGTGACGCAGGCAGGCAGCGCGCCGTGGTACCTGCTAGGGTAGGTCCCAGCGCAGGCGATAGCCCTGGCGGTAGCTCTGGTGATGGTAGGGTACAGTAGGCAGCTAGCGCCATGCGCAGGTTTGGCCGGCGGCGACGCGCTAGGATGACGCTCTGCGTTCCCACTGGACGATGGCGGCGCATTTTCCAGGCGAGGTTCCATTATAGGTCTCCTGCGGAATACAAATCATTGTTGGGTGTGTGTTGTGAGACGTAGCGTGTCGATTGAAGAGGGAAGTAGCTGCCGAGCGCGCGCGCTAGCTTCCTGTGGAAATGTCTAGAGCTCTGCACGTGATCATGTACTTTTCAGACTCAAGAGCACTAAATAAAGCAGTCGAGATCACTCTACAGCATCTAAGCCAACCAGCCAACCAGCAAGCCAGACCAGACCCTAGCCAAGGAGGTAAAGCAACCCTGCGGCGCCAACGATGATGCCCAATAGATGGATGCCTTTGCAATGAAAGCCTCAACCCCACCAAAGCCAGAACCAGTACCCAAACAAAAAGACAAACAACAGAGAGAGATATAGCGGAGAGAGATGGAGACGGGAGGGAGAAGGAGGGGAGAAAGGAGGGGGCAGAGAGGTACAGAAAGAGAGGGGAGATATAGCAAAAGAGCGCAAACGAAAAAGAAAGAACGCCACTACACCTACACCAGTGCAACCCAGACGCCCATGTTGTCCTTGACGCCTCGCCTTGCCTTGCCATGGCTTGCATGTTCCCGTCCGTCCGTCCTGGGCGATTGATTGATTGCCTGTGTGGGTGTGGCGGTCGCGTTAGCATGGAAAGAGAGAAGGATGAAGGAAGGGGAAAGTGGACATGAAGCAGGGAGGAGTACTAACCCGTAAACCAGAACCACAAACGCCCATCCTCCGCGTGCGTAGCGTCAGGCGGACAAGCCGGCGCAGCGATGCAGCCGCAGCCACAGCAGCGCCAGCCCACCCATCAGCACACCACAAACCAAGCACGCACACTCACGGCGCAGAGCCCTCAATAACGAGCACGCGCTCCGGAATGCGTTCACTAGGCCCATAAAGCAGGCCCATAACCTTACTTTTCTGGCGCTCCCTAACGCCATGCAAATACTCATACGTACCATCGAGGCCCTTAATCTGGTCCTCGATGGCGAGGGTACTGCTCTCATTACTGCGCAGCAGGGGGCTAACCAGACGTTTTCTCAGCATTTCGAGATTGCTTTTTAGCTGTTGTAGTTTCCCCTGGTGGTCGCCGAGGGCGCCCTTGTTGAGCAGCGTGCGCGCGCGCAGCGTCGCGAGCAGTTGGCGGTTTTTTTCGTATTTGCGCAGCCGGCTGGCGTTGGCGCCCATGAGGCGCGTCCACAGCGAGGAGAGGAGGTCGCCTTCTTCGCGCTCTTGCTGGTCTGTCTCACGTAGGACGGTGCGCTGTAGGTTGAGGAACTGCCGGTCGATGGCCTCGTAGAGGGCGAAGAGGGCCGTCGAGGCCGTCAGCTCGTTGTTGATGCTCTCTTCGAGCACGTTTAGGAACTCGTTGAAGGTGCGCTGCAGCGTCGCTTTGGTGCGCTGTGGCCCTGTCTGCCCGAATACTTCTTTGATCACTTTGCCCACTGCTGTGGGTGTGCCTGCTGCTGTCTCTAGTAGCCCGATGCGCGTCAGTAGACTGTGCACGTTGCCGAAGAGCGACGCCAGTGAGCTTTGTGGCAGGTTCGGCACTTGCGAGAGTTCGCGCTTCGCCCAGTCCATGACTATTAGGATGCTATATTGGAAAAACGCGTTAGCAGGCCCGTTGCCGGTCCAGCCAAGGTGTGTGTATGTGTATGTGCAAGTGCTGGTGCAAAGAAGAGATGTGGTGTGCGTGTAGTGGTGCGTATATACCTATCCACGTCCCCATCGACGTTCGCGAAGAACTTGGTCAGTTCAATCGAGAGCGTCTTGAGACTCTCGCTCAAGTCGTCCAGCTCCTTTACGATTATCGGCGCCGACGTCATGTTTGTCAGGCGCACGCTTTCGCCCAAATCCCACACGGCGACGCCCGTCTCCTGCAGGTCCCCGATCTGCGATACGCCGTTCTCGCTGTAGTAGATGAAGGGCTCGAAGGCCTTGGCCAGCCCCGCTACCTTGACCAGGTCCGGCACATGTCCCGCGGCCGGCGGCTGCAGCAGTATGCGCATGCTGAACAGCGCCACCGCGCCCACCAGCACCGAAAGCACCATGCTCCAGGGCGTCGCGAACACGTGCGCCATGTTGTCGCGCACGTAGCTGAACGCCGCCTCGTACGGCTCTGTGCGGTGCTGCACCTCGGCGCGCAGCGCCAGCCGGATATCTGCTAGGTTCAGCAGCCGCCACCACGACGCCCGCGCTTCATCATCATCATCGTCATACGTACAGTTGTTGGCGTACGGCGCCGGCGCGCCCGCCCCCTCGCGCCTCTGCTTCCTCTCGCGCTCGGCAGAGTGCGAGGACAGCGCGCGCGCGGGGCCACCGCGGCCTTCTGCGCCGCCTTCCCCTCTTCTTCCTCCTCCTCCTCCTCCTCCTACTCCTTCCTCCTTTTCCTCGTTCACGCGCGCCAGCGGCTCGACGTCGCGATCCGGACTCGTGCGCGGCGTCTGCTTCAGCGGGCTCGCCGGCAAGGGCACGTTGGCGGGGACGGCGGACTCGAGCTCGCCAGTGCTGTCGTACATGGGGCTGACTTCGCGGGAGCCGCGGGTGGCGGGGCTATTAGGCGTGTGTGCGTTGTGGTGGTGGTGACGGTACCAGCCGCTGCCGGCCTTACGCCAGGCGGGCGGCGACCAGGGACCGGCGCTGTCGGCGTCGTCGACGTCGGACTCGTCGTCGCGGAAGGCCGAGTGGGAGCTGGCGAGGCCGAAGAAGGAGGGCCGCGCCGGGTGCGCGTCTTCGTTGTAGTAGCAGTCGTCGAGCGAGGCGGCCAGCGAGGGTCGCGACGCCAAAAGGTCCTCCAGCTCGTCGGTGCGGAGGGCGGCGTTGGTCATGGTGCGCGTTGCCGTGCCCATGCGTAGGGATGGTGGTGGATGCGGAGAGGTGCGTTGCGACCGAATGCGATGCGATGCGATGCGACAGGCAGGTAATGACTTGGCACGTCTCGGGAGCGGGCGCAGATCAGAGTGGAAGTGGACGGGTACGGCGGCGGAAGCGGGGCAGCGGAGGAGGAAACACAGCCCTGCGAGACATTGGGAAGAGGGCAGGAGCTGGTGGGAGGGGCGAGAGCAGATAGGTAGGTAGTGACCAGTGAAACCGAGGGGGCTGGGCTGCCTGCGCGGTCGAGCGCGCGTTGGTCGCGCGCCCATCCAATCACACTGCCCCTCCGGGACTAGCCCTTGCTTCGGCGCAAAGTCATGGTGACGTGGAGGGTTTTGCTTCTGCTCTTCCATTATTGTCCCTACGAGTAAGTCCTAACTAACACTGAAGAGAGCAAGATGTGAGTGTGTGAGTGTGGCGGCAGATGCTGCTCCCTCAGCCCTGTCAGATGACCCTCCCCCGCTCTCGTGCCTATCGCGCCCGATCATCCCGATCATGGCGTGCGGTGCAACGGACCCTCCACACTCCCTCTCCCTTGCCGCTCAACAAATGAATGGACTGACTGCAATGGAAAACAAATTTGCCACGCGCAAAAAAAAAAAAAGAAAAAAAGAAAAAAAAAAAAACAATGAATCATCATCACTGCCCACGCCAGTCGTGCGCCTGCTCCCACGCGTAGCCCACTCGATAGACCGTCTCCTCGGCCCACCACCTGCCCACCACCTGCAGCCCCACCGGCAGCCGCACCCCGCCGCCACCCTCCTCCTCCTCCTCCTCGTCAAGCGCCTCCAGCATCCCCACCGGCACCGTTAGCGCCGGATGTCCCGTCAAGTTGAACTGGCACGTGTTGCTCGTAAGGTCGAGCAGTGGCAGCAGCTGGTCAAGTGGCCGGGCATCTTGCGCGCAATGTCTCTTCGCCACGGCGGGCAGCGTAGGCGCGAGCAGCGCGTCGCGCCCAGCCAGGGCCGCGTCGACGGCGGCCCGCAGCCCGCGCGACAGATTGCTGGCCTTGGCCGGCAGGAGCGGGAAGGCGCGCGCGGCGTGCGCCCCGTTCACGTAGACGTTCTTGGTCGCGGCCGACGCGCGCGCCCACCGCTCCCCTCGCCCTTGCCCTGCCAGCGGCCAGAGCTGCTCGTTCAGCTCCAGCAGCTGGAACCCGCGCCGCCCTGGCGCCCCGATCGTCTTGGTCAGGAACCCCCCCGCTTTGCTGACCGCCGTCCAGATCGTCCGGCCTTGTTCCCACTGCGGTATCGAGACGTGCTCGACCGTGGCCCCCAGGGCCGCCAGCTGCGAGCTCGCCCGCAGCACCGTCGCTCGCACCCGCGCGTCCACCGCTGCTCCCGTCAGAGCCTCCGTGATGATGCCGAGCCGAACGCCCGAGAGGTCCCGCGGGTCCTTGAGCCCTGAAAGCATGGCGCCATATTGCGGGATCCGGGACGGCGGTGGCGCGGCGAAGCTGCGGTCGTCGATGTCGTCTGTCCCCGCCATGGCCTGGAGCATTAGCGCGTTGTCCATGACCGTCCGGGTCATAGGGCCCAAGTGGTCGTTTGTCGGCTCGTTGCTCGCGCACCCTGCCGGTACAGTACATACACCATTAGCAAGGAGCGGAGATGGCCCGACGGACACTACAACATTGTGGTCAACCCACCCGTATAAGGCACCAGCCCAAACGTCGGCTTCAAGCCCACAATCCCGCAGTTGCAAGCCGGGATGCGCACACTGCCGCCCTGGTCCGCCCCGACGGCCAAATCCGCCTCTCCCAGCGCCACCAGCACTCCGCAGCCGCTCGAGCTGCCCCCGCTACAGTACCCCCTCGCGAAGGGGTTGTGGACCGGGCCGCTCGCCGCCGAGTGCGACGTCGCGCTCAGGCAGAGGTTCTCGCACACGGCCTTCCCAATAACATGGGCGCCGGCTTCCAGCAGCCGGGTCACGACCGTGGCATCCGTGTTCTAGTGCGTGTGTCCCGTCAGTGGCTGTGACAGTGATGGAGGTTGACTGCGGCGTGCGCGCCTTACCGGCACAATGCCCTTGACGAACTCGGTGCCCAGCTCCATCGGCACGTCTTTGACTGCGATACTGTCCTTGAGCACGACGGTCCTGCCCGCCAGCAGGCCAGGCTTTTTCCTTTCGGTGCTCTGGTCCTTGATGCTGCACCGCCACGCCCACGCACCATGCGCATTCGCCTCTGGGTCCGGAGGGTGGACATGCTCTCTCGGAAAGCGCGCGAGGTCAACGGCCGGCACAACGTCTGCGCTTGGAAATAAGCAAGATGCTGCGAAGCAGAGCCCAGGCCACTTAAAACGAGAACACAACACGAGCATACAATACATACCGGGCAGCGCCATCAGCGCCTCCGCCGCGTCGTGGAACCCGCCTAATAACGCCCGGTAGTCCTCTTTCTCGGCGTCGGCCATCTCGACGCCTAGCGTTGCGCACGCTTGGTCTAGCTCGGCCATCGTTACGGGATTGCTGGCTTGGGGCGTGGGTGAGGGGACGGACATTGTTGCTGTTGCTGTTGTTGTTGCTGCTGTTGGTGGTGGTGGTGCTGTTGTACCTACCTTAGTGACGCGCTCTGCGCAAGACGTTCGCGAGGACGGCCTGACGGGTGGGGGCGGGGTGCCGGTGGGGCGGGGTATGTGTGTGTGTGTTTAGTGCTTGTTTTGACTTGCAGGCAGCTTCCGCGTTGCGGTGCGGGCAAAAGCTGTGTATGTATGTACCTAGGCAGGCAGGTGTGCGCGAAAAAGGTGTGTGCACCTAGGCTGCAGCACACCGAAGGTACCTACCCCGCGTAAGCTTGCCCGGCTGCCGATTCGCTGCCTGTGTTTGTTGATCGCCGGGAAGGCACATGCAGGATGAGGGGATGAGGGGAAGGGGGGGAATTTCTCACGTGGCGTGGCGTGGCTTTGGCATTGGCATTTACATGGCATGGTATGGGCATGGGAATTAGTACATACCTACCTACCCAAGCAACCCTTTCATCTCCTCCCTACATACCTACCTACAGGGCAGGGCAGGTGGGGCATACAATGGCGAGGTTTGGTTTGTTTTTGTTTTGTGTTGTTGGGTTTGGTTCCTTGCCGGCTGGGGGGACGGCTGGGCGCTTGCAGCGGGTGAAGTGTTGGGGATATTTAGGATATATACATAGGTACACACATCTCTCCCCGCAGCCACCGTACTATTAAAATCAGCGTGTACCCACTTAGTCTACACTACACTATACTAAACACCTGTCTCATATCTTCCGCTAACGCGCGTTCTAGGCAGTTGGTCCGCTCTAGTACCGCTTCTAACTGCTTTGGCCTTGGTAGAGGTTGTTGGGGGTAGAGGATTACGGTAGCTGCTTATAGTAGAGGAGGAGGAGGAGGAGGAGGAGGAGGAGGAGGAGGAGGAGAGGGGGGGTGGTTAGTGGTTAGTGGTTAGTAGTGAGTGATCAGTACGCGTTGGTGTGGTTGCTTGAGTCTTGATATGCGGAGCGGACGGGTTTTGGCGTGGGTGGTATACAGTAATTGCTGGCTGTAGGCACAGCGTTGAGGCCCTTAAGCTCCTGTCACAACTCAAAAAGATCCAGATCCCTTAACGTGATAGCTTGTTACTCACTCACTACTCAGGTCGGTAGAAAAGAGACCCGTAAGGCCGACTTGAAAAGAACTGTGGATGCAACGCTCGAAATATATAAATATTGAGGAAATCCTGTACAGAAAACAATTACCGGGGAGACTAATAACTTCACTAGAGCTCTACATCCCTCCGAGGACATCCACAACCTCCACTATATCCACAAAGAACAGCACGTCAGTGACGGCGTGCACTATCATTTTTCAACATAGACGCCCAGCACACCTCCCCTTCGCCGGCACCGCTCATCGATATCTCGAGTCGATGCCCATCAACACCTCCGTGCCAGCTCAGCACCAAACCCGAGTCCTCAATGTCCAAGTCAAAATCTAGTCCAGTAGGATCAGCACCCCACAACCGGCAGCCCGGTAGCATCGGTAGGCCACGGACATTTGAGGATATATGCACCATCCTCCATGCCTCCATGCTCAAGCATCCCAAGCGCATGCATAGGGCTGCGCTTTAGAAGCAGAAGGGGCGGTGGGTGGGTTATTAACCTCTTTTGTAGAAGTGGACGCCGCGGGTTCTGTTTGAGAGAGCTTTAGGTTAGGGTGTTGTTTTTGCCTTGTAGCGCGATAGACGATAGAGCTCCTCTGACCAACGCACTCGAATGCGAAATCACTTTGCGATTGCACTAGCTACACAGTTGTTCTAGAACAGACAATAGCACTAAGGAGAGCAATTTAGTCCCGCTAGCACCCACCCCCCCTACAAAACATTCCTAACACTCCACTCGCCCCCCAGCTTCTCCAACCCACTAACCCCGCCCTTCCCATCCGCAACCAGCGTCGCTACCTCCCTCCCCTCCGTATCAACAACAACAGCCTCATCCCCCTCCCTGGCCGCATACAGCGCCACAACACCCCCAGCGTTCGCCCAATCATACGCGAACCCTTCGCCCCTCGTCTTCTCCTCTTCCTGCCCAAGCACCAGCACGCTCCCCTCCCTTACATACAGCGGCAGCGACTCGAACCCATGCGTCTCAGTGCGCCACCCAGGGCCCTCGACCACGCTGCCGTCCCAATAGCTCGTCCAGCGGCCGCGCGGAAGATAGAACTGCACTTCGCCGGTCTCGGTAAACACCGGCGCGACGAGCAGGCTGTCGCCGACAAAGAACTGGCGGTCCAGCGTCCACGCCGTCGGGTCCTCTGGAAACTCGAGCGCCACTGCGCGTAAAGACACCGGCCAGCCCTTCTTGCGGCTCCGCTCCGCCTGCGCGTACAGGTACGGCATCAAGCGACGCTTCAGCCGCACAAACGCGCGCAGCACGCTGCTGCAGCTTTCGGGGCCGCTGGCGCCCTCGTCCAGCAGCCACGGCACGCGGTACGAGTTGCTGCCGTGCAGGCGGGAATGGCTGCACAGCAGGCCGAACGCGACCCAGCGCTTGTAGATCCAGGGCGGGGGCGAGCCCTCGAAGCCGCCAATGTCGCAGCTCCAGAAGCTGTAGCCGCTGAGGCCGAGGGAGAGGCCGCCGCGGATGGACTCTGCGAGCGCGGCGGGCGTCGACTCGCAGTCGCCGCCCCAGCACAAAGGGAAGCGCTGCGTGCCGGCTGTGGCGGCGCGCGCGAAGAGCACCGCGCCCCCGTCGGGACCGAAACGGGCTTGCATGGTCGTGTACACGAGCTTGTTGTACGCGAAGGCGTAGAAGTTGTGCATGCGGGCGGGGTCGACGCTGGCGTCGTGCCACTGCACGTCGGCAGCGGGGATGCGCTCGCCGAAGTCCGTCTTGATGCAGTCGACGCCGAGGTCGAAGAGCTGGTTCAGGCATCCTGTGTACCACTCTGCGGCGGCGGGGTTGGTGATGTCGACGATGCCCATGCCCGTCTGCCACAGGTCCCACTGCCAGATATCGCCGTTGGGGCGCTTGAGGAGGTAGCCCTTTTCCGCCGCGTACGCGAAGATGGGCGACGCCTGCCCGAGGTACGGGTTGATCCAGACGCAGACCTTGTTGACGAGGTTTGCGGCTTTGAGGCGGGCAATCGAGCCTTTGGGGTCCGGGAAGTGGGCGGGCGAGAAGACAAAGTCGCACCAGTGGAAGGCGCGCAGCCAGAAGCAGTCATAATGAAAAACTTCGACGGGGCATTCGCGGCGCGCGCTCTCCTCCAGGAAATGCGTCACCGTCTTCTCGTCGTAGTCGGTGGTGAAAGACGTCGAGAGCCAGAGGCCGAAGCTCCACGCGGGCAAGCGGCCAGCTCTGCCCAGCAGCTGGGCGTACTTGGAGAGGACCTCCTTGGGCCCGCCCGCGCCGTAGATGACGTACCACTTGAGGCGCTGGCCCTCGACCGACGTCTGGACGCGGCAGCAGCGCTCGGAGCCAATCTCGAGCGAGACGTGCTCTGGGTGGTCGATGAAGACGCCGTAGCCGCGCGAGCTGAGGTAGAACGAGACGTTCTTGTACGCCTGGTCGCTGCTGGTGCCGCCGTCCTCGTTCCACAGCTCCACGCTCTGCCCCACCTTGTTGAAGGCGCCAAACCGCTCGCCCAGCCCGTGGATGCTCTCCCCGACCCCCAGCTCGTGCTGCGTGAACATGTAGTGCTGCAGCGCCCGCATGTCCTGCACCTGCTTGGGGTTGCTCAGCGCAGGGCTGTACGCGAGCCCCACGCTGCGGTTCAGCAGCGACGTAAGCTCCTTGGAGCCATCCGTAGCGTGGAAGCGGATATCAAAGGCGTGCTGGTCCGGGCCGACGCTCGCGGACAGCGCGCCCGCCGTCAGCGTGGTGCCCTTGTCGCTCTTGCTGATGCTGCATTTCAGCTCGGGCCGCCCGTCCGGGTACAGCTCGAAGTTGGGGCCGCGGCGCTGCGCCCCCGAAAAGTGCGTCGCTTCGATGGAGATGACGCCGTCAAACTGCGCCTCCAGCTCCACGTTGATGGTGCTGAGGTTCAGCGTGTCGCCGCGGGAGCGGATTTGCCGCGTCGGGCATAGCAGGTTCAGCGCTTTGTCGTCGCGCTCGGTGATTGTGTAGACGTCTTCGGCGTAGTAGACGGTCTTGTCGGCTGCGACGAGCCACATGCCTTGTGTGTAGCTTGTTAGCTGTTGTCCTTTCCACTCTACTCTCTCAAACGAAAGAACCCAAACTCACCATCGCGGAACTTCATCTAAGCAACACTGCACAGCAGCAACAGAAGAGGAAGAAGCAATCAGCAGCAGCAGCAGCAGTCAATACCAACCAACCCACAAAAACAATTCAACCAATCCAATCCAATCCAATGCAGTTCAATCCGTACCTCCAAGCTCTTCAAAAGCCGTCAACAGACTAACCGATCGACTACCTCTACCAAGCAGCAACAATAGCAGCAGCACCCGCCGCCCAAATACCAAATACCCCTCCCCCTCACGCCACGGCACAGCCAGCCAAGCAGCCCTCGCGCTCAAGCGACCGGAGCAGCCCGCTCCGTGTAGCAGCAGCAGCACACACGCAGGCACAAGCCCAGGCGCGCGAGAAAGGAGGTCCTACCGTAGGTAGGTAAGTCGTATGTACGCCGGAGAAACTGGTCCCGCGTCCCCGCCCCCGCCCCCGCGTTTGCGTTTGCTTACCCGCAAGCTCGTATGTATGGAGGTGAGCCGGGGGCAGCTTTACGCGAGTATGGAGGGCGCGAGGCGTGAGTGAGGAGGGGTAAGGTAGAGGTTAGCTGGACGGATGTACGTACGTACGTACTCCATACGACACACGACCTACTCCTACTCCTAGGCACCATAAGCCGTGTTCAGGCCATTATCCGCCTCCCCACCTACCGCACCCCCAGCATCTACAGTCAGTTGCTTCATTCGTACGTACAGTGTACACAATACAGCGTCAGCCAGGCAGCGTGCAACGAAGTGACGTGTGTTCTCGTTTGGTCGTGGCCCGTGGAGCTAGCCGCTTCGAGACCCCACCAATCCACGTCCGTACCCCGCCCTCTACCTAAATACCTACTGCACCTACATACATACGTTCCTAGCAGGAGAAACACGCACCTCCGCCCCAAACCACAGGCTATAATAGCTGCGCGACAGCCATCTAGGCCCGCGTGTATGCGCTGGGGCATTTTTTCCGCTGGTGATGCGCGCGATGCGCCTGCGTGTATGTATGTTTGGATGTGGATGTATGTGTGTGTATGTGTGTACGTACGTATAGAGACGCGCGTGCGTAGTTAGGTACTGTGTGTTGGGGTGCGTATGCTGCGTTGCCAGCAAGTCCACCACACCACTATCGCGGCCGCGCTCATATAGCACTCCGCAGCAAGCCGTGCACGACAGCACGCCACGCCCAACAAGCAATGAGCAGCAAGCAGCAAGCAGCAAGCAATGCATTGGTTCGAGGTGTTCAGCACACTGCACGCTCAACCCATCGTTTCATTCATTCTCTTCCATTCTGCTAGAGTCGTCCAGTCATTCCGCGCAGCAGCAAGTCCTCAACCCATCACGCCTACTCCGCCACCCACACAGCAGCCATGCCCATTCCCGTGCCCACACACATGCTCGAGATACCAATCCGCTCCTTCCTGCGCCTGAGCTCATACAGCAGCGTACTCACCTGCCTCGCACCGGTGCAGCCCAACGGGTGCCCAAACGCAATCGCGCCGCCCTTGGGATTGACCTTGTTGAGATCGATGCCCAGCTCCTCGACGCAGTAAACGCACTGGCTAGCGAACGCCTCGTTGATCTCAAAGACGTCGACGTCGTCGCTCGTGATGCCCGCCTTCTTCAGGACAGCGGGGATGGCGGCCGCCGGGCCCACGCCCATGAGCAGAGGCGGCACGCCCACGGCCGTCGCCTGCACGAACTTGCCCAGGATGTGCTGGCCCAGCCGCAGCGCCGTGCTGCGCTTCATGAGCAGCACGGCGGCCGCCCCGTCCGAGATCTGCGACGCGTTGCCCGCGTGGATGCTGCCGTCCTTGGCGAAGGCGGGCTTGATCTTGCCCAGGCTCTCGGCCGTGATACCCTCGCGCACGCCGTCGTCGCGGCCCACTGTGATGGTCTTCTTCTCCTCTGTCTTCGGGTCCTCCCAGCCGACGGTCAGCGGTGCGATTTCCTCGTCGAAGAGACCCGCTTTCTGTGCTGCCAGCGCTTTGTGGTATGATGATGCGGCGAACGCGTCTTGCTTGGTGCGTGGGATGTGCTTGTCTTTCGCCATTTGCTCCGACAGCACCCCCATGGGAACCTTGCAGTTCTTTGCCTCGGGGACCGAGTCCAACAGCTCGGAGAACTCGGTCACGGCGCCGGGCCTGCAGTCCGTGTATTAGCGCGCCATCCAACCAACCATCACACACAGAGGCAGGACTAAACATCCAAACGCACTCACCCATACTGGCTACTCATGCTCTCCACGCCCGCGCCCACACCGATATCAATCATCCCGCTACGAATCGCATTCGCGACATCCACGCACGCCTGCAAGCCCGAGCTACACTGGCGGTTCAAGCTCTTGACCGCGCTGCTAGTCGGGAAGCCCGCCACGAGAGCCGCAGCGCGGAACTCGGTCGCGCCGCCACCGGGCGGCAGCACGGAGCCGACGGCGATGTCCTCGACGAGGGCGGGGTCGATCTTGGAGCGTTCGATGAGCGCTTTGAACGCGCCGGCGAGCAGGTCCGCCGCGGGGGTGTCTTTGAAGCCGCCGCGGCCGCCTTTGGTGATGGCTGTGCGGAGCGCGCAGGTTACGACGATCTGTGTATGGGAGAGGAACGTTAGCTTGTTTGTGTGTGCGTGTTGGTGGTGGGGGGTGCTGGGTGGAATGATGGAAGGGGAGGGCCGCTCACGTCGTCCGGGTGCTTCTCAAACAGCGCTTCCTTGCCCCGAGGGATATCAACCTCTGACGCTCCCAGATGGTCCGTAACCTGAGAAAGGCGCTCCTGCGCTGCTCTCCGCGTTAGCCATCGACTCTACCCCCACCTCCGGCAACAGAACCACTTACCCGCAAGCTTCGTACCCGCCTGATTCGCCATAGTATCGCAGTTATCGTATCGTATCGTGTCGTATCGTCCGACGTCTCAGCTCAACTCAACCAAGTCCAAGGGATCGCTATCGAGATTGATAGGTATCGTGTCGTATCGAGTCGAGTCGTATTCCTTCCTTTTTCAAGAAAGAAGAAGAACAACAAAAACCCAGAAGCTCAACGAAGCAGCTTAGGTAGGCAGGTATATAAGCGTGTCCACAGAACCTAAATCCGGGGAAGAAGAGGGAGAGAGAGAGATGCGAGCAAAGAAGCATGTGCACCCAGCAGCAGCCGCTGATGTCGCGCGCCGACGAGCCGAGGCCCGCTCGCAAGCGGCCTAGCGCCCTCGGTCGGCGAGCTCGCTCGCGGGCGTGCGTGAGGCGGCTTTCACATGCCATGCCCATACCATGCGTAGGTAGGGTTCAGCTGCTTGTCTACAAAAAAGAAACGAAAAAATTCGAAAAATCAGCTAGGTCCTGCATACCTAGGTAGGGCCCTGGCCACGTGCTCGGCCATTGTCTCACGCCCGCTATGTAGGTAGGTATGTATGCCGACCTGTCCGAGACCGAGGTCGAGGCCTTCATCAGCAGCGGCAGCAGACAGCAGCAAAAGCGTTCCCCAACCCCCATCTCTCAACCCCCCACCCCGGCTTAGCTTGGCTTGTGGTCCAAGGTCGGTGAGTGTGACGCAAGCTGGAAGGAACCATTCCCGCCGTCCCGCCCAAACTAGCCCCAGGAGGATGCCGTGCGGCGTGCCTATCTACTCTACTCGTACTCGTACACAGTACTCTAATGGAGGCTGTCATCTTCCCCTGCGGCATGATATAATATCACATGAGAGTGGGCGAGCCACCAGAGCGAATAAATAAAAAATAAAAAGGCGTTAGGAATTAACAATAATAGCAATTCGTCTTCCGCTCCTACTACTCGACTTCTACGTGCTACGAGCTACCTCTTGTATACACAGGCATCACAGCATGCCGCACCCCCACCCCCTCCCCCTCCCCCTCGAGCAGGGCCCCGGCAACAACCACAACAACAACAAAAACCTCCCAATCCCAATCGTAGTGATATCCCCCCCAAGTCGTGTCCTCGACTCTTGAACGCCATGCTTCGTGCTCAGCAACAGGCTCCCAAAAAAAAAAAAAAAAAAAAAAAAAAAACGCCTGCCTGAGAGAATATATATATATATATGTACGTGTGTGTGCTCCAAGTAAAAAGGTGGTATAGGTAGGAAGAGAAGAAAGCGGAAAACCATGCATGCCTTTGGCTGTAGTCAGCTCAGCAGATCGGGGAACGCACCCCGGGCGCGCCCCGACCCGACCAGCCAAGTCTCGTTACGCAAAGATTAATCTGCGCGCCGCGATCGTCGGAGATGCCTGTATCGATCAGAGCCCTTTTTCACGACTCTGTCCGCATCCGCCGCTCCATTTCCTCGTTGACGCTCTCCATCTGCACCTCCTCGTATCCCGGCGGCGGCTCTGTCGGCTGATCCTGCGGCTTCTGCGCCGCTTCTGTCGCCGCTGCCGCTGCTTCGCCACTCGGACTGCTCGTGCCGTCCCTGGCTTCGGTGTATGGGGGCGTCGAAGGAGCGGGCGGGGCAGCGCTCGCTGGGGGCGGCTCGTACGCAGGCAGCTGCTCCAGGTGGACGTTGTTCATGTTGATGCCAGCGAGGGCACCGGGGCCGCGCCCAGTGCCGCCCTCTGAGCCGTCGCCCGTGAAGGAGCCGTGCTCGCGCGCGACCTCGACAGCCTGCTGCAGGCGCTCCTTGATGCGCTCGAAGGTGGTGTGGAAGTCGAAGGCGCCGCCGTCCTTGAAGGTGAACTTGAGCTCGAGCGCCGGGTGCACGGCTGGAATGTTCCCACCCGGCACCGGCTGCACGATTGCGCTCCACACGTTGGGGCCGAAGAAGGGCGCCGTGACGTGCGTGTCGTGCAGGTTGAGGATGGGGGCTGCGAACGACTGCAGCTGCTCCGTCGGGTGCATGGGCAGGTATACGATGCGCCGGTTGGTGAGATGCAGGCAGCCCGTGCTGCTTTGCACCGAAAAGGGCTCTTTGCCCGGGTATTTGTTTAACGAGCGCAGGCTGAGGGTCGTGCGCGGTGGTGAGGTGTAGAGACGCTGCTCGCCGGGGAGGGGAGTAAAGCCCTCGTTTTCAGAGAGCATAACCCAGCTGTTTTTGACGGAGCGGACCTTCTTTAGCATGCGCGACCTGGCGGAGCGGATGAAGGTGGTGGAGGTGGGAGAGCAGTGGTCTGGTGACGCGGTAGCCATGGTAATGGGTGTAGAGCGAGTGACGACGGTGGGATGGGGAGAGAAATGCGGGGGGACGGTACTCACTTTATGGACATGGCGACGGGCGGGATGAAGAATTCTGGTCTGGTCCGTCGTTGCTTCGAAAGGCTTGATTGCAGGTTGAATGATGCCGGAGAGCGCCAGGCGCGGCAACGCTTGCGCAAGAGCGCTGCAGGTGGCACGGGCCGATAGCCGGGAGCAGGAGCCGTTGACGAACCTCTGCGCACACGGCTGGAGATGTAAGTGTGGAGAGGGAGAGCTGTGCCAGGAGCTGCGAGCGGCTCCTGCACCCACTGGACGACGACGACAGGCGGGAGAGCGCGGCTAGCTGGAAAATGCTCTGTAGCTAGCTATTATTGCTCTCTATGGCCGACCGTGGGCAGCCTGGCAGCAGCAGCAGCCCGTAGCAACAGCAAGCAACGGCAGCAGACCCAAGTCGCTGATGCTTGCTTTTTCCACCGATGCGCAAGCACCCTGCTCCGGACTCCCTCTCCGCTATGCCGTCTCTCGTGTCGTTGCCCCACGCCCGTCGAGTCGAGACTCAACGATCGTCCGCTGATTTGCGCCCAAGGCCCTCCTCAGGAGTCAGAGCCATCCTTGCCCTTGCTCGATCGGGCCCTCCCATCTGTGCAGCCGCTCTGCCGCAACGATCATACACACGCGTCTGTACCGGGGGTGCTTCACTTAGCTCATGAGATATATGCTTTTCGCCTGCCGCGTCGCCATGGTCTCCAGCTTGGCTGCACGCCGCAGGTACTCTCCGCCGACGCGACATGACTTGCTGTCGTCTAGTTAGCTGCGGACTTAAAGTGCTCGTCTATATCCGACACATTTCAATAGTAGATCGCTAATGATCGTCCCCGTTTGCTTGCGAATTCCTACGGAGTAACTATTGTTTGCACCGTTCCTGCATGATCTTCACCGGTAACGCCATACATTGTCCGCGCCATTGGGTGACCGGTTCAGGGGCTCAGATGAACGTTTACTCCAGATAGAGCGCTTCTATTTCGAGCGCACCTATGTCAGGAGCCCAGATGGCACAATGTAGGGGGTTGAAAGTCATAGGCTTCAAGCGATGTCGACGGCATTGATACGTACGGTCCAATGATTTCTCTTGGCAAGCGCTACTCGTAAGCGCACCTAAGGTCAAGGACATTGTTATATAATGCCTTATTTGTCGTTATGTCAGGGAGCTGGGCCTCTAATGTGCTGATCTACTCGAAACGGTTGAGAGATGCCCGAATGCATCAGCAGAAGTTCAATGTGAACATGAATTAGGACATAAGTCCGGATAATACCCTAAAGATCAGAAGTCTGGGCCGGTCTTGCCTATATGTATATATATTATAGAAGAAGAGCAAAAAACAAAACATATAGTGCGCAAAAGCACGAACCATCGCCCATTCGGGCTATCCGCATACCCTAGTTGAAACAATGTCTACAAAATCAGACCCAAGGACCATTGACTTTGCGGACAGCTATGAAAAATCGTTTTCCAGATGAGAGACTTGCAAGGCTACTTCTTCAGGCTCCCGCACATGGCGAGATGGATGATGAAAAAACCAGGCGTTGATACAAAATGAACCCTAATTCTCATGTTAGCAATGCTCTCGAGTGGAAACATGAATTAACAACGAAGAATAGATTGATGTGTCAGAGTATAAGCCCATGTCAAAGGGCATCTCATCAATGCTAACTTGTAGCTATGTCGACCGTCGTGAGATGTAGATGGTATCATCATAGAAAAGGAAAAGGTAGGAACAGAAGGACAAAATAGCTGACTTACCAAACATGTGTTGATGGCATGGTGTATAGAAGCCACCCAAACTGTGTAGGGCCGACCGACGAGCTGTTCAAATCACTTTTGTGCCGTTAGCTATATTTCTATCATAGGCAGGTCTGGACAGATAATAGCTCCAGTGAAAGGATCAGTCCAGACAGTCTCGTCTTTGCAACCGGTCAAGGCGCTTGGACATATGCTTGTCATTTTGTAATGTCGATTCATCATGTTGCGGAATCTGGGAAGGGAGGAGGGAGGAACCGTACTCTTTGTCGATACGACCAGCATGCAAAGCATGCTATAATTTTGAGATGGACCGCGTTGAATGCTATATGATAGCCTGCGAACTGTTAGTGCGTGTCGCAGATCATGCATGTATAATTCAAAATGAATTGAGAGGATTCAGTAATGCATGAATGGTTAAAAAAAAAAGGTTGTCTGCATCGGAAACCCGGATAAGACTCGTCATCTAAAGGGTTCATCATGTAAAGGTAGTGTGAAAATAGAAAAAATAAAGGACCTACCAAAGCTGTCATATGCAAACCATTGTAGTCCTGTAAACTCCCTGCAAGAGGGAATCACAAAGTTATGAATAGTGCATGAACATAGCAGGACGGGTTCGTCACGTAAAGCGACAACCACAGTCCCACCAGAAAGCCAGAAGCAGCCATGACCCTGCAGAACAGTCTCAGCGCATGATAACGGGAAAATTCGCAAATTGAAGGCGATAGGTTCGTCGTTTATCAGTGGTACAGGTTTTCTAGGCCTGACGCAAAATGGCATATCCGTCATACGTGTCGGAGCCCAGTGCCATTCCTCATTTAAGAAAATTGCGGTAATGATGTGAAAGGATAAGAGTTGGTTCGTACCATACAGAATCTGCGTCAAACTGTTGACTATTAGCCAATGACCCCCTAAGAATCAATAAAAAGATAAATGGTGGGAGCGCAATCAGAAACAGCCTAATTTTATCGTCAAAGACCAAAAGGCCTCGGTCGGTAATTTCCAGCGTGTACAAGTACACAAATGATCATCTTATGCGCCGCCAGGGTGGTGTTGCAAGAAAGATTTTACGTACATTTTGACGAAGGTGAACGCGTCGATTCAGAGGGAACGAATCCGCCTAGACTACTGTCGCAAAGTCAGCACTGTGCTTCCAAAAGTCTCATGCTGCTCCAAGTTGTAATTGTGTTTCTCAGACTGACGTGCTTGCAAGTTCGAGTTTCATTTCTCAATAGAGATCAAAGACTCTAGTTTGTATGCGGTTGCGTGAATCATCAGAGAAGGGGAGGGGACGAGGTTGAAGGAACGTACCTGCAGGAATGCCGTCGCGAAAACAGGCGCTCAGCCATCATTCTGTGAGGCCTGCTTCGCGACGAAGCAGTTGTTGTCGCGCATGGTGGTGAGCTGTAGAGCTCTCGGGACGTGACGACAGAATTTTCCAATGAAACTTCTTTAAGGGTCGGAGCTAAGACTTTTCGCTTAGCGGGGAATCGTCGCGCGCGCTTTGCACCACGTGATCTGTGGCCGACCGCTTAGCCTTCTGTTTATGGATAGCAGCCTTACTTCTCCAGAGTCCTGAACATCTGTCGTCATAGAGCACTGACTGCTCGAGCAGAGATTTTGGTTTTGCCCCTTCCATGGCGGAATCTGTTTTCGCCTTGCTGTCCAGTGTTGACCACGTGCTTTCTCGGCAGACCTTCCTTTGCTTACCACCACCCTTTTTCTGGTTTCTATTGATGAGTTTCTTGCCGCAGAACTAAGCCGACTTGAACCGTGGTCTACAATACGGTAGTCCACGATGCTATTCGCGGCCGACATTCGGGGTATCCTCCGCAAGAGTGGTGTCCGGACCACAAACAGAACACCCCTCTCTCCGCACGGCTCTTAGCAGGCGGTGTGCTGGAGTCCGTGAAGCAGAACGATATTATAATCGGCTCGTGCAATCTATCACCGGATGTGCCGCTTGCGGATGGATCAATGCTTCGCGATATCGGTCGAAAAGCGCATTGCACGCTCGGGGAGCCCAATTACCGCATGAGGGGAGCGGAAGTGCGGGAGCCATGGTGGTTACCGCGATGTCGCGGCGCGTCGTCCAGCGGGCCAGCCACTGCTGTGCTGGCGATTTTTCTACCTCTTGTGATAGTTTCGACGACGGTCCAGACTCCAGACTGCGTTGCGCGAAAGGAATGCGGGAGAAATCGGGCATCATGTGGCAGGGCGTTCTGGAAGAGCTTGTCAACCCCGCCTCCAGCGCCCCTCATCCGGCTGTGGGTACGGCCGGCGTCATAGCATCCTCGGCCTGGAGAAGGCAAACACAACCGCCCTGTTGGGCTATTTATCATCACTGTCCTGCCAGGCTTGGGCGATCGCGACTTCACACAAAGGTAGTGACGAAGCGGCCGCGCAGCTGTCAACTCTGACATCAATTGACGATACTTGGACCCATCTTTCGCTTTAGTTGCCGAGGAGCCCCCTTCCTCCAACCACAAGCCTTAGCCCGGCCAGCCCTCCGCAGCTCCGACCCCAGCTGTACCCACATAATTACTTCATTTACAGCTCCCGCTGCTGCTTCGTGAAACCCAGCCCTTTACTACTTGAACAGCTCTCATCGCGCTCAGCACCAGCACATTCTTGTTTCCCTCCCACCACTCGATACCCTACGATACCCATACATCTCTAATCCATTCCCAAAACCATGGCTACCACTAGCGGCAACGCTGGCCCTGTTGGCCAGGAGAAGATCAACACCGACATCGTCACCCTTACCCGCTTCCTTACTGAAGAGCAAGCTAAGGTCAAGGAGGCCACTGGAGATTTCACGTAAGAATACCAAAGCCAATTCAGGTGCATGATGGGTGCTGACAGAGGTTTCAGTTTGCTGTGCCACGCCCTCCAGTTCGCCTTCAAGAACATTGCCTACTACATCCGTCGCGCAAGCCTTATCAACCTCGGTGGTTTGGCTGGCTCAGCAAACTCCACCGGTGACGACCAGAAGAAGCTTGACGTCATCGGAAATGACATCTTTATTTCCGCCATGAGGGGAAGCGGAAAGGTCAGGATACTGGTGTCTGAGGAGGAGGAGGAGGCTATTGCCTTTGACGAGCACCCGGAGGCGAGGTACGCAGTCGCTTGCGACCCAATCGATGGTTCCTCCAACCTTGACGCTGGTGTCTCGGTTGGAACGATCTTCGGTGTCTTTAGGTTGGCGGATGATGCGAAGGGTGTGAAGGAGGACATGCTGCTTCCTGGAACGGAGCTCGTTGCCAGCGGCTTCACGATGTACGGTGCCTCCTCCCAGCTGGTATTCACCATGAAGGGCGCCGGTGTCCACGGATTCACCCTGGACGGCAACCTGGGCGAGTTTATCCTCACGCACCCTGACATGCAGTTGCCGAAGAAGCACCCCATCTACTCGGTCAACGAAGGCAACAGCATGTACTGGGAGGAGCCTGTCAAAGAGTACATCAACACTCTCAAGTACCCGGAAGATGGTGGCAAGCCGTATGCTGCTAGGTACATCGGCTCCATGGTGGCGGATGCCTACCGGACGCTGCTGTACGGAGGTATCTTCGCGTACCCTGCCGATAAGAAGACGGTCAAGGGCAAGCTGCGGATATTGTACGAGTGCGGCCCGATGGCCATGGTGTTTGAGAATGGTAAGTCGTCATCGTCGTCCGCACTTAGGCTAAACATGTACTAACGACGAACAGCCGGTGGTCAAGCCGTGAACAGCAAGATGAGCCGCATGCTGGAGGTGAGGCCCGAGTCGATCCACGACCGGTCCGGTATCTTCATGGGGAGCTATGATGAGGTGCAGAAGGTTATTGATATCCACAAGAAGCACGGTTACTAGATTATGGGGTCAGTCTTCTGTTGCATGTAATTTTTAGTCGATGAGTAGCATGGCGTCTGGATGAGCTGGGATCAGCCCCAAGTCGGCAGTTGAATGGATACCATCACACGAACCCTGCAATAAGCCCGTACAATTTCGGAGTGTGACGCGCCAGAGATAGGCACCTGTCGGATCTACTCACGAGTCGCGTCTTCCTAAGCGCGCAACTTCTCCGCTGACGAACGGGGCCTAGCGGGCAGGCGGGTATTTTTAGCAGCCGAGCGACGGCCATCAGACCCTCAGCAGCACGAATGGCGTGAGACTGCGAGAGTGCACGAGTTGCAGCAATTCGGCGCCCGCAACGGTGAGGCGGACTTTCGCAGCAGACGCAGATGTCCAGCGCCGTGTTCGCTGTTGTCAAACGGCCGAGGTGGCGGTCACTCCGAAGACAAGACTCAGGACTGGATCTAAGCGCCCGGCCTTGTGCGGCCTGCTGCACACCCCTCCACTCACCCGCCATGCAGCTGCTTTTTGCGTTTCTCATTCGTCTCATCCCCTGTCGCCGGGCACTCGCTTCAGCAAGGCCAATCTGGTACTTGCTCTCTTTACCGTTAGTTGCACGACAAACATAGTCGTCCCCTCCACTGCAGGGTCTGCACCGGGGCGAATGATCTCTCTTCTTCAAGCGTAAATCACGTTAGGTGCGCACCTTAAGTTGCTTTATCCCTCGGTCACTATGCGGCGAGACTCGTCAAAAGAATCGTCTCTGAACATCGGGCTGTCACGCGTCATATTTCACTCTCATTGAAGGATTGGGCTCGACGCCACTGCACTTCCTCGATCCTCTTCCCCGGCCTGCGCTGCACTATTCGTCGCAGCAGCCGCTGAGCATCACAGGATACCCACGCCTAACCCGACGCCATGTCTTCTTATTCCGTCCCAGCTGGTTCTGCGACGCCTGCAAGGCCCTCTGCTCAGAGGCGAATGCCTGTGCAACCTCCCGCCATATCAACCGCGTTGCTGGGCACACAACACGGCCCGTACCTGCATACTCCGGCCACGGCCACGCCTTTAAGCACCCCATTCTCCCCGTATGCTTCGGCCAATACCCCTTTGCAGCCTTCAACCGCCCCCACTAGCGCTATCCAGGCAGCGTCGCCAATGGCTTTTCGGGGCTCGCCCATGGTGAATTCTTACAATCCGCAAGAATGGGGTCGCCACGGCCATGTCGGCGGCGCTTTCATGCCGCATTCAAACGCACCCGCTACCACCAGAAGTACTAGAGATGCAACAGGCATGGAGGGTAATAGCTATTTCTCTTTACTATTTTCAATCACTCCTGGGGTTTTTCTTTCTTTGATCGACAGGAACTCTAAGCTTGGAATTCCAGATCTTCTGCCATTTTAGAGCCCACCAAGTCTTTCCTATAATTTCCTTGGTGCCGCCGAATTCAACATTCAGGATGCAAATACTAAATCGAGTCCGTACACAGCCAGCATGCCCACGCCGCCACCGCCATATACTCCCAACCCTTCTCAGGGTATGGCCCAGAGCATGTCCCAAGCCATGCAATCATCACCACAAATCACCGCGGGACCTTTCGCCAACAGCCAAGGTTTATCGCCGCAAGTTGGTTTATCCACTCATAGCCCGCTGGCTATCACATCAACCGGAACATCTCCTGGATTTTCAAGCAGACTCGAGCACAGCTGGACCGGAAGTGGTGCTACAGCGCCTAATAGCACTCCCCCTGCAGCTGCGCCATCTTTTCCTCCTCCACCCCCTCGTCAAGGGCGCGATAGGTCTTTATCGAGAACGAGAATGGACAAGGGCCATTCGGTGTTTAGCCTCTCCGCATTGACTTCGAGGAATCGTGGTAATGATCAATCCTCGTCAAGTAGCGCAATTGATGCATTACATCAACAGACAACCGAGGCTCTGGCAAGAGCACCAGCTCAACCACAGCAAATGGCAGGACCAAGCCAGCAGTATGTAATCTTCTATTAAGAAGCCAATCTTACTGACTTGTCTTTCAGCTCCCGAGTGGCCTCTACTAGCCAGCACCAACAACCATGGAGCCCTGAAAGCGCCGTTCGTCCTCCTGCGTCTCGCAGAGCGGCCTCCACGGGAGGTATAGGCATGTCACAAAGGGACGCCCAGGACTCATCTCCTAGCAGCCGGGCAGCTTGGGAGCCAGGAATGCCGCTGCCACCTCCACCACCCGGTCCTCCACCGAGCGGAGCAAGGTCTCAAAGTATGAATCGAAGCTCCGAGATCTCATCCCGAGGGCCCGGGACGCCCCTTGCTGCTCCTGCACCAAGGCGACCTCAACATGCGAACACGCTAGGACCCATCCCGCCGACACCAGCCGACTGGACAGAGGAAGACCAAATACGAGCTACAAAGTCACCGTATGGAAAAGGCTTACAGATCAACACGCGCGACACCCACAATGAGGACGATGTAACAGCCGGTCCCTCGCATACTGGTCCTTTCACTGCTCATCCGTCTTCTTCAAATGCCGGGCTTGGCCGCACTGGTGCAAAGCGTGATACCAGCGCTCGAGGGATCCGAGAAAGACGGAGTGAGAGTCGAGCAGCACGCGAAAGGCTCGTCGAGACTCAAAGCGCCGTTGAACCTAGCAACAACCCCTGGGCGCGGGATATGGTGGCTGCACCAACTCGTCCAGCAAACTTGATCCTTGCTACTCCCGATGGTGCCATCAGCCAGCGTCGCAAGGGCCGGAACACACCCACGAGTGGCAGGAGCCTTACGTCTTCTCCTGCAGGTCAATCCAGTGCAAAATCTAACAAATCATATGGAGATCTGCAGACTGCCGAATCGAGTCGATCTACTCCACGCCAGGAGCATAACAAGATTGTCATGTCTCCAAAGTCGTTCGCACCGACTCCACCGTTCTCCCCAGGCACTGACGCTTTCGAAAAGCGATTTAAGGCTGCCAGCGTACCTCCTCCAAAGACGCTTCCGACACCGCCTCCTCATCAACTACCTTCGTCATCTTCCTCTTTCTCGTCCTTTTCGCCTCAAGAAAGGCCCGTCTCACACATTCTCCACACTCCTAATGATAATGTCAATATGGTCGTTCCGTTGATGCCGTCAAGGCCCGCATCATCTGCTGCCAGCAAACAAACCCCTAAGCCTACCGACCAAGAGCTTTTTGCACTAGCCTCTGTCGAGCGATACCGTTCCTTTATTGATAGGGAGAGTACCGCAGCGACTGACCAGGAAAGATTGGAGCTTTTTGCGGACTTTATTGTGCACGAGTCTCGCCTGCGACGTGATCGTTACTCTGCTGCATTCGAAGCCATGGCTAGCGATATCTTGGACCTGACGAGAGACATGTGGCGATCTTATACGTCAACCGGTAGACGGTCGGCTACGCCAAACATGAGCCTCGATTCATTGCCAGAAAGGAAGGATTCAACATCCTCGAGCCACAACTCTCAGGTACAGCCTAGTCCTGCGGCGTCTTCAGCAAGCTACAATTTTAGGATGGGATCCGAGTCTCCAGTTAGCAGCGATGCCAGCCATGGCCGATCGCGCGGAGACAGCCAACCATGGCAGCCCTGCCTTTCACCCATACCCAGCATGGCTGTCAGCACAGTCCCAGACGAGGAAGACTCCAGAGGCCGATCTGCAAGCCGCTGGTGGGAAGGAAGCGCAGACGGCTCGAATGGTAAAGACAACAGGAAGCTTGAGCGATCGAAACGCGAGTCCAAATACATGGGTGTTCCAAAAGAAGCACGTGAGTATTTGCAGTGGGATGACAATCACTCGCCGTCTCAGGGAAGCGGCACGCCCGGTCCAAACAATTTCCCAAGCTACGGCCCCGACGAGTATCCGCCTGAAAAGGTGGGATGGCATGAGCAGACTACGCCTCATGCTGCAGTTCCTATGCAGTTCTGGCAACACTCCGCGCCTGCAACTCCAGACCCCTACAAGCTGGATGTGTCTAGACTTGTCACGCTGCCACCACCGTATCCCAGACATCATCCTGCTGTCAACAATAACCATCCCGAACTGGCTACGATCAGGGCGAACTTGAGGGCATTGCAAGACCCTGAGGAAGTCAAAGCGATCAAGGAGGCATACAGAGAACGAAGCAATTCTCTGCGCGAGAAGGGCATAAAGGGTGCGAACGACCGACGCGCCGAGCTACGCGGGGATATCCAAGACATGATTCGGGCTGGTGAAATGACTTTTGCCGATGCTGCCAAAGCTGAGGCCGAATTCGATGTGACGGAGGCGCAAATCACTCGGAGACGCGTCCAACAAGACTTTGACATGTATCAGAAGGATGTCATGACCCCGGTGCACGCCATCCTTGCTGAACGGGTGCTGAAGGCCACTGCTTCGATTGAACGGCTGCGCAATAGTTTGTTCAATGATGCTCAAACCTCGGATCCAAACCAGACCCAGGAAGAGGGCGATGAGACGCCCGAGCTCCTGGAGAAGTTGACGCTGCTCAAGTGGCTTTTCGACTGCCGCGAGCAGTTGCACAAGGACATGTTCGAGCTAGAGGGCGAGCGCAACGAGCTCTACAAGACGGTGGTGCTGACGCCTTATATTCTAGCCAATAACATGGACAAGGTGCGTGAGGCGGAAGACTTCTTTAGACACGACAAGTCGGACCGAACAGTGGCTTTCTCACAGCAAGTTCTGAGCCGCTATGAAGAATTTGCGTACGTCATCGAACAAAATGTCACTCGGGGCGTGGAAGACCAACTGAGCGCGTTTTGGGACATTGCGCCCGGGCTCATGGCCGTGGTGCAGAAAGTACCAAGCGACTTGGAGGGCTTTGAGATTTTGGTCCCGCCGCAAGAGTACAACGAAAACCCGTCATATCACGATTTCCCGCTGCAGTACCTCATGACGTTGCTGGCGCACGCGGAGAAGTCGGCGTATCAGTTTATTGAGAGCCAGACGAACCTGCTGTGCCTGCTGCACGAGGTCAAGACGGCGGTGATGATGGCCAACTCGCGGCTGGTGGAAACGCAGCGGTGGCTGGCGGGCGAAGACTTTGCGAGCGTGGAGCACGAGATGCAGGCGATCAAGAGGGACGAAGAGGCCAGGCTGACGGAGGATTTGAAGGACAAGGTGGGGTTGGTGGAGGGGCAATGGGCAGAGGCGCTGGGCAAAGGCTTGGCGGAGTGCAAACGACGGGTGGAGGGGTTCCTGGTGTCGAGCGGCGGGTGGGATGAGAGCTTGCGTGAGTAGGCAGAATGCAGTCAAAGGGTTGTCGTTGTTTATTGTGAATAAAGCGGTGGTGCAAAGAAAGGTTGAACCAGGGCATGTGATAGCGGCCGCCGTTGGTGGGCGCCAAGGATTGTCCCTGCCGAATTTGGCGAAGGCGGCTGGGCACAAAATTATTTCATAGCGGGAAGGCTTTTGTTCGCGACAAAGCCCAACCCTCCACCTACAACCTCACACGCATCCGCCCGAGCGAGCCTCTTCTTTGAGTCTCCGTCTCTCTTCTGCCCCAGTCCCCTTCAGAAAACCTTCGTACGCCAAACCAAAAAAAAAGTTAAAAAACCCAAAAAACCCCCCGGTCAGACGCGACTGCATCTTCAGCCGCCTCAGTCGCCTCACCCCATACACCGCGTCCTCAACCTTTCCGTGTCTTTCTTCCCGCTGCTCAGAGCTTCCTTTGTGGCCTCTGAGCATTCCGACGGTCCGTTGCACGCGATCACTTTACCATCTCAGTTTCTCTACAAGGTGTGTGAGCCTCGCCCACTTTTCATCGCCAAATTCGCGCATCGCGCGCTGCCCCCGCTCCATCGTCACTGACACGCGCAGAAAAAACTTACAGCAAAAATGTCCGCCGAGGTTGCCAACACTGCCGCTCCGGCCGCTGATGCCAACCCTCAGTCGCCTGGTGCCGACGCCAACGGTGCGGCCGTGAACACCAATGTCGCGCCTGCCCAGGAGGTCTCGACTCCCACCTCCGCCGCCCCTTCCGTTCACCAGAACTCGGCCTCGCTCTATGTTGGTGAGCTCGACCCTTCCGTCACCGAGGCCATGCTCTTTGAGCTTTTCTCCTCGATCGGCCAGGTCGCTTCTATCCGTGTCTGCCGTGACGCTGTCACTCGTCGCTCGCTCGGTTACGCCTACGTCAACTACAACAGCTCCGAGGACGGTGAGAAGGCTCTTGAGGAGCTGAACTACACGCTGATCAAGGGCAAGCCCTGCCGTATCATGTGGTCTCAGCGTGACCCCGCTCTGCGCAAGACTGGCCAGGGCAACGTCTTCATCAAGAACCTGGACGCTGCGATCGACAACAAGGCTCTTCACGACACCTTCGCTGCTTTCGGCAACATCCTGTCCTGCAAGGTCGCCCAGGACGAGACTGGCGGCTCCAAGGGTTACGGCTTCGTCCACTACGAGACTGCCGAGGCTGCCAACAACGCCATCAAGCACGTTAACGGCATGTTGCTCAACGAGAAGAAGGTCTTTGTCGGCCACCACATCCCCAAGAAGGACCGCATGAGCAAGTTCGAGGAGATGAAGGCCAACTTCACCAATGTTTACGTCAAGAACATTGACCTCGAGGTTACTGACGATGAGTTCCGTGACCTGTTCGAGAAGTACGGCCCGATCACCTCTGCTTCCCTCGCCCACGACCAGGAGACCGGCAAGAGCCGTGGTTTCGGTTTCGTGAACTTCGTCAAGCACGAGGATGCCGCCAAGGCAGTCGATGAGCTGCACGACAACGACTTCCGCGGCCAGAAGCTGTACGTCGGTCGTGCCCAGAAGAAGCACGAGCGTGAGGAGGAGCTCCGCAAGCAGTACGAGGCTGCTCGCATCGAGAAGCAGTCCAAGTACCAGGGTGTCAACCTCTACGTCAAGAACCTTGCCGACGAGATTGACGACGAGAAGCTTCGTGAGATCTTCGCTCCCTTCGGCACCATCACCTCTGCCAAGGTCATGCGCGACACCACCCCAGCCGAGAAGGTTGAGAAGAAGGAGGGTGAGGAGGCTACCGAGGAGGGCGAGAAAAAGGAGGGTGAGTCTGAGGAGAAGTCCGAGGAGTCTGGTGAGGACAAGGATGTCGACAAGATCACCAAGGAGATGGACAAGGTCACCATCAAGGGTGAGAAGAAGATCCTCGGCAAGAGCAAGGGCTTCGGTTTCGTCTGCTTCAGCAACCCCGACGAGGCCACCAAGGCCGTCACTGAGATGAACCAGAAGATGGTCCACGGCAAGCCGCTGTACGTCGCTCTTGCTCAGCGCAAGGATGTCCGCAAGAGCCAGCTTGAGGCCACCATCCAGGCCCGCAACCAGATCCGCATGCAGCAGGCTGCTGCCGTTGCTGGTATGCCCGCTCAGCAGTTCGTCCAGCCTCCCATGTTCTTCGGTCCTGGCCAGCAGCCCTTCATGGCCCCTGGTGCTCGCGGCCAGATGCCTGGCTTCCCTCAGGGTATGCCCGCCGGCCGTGGCGGTGCCCCCTTCCCCGGCGCTATGCCCATGCAGGCCGGTCGTGGTGGCCCCAACGGCCAGCAGATCCCGCCCATGTACGGCATGCCTCCTGGCGCTATGCCCCCTGCTGGCATGCCCGGCTTCAACCCCGCCTATGCCCAGATGATGGCTCAGCAGGCCGCTACCATGGGTGGCCGTGGCCGTGGTGCTGTCCCCGGCATCCCTGCCATGCCCGGTATGCCCCAGATGGCTGGCCAGGGTCCTCCTCGCCAGGGTGCTGGCCGTGGCAACGGTCCTCGCGGCCCCTACCCCGCTGGTCGCGGTATGCCCGGTCAGGGCCCCGTTCCCGGCGGCGAGGGTCTCGACGTGACCACTCTCAACTCTGCTCCTCCCGCTCAGCAGAAGCAGATGCTTGGTGAGGCTCTGTACCCCAAGATCCACGCTCAGCAGCCTGAGCTTGCCGGCAAGATCACCGGTATGCTGTTGGAGATGGACAACGCCGAGCTGCTTAACTTGTAAGTCTTTCCTCCATTTAATTGAGAGGGACACTGATGCTAACCAAGCCTGTTTTCTAGGACTTCTGATGATGCTGCTCTCCGCGCCAAGGTTGAGGAGGCCATGGGTGTCTACCAGGAGTACGTCCAGAGCAAGGGTGATGCCAAGCAGGATGAGAACGCTGCTCCGACCGAGGCCCCCAAGGAGGGCGAGGCCCCTGCCGAGAACAAGGCTTAAGCGTCTCATCTTTCGAGTCACTTTAGTCTTCTCAATTCTGCGATGTTCGTTCACACGATCGGCGTATCAGGCGTTGGTCTGCGGTCAAACGTTTAGTGGTACTCAAAAGTTTTGCTGCGATATTCTCTCGACTCGCTGAGCCGGCTTTCTCTCTACCTACGCTTCCTTGCCCTTTGCGGCATGGAAGACTGGTTGCGGCTCGCGGTCAAACGTCCTACTATTCTCGACATCCGAATACCCCCGGAACATGGTTCGCAGACATTACACTCTTGTATGTCTTAGGGACCATCTTTTGACCCGACGACGTTTCCCCTTCTTTTACACATTCCCCTTTTTTCTTTTCCTTTTTTTGATCACGAGCATGTGTATTATGAGTCTTCTTTAGGAACAATTGTGACGATGGGGCAGTAGCTACGTTTTTCACACTTTTTTTGCACGAGGACATTCCGTCGCCAGGCTTCTTCTTCGCCTTTGATAGGAAAAGAACCGCTGAGCGAGAAAGGGCGGCTCTAGGTGGCGAGGAGGTTTTTTTGAGCGGAAAACGAAGCACGGTTTTCTAGCTGCGGGATATGTGTGTTTACTCTTCTGGGCGGCAGGTTGTCCCTTTCTTTTTTATTCTTCCTTTCTGTCAATTGCTTGCCTTCTCTCTCAGTCGGTTAGCAGCAGAGGATGGAGCAGAGCAGAAAGGGAGGCACGGAGGAAGGATTAATCAGCGTGCTGCCAGTCGTAGAAGCACTACTGCTGTTACTGGTACTGCTACTGGTGCGGATAAAATGGTCATGAGATGAGTGGTGGGAAGGCTGGAACGGAAAAATGCTGGATGAAACTGGGCGGATGGATGGGCGGCGGGGTTGCTGGGCTGGATTGGCTAGGTAGAACCCTGAATGAATTAGATGAAGTTATTTCATATGAGGTCCTCTTTGGTGCTTGTTTGTGAATTGGGGGGAGGGAGGAGGAGGTGGTGGTGGTACATAAGCTGTGAGTTGTACGCTAGTTCCTGCTGTTGTTACTGTTGTTGCTGATGCCGTGGAGTCAGTGCATACATGACTACTTGCTTTCTCGATAGGAGGAGAGGGCGAAGTGGTGAGGCGGTCCTGCGTTTGCGTGCATGTGTGCCTGCTGCCCGGTTACTCTGTTGGTTGGTCGGCGTGGCACGGTCCCACAGAACTACGTCCCTTCTTACTCTACCTCTATACCAGCACCTGAGATGTGATCGGCATGGAGACACGGTTGCGAGTAACGGGAAACTGGGCACCAACTTCGTCTATGAGGTCATTACCATAACGTGATGCGGCTGCTGGGTAGTTGAGAAGGGACATGCTTCCTGAAGCAGTGTTGGCTTAAGATTCAACGGTAAGGTCTCTGTTTCTTTTCTTTTATGCGTTCGTTCTCTCTACTTGGCTATATTTGTCCCATACTTCTGAGTGCGAAGCTGAAAGAATCGCCACCTTCTACTACTAAAGTCCTATACATCAACATTTCCCTAAAACCTTCACTGCCTTAACTTATGGCAAGCCTCGTTCGGAACGCAAAACATTACTTGGAAATCTCCAGTCAACTCCGTAATCACCACGTCCTCGTCTACCACGGATCCGTATACATGGGACTTGCCTGCTGTTTTATCCGAAATAAGAACGTGGCTTCACGCGGGGCTTACCACGGTTTGAAGCATCTAACCCCACAATGTGCCCAAATACCTCTACAGCATCCACCGGTCCTAGTCCCACAGACACCAAGGTAGCACTTCAACCCCGAGTATAAAAGGCCACCCATACAGCCGCCATTCAAAACTTCCACGAGACTCCTCTCCTCTCATTACCAACCACCAAGACACCACCCTACGTACAACACAGCCAACACCACTCAAAATGGCACTCTGTTTCACCGCCATCGTCTTTTACCTAGCCATCACCGGAACGGGGGCCGCCAACATCGTCACGATCGCAGCGCGCGCCGCAGAACGCCCCACCATGGGGTACGCGACGTATCCGACAGGCGGACTGCAGGACACCACGATGACAACGAAGACGCGCTTGCGCCCAAGCACGACGGCGCACAGCCTTTCCCCCTCCATGCCGTTCTCGACCTCCGTGACGGACGCGGCGCGCGCGGCCACGATCCTGACGCTGTACGATCCGCCCACGCCCGTCACGCCCGTCACGCCCAGCCCCATCATCGTGTACACGACGGAGTTTGCGACCGCCACCGCCACGCCCGTTGTCGAGGTCGTGACTGTCACGTCCACGCCTTTGGTCACGGCCCAGCCTGAGCCCGTCACCGTCTACCAGGAGCGGATCACCGAGACGGTCAGTGTCACCGCGACTGTTACTGCGACTCCCTCCTCCTCCTCCTCCTCCTCCTCCTCTGAGGCCCCCGCCTGTGCTGCGGCCCCCTCCTCCGCTCCTGCTCCGCTTTCGGGCAGCCCCGATTTGAACAAGACGTTCACGGCCTAGGTCCGCTCATGTGCAGCCTCACAGGGCCTACCGTTCTAGCTCTCACTCCGTCCCGGCTACCACGATAGCTGCGCGGTTAGGTGTATCTTCGATTACTTGATGGGCTGCGTCCTTCGATTTCGGAGCTACTGCTCCTACTGCGCCTGCTGTTGTGTTTGTAATCGTTACTGCGATCTTGATTACCCTGATAGGTCGGTTCTGGCGGTTGTATACTGATGAATTCCTCTTCATGGCTAGGCGCTGGTTTCGGTTGGCTTTGCGCCGATGACCGGGAGGCTAGGCGCGGGAGAGGGAATGTGGTCGGGAGGGAGTTGGGAATGAAGATTGTGTTTTGGGCTTATGTGATTGAGTATACTTCTGGCTAGAAATGCTAGGTACTGTAGCTGCAGGTTAATTTAATATGCATTTTAACTGCGTGATAGCTTTGCAGGGTCTTCGGTGCGCTGTTCAGAGCTACTTGGATAGAGCATGGGGTTTTGGATTTTACTTGCTGAGGTGAACATTATTTGTTAGTTTTGTAGCTGCCTTTTCAGAGTGGGCAGGGTAGGAGTATTGCTTCTTGTTTGCACAGGGCAAAGGATTGGTTGGTTTGTGCGATGGTTTGGCCTCTCTTGCAAGGTACGGAGGAGTTTGATATGCAGCAGTAAAAGCAGGGAATGTCAAAGTGTTTTGTATTTCTGACTATGGAGTCCTAAGAAAGAGTGATTAGGGCTTCTGTGATGAAGTTAACTAGCAAAGCCCGCCTTTCCATCATTTTGCGCCTCAATTTAGAATGGCGGATGGAATCCGGGAACCAGAAATGCTCTCTCAGGTACTTTGCCGGAGTAAGTCCTGCAAGCATGTGTTCCGAATAGCTATCGTGGAAGCCCTTCTCCGCGCTGAAGTTTTGGTGGCTTCCTTTGTTAAGGCCAGATAGAGAAACCCAATTTGAGTAAAGAAAGAAACCCAAAGCAGACCAATTGTACCCTTACCGAAATTTGTAGAGAACCAGAGAGCAGCTGGAACGGTGATGTCCAGCATAGAGCTTGGAAGCTCATCTACTCACGCTCGGCAATTTCGCAATCCTCTAGTAGGTCCGTAAGACGACCCTTGATGATATCTTGGGCGTTTGGAAGTTCGCTCTCCAACCGCTGCCGGATTTGCATCGCCTTAGACACAGATTCCTCCCCGTCGTCGATGCTTCTGGATAAACTACTGGAAACATCTGTGAAAATCGCCATGGCAGCATCAGAGAGGTATTTGGCTTGCTCGTCGATGCTCTTCTCGCATGCTTTCTTGAAGCCATCCTTGATAGCGACATATGGGCCTTTTTCAGGAGCCAATATCTTATCCCGAAGAAGATTGAACCGTTCCTTGTGCGAGCCCTTGCCTGAAAAGATTGAAGTCAGCATGGAGGATCCTCCCACAAGTCATTTTATAGCAGAAAATGCTTACCACTGAAATCGTAAGCTTCCTTGTAGATCGGCTTCATTGCAACTACAAAGTATGAATTGTGTGCATCCTGTGATGTAGTCGCCCTTGTTACGACAGTTCTGTTTCTGTCAGTTTTTGTGCGTGTAAAAGATTTTGGATAGATTTACTCAAATTCCCTCTCCACCTTTATTTTAACTTCGTTCACTCTCCGGCTGAACGTATCTTTCTGGCTTGACAGAAGTTTAAGGAAGACTAAGAGTGCCTCCTTCTGCGGCTCGTTGAGGTTGTTCTGAAGACCGTACTCAATACTGTCGACCAGGTCCTCACCAGCCTTGTTTAGTGATTTCGACATGAGATGGCCTGCGTCTGTCCATGACGGCCTCAGTGACTCAAGCCCTTCCGAGACCGGCTTCAACATCTCCGCATTCCAGTCAAAATCTCCCGTGGCTTGGACCTTCCAATAGCCGCTTCGACGGCAAAAAGCTTTACCAGACATCCAACGGAGGGCTTCCCATTCTTCAAGCTTCCTCCGGGTATGGTTCATCCACTCTGGGTGATCAGAATCCAATTGCGCGATGACGGGCGTCAAAACTTTGGCCTTGTATTCTGCGCAAATCTGCCGGATTTTCGCGCCAAAGTCCTCTAGCGGAGCAGTGACAAGCTTGATCAGCGCAGCCTTAGTCTGCAAGGAAGTCTTGCAGCAGGACAACTTGACTCGGAGGAGGAAGTTTGGCAGAGAGTCTTGCGCGAGTTCCTTTAGTTGGTCCAGTCGTTTTTTGGATGGTAGCCCAAGTATGTGGCTTCTAAGGGCCGGTATTTCTGTAGCTTCCACACTCAAAATGGGAATATCGCGTTTGTGAAATCCTTGGCGATGTAAGTCGTAAAGCTTGTTTGACACACAAAAGACCTGCAGAGGTTTCTTGTCTTCGACTGCCTCTTTGTAATTTCTCTTCAAGGCGTTTGCGGTCTTTTTGCTCCGAACTGCAATGGAGGCTCCAGTATACTCCCTATCGAGTTCTGACTCTTTCAACCTTTAAAGTATTAGTTTGTTCATAGAGGGCATGGAAATGACTTACTTGAGTTCCCTGACGAGCTTAGAAAGTCTCATCGCCGTTTCATCATCACTGTCGTCTTGGGCTTTTTCTAAGGCATCCTGTTTCGATTTACGGTCCTTCCGGACTTTGTTGAGGTCTCGATTGGTCCTTTTCAATGTCTCTTTTGCGGGAGCGTCGGCATCTCTCATGCGACCTCTGTGATTGTTGTCGATGTCATCTGAGCGAGTACAGACCATGATAGCGGAACCGCTCTTCCTCCGACGGTAAGCCCGTACGAGGAATTCGTACACGGACCCATCGTCCTCAGCGCGCTTTATATCGCCAACCACGATGGTGAATTCCAGCTTGTCTAGATATCGTACGGAAGCCTGTACTCTGGCTTCATTTGCATCATTAAGACCAGGAAGGTCTACTAAGACAACGCCAGTTTTCAACAAAGGGGAGTCGACGTAGATCCTACAGTGATTGTCTGTTAGTCTGGTGAGCACATCTTTTCCAATACAAGTTTCCACAAACCTGACCACTTCGACCAACGGCCATGGCGAAGGCTCACAATCGTCATCGCCTTCGCTTGGCTCAATCATTCTGACGAATGGCTCAATGATACTATGAAGCTCTTCTTCACTATCCGCCTCAAAGTATACCTTGCCATCCGTCACGTTCAAGTCAGAGAAAAGTGAGGACAGCCACTGATCCAACGGGAGGAGGTCTTCGGCATCTTCCTCGATCTGTAAAGAAGCGAAAGTGTCTAACACCGCATCTTGGCTAGAGCATTCCTCGTGGTTGCAAAAGAGTGCGTAAAAAATGTCGACATAGGTGCGGGCCTTTTTATCAAAAGCTCCGAAGGCGATTTCGTTGACAGCTGCACGTTGATCTCGTTGCTCCTGAAAGGAACAAATGTCTTTGATCATGTCGATGAGCATCGTCTCGCACTCATTCAGAGGTTTAAGCATTATTTCCGCAGCAAATTTTAGTTTTTGTTGGCGGTGCCGACTGCGGAACTCCTGAGGGGCTGCTGTGCACGCGCCAGCATCGCTCTGGCAAAAACAATCAGAAATTTGGCATTGTAGATCGAGGATTCAAGTGCTTACCTTCGGTGCAAACTCGTAACTGGTCAAAGAATTGATCAAGGATGACTTGCCTTTGAGATATCAGCCGGTTTGCCATGCATAACTGGAGGTTTAGGCAAAAGGCGCGGGTCCATTACATACCACTTCCAGTTATCCCTAGAACACCTACGTAAGTGTCTTTTATTTTTGGCATTGTCATGGCTTTGAAGCCATCTGCCCGCAAAGACAAGATGCCCTCATCCACTCCTGTATGCTCATCGATGATTGACACGAAGAGATTGACAATATCCTGGGCGCATTCTTCTGTTTTCTTGAAGGATGGGTGAAAAATCGCCTTCGGTGGCAGAGCCTCTCCAGACGGGTCATACGGCTCGCCCGAAGGCTCCGTGGCTGGTGACAAAGTTAGAGTTGAAGTAAACCGTTGGGATTATGACTTACATTCACGTTTCCTCTTGTTCGTGTTTGGAACTGATGCTTCCACTTGTCCATGGGGCTCGGCGTTTTCTTGCTTCACTTCTGGTTTGACATCATGTCCAGAATCTTGTTTGACTTCCGGTAAAGATTCCTGCTCTTGTTCCTGCTTGACTTCTTTCTTGACATTGACTTCAGGTTGAGGCTGGGGCGTAGGCTTTGGAGTCAGTTGCTTCTCATCGGTTCTTGTCGACCCAAGCGTGTGGTCTAGTGTGTCGTCCATGACGGAGTGCTGTAGGCCAGTACTTTTAGAAACTAAGACTTTGGGTGTGAAGTTGATGATTGGGAAGAGGAAGAAGAAGAGTTAACGTGGTTGGTGGTGGACTATTATATCCGCAGACGCCTGGTCCGTGCATTCAGAGGACCAAACAAGAACAGAAGGAACCATGAAGGCATAGATAGAACTCAAATGCGCTGAATCGGGCTGCTTATCACACTAGCAAACGGAAGCACGAAGTAGCGGTGAAAGAAATGTGCTGCGGAAATGCTACTGCTCGCAGTAAGGTTTGTCAGGCGGGTTAAAATACGGGAAGACAGCAATGGCAAGTGCGAACGTGGCGTTCGAGGAAAACTTATATGTAACAGATGACTGTGGCAGCGTAGTGTCTTATGACATGAACTCCGATTGTCCACTTGGAGGCTATACTCACAAGACTTGGTAATCATTTCCAAGTCCTTTACATATCCCCGCAAATCCATGGTGTATTGAGTACCTATGGTAACTGTCTAGCTCTTTCATCATATTTTCTTGAACAGGCAGCAAAGTTGTGTTACTAGCTAAAGACCCTGATATATAGAAAATTGATCGATGCCTACTTACAGTGCGGACTGGCTTTTACTTCGCTGGTATTTCTTGATTGCAGGTGGTCGGCGCGAGAAACCACTACTCCGTACTATCACGGCTCAATACTCTACACAAAAACGGGACTATGCTCGAAGATGTCTCCATACAAAACAACTCGCACTCTTGTCCATGAGAATATCTTCAACTTCGTAACATATGCCTCCGCATATGGGAACGTGAGTTAACAAATCCGATCTTACTTGACAATGCACATACATGTCGGGTGTAGGGCTAGAGGTGCCTAATTTTGTCGCTCATCACAAGCGCAAATGCGTTGCGCTATTCACGGTACGGACGGACAGGATGTTGCATTTCCAATACTCGGAGGATATAGTCGTTGGAGGTCAATGGAAGGCTGGCATTGGGCATGCATGGCAGCATACGTAAGAGTGCATAACGATAGGTTGATGGAGTTGTCATGCTGTGAAGGTCGAGTGTCGTCGTTCGTCGCGTCTCCGTTGTGGGTTAGCGCCAAAGGCAAGGGTCCAAAGACGTCCGTGCAATTACATCATCCCGAATTTTTAATGAATTTCTCGTCATGCCAATCAGCCGCTAAGCTCGCTTTAAAAATGGACAACACCCTCACGCTCTGTCGCAGTGCCAACGACCGTGGTCTAGGTTTGAAAGAGGTCAGACTTCACGTTGCAAACCCTGCGTTGATTCCAGGAACACGGACCACGCCGCATGAGAATAGCACCTGAACGCTGCATCTTGATAAGCCCAATAAAGGACAATCAGACCCCAGCAAAATGGCAGAATCGAAAGAGCAGCGCATAAATCAATTGTTGAGCTGGTTCACGGAGAATGGCGGTTCGGTGCATCCAAGCGTTACGTTTGAAGAAGACTCGCTCGGTGGCATTTTCGCCTTCGCCAAAGAAGACATTGCAGACCTCCCATTCGCCGTCTGCACTTGTCCGCCAAAGCTACAGCTCTCACACCTGCAGGCTCCCGAACAGCTACAGGAGCAACTTCCGGAATATGTGCTTTCATACTTTGGGCTCATGAAAGAAACCATTCTTGGAGACCAGTCATTGTGGGCACCCTACATCAAATGCCTTCCGCAGGCTGAAGACCTGACGACGCCTTTGTACTTCAAAGAGGAGATGACCCAGCAAGCTGTCAACGAGAAAAAGAATGACACTGCATGGCTTCTTGGAACGAACATGGACAAGGCCTGGCGTTCGCGTGAGCAAGAGTGGAAGCAGGAATGGGAGAAGGCATGCAAGATCATGGAAAGCAAAGGCGTTCCATCGAAAGACTACACATGGTGAGATTATTCAAACCCCTTTGTCGTATTGCTACCAGGGGGCCCTCAGCGGCAAATTGAATCTCCTCAACTTAGATACCGGTGATTCTATCTGGAATGCTGGCCTGGGCGAAAATGCTTCGAATGCTCTGGCACGACATGCTGCTGACTTACGGTATTCTAGGGACCTGTTCAAATGGGCCGGAACGATGTTCACCTCGCGCTGCTTCCCTTGCGACCCCGGTGCAACCAAGAGATACGCAGTTCTAGTGCCCGTCGTTGATCTTTTGAATCACCGTTTCCCTACAAAGGTGAACTGGTTCTTCGATAACGGCGCTTTCCGACTCAGCATGGAAGAGCCCATCCGGAAAGGAAAGGAGTTGTTTAACAACTACGGCGGAAAGAGCAACGAGGAATGTGAGTGCAATACCCATCATGGCAGTTCCCGTTGCAACCATGGGCGTATGCTGACCTTCTAAAGTGCTTATGGGCTATGGATTCTGCTCCCCCTCTCACCGCTGTGATGCTGTCGCCATCCGCTTCGGCGCCCTTCCTTCTCCCGTCGTATCCAGTCTCGAATCCGTCCTAGGCTCCTGGGATCCAAGCGAGACACACTATGTCCGTGGTTACGACTACTACGCCGGCCTATATGACGTCTCAGTGCCCGATTTCCCCGGCTTCACCAAGTCTGGAATCCCGCAGACCCTCTGGACCGTCATGGAAGTCCTCAAGAAGTTCCAAGATTCGCAGGTGGGGCCGCGGCCTGCGTGGCTCAACAACGACGCAGACAATAAGCCACGAGCGGAATGGCGCAGCACTTTGAGTGCGCGGTGCGACCTCCTCGAGGTCCTGGCGACAAAGTACGACAACATTGACCAATACGTCGATTTCTTGCCCGATGGCCCGAAGAACCTGAAGCAAACGTACGCGAAGATGTACCGCGACGGGCAGCTGAAGGTCCTGAAAAGCAACGTCATCGACCTGGAAGACTGGATCCTGAAGCACAACTTCGTCACGCTCGAAGACGCCGTAGAGGCGTTGAAGGAGGAGAACGAGAACATCGGATCGGCATGGAAGCAGAGTCTCGAAGAGCTCTTCGAAACCGCCGACCTCGCGATCCTCCGCGGCCAGGAACGCGAAGCCGAGGTCTGGACACTTTGGCTGACGCTCGCATACAAGCAACTCGGTGAGTTTCTGTCTTCCAACAGCTGCGACAAGCCCTGTCTATTTCACTCGGGTCTCATGGCTAACATCGATGGTTCTGCAGAAAACGGCACCGCGTCATCTACGTCCCGCCTGCGCGCGTGGCTCGCCGACCTCCAGCAGTCGCACCCGTACAATGCCCCCAGTGCGCCAGCTGGTGCTGCCGCCAGCGACCCATTTGCTTTCTCGGAGAATCTGTATCTCTGGGCGCAGCATGTGGTGGAGAAGGAGGCGCGCATGTTGGCGTACCTGGACGAGAACAAGTGGAGCGGTAAGCTGGTCATTTGCGTGAAGGAGGGAACGAGCGGTTGATATAACCGAATGCCTGAGCGGGTGCAGCGAGATGGCATGCGAAGGGCGCTGTGTGAACAGGAGTGATATTGAGCTGCTTGCGGCGGATCAAATATGAGTAGGATATGTTTAGCACGCACGTATCCACGGCATTAAGAACCTCGATACGGTCCCGCTTGGTGGTGAGTCTTATCTCGTGGGATTTTTTTGTGGTCGTGTTGTCATCGTTGTCCATGGAATTCGTAGACAATGCTCCTCTCCCACCGCTCCTACAGATTTTTGCACATCCACACTTCACTGTGGAGGGAAAATGTGTATCTTTTTCTTGTACTTTCGCATCAATGTGAGCAGCTGTGCTTAAGATGAAAACGAATAGTGCTTGTGAGGCCATCAACATCATTCATGGTAGTCAATCACCGGTAGGAATAACTTTTGTAGAGTTCGGGTTATCGGTTGCACGGTGGCCTTTCGTCCGGGTAAGGGTTCTTTTTCCTAAACATGATGAATAAATTTAAATCCAGATGCGGACTGCGATGCTCTGAGGGATGGAGAAGGTCGAGATAAGAAGCAATGACCTCGTAATTGACTCGGAAAGGGCTGGCAAGGGTCAGTGGTATGGGTGAGCTTTGATGAGCCAGATGCCCACCAACAGCCATCGCCACGACCCAATGGCTAGGTCAGACAGACAACAGGGCCATGGAAAACACCCAATGCAAGAAGCGGAGGGATATCTCAGCGGCAAAGGTCGCTGACGGGCGAAGGGCAACAGCAAATAACAAGCCGGGGATTAGGCTTACATAACCGGGCTAGCGCATTTTCGACAACGGACGGGCAACCTCGTTTCTTCCACGGCCATCCGAACACCCAGCCCTCCCGCGCCAGCAAAGCCCCAGCAGCAGCAAGCTTCACGCACGCCAACCACACGACCCAAGCCAACAACAATGGGATTTGCCGACTTCTTCTCGGACCTGTACGCCAGCGTGGTGCCGCAGGACATGATGGCCGAGGCGCCGGCCGAGGCGACCAACGCGGACAGCTCGAGCGAGGACCAGGGCTCCGGCAAGAGCACCACGGCCCAGCAGTCGGGCTCGGCCGGCACGCGCGGCGGCGTCAGCTCCTCCGGCGTCCCCCACGCTGGCACTGATGAGGAGAGCGATGAGGAGGCCGAGATCAACAAGGCCGACGCCAAGGGCGGCGACGACGAGGGCGCGAAGGGCCACGTCGCCGGCAGCGGCGGCGATGATGAGGAGGAGGAAGATGAGGACGAGGATGAGCCCCAGGACATCCAGCCCAAGCTTGAGGAGGGTGAGTTTCATCCATCTTGATGACGTCGGATCTCAATTGGATTCGATTGCCCATTGGCACTTCTTCTCCATCTATCCATCTTTCCCCCCAGGCTGACGACATCTCCCCGTGCAGAGTGCGCCGAGTCCAAGCAGTGCGCCCCCGCCAAGCACCACTACGACGAGTGCGTCGAGCGCGTCACCAAGAAGCAGGAGGAGAACGACGGCAAGTCCGACGAGGACTGCGTCGAGGAGTGTAAGCCCGATCCCCACCCAAATCCCACCGCCATTGACCACCTCTGTCTGACACACGGCCTTCGCCAGTCTTCCACCTCGCCCACTGCGCCACCCAATGCGCCGCGCCCAAGCTCTTCGCCCAGCTCAAGTAAACGCCCGCGCAGCAGCGCCGCGCGTCCGCACGCACGCCTCACGGCTCGCCTGTCTGCCCTCCCTCGTTTCCCGAAAAGACACACCGCCACAGAGGGCAGGATCTCGTCTCGTTCGCTGGCGCTGCGGTGCCTGATTGATTTCATCTATCGCGGCCAGCGAGCGCCTGACTGTACTGTCCCCCGCCCAAAGCCCTCAGATAACGAGACAAGAGCCATGATAGCCGAGCCCTAGAGAAAGAGACCCAAGACTTCTCCAAATACCTTGTATAGCCACACATCTTCCCCCGTTTTTTTTCCGTCCCTCTCGAATCTTTATCACACACATACACGCCCTGCGTCATGTACTATGAATTGAAGTTCCCACTTTGCTGCCCGGCGCATCGTTGTCGTCAAAAGAGCTGTAGTCTAGCTGTTTCCATGTTGTGAATAGCACTATAGAGATGCGCGCTTTTGGCTTGTAGCTTTTCCTCGGACCCTTTGCGCGCGCGCGCGCGCGCGGCGGCGGCAGCGGCAGCAGCGCCACTGTTACCACACGAAGGCGCAGATCCTGCTACCGGGAACCGTTCGTTGACACCATCAAGCACGCGCACACACACACACATCACATAGCCCAGCAGCACGCAGCTCCGCCGTCCGCCCAAGCATGTATATGTACATGTACATGTACACATACACATGCACCCATATCTACAATCACCAACCCTAAACCAAACCGAACCAAACCCAACCAACCCAACCCAAACCAGAAAAACACCACCCACCCACCCCCATCCCTCCCCACCTACTCACCATGCATCCTAGCAATCCACGCCCGCATCTCCCCCACATCCACAGCCATCTCGCCGGCCCTATCTCCCCGCGCAGCAGCAGCATGAGCAGCATCAGCACGCGCATCCGCCCCCTCCTCTCCCACACCCCCCTCCTCAGCCCTCATCCTTCCCAGCGCGCCGGCGTGCCCCAACCCCAACCCCAGCCGCCGCACCCCCAGCAACAGCGGCGCAGGCAGCACGGCCACGGCCACGACTGCCTGGAACACCAGCGCCTTCCACATGCTGCCGGGGGGGCTCCAGCCGGGACCGGTGCCTTTGCCATCATCCTCACTCCCACCCCCCGGTTCTTTCAACGCGTTCATGATGATAATAAAAACAGCACCAAACAGCTGCCCCGCAGCCCAGCACGCCGTGCTCCCCACCTCAGGCCCAAGCGGCCACCCCACCTCGACCAAAAACTCCAGCGCAACGGGCACGAGCGCGAAGCTGGCCGCGCCCAGGATAGCAAGGATCGCGTACGGCGCGGCCGTGTCGCGCGTGTTGGGCGCGAACACGAAGGCCACGTACATGGCCGCGACGAGGGGGCACAGCGTTTTTATCGCGAGCAGGTACGGCTTCGGGTGGAAGCGGTCGAGGAGGGGGGAACTGAGGGCGGCGGCGCCGAGCCCGACGAAGATGAGCAGCGCCCCGGCTATTCCTGCGTCGGAGGAGGTGAAGGCGTAGGGGGACAGGATTTGGTTCAGTAGGGTGGAGGTCGCGTTGAAGGTGCCGACGTAGATGCCGAAGGGGAGGAGGATCAGCCAGAACGAGGGGTTGTGCGCGAGGGTGAGGAGGGTGCGGAGGAGGGGGGGGGGGGGGGGGGGGGGGGGGGGGGGGGGGGGGGGGGGGGGGGGGGGGGTGGTTGTGCTTGTGGTTGTGCTTGTGGTTGTGCTTGTGGTTGTGCTTGTGGTTGCTGAGGGGGGTGTGGGGGGCGCGGAGGGGATGAAGAGGGAGGGGAGCGTCGCGATTGTGGACTGTGTTTGTGAGTGGTGGTTAGTGCCTGTGTGTGTTGGGGTGGCTAGGGTTAGAGGAAGGGGGCACGCACGATGATGGCCGTGTAGAGCACCATATCGGGGACCTCGCTCGGCCTCGTCGCCCAAATCGGGCCAATCAACTGGCCCAACTGTACGCTCACAGCACTGCATCAGCCCAAGCCGTCACTCTCTCACACGCCTCCAAACACACACGCAAGGGTAAGCACTTACCGCGCCACCAAGCGGGTTAGCCAGACTCGCCACCGCCGTCGCCGAAATGCGCCCCCGCTCCGAGAACCACAAGTCGGAGTAGCGGGTCGGGGCCGCGAGGACGAACGGCTGCGCCAGCCCCACCAGCACCTGCCCGGCCATGACGGCGCCGAAGTGGCCGCCCGTGGCGCGCGCGCCCGCGTACCGCACCCAGTTGCCGCCGAGGATGAGGGCGCTCGCGGCCAGGATGCCGCGTTTGGGGCCGTGGTGCAGCGTCGGGATCACGATGCTGTGGCGGGTGGGGTGAGTGTGATGCACGGATTGAAAAACAGATATATGTTGAGAGAGAGAGAGGAAGGGGGAGGGGATAGGTATAGCGAGAGAGACGTACGGACAAGCAGCGACAAACGCAAACAGAAACGCCGTGCTGAGCCAGTTGATCGCGCCCTCGGAAACGCGAAAATACGCCGCCGCGTCCGTCGAGACGGCCGAAAAGGTAAGCCACTATAAGGCGAGCGTCAGTGACTGCTTGCGTGTATATGTATATATATATATAAATATCCAGCAATTAGGTAGGTAGCATCCATATTATAGGTAGGTAGGCAGGCAATTACTCACGTCCCAGCTGACAATAATGTTCAGCAGCACGAGCTGCAGGAGCCCGATCCACCGCCGCTTGTACACCCTGTAGCGGGCATGGTGGTGAGAACGGCGGTCGTGATCGCCGTCGAGGTGCGTGTTGGTGTTGGTGTTGGTGCTGGTGTCGTTGCTAGGCTGAATCTGATCGCAACGGCGCGACGGCGGGTCGGCTCGCTCCAGGTCGTCGGCGGACGTCTTCTCCTCTTGCTCGCGCGCCATCAGCGCAGCGTCCACGGGCAGTGCAGCGTCTATGGCTTGGGCTTGCAACGCAACGCAGCGCGCCGCGGCGCCCTGCCTGTCTTTTTGTAGTCACATACATACGCGATACGTATCGTATCATGCGGACGGACGGGGCCGATCGTTGCACGGTGGGGAAGGCTCGCCTATGCAGCTGCCAGGGAGCCAGGGAGCTGCAGCAGGATAAACTGGGTGACATTGACTCTTTGCGCGCGCTGATTCGTCCGCCCTGCCGCCCCGCCAGGTAGTTAGGTAGCAAAACAGCCGAGCCAGGCGCAGCGCGAGGCGGCCAGCTGCTGCCTGACGAGTTGTGGGCTCTAGATTCTAAAATGTGCGTGTGTAGGCCGTAGTGGCCTAATCAGTGTCTTGCTGTGCCGGCCTATGCCCTGTGTATGTAGGAAAGAAAAGCAAAAGTGAGAAGTACGATTAAGTCGTTCTAATGCTTATGCTTATGCTTACCTTTGGCTTACGCTTATGGGCGGCGCGGCCCGCGCACGCGGTTTTACTGGCAAGTGGCGCGGGTTCCTACATATGCTTATGGTTATCGTCATGGTTATAGTTATGGTTAGGCTTGGGCGTTTTGCTTGCGTGCTGCGCTTGCTTTGTGCCTGGTTTGTGGGTTGTTTCCATCGAGTGGCGTTCGCGCTTCCACCAACGGTCCGCTACCCGGACCTCCAGGTCCAAGCCTCGGCACGTATTCATACAGAACACCGCATCGCAGACGCGCCTAGGTAGAGCATTGTAAACATACATCCCAACTTGCACTGAGCCCAAAAACGTCCCTATGCACAGCTTGCACCTGTAAATAAGAATGTCGTGATATGCTTTTGTGGCTGATATACAAGGCCCGTCGTGGGGTATATCATATACAAGAATCCTTTTCCGTCTCTTTGATAGTAGGTACGGTATTAACCAGCCCATGCGACCGCAGACTGCGCGCTTTAACGCCCAGAAACTCTCGTCCACAAGCTCTCGGCCACAAGCCCTCGGTCATCGACTCACACAACACCAGAAATCGACTCCATGCCCGCCTCGCGCAGAACCGCCCAGCGCAGCCCATCAATGCCAATCTTGGGCGTCTTCTTCGGCGCCAGACTCTTCTCCGAGCTCACGGCCAACACCTCCAACAGGCCCGGCTGGCCGCTGCCGGCGCCGCGCCTTGCACGCTCCTTGCCCTCTTTGCCCTCGTCAGCCCCCGGGGAACGGTGTCCATGCGCGCCAGTACGCAGGGTCTGGATAGTGCGCTCCTCGGCATCGCGCAGCAGCAGGCAGCCCCGCGCCAGGGCGGAAGCCGAAAGCTTCGCGCGGGGCCAGAGCAGCTTGTCGGCCTTGCAGAGGACGACCTGGTGGGGGACGCCGTTCTGAGCGAGCAGTTGGAGGATCTGGTTGTCAGAGTCCTTGCAGCCATGCTCAGCGTCGACGAGGACGTACGCGCGGCGCAGCTGCCGCCTTCCCGTCAAGTACTTCATGATTTCTGTGCCCCAGGCGTCGCGGCTGCCGTACCCATATCCCGGCATATCGACAACAACGAGCTGGTTATGGCCGGGGGCAATCCAGCGGCGCGCATGCGCCTCGCGCGTCTTCTTGCCGTGCGCGTCGACGATGTCGCCGTCGGCGTTGCGGAGGGCGGTTTTCACGCCGCCGGCCTCGTCGCCCCCTAGCCGCACGGCGAAGCAGTTCATCGTCTTGGTGCGCCCGGGCTTGCTGCTGACTTTGGCCGTGTTGCTGTGCCGTTCGGCGCCGCTCACGGCCCGCTTCCCCAGCAGCGCGTTCAGCAGCGAACTCTTGCCCACGTTGCTGCGCCCCAGGAACGCCACTTCTGGCGTCGACGACTCGGCGGGGAAGTGCCGGAACTCGCTGCATGAGAACAGGAAGTGCGGTTTTGCTTTCGCGAAGAAGGTCGCGGCGTATGCGAGCTGTGCGTCCGTGGGCGGCAGCGTGTCGACGTGGTAGTGCGGCTCGTTGAGGCGCGGGAAGACGGCTTGCTGCTGCTTAGAGGCCTTGGGGTCGAGGCTCGCGGCAAGGTCCTCCTGGGGGCGGTGGGCTTTGTCGTTGCCTTCGTCGCCGAAGGGAGTCGGGCTGCTTTGCCTTGCGTATCCAGCGCGCTGCGGCCTGCGGAGCGCAGCCAATCCGCCTGGGCGCAGCAAAAGCCGCCTAGCGCCGGTCAGCCCTCTGAAGGGGGCAGCCATGGGTGTGTCGTGGGCGGCGGCGAAATACTCTCCTCCATTGAGACGGTGTTGTTGCGCGGGCAGGAAAAGTACTTCTCGGAGGTGAGGCGGGTTCGCCGCAGCAAGCTCGCGCGCAAAACCACCATCATCTGTGCCTCAGCACCACCACCATCACCACCACAACCACAAATAACGACGACAATAACGACAATGGCCACCGCCTCCCCCACCGCCGTCCGATCCATCTACCGCCGCCTCCTCCGAGAGCTCCCAACGCGGACCCCGCGCCCCGGCTCACACGTCCTCTCCAACCCATCCCCACTGCAGCGGCACATCCGCACGACGCTGGGCGCCAGCGCAACTCGCACCCCCTCCGTCGACGAGGCCGAGCAGTTCGTCCAGTACGTCCGCGCCCAGCGCATGTACGTCACCCTCGTCGAGCGCTACAACCCGGGCATGAACCTCACCGAGGAAGAGCGCATCCGGCTGACGGCGCGGCGCGTGGGCATGGATTTGCCGGTTGAGGAGGAGAAGTAGGCGCGAGTGCGAGCTAGCGGAGGAGGAAGGAGGGGGAGGGGGGAGGAGATTTGTTTGGAGATGGGGGTGCAGGGCGTTGTGTTGTCGGGTGTTATGCCGTCTGTTGCGGTTGGACTGTTCCAATGGGTAGAGGGGGCAGATGCACAGACGACCGGGACGAAAGACGGATACGTACGAATCAATTGCACGACTACCTAGAGACGGAACCCACCTACCGGCCCAGCTCCTTCGACGCGCCCTCTCAGCACACTAAGTACCTAAACCGCAGCCCACCAGCGCACAACGGAAGAGCGGCTTCAGCGCCCAGGCACACAGCGTCCTCCATCCACAGCCCTTAGATCAAGTACACTTTCGCAGACCATTCAAAGCACAGGATTGGATTATGGCGCATCGATGGCTGTACTGTACATATATATACCAAAGCACATGTACATATACCAAAAACAACCGAAAACATCCAAACATACGCAGTCACCCACGTATACTCATACAATGGGGCATGCAACCCAATCCTCGCACACTGTATACACCACCCTCCTCTCCCAACACCCTCAACGCCCAAAAATATCCCAGACACAGAGAGTACCAGACCCAGGTGACAGTTAGCGTAAGCACCACCGTCCACGCTCCCTCCCTCCCTCGCCGAACTGCGCAAAGCCAAGCCTACGCAGACAGACACAACCCCAACTCGCCAAACCCCAAGACCAGACCAGACCTACCTAGCTACGCCACAGAGCAGCACTCCTACTGCACTCAGCCCCACCCCAGAGCCGCCGTGTGCAGGATCCGATTGATAATTGTTTGAGTGGAGAGCAGGACCAGGGCTCGGTGAGGCTGCGTTTGCGCTGTGCGCGCTTGCTTGCATGTATGGGTACGGACCACTAGGGTGATGGGCGGATGTGTAGGCTGTGGTGGTGTTCAACAGCATGCCGTACTCATGTCTGCCGCTATCGTTGTCTGATGCTGTTCATCAACTGCCCCTTTAACTCGGATCCCCAGCACTGGATTGGGACGCTGGCGGATCTGTTTGGGGCGGTGGTTGTGTTCTGCGTTCGCGCGTGGGGAGTGGCACCCGGCTACGGGATGAGAATCTCGAACTCTTCGACTATCCACTGAAATGCTGGATACTGTGGTGGTGTTTGGTGCTAGTGCTTGGTGGGGTGGAGCGTCCTTATAAGTAACCTACCTACCTAGTAACGAAGCGTACGGGTTCAGCGCCTATATATATTATAATTCTTTAAGACGTATAAGAGAATGAGAACATGTGTACATGTGAGTATATATGTTTGTGCTCCTTTTGGAAGCTGGGTTTATTAAGAGATACATGTACGCACGCTCACTCCCTCACGCACTGCTCCTATAACAGCACAAGCACATCCATGCACAACACTAATTAGCAACTAACGTATACTACCTTATACTAACCTATATATACTATAGCCCTACCGCAAACCAACACCATACAAGCACTACATACATAAACCACCAAGAAGCATGTCCATGTCCAGTATCCACCCTAAAAGACGCGCTCTTCCACACACACACACACACACACAAGAGCAAACGCACGTATTAAACAATCACACCACAAAGAAGCCGAAAGGTAGAGCCAGAGCCAGAGCCAGTTATAGTCAGGGCCACAGTCAGGTCAGGTCAGGGCCAGGTTAGGATAGGATTAAAGACAATTAGGAGAAGAAGAAGAAGAAGAAGAAGAAGAAGAACTGCAACAGCAGCAGCAACATGAAGAGAGAGATACAGAGATAGAGATAGAGATAGAGATAGAAGTAGAGATAGATATAGAAACAGATATAGACATAGACACACACCCCTCCCCCTATACCCCCAACCTAACCGGCCAACACTCCAAAACCAGAAGAACCAGAGCCAGAGCCAGAACCACCTAGGCAAGCCAAAAGAACCGCAAACCAAACCAAACCAAACCAAACCAAACCAACCCGCAACACAACGGCAGCCACCGCGCACTTAACGAACTTCGAACGAGTGAGTGAGTAAGTAAACGAGGAGAACAAGAAGGAGAAAGAGAAAGAGAAAGAGAAATAGACAAGTAAACAAGCACACAAGTATATATATGCAAAGCCACGCCACACCGCACCTAGCCGTGTCAAACACAGCATGGCACACTCCCTCCCTCCCTCACTCACTACCTTACTCACCCACTCACCCACTCACCACAACCCCCACCATCAAACCAAATCACAATCAAACCAAAACCAAAGTGTAAACACAACACCAAAACACCTCTTTTATTTTAAAACACCCAAGAAAACGACAAGAAAAAGAAATGAAAAAACAGGCAAGAAACCTCAACCCCAGCCTTTTTTCCACAGCAGCCCTAGCCCAAGACCAGACCCCACGGGCGTAGCAATCAATCACTACCCCGCCGCCCCCCAGGGCTATCAAACGTATGTATACATGCATGTATGTAAGTAAGTAAGCAAAGCAAAGCAAAGCAAAGTACTTGCAGTTCCGCACCAGGCCATGTACGTCAGTGATAAAGCCATCCGGCTTTTCGGCTTTCCTATCAAACTGTCCTATCCCCGACCCTCCACGCACATACACATACCAGCACTTCCAACGACTCAACTCAGCCTAGCCCAGCCCAGCTCAGCTCAGCAGCCAAGCCAAGCCAAGCCAAACCAGCAGCCGCCTAAGCGCCACCAGTAAAGAGGGCCTTGACGAGGGATCCCACGTCGCCCGCATCATCAGGGTAGACGTAAAAGGCCAGAGCAATGATAATGTACGAGCCCAGACACATGGCGCCCTCGAGGTAGTTGCTCTTGCCGTCCTGGATCAGGTAGTTGACAACCAGCACGCTGAGGAAGAAGACGACCGTCTCGAACGTCTGGAAGTGCAGCGTCATGGGCTGGCCCATCATCCAGCCCAGCAGCACCAGCGCCGGCGTCACAAACAGCGCTATCTGCATCGAGCTGCCAATCGCCACGTTGATCGCCAGGTCCATCTTGTTCTTGTACGCAACCATGACCGCCGTCACGTGCTCGGCCGCGTTGCCCACAATCGGGAGCAGCACCAGACCGATGAACGTCTTGCTGATGTGCGCCGTCTGCACAATGTCGTCAATGCTGCCGACCAGGTACTCGGCGCAGACCGCGACTAGCACCGTCACGACGACGAGCGCGACCGACGCGGCCACGGGGCCCAGAATCTTCCCCTCGGTCTGCTCCTCGGCCTCGCCCTCCTGCGCCTCGACTTCGTCGAAGAGGTGGGCGTGCGATTTCAGCTGGAAGTACAGATACATGATGTAGAGGATCAGCAGGATGATGGCCGTGCCATGCGAGAGGATCAGAATGTGCTCGTCGGTGTCGGTGCTCGACTTGCGCAGAACCGAGTAAAGCGTAGCGGGGATGATCAGCGAGGCGCACGAGACAGCCATCAGAGAGGACATGGTGCTAGCGACGGTCTCGTTGAAGTGCGACTCGGATCTCTTGAGACCGCTGGCAACGAAGCAGCAGCCAAGAACCTAGGAGATGTCAGTGCTGGATGCGCGAACACGTCCAGGGGGGCATTGACGTACGAGCAGAATGTTGGAGAGGATGCTGCCCAGCATGCTGGACTGGACAATGCGAATCTCGCCATTTCTCAATGCGACGATAGAGACCTGCGCGGAGTCGCAATCAGTAAAGCACTTGCACAAGGCTCTAAGCGCAGCGCAAACTCACAATCAATTCGACAGCATTTCCAAAGGTCGCGTTCATCAAACCACCGACGGTCTGACCAAGCTTGGCCGAAAGCTCCTCGGTCGCGAAACTCAGCAGGGCCGCGAGCGGGATAATAGCAATGAAGTTCTAAACGCCAGTCAGCAATTGGTCGGCCATGTGTAGGAAAAATATCCCAAAGCGTACCAGGATAAAGACGGGCGTGGGGCTCCAGTTCAGAGCGCCGGCGATTATTCCCAGAGGCACAAAGACCAGCAGCACATTGACGTAGTTGCTCGACAGCGTCATCCACGTCGTGTAGGCGACGTGCGCCGGGAAGCGAACCCACCATCTGTCGTCATCCTCACACCAGACCTTGGGGTGGTGGTGGAGGTGAAGGTGGTCGCTGGCCAGGCGCTGGAGCAGCGGCGTCGACTCGTGGTGGCCGCCGTTCTGTGCAGCAGGCATGATTTCGGAAATGCGCGTGCGCCAGCTTTCGCGACGATGGAAACGTTGTAGGGCGCCCTTGGAGGGAAGTAGGTGGTGATGGCCTGTTGCAGGGTGCCAAGGCTCGGGTTAGCTGCAGCTGAATTGAAAGCTGTGTGGCTTGGACAATCCCCCTGCTTGCAGTTTCTTAAAGGAAGATGGCGGATGATGGGAGGTTGTTGGAGCGCAGGAAATTGCAAGCACCTGACAGGGAAATGGGCGTTGCCAAGGTCATGCTAGGAAGCTTGGTGGATGGCCCTTTGATACAAAAGGCTGACTGTTACGTACCCATGTCTGCGGTCTGTCGTCGAATCCGGAGATGGAGGGATGATTGAGCTTCCAAGGGCCTTTAGCTTCCGAAACTAGCAACCGGGGGCGTCAATTCTCTCTCTCCGAAATGACAAGACTTCAGGCTGTGTTGCACCAAAGTGAGGGGAAAGACGAGTGTTGACAGGACTTCCGTTCCGCACGCGTCGTTCGATACCTATGCGACTGCCGCTGGTGCTGTGCTGGTCAAGCGTGCAAGGGTAGCTCTTCCTCGAACCAATCGAATGACGCAAAACAAGTGGCACAGTGGCAGTGCTCTTGGCGCAGATCGACCGTCGATCAACGAGCGAAATCGCGCGTCTCGGAGCGAGTTTCAGCGCATAACTACTGGGCTATGCTATCAAATACATCCAATCACTATGTATCACAGGTTACCTACCTTCCTCGCATCAGCCATGATTCAAACATCATCGTGTGTCCATGTACAACACACGCGCTCGACTCGTATGCATGGAGTCGCACCCACAATTCAACCCACACTAAAGGCCAGATTCGTGTGCATTCAACTACTAACTGAATGGAAAAAAAAAGAGAAGCCAACTTGTACTAGCATAGCAACCAAAAAAACCATCCAATGCTCATCCAAGCAAGCCTATCCAAGAAGAATATCTTCTCCCCACCGGGAAGCTAACCATCATCTAACCGAAAATGTCCATGCCCACCCCTCACAGGTAGAACATCGTGTCCTTCAGCCTGTCATGCACACCACCACTCCAGTGCATCCCGCGCTCGTACTTGGCCCCACCGCCGCCTTGCTCCTTCAAGAACGTGTGAAGGTAGCTGCGTCCACGCTCGCACACCAAGTCAGCGTAGTAAGCGGGCGGACAAACGCTAACGGCCCGCGTTGCGCGACCATAGACATAACACAAATTATGCGTTATACGCTGGAGCTGGTCAGAGCCGAGGTTGTTCTCGTCCTTGAGGCAGATATAGTGCGCCGGCTTGCTCGTGCCCTGCAGGCCCGCGTGCGCGACCAAGAAGAAGTCGAACAGGCGCTCGCCCGTGATGCCGCGGTCGACGACGGTGCCGGGCCGCACGTTCATGCCGCGGCCTTCCGAGTCCTCGGCCTTTGTGGGGTAGAACCGCGTGTGCCCGCGCTTTGTGCAAATAATGAGTGAGCTCTTCGGCCAGTTCTTCTCGGGGCCGTAGACCTCCTTGTAGGCGGCCGGGAACGAGGGCCACTCCTCGCGCAGCACGACCGGGAACTGTCCCTCCGAGACACCGTCTCGGTAAATAATGACTTTGTTTGGCAGTTGGTTGCCGTTACGCGCGCGCCAGAGCTTCAACCGCTCGACGATCATTTGCTTCAAGTCATCCTCATCAACCATCTCTTTGCGGCCCTGCTGCGTGCGGATCGAACCGGGGTAGTTGTTGAATTGCGCGTCTACGGAGCCGACGACGCCAGTAATTGAGGGCGCCGTGTCCGCAGAACCTGGCATGGGGTGTGAAACATCGATGCCGATCAAAATCGTCTTGTTGTCCAGGGGTGCGAGCTGCTGAATCTTCATGTCGTGGTTTACACCACCGCCCTTCAGATTGAACTTCAAGCCTACGTTCGCCATGTACTGAGCTTGACCACGGGCGTTGAGAATCTTCTTGCTGATGCTGCAGACCGTGGCGATACCGAAACGAACGTCACCTTGGTACTTGATGATATCATACAAGGCCGTGTTGTCAGACGGCAGCAGAACCAACAGCATTGCAATACCATACTGCGCCATCTGCTTGAACTTGGTCGAGACCAAGTCGGTGATCTCGCCAGAGTTGTAAGGCCAGGAGATCTGGATCTTGGCCGGAGCTTGTGGCTGACCCATGACCATGCCATACGACTTAAGCGCATCGTGGAAAGATTGAAGGAGCGACATAGCATCTTCCTGCCTCTGGAAAGTAGCGCGGTTGCGCTCCTCGATGACAAGACAACCCCAGCTCTTGATGGTCGCCGGCTTAGTATACTTGACGCGAGCCAAATTCCACTTTCCATTCTCCGGCTGCTGCTCCTTGCCCTGGTACTGCAGTTTAGGAACAGGCAGAATGCGGGCCATGACAGTCAACATGTTTGTGCCAACATTGATGCCAAAAGCAGACAGAGCCGGGTTTTTCTGGACCTGCATGACGTCAAGGCCCTGCCTGGTGATGCTGTTTGCATTCTGGTTAGGAGGCCTGGCCGCGAACTCGATCATCAGACGAGTCTGGTTCGCGCTGAGCATACGACCAGCGACTTGGCCGGGCAGCACAGTGCAAAGCTCAGGAGGGATATACGTCGGGTTGTCCTTGGTGCCGACGTTGACCACAGGCGCTCCAGGGGTCGTAAGAGTGATCTGGTGCTCCCTCGCAAAGTAATCGGCCACAGTGATCAAGGTGACCTTACCGGCACTGTCCGTGTGGGAGAATTTGACCTGCAGAGCATTGGCACCATGAGGCCAAGTTCCGTTTGCGTTGTTGTTCGCTCTGGCAAGACCGAACAGAGTCTTGACCTTGCGAACCCTCTTGCCGTTAGGGTTGCCCGCCTTATCCCTCGAGCGGATGTAGGCAGTTTCTACTCGAAGGAGTCTAAGGAAGCCCTCAAGCTTGAGAAGATGGCTAGGAGACCTGTTCTGTCCCAAGTAATCCATCATGAGGGAAAGAAGCTGACCAGGCTTATAGAACGCAGCAGTGGAAACGTTAATGTTGACCAAAATACGGCTAACACTCGTGCGAGCGCTAGCAAAGTAACCACGCATGGCCTGGAGGCCTTCAGAGAGATCCCAGCCCTCGGTAAGCCTGTGGCCACCGACAGGGTAGAACTTGTTCTGGCCTGCAACGACAACACCTTGGGTGGTGTGAGGACCACGGGAAAGAATGACATTGAGAGCCTGAATGGCCTCCTCCTTAAGCGGATAATAGGCCCCAGCGCCCGTGGCGGTGAGCGACTTCATCAGTTCCCCAAGGGAAACAGTGCCCAGTTGCTCGACGTTCACCTGCTTGGTGTTGCGCTTCCGGGCAGTCTCACGCGCTTCAGTGTCGTCAGGGCCAGGAGGGGGGATGGGCTCTCCGTCCGGTGGGTACCACTGGATATCGAAGGAACGACGGTTGACTGTGCCTTCACTCAGCGGGACTTTCTTGTTCGTAACAATGACCTGGGAATAATCCGTCGCGCAAAGAATGCCATTGAAGACAGGGTCACTAAGAAGAATCTCAATGAACCTTCTCTTCTTGCGCTTCGAAGTCTCTTCCGGCTGGATTGACACCGCATAACGATAAATGTCGGGAGTCTTTCCACCCACAGTCAGAGGGAAGTAATTAGTCCAGACAATGGTCGGGCGACCAAGGGTGCCATAGTCAGGGCGACGAGCCGGTCTCTCGTCGAGGCTTGTAGACGCAAGCATGGCAGACGGGTCCTTGGCAACCGCGTTTTCCACCTGAACGATAGCAGCATCCGGAGCGGGGACGTTCTGCTGGTTGAAGATACCAGCAGGTGCTTGCTGGGGTCGGGCACCATAGCCTCCTCCACCACGAGACGGAGAACCGCCACGGGAGGAGGAACCTCTGGAACCACTGCCAGAGCCAGGGCCACGGCCTCTAAACGAACCGCGGCCGGAGCTGCTGTCTCCTCCACTACTGCCACCACCTCGACCTCCGCGGAACCCGCCACCACCACCGCGACCACGAGGTGCAGACATGTTGTGGTAGTAATATGTTGTGAGTAAGGATAAGCTTGCGTCTGGCGTTTGTTGGTGTAGTGAAGGCAATCGATGTGAAATGAAGCTTATGATGGAGTTAGCTGCAAGCTTCCACGTATAAAGAGGTACTTGAAAGAGATTGTGGACAGTGACAATGACAAAGGAGGGTAGATGGGTGAATCTGATATAGCCAATGACGTACCGTTTGTTCAATCCAAAACTTCAAACTCGAGTCTCACAAGGTCAAACGTGTGTCAAACGGCGACCTAAACAAACAATCAGCCCCATTGTCAACCGATCTTCACATCTGCAAGCCATTGGCCGCAGACAAACACCTACCAAAGAGATGTGGCTGTCGAAGACAGATCCAAGCTCCTCAACTAAGAGGTAGCAATATGAGCGGCAGGAACAGCAGGCACGAGACCCGTCTTCCACGCCTGGGGCGATTCTTGGTAAATCAAGAAGATACGATAAAAAAACGACACTCGCAAAGAGTATCTGTAGTCCGCGACGGTTTGAAGTGGTTTCCAAAATATTCCTCCTCTCTCTTCCCGCGTTCTCTCTCTCTCGCCACAAGCGACAGGGGTTCACCCGCAGCAGCAAGCCAGCCGACCGGCGCAGGGGTACGTATGTAGTATAGACAGTTCAAGTAGCGACGAACAGCGAAACGCTTGGCGGCAATCGAGGCGTCGACGAACTTGCGAGCACGACGGTTGTGCCCGTTAGATATTGACAACTGACGCCAGAGCGACGTGTGGGGCGGCCCAAATTCGGCCGGCTCAAGGAACGCGCTTTCCTAAACGCACCATCAGCTGACTTCGCGTGCGAAAAAAAGAGAAAAAGCAACGACGTTTGGTCCCGCTTCTCCACTGCCGAGTACTCTAGTTACTACAGTCCCCGCCCGTCGTGTTGTTGTGGATGCGTAGTTAGGGGGCCGTTGACCGCCGTTTGTCGCGCCTCTCTCTGCCCTCCCCCGACGCCTGCGTGTCCCGCTGTGTGCCCTTTATGCCGCCTCCGGCTGCTGCTGGCTGCCCAGCGAAGCTTCTCAAATGTTCGATGACGTTGCCGCCAGGATCGAGCAGATGCTTGCAGCCTCAACGCAAGGAGGCATGGTCGGCCCTGCCCGCACGCCCGCACGCACGCACGCCGCACTGGAGCAGAGCAGACGGAGGAGAAAAGAGCGAGTCTGCTTTGTTTGTTTGCCTTCCCTCCCTTCTAGCCATGTACACTCCCTGCTACCTATCATATTTGCAACCTTTGACCCATCATCGCATGCCGCATGTACATAGTTCGGACGGGGAAGCCCGACGCGCCAAAAGCAATCAGCAGGGCAGGCGAGCAAGCGACCGACGGCCCGCTACCACCCGCTGCGCAAGCTGGCCGGGAAAAAAAAGCAACAATGAAAAAGAAAAGAAAGACTGAGGGTGCGCCAGCAATAGCATAATGCCGCTCCCCTGCTCACTTCTTTCTTCACGCGCCGCCCAGCGCCGCCGCATACGCCAGATACCACGTCCTGCTGGCGCCGCCGTCCAACAGGCCCATATCGAAGCCTGGATTGGCGAAGAAGTCGTACGACGCCCGCGGGTCGATGAGGGCCAGGTTGGCGTACAGGATGCCGCGCCACCCGCCCTCGGCCTCGTTGATCCGCCCGTTGCTCATGTACGTGTTGAACTCCTCGCGCACGAAGTTGGGCGTCCGGATCAGCGTCGACGGGACGTGGACCGGGATCATGTGGATGCTGTTTCCGGCAGGGTGCGTCAGTCAGACTCGATCAATTGGGCTGCCGCTCCTCTGTCGTGTGCTGAAACAGGATGCTGCAGCGCCTCGGGGTTGGGTGTGTATGTGAGGGTGGGCTTACCCTTCTTTGCACCACCATGCGGCGGAAAAGTACGTCGCCCAGTCGACCTTGTTTTCGAACAGAATGCCCGTGACCTTGTTGTTGATAATCTCGGCCGGCTGGTTGCGGTTGTTGCTCTCCATCAGGAAATAATTCTGGAAGCTGCGCGCCTGCAGCGCCAGCATGAGGTTGCCTTTTGCCCATTCATGTTAGCGCGCTTGTTGTAGGTGGTTCGCCGGTGAGAGCATGCAGCTCCGCGCTTACCTCGGGCCTCCATGTTTGCATCTCCAATCACGCGGCCCCACATCTTCATGCCGTACGTCGCGAATGCGTCCTGCGCCTGTTGAGCAAGTCTTCTCACATAAATCATTCGATGCCGCGCATACCTCAGACGTCGATTCTTGATCCTTTCCATCTGCCGAGGCGAAAAGGCCCTTTGCCCAACTGTGCCCGCTATTTACTGTCAGTACCCATGCTGCACACTGATGCCAGGCCACCAGGCCGTCACTTACTGGAACCAATCGAACGCACGACTAGACGGCCGGTCAGCGATGCTCACGAAGATGCAGAATTGCGCCTGTGCCTCACCTGAAAGGGAAGTCACCTCCTTGAATTGGGTTCGCAAAGTCCTTCACAAGCATGTTCACCCATGCCTTGTTGGTCGTGTTCAGCCAAGAGGGGTCAAGATACCCAATGACAGCCGCCGTATACACACTACCAAAGCGTCAGCTTTGTCATACCACAGACTGTACCTGTACTCCCGTGTCCTTTTTTCCTCATCTCCACATCAGAAAATAACTATACTTACAAGTATCCATAGTGGAAATGGTGGTCGTTGTAGTACGCATTTCCAAAATCCGCATTGGCATCCTGATAGCCAGCGCTACTCACGACACCACCCCAAGTGCTGTCATACACCAGAGGGTAAATCTGGCGGTTATTAACAAAGACGGCAAACGCTTTCTTCAGCTTATCCAGTCCCGGCCTCGCCACGCTCTGGTTCTTCGCCAAGTCATTGGCAGCATAGACAATGGATGCAAACTTAGCCAGGCCCTTGCCGCTGAAGTACATGCTATTGAGGTTCGTCTGGCCGTCGATATCCTGGCGCAGCTCGCTCTCCGCCGCACTGCTAACCGCGCGCGTTGCCGTGCTCGACAGCGTAGTAATGGCGCCGCGCGACGGCGTCCATGGCGCGAAGCCCATGCTCGTGGGCAGGTTCGACTCGACCATGGTCCAGAAGTCGCTGCGCACCGCGGTCGCGAGCCCCTTGGTCGTCGTGTACAGCTGCACGTTGCTACGGCCCGGCGCCGTGTGGCTGTCGAAGCTCTGCACATGGTGCGGCAGCGCCCACATCAGCAGCGTCTTGCTAGTCAGGCCGGCCTTGCCAAACTGCAGCGAGTAGGAGCCCGTGCCGCCGCTGACTGAGCCCGTGATGATTGCTGCGACAGGGTAGGCGCCCGCGCTCGTGTCGAAGATGGACTCGCCTGCGTTGCCGGCCGGGTTCTTCGCCACCATGATCGTACCCCGCCAGTTCGGCGGCCCGCGCAGCGTCGTGTTGCTCGTCATGTTCAGAGCCGGTGCCGCGTACCCGGCGTCGGGCGTCGCGTACACGAGCCAAGACTTGCCGTCCTCCAGCGTCACCTGCCACTTGGAGGTCGAGCCCACAGCGATGGGGCCTCTGACCGTACGGAAGAAGACGCTGGTCTGGACGAGAGGCGTCGCGCCCTTGTAGACGCCGGTCACGAAGCCCATGCCCTGAACGAGCGGGAATGTGACGATTGGGCTGGCGCCCGCTGTCGGCGCGAGGTTCATGTTCGCCGAGAATGTCTGCAACGAGTCGACCGTCATGCTAGTGGAGTTGCTCAGTTCGGCCGCCGACAGGAGCATCGACTGGATGCCAATTGGGTTGATGTAATACTGGCGGCTGCCGTGGCCCGTGTCTGGGCCGAGAGCCAGCATGTCGCGGTCGATGTGCGAGATGGCAAGGCCCCAGCTCCGGGCATTTCCGCGGCCCTGGCTCCAGGAGATGCTGTACGGGTGTGTCCAGACGCCGTCGGCGCGCGAGCCGAGGAACAGGTTGGCATAGAACTTGTTGGTCTGTATCACCCTGCTCGAGTCCAGAATGCCGATCCGCGCCTGCGGGTGGTTGTCACGGCGCGGGATCTGCGACGGCACTGCGTCGCCAGAGATGCTCTGGAAGATGTTTGCGGAGGGGACCATTGCGTACATGGTTTGGCTCTGGGATTGGGCGGTGCTAGAAGGAGGATGACTCGAAGAAGGTGGGTAAGATGATGATGCAAAAGATATGCGAATGGATGATTGGCTTCCGGTGGAAGAAGTCGTCGGGATTGATGTAGGGAAAGGAGTAACCGTAGGAGGTCCCTGCGGCTGGAGAGAAGTATTTATGGTTACTGTGAACCTAGGAAGAGCACTTGTGGAAGGTATGGATTGCAGTGTCGACGGAATAGGTAATTGTGGGCTCGACAAGCTTGAAATTCGCTGTAGGCTGTAGGGCGAAAAGGTGATCTGTGATGGAGTAAACGTCGATAAAGGTTCTGTGTACGCAATGGTGTATGGAAGAATAGCAGTGGTCGAAGGAAGGGAAGCAGTAGGGGCAGACGGATACAACGACAAGGGTCTAGTGTACCACACGGTCGTCGTTGCCGTCCCGTCCGTCCAAACAGTGACAACGCCAACGGCTCGGTCCCACCTTGCGAAGGTATGTACACTGAGCGACGAAGACGGCTGCTGATCTGGAAGAACCAGCGGATGTGCTTGGGAAAGCGGAGTTACCTGCAAGAGAGTTAGAACCGCACCGAAGAATAAAATGTGCAAGAGCGAGAACGCCGAAGACGATGCCATGCTGGGGAAAAAGAGAGAGCAAGAAAAGAAGAACGAGAAGTCAACGCAAGCTATGCGGAGAGAACTGAGGTACGATCTAATCCCAACTCTTTCGTGATATATGCTATGCTCGCTGAGAAATGCAGTGACTGTAGAAAACGCCTTTGATGATGCCAAGCACGAAGCAAAAACAAGCCGAGACGGATGGTAAACGCAAAGCAATATTATGCCCAGTCTTTTATATACTTCTCTTTTCGAGTGTGCGAGGAGGGATGTAGATAGGTATGGAGGGAGAGGTAACGAGGTAACGTGCAGAGCAAAATGAAGATGACACAATGTCAGAAGACCAGAGCGCTCAAGGAGAAAAGGCCAATTGTCTCGGCGCAAAGGAACAGCACCGGCCATATAAAGCGCGATGCATAGCGGAATGCCGCGGCGGTTGGGAGAGAAACCGGGTGGTGTGGTTACCTTTGTGTACTTTGGAATGCAGGCCGTAGGGCTGAGGTACCACAGCGACAATCTATCAGCGACGACGGCGGCGAGAGAAAAATAAAATCGGTGCTGTTTCCGGGGTGATTGCAAGCAGCTTACCGTCCTATATATACACAGCAGACGAGGCGAACAGCGATGGTGCTAGTAGTGGTGGTGGTGGTGGTGGTGGTGGTGGTGGTGGTGGTGGTGGCTTGTTCAAGGCGATGATGACGGGGGCTGGCCTACTTGCTTGGTTCCATGCTCGCCCATGCCCACTGGAATCACCGCCGTCAGGCAGCGCGCAAAATCGGATCGCCCCAAAAAACGCACGCCTCTCCACCCAGGCACCCAGGGTGCCAGGAATCCTGCTGCCATCACACGCGTCCACTTCCAGAACCAGATCGCATAACTCGTGGCGGGCGTCCTCCTGACACGCGCGGCTGATGCCAATACTGCCACTGCGGCGGATGCGCGCGCGCGCCTCGGTCCGCTGTCCGCTGTCGCCGCCCGCCGCTGCCAGGTCAGCACCTTACGGCTCCTGCAGACCTGCACCCCGCTGCCATGATGCCGATGCGGCTCTCGCTTCCCTTCCCTTCTGGCCCTGAGATCAACTGATCCGCCCCGTCTAAGGCTGAAGAAGCTGCTTTCTGATTCACCCGTCACGCGACGCCACGCTGCAGCGCCCGTGTCACCGCCGCATTTGCGAGGCCCGCCAAACTTTGCTTTTCATTGGCCCTTCCCCGCGCCTTGGTGCCTTGCCCACAAGCCCTTCTACATCCTCTACTACCCTGGCCTAAATGAGACACGTCCTACAATGCGTGCGCCGAACGAGAAGAAAAAACAAAGGAAAAACAATGCCATCTGAACCATTTCTCGAACCATTTGATCCATCCCATCCCTAAACCATCGGCTTGGCCAAGGGCTTGATGATCGTCCCCGGCTTGACCATGACCCGCGGCTTCGTGCCGTCCTGGAACACCTCTTTGGTGTTGAATTCGGGGCCCAGCGGCCGCCGCAGCGTGCTCTCGTACACTGCCTTGTTCTCGTACGGGAACGGCAGCGAGCTTGCCAGGAACTTTGCGTTCTTCTTGACCCGCTTCTCGTTGATGATGACGTTCTTCTTCTTGGCGTCCTTGCGGTCTTCCTTCTTCACGCCCTTTTGCGTCGTCACAAACCGCCCCTTGTTGCGCTTCTGCTCGCGCTTGCTCACGCCCTCGCCCGCCCAGCTGCCCCATCCCGGCAGCGTGTTGTCAATGACCTTGTCGCCCTCCTCTTCCTCGATCGCCCGCTTCTCCTCCTCAAACGTGTCGGCCACCTCATCACCTGCAAATGCTTTTTCGACAAGAGACTCCTTGCGCAGAACGAGTGGATTCTCGGGCTCTTTGTCCGAATCGTCATCAGCTTCAGAGGGCGCGTTGTTGCGGTAGGTTACGATTGTCCAACCGTCAGCGTCAGCTGGAGCGGGGGCCTCGGTCGCCTTCGCTGCCGCAGGCTTGGTGTCTCGCGAGGTCTTGGTTTCTGACACATCCAAGGCTGGGGCAAAAGTCGTCGCTTGACGCGACTTTGACTTGGAAGTGTTGCTCTTGATAGGTGCGGCCACCCACGGGTTGTCCTCAGGCTCGGATGACGCCTCTCTGGCAGCGGCCGCGGCGGCGGCCAGTGGGCGTTTCCGCGAATCGGTTTTGGAAATTGTCTTTTGTTTTGACGGAGGCGCAGCCTTTCGATCATCCTCATCCAGAACAAACTTGATCTCGTCAGCTGCCTCCTCGTCATCTGAACCAAGCCGCTCTTCGAATTCGGACTTGGGCTGCGTTTTGGTCGGCTGAGGCGCCGGTTTGTTCGACGAAGGCCCAAACACCCTGCGACCGATTGTGGTAGGGCCGTCAGCGTCCTCGTCATCCTCATTCTCGCCGGCCAGTTCACGCCTCATGCGCTTGATATCTTCGTCATTCTGCGCCTTGCGTGCAGCATCCGCTCGCTGCATGAATTTCATTGACGCCAGCTTGGACAGACCGCCAGCGTCAGCTGGAACATCTTCGCCATCAACGCGGTTGAGCTGACGCTGCAGTCTTCGGGCTTCGCCAGCTTCCGAATCGTAGTCTTCGTCGTCGCTTTCTCCCTCGCTACTGATGTCCGTCGCGTCGTCATCCTCATTCCGGACGTCCTTGCCTTCAATTCTCTGGCGAAGCTCTTCGTTGCGCCGAGCCATCTCATGGAGACTGCCACGAGCATCCTCATCCCAAGCTGCACGTCCAGACGCCTTGAGGCCCTTGGCCCATTTGCTTTCGCGGTGCTTCGCGCCCATACGCTCTTCGGCCCGTCGGCGGTCGTTGCGCTCGCGCTCCTCCTCAGAGATGTCGATACCCTCTGCTGCCATAGCTTCCCTCTCCTGCTGCTCAGCACGCTCACGCTCCTTCCTGTGCACGCGGCGGTATGCCTTGCTTTTGATCTTCTTGACGCGCTTAGCACGCACCTCTTCCCTGAAAAGCAAGTCGCGAGCCCTGCGGAGCTCTGCCCTCCTAGCCATAACTTCCTCGATAGGCATCTTGTTGGTTTGGAGCTCTTCGAACTCGCGAATTTGCTCTTCTTCGGACTTGGCATTGGCACCAGTGGCAAGGCCGCTTTCTTCCATAATGGCTTGAATCGTACTTTCGAGGTCGTTTGCTGGTGCGGAGCGGTTGATAGGGATGAGCTTCTTAGCGCCCATAGGTTGTTGCTCGTCCGGATCTCTCATAGGAAAGGAGAGATGCTCAGCTCGCCTGTTGTGCTTGACCGTGTCTACCCAGCGCTCCAAGGTTTCCTTGGTCTTCTCATTCGCCGCGATACGGTCTAGCTTGTCCTGCTGGCGCTTGGGAAGAGGAGCATCGAGCTTGCCGGGAATGCCATTGCGCTTGGATTTCTTGTCATCCTTGACCATCTTCATGATTTTCTTCGCGTTAGGATCATTAGTTCCAGCAAGCAGATCACCAATGTCGAGCTTCTGTGACGCTCCAACACCAAACTCTGATGGTGCGCTCGATTCGTGAACGTCCACTTTCCTCTCCTTCTTGCCCTTGGCGCCGGTGTCTTGGGATATGCTCGAGATGAAATCCTGCAGCTGCGAAGCCTTGCCGGGGTCGCGGTCGTCACCCTCGTCATCTGACATTTCAAAGTCCTCGTCGTTGTCCTCGTCGTCCTCGTCGGAGGCGTCGGAGGCGTCGTCCTCGCTATCCTCGGCATATTTTTGGGGCTTCTTTCCCTTCGCCTTTTCCTTGTTCTGCTCCTCCTCGTAGTCGTCCAGCATCTGGACCAGGTCTACAGCGTCCGAGCCCAGACTCTCGTTGTCGTCTTCCTCGTCCTCCTCTTCGCTCTCGTCTAGGTCGATGTCGCCATCGTCGTCCAGAATCTTAGCAGGCTTGGGCTTGGACTTGGGTTTCTTGCCGTTGCTCGAGCTGCCCCGGAAGGTAAAATCGGCAAACCTCTCCTCGTCGCTTTCACCAAACGCCTCGTCACTGTCAAGAGACTCGTCGTCATCATCGTCAACATGGCCCATGCGCCAGTTGTTTCCATCCGAATCACTGCCTTCGCTGACGTCCAGCTCGTCGTATCTGCCCTTAGTGACATTCTTCTGCTGAAGGCGCCGACCATTCGAGGCATGCGGTTCGTCGTCCTCGTCTTCTTCGATGTCGTCTGCAAGGCGCTGGCGCTTGCGGCGCGGGTTATCGTCTTCGGCTTCACCAAGGCGGTGCTGGCGAACCTTGAGGCGTTCGGGAGCCTCTTTCTCGGCGATTGCGAAGGCGTTAAGGCTGCGCTTTTGGTTCTTCTTGCGCGCAGTGCGCGGCTTCTGAGTGGGGATGGAGCTCCTCGCAATTCTAGGCGCCATCTTAAACAAAACCTGTCGAGGCGGCTAAGTCTGTCGCGCTCTTCGTCGCTGTGCGAAGCAAGATAAAATCGTCGGGCGAAATCTTGGCACTGACTCGTGCGCCGACTTTCTGAACCGCAATCGCCGACTCGCCGACCAACTTCAGAGAGACTTCAAGCCGAGCGCATCTTCAAGCATCAATCGCAAGCCGCCATGCAGCCCACCCAGGTGCTCCAGCGCCAACTTAGGCGCCTCGCTTTGACTACCAAGCAGACCAACAAGGGCTTCTACAAGGGTACCGGTACCGGTTCAATGGGAAGGCACACCAAGCGCGGTGGATACATTATCGAGCCTGAGAAAGTCAGGACGTACAAGGTCCCGGACCTTACTGGCTTCGAGGTGGGTTACCCGCGATATTGGAATCGGGATTCATGTCTGACTAGAAACAGCTCACCCCCTTCGTCACCAAGCGCGTCACGCCGCCCAGTGCTGCGGGTCTCTACCCGGATCCTCTGGGCCCGCTTAGCGGAAAGCTGTACCTGGAGAAGTGGAAGGCGGAAAACGGACAGGACTAGATGTTCAAAATGGTGAAGAGGAACATATCGTTTTGCGACAAAGAGTTGTGCTACTGTTCAAGAAGGGTTTATCAATAAATGGGCATTGCGCGGCGTTTGGGAAGCCCAGCACGGAGGGCTAGACTGGTGCAAGATCACGTGGGAAAGAAGCAGCCGTTGTCCCGCATGATTGAGGGAGCAATGGTTTGTACATCCAATCAAGTACGGCAGCGATTAAGTCCTGTCACAGGTCTTGGTTGCAGTCATGACTATACCCTTTTCATTCAGCATGTCGGATTCGGTTGACTAGCAGTGCCGCATAGTTGAACGCGCTACATCGACGAAACACCCTGGTAATAGGTGCACTTTGCAACTTCCAAAAACACAACTGTCAAGAAACAATCAAGACATCGGCTACTATGCACGAAAACAAGCAAGACATAACATGGTTTGCGGTGATGACCGCGTCAAAGTAGGCGCAATCGCCCACATCCAAATGTGTACAGGCCCATCTGGAAGTACATGAAGTAAAACAGACATTAAATTCTTCCATGTAGCTCTGGGGTATCGCTTATTTCCATCAGTCATTATTGCTCACTGACAACATTCAACGTGTCGAGCCTTTTCAGTCCTTCCATTTTCTTTAACCCGTCGTTGTTGTCGACCGGTGCGTAAGACCGATTTGTTGCGCACAGATATGATCGAGTCCTTCAGCATCAGCATGTGGCGATATTGATGCTCGTCGAGGATCCCCATCTTGTACATTTTTTGGTTGACTTGGTTGAGGATCACGGTGATGTTGGCGAGTTCGTCGGAGGTCAGGTCCGGTTTTTTAAGGAACCTTTCCAAAAGGTCCACACAGCTCTGCTTGGGGAATTCCCTCCAGACTCGTTGGCGGACATACTTTGCGCGTTTTGTCCAGGGATGTGGGCCTCTGATTATGAGCTTGGTGGGCCGCTTTGGGGAGGAGACTTGATCGTCATCAGACTGCCCGAGGTTGGTGCTGCGATGCAGACTGGTTGGAGAGGCGAGCGGCCTTGTGGCCACGGAGGTGTTCACGGAGGCGGCAGGGTTGCGTCCGTCATCGCGAAGGATGAGCCTGAGGCGGGTCATCTTCGTTTTTGAGGTATGTGTGCCTTCTGGTTGGAAAGGTAAGGCGAGGTGTGGAGCACGTGGCTTGAAGCGGTGCTGAGGAGAGCTTTGCAAAGCTTTGGGATCAGAGGCTGGTCTGAAAGAGTTAGCTGAGGTGTCTTGAGGACCAGGAGTACTGGAGTGCGTACTTTGAAGCGCTACTGAGCAGAGTTCAGAGAGGTTTGAGATCAGAGGCTGCTCTGAAGAGAGTTGTCTGAAGTGTGTTGGGGTCTAAGAGCACTGGAGCGCGCTGGCCTCTTTTTAATCCACGCCCATCTCTTCTTTGGCTGACCATCCGGGGCATAGCCAGAGCAAAGCCAGAGACAGATATTATGGACGACCCAAACAGAACAAACAGTCTAGCCTACCCCAGCGACATTATCCAGGAGTCGTCAAGTCAACAACCAGACAAAACGTCAATCTGTCTTCTGTCCCCCGCATTTTTCTGTTTTCCGCCATCATACATGGCAGACCCTGGGGGTAGTACCAGCGTTTAAGGGTCCTGGCTGCCGCGCAAATGTGGTAACGGCTTCGGAACCGTGGATCACGACCACCTGGCCTGAACGACACAAAACGGCTCGCGATAAACAGGCCGGTTCCGCTGGTGCTCGGACGATGCTGCCGAGATGACTCGCATGCGGGGAAGCTGCCAGATTTATTTGCTTGGTTGCGAGGATGGATAGACGTCAGTAACAGTGCGATGCACCGCTTGATCGCCCCAGATGACTCGAAACGGTTTGTTTCTTTTTTCCCAGGACACGATATTACTTGAACGGCTTGTCGAGAGACCGAGGACAAATGTTCCGGCTACGTCTGTTTTCTAATTCTACCTCTACTTATGCGAATTTAAGATGTCGCCTGGGTTAACTGTTGTATGTTTTTCCTACTTACCGCTGCATTTTCCTTAGCTACCAACGCCTCGACGGTCTTACAGAGCAAAGTTTGTCGTCCGCTTACTGAATCATTTTGGCTTGAGCTATGTCCAGCAAAATCCAAGGTTGGGAAATGCCCTATTGGCAAAACGACCCATCACGAAATCAAACTCAAAGTCCTGCTGTGGATATCACAGACGAGCACGCCACTTTTGAGACGACCCCGAAGCCGGCCTAGATTCCGATGCTTCTGCCCGTAACTCTATACGCGTAGATTTCCCAATTCAAAAACCGGGCCCAAGTTATCAAGAGAAAATAGGACAGCGTAGCCGCCTGGCTCTGCATGGCAGACTGGCTCTGCGGATTGTGATCGAGAAAAATACAGAAAGAACTCAGTGAAAAGGTTGATTAGATCACATACTGAAATATGTAAATTCGCTTTGAATAAACGACGCAGCTTATAAAAGTAGAGCATTACGCTTCTATATTGCCCGTGAAACTATCTACAACTATCATCTATGTAGCGTTAACCTGCTTGTATATTGTGATTGGGAGTTGATCGAAAGAAGTGGTGATAGTCCGTCCAAATGGGGTTAGAGGCTAGGGCTTATATGATGATCAGTGACAGCATCTCAACCACGAGCTCCATCCACTTTTCCTCAACTCCTACAGCTGTAATTATGCTCTCCTACTGGCCGCCTTATAGACTCATTATGTTCAGGGACTAACCAATCGCATAACTCTAGCTACGAGAACCCTCCCACTGCTGTCGACGGCAATGGCATCGAGAAGAGCTGGTAGCGTCCTTAGGACGCTTGACAGCGCCTCAATAAGCTTCTACAGGCTTCCTCGTCTGCAAAGTCGATACTCAAGAGCTGCGCAAAGCTCAGTAGTCCTCAGGTCTTCATCCGGTCGCTCCCACTTCAGCTCTACCTCGTCCCCAAACCATGGCCACAGCTCCGTCGACCCCACCGAAGTCTCCCACTTCAGCGCGCTCGCATCCAGTTGGTGGGACCCGCAAGGCCCTTCGCGCCTCCTCCACCTCATGAATAACCTCCGACACCCCTTCATCCAGAAATGTCTCGCTTCGCAACCCACGCCGCCGCCCCAGCGCAAACTTAAATACCTAGACGTCGGCTGCGGTGGTGGAATCTTCGCGGAGAGCGCAGCGCGCCAGGAAAACGCCGCAAGCGTGCTCGGCATAGATCCGACGCCGCAAGTGCTGGAGGTTGCAGAGAGCCACAAGAAGACGGACCCGTTTCTGATGCAGGAGGGGCGGTTGACGTACAAGAACATTCCGATTGAAAAGCTGCCGCTGCCCGAGAAGCCCGAGGACGGTTTCGACATCGTTAGCTGCTTTGAGGTCATCGAGCACGTCTCGAACCCGTCGGAGTTCCTGGACACGCTTTTGCCACATGTCAGACCCGGTGGATGGGTCGTCATGTCGACGATTGCGCGGACGTGGACGAGCTGGGCGACGACGATCGTGGCGGCGGAGGATGTTCTTAGGATGGTTCCGAGGGGGACGCATGATTGGAACAAGTACATCAACGAACAAGAGCTGAAAGAGTGGTTTATGGGGAAGCCGGATTGGGAGCTTCCGAGGGTTATGGGCGTTATGTACATCCCTGGATTTGGCTGGAAAGAGGTCAAGGGCAGCGAGCACTGGGGCAACTATTTCTTCGCGGCGAGGAGAAAGGAGTTGTAATGAATCGCCCTATGTAAAAAGAGCCCGACGACTCGAAGCGGATTACTTTGCGAGCTAACCTATGGAGAGGAGCCGGTTTTGGTGAGCTATTGACGATAGTATATTGTAACAAACATATTCACTGATGCTTATACAGTCGTGTTGCAAAAACTTGTAAGGGACTGTTTCCTCGGGCAGCTTTTCTAGGTGTCATGGTTCACTGTTCTTCATGCCCTCAGCACTCCAGAGCACCCGCTTTGTAGCGTCTATCTGTGAAGTATATCTTTCGCCATCGCAGAGGGTCGACTGGACGCCCCGTCGCGTTCAGCATCATTGCTATATCTCAAATTACCCACTACTTTCTATAGCAATGCTGACCGGCTCCGGCATGTTCCCGCTGTCAAAAAGGTTTGTGTTATATGGCTAGATGCTGAGATCTCGGAGGCTCCTTCACCCTTGTTCTACCTTTGAGGTTGCGCGCTCTTTTTGCCTCGTCCTCCGTCTTATCCTCACCTTCCCTATGACTCGACGATCCTTCCGAGAACCTCAGCTTCCGTAATTTTTGTTGCAACTGTTCCAAAGGCTGGAGTTCGTGGCACCGGAATCTTTTGACCAGCCGTTTGCTCAAATTCGCATGGTTTGTTCGCTTGTTGTGAACAATTTTCCTTTCTGTGTTTGTGAACCATGGATTTCAGGGCTCTCCCGTCAAATCCCCAACTTTCAAAGTATATGAAACCCCGCCCATCCCTATGTCTTTTTGACTCTTCATCCAGTGCTCCACTACAAGCTCCAAGCCAATCAAGCTCCAACGGTGCCAACACCCCTACCGGAACACTCCGATCCCACAAAAGCATAACTCACAATGTCCAACCAACAACTCAAACCAGAAACACAGTCAAGCAAGAACACCAGAGAAACTTGCTCCGGCTCTCGAAATCGCGATGAACGCTTCAACACGTTGTATGACCGCAACCTCTCCCTCCTAAATGCCTTGCAAAGAGAAGTCGATGCACAACGGGCCACTGTCCACCGCGCCTTCCACGGAACGCAAGAAGCTAGCGCCGCACTGGGACAGACAACCATACGACCAAGGGCGCCATATTTGCGACCACTCGGGTCTTCCACGGACTTTCAGCTCTCGCGACCCATTTCTCCACTGTGCTTGCATGAAGCGGAGGACACCCCGAAAAGTGTGTCCAGGCCACCATACTTGCGAGCACTTAATTCCGCCACGGAGCTGCAGCGCTTGAGGTCCGCGTCTCCGCTGTACTTGCATCTAGTGGAGGACGTTCCGAAAGTCGTGTTCAGGGCGCCGTATTTGCGTCCTCGCAAGTCTGCTACCGACTTGCAGCACTTGAGACCGGTTTCTCCCTTGTGTTTGTATGAAGTGGAGAATGTCCAGCAAGTTGTGTTCGCTTCTGATGCTGCGGTACGGAGGCTGGCTGCTAGTGATGGCAGGGAGCTTGGCGGTGATTGGACAGACGGCCAAGGTTACCAGAATAAGGTGGATTGCGACGGTGTGAATAAGGATGAGTTGGACGACGATGAGGCGGATGAGAATGAAGTTGGCGAAGACGGTGACGTCGGTGAAGACAATGAAGAACGGGAAGATACCGCAGGTCGAGGGTCATCTTGCACGCGCGCAAGGTGCAAGGTGTCACGCAGCAGATTTACTGCAAAGGGGTACGAGTGACAAGCAGCGATGGGTGTCTTTGTTGTTCTGATTGTTTTTATCAATTTAACCAACGTTAAGTAATACTCCCGCTACAGCAAGTACTGTAAATTGCCACGCGGTTACTGAGAGTATCAGTGGAGCCTACATAAGCCAACATTTGCAACCATCATGATGTTTCCCTTCAGTGTCTCTCAGCTGACTGAGTGTGTTTTAGATTAAAGCTTTCGACACACATGCGGCAAGCATCCTCGGAATTGGCGATCCGCCACTTGTCAGACCCGAAAAGCTCTCGGAAGGTAAGAAGTTTTGCAATCCAGGACGTGCGGGTAACAGTGATCGTTTTTATCACGAAATGATGAGCACCGACAACAAATCGATATACAGCTCATCTCCAATGCTGACACAACCACATACCTAAGCTCTCTCGGTGCGTGACTGCTGTCAGTACTGCTACTGCTAATTGGCGTCAGAGAGCGATGTCCCATCTTCGGGGTTTACATCGCAGTTCCTTGCGCGGCTTTCATCATGTGGGGACCGAGTTCAGGCTTGCCGGTGGCGGATGATTCATTCTATTCCATAGGTATTTTATTGCCCTGGAAAATACCATCAAGACAAGTTACATACGGTCAATAATTGCCATTGACGCTTCTAAAGGTCCATCATGTGACAACAATCATAGACGCCTTTATCCAGCACTGTAGCACGCAATAAACAGGAAAATCTATCCAGATGTTTTAACCATTCACTACGTAGTAGCCCGTACGCAAAGCAGCTGCCAATATTGAAATGACCAGCACCATTTCCAAATTGCACGCTTGAATCCGATGGACCAGAAAAATACCGCTGGTTGTGTGTTGAATCGCTCTGATCAAACAAGACACTTGCCGAGATGTGATTCAGGGGAAGCTGATCCAACCACCGCCAAAATCTATATCCTTCTACAGCAGCATCAACTTCGGCCACTCCTCCCTTTTCATCTCTCTCTCCATGTCCTCCTCCAAGCCCTCCGTCAAAGACAACTTCTCGAGCTTTTGGCTTTCCTCATTGTCCTCCTCATCACTCTCACCGCTCACAGCCAGCGTGGAATAAACCTCCAGATCCTCCCCCATCCCCACATCGCCGATCTCCTTCTCTCTCTTCATCCACAAGCGTTCCAATGCGGCTTCTTTGCGTCTTTGGTATAGGTATATCTCGGACAACGAGCGGCCAATGCGCTCCGTCGTGCTCGGGAACAGCTGCGCCGGTGGGTACAGCGAAACATACGGACGCAAGCCGAGCATGCGCATCGCGATACCGAAGCGTCGGTGGTAGCAGGGTGAGAGTGTCAGTGAGCTAGCATCGACATAGGTGCCGATGACACAACCGGTGGTGTGGGAGCGCACGACAGGCAGGTCGAGCTGTGGCAGGCACAGGAACACAATTGTGTCGGAAATTTCCAAGCTCCTCGCGTCGGCGCGCCAGTTGAAGCTAGTGATGTCTACGGCAAGCCCTTGTGAGAGGTGGAGCTTATATGAGTCGTGCAAGCCCCAGACGTGTTCTTTTATGACGATCTCGAGCCCGAAGTCGATAGCTAGAACCTGATTGGGGATAATGTTAGCTGGTTATCCTTTTTCTGTGTGTGATGTTGTGGTAGTGCTTTGGGGAGGGAAGCTTGAATGGTGATAATGGGTAGATTAGGTACCTCGTCGTAATCATGGAGCCCGCCGCCATAATCATGCCTGCCGCCTTCCTTGAGGTAGCGCTTACGCCCCTCCATGCTCATTTGACTGTGAACTGAGTCGACAGGCCTTTCATTAGGTACTCTTCCTCTTCTATCCGACTTGTTCATGCTCAGTGCCTTGTCCTGCACCCAGAGTTAGTCTAACCAGGCACCACTACACCATGTAACATGAAGAGAGCACATCGAGACACTTACGGCAGCGACTCTGGTCCTAGCCGGCGCGTTCCTCACCTCTGGAGCCTTTTGTCTGACATAACTCAGAAAATCCCGCCAAATCTTTCCAGTGTCTTGCTCGGTGATGTTCACATGGTCTGCCGTGCGGCACGTATTCTGCATGCAGTCGAGACAGCGCGTCCATTCCTTGAAGCGAGCTTCGTGTCCGTCCAGCATGACCTGCGCAGCAATCAAGTCGACGATTTCGGTCGGCAGTCGCGTGACGGGTTGCGGCCCAATGGTTTGCGCACACTCCCGAAGCGTGTTGATTGCCGCGCGGTGGAAGGTGTAGGACTCCAGCGCCGCGCCGAGCACGTTTGGCTCGACGGGTATAGCCCACATCAGGCCGTCGCCGAGGATCATGATGTGTGAGGTTGCTGTTGTCTTGCAACGCTCGAGACGGGGTACTTGTATGACGAATCTGGAGGAAGGTTATGTGGATCAAAGCATAAGAGGTTGAAAGGAGTTGAAGCGAAAGGCGTGGATTTCGTTTGTCGCCTTGAACGGCTTGTCCAGATTAGGCATAAGCCTGCGCGAGTTAACATTTTCTTAACAAGCTTTCACAGTCACTTTTTCAAGTTTTTTTGGCCAACCCGCGCGTGATAAACAAACCAACCCTTCACAGAAGTTTCACAAACGAAGCCATACCTACCCCAGCGCCATCGGTATGAAAGAGGAAATGAAGCGGTGAGAAAGACATCACCAGTCCAACCCAGTAAGAAGAGAAAGAGTCATAACGAACACAGCACCAGGGGAGACGGCGAGTACGCAAGGCAGCACGCAAGTCCAAGTCGCAAACACCAAGTTTTTGATAACTAGCTTCCAGTAACGGCGAGTGAAGCGGCAACAGCTCAAGTCAAAACACCAGAAACCCAAATAGTTAATAGGAGTGTCTCACCCGGTTCTAGCATGGAAAATCACAAAAAATCAAAAAATCAAAAACCCCAGAAACAAAACTCCAGAACACCAAAACACCGAAACTCCGAGAAACTCCGAAACAAAATAAATGGCAAAATAAATGGCAAAATAAATGGCAAAATAGATGGCAGAATAAATGGCAGAGTAAATGGCAAAGTAAATATCAAACGGAGAAGGACAGTCGAAAATAGCAAAGCAAATAGCAAGCAAATTCAAACGCAAAAATAATCAAACGGAGAAGGCGAAACAAGATTACAGAGATGGGAGTAAATAGCAAAACAAATAACAAACAAATAACAACGATAATGTCCAGGTAGTTTGCAAAAAATACAAAACAAATAGCAACGATAATGTCCAGGTAGTTTGCAAAAAAATAGCAAAATAAATGGCAAAAAGAAATGACAAAGTAGATTTAGTGAAGAAGAAAGCTCCTCGAGGGGAGGGCAGCTCTATATACCCCTCTCCAGAAGCACAGGCCCTCTCTCTTCGCGGTACCGACACCAGGATCCCGCGCGGTCATGATGCAGTTTCTCGTGAAGACTTCTCGTTTTGTGAAAGACTTCTCGGGCTCGGTGGCTTCCGGTGCGGTCCGCCGTGTTGCGTGCTCGAAGTCGTGATAGCCGCTCCGTGGTTGTGGTGTAGATTTCTATATGGAAGGCTTCTCGGCCTCCGGAGGCTGTAGTTGTGATGTAACATCCCACGGATTAGAAGACCTCTCGGTCTCCGACGCAAAGACTGCGCGATCTGCCGTGTTGCGTGCTCAAAGACGTGATATTCCATTCCCGGTGGTACGGACTCCAGAACCACCATGTCTAGGAGCAGTGGTTACTGGTGTATCGGTGGCTTCCCATGTGGAAGACCTCTCTGCCTCCGAAGGCCGTGATCGTGATGTATCTTCCCATGGAAGACATCTCGTTTCATGAATGGCGGCAGCCTCCTCCATAACGCAGCGCGGTCCAATGCTCATGATGTAGCTTCAAGCGCAAGCAAAACGCTTCTTGCAATCTCTAAGACGTAACACCCCCTCTTTCCACAGCACCAACATCAAACCACAACCACAACTAGCAGCAGTGATCATAGTCGTAATATAGAAAGACTTCTCAGATCCCAGCGACTGCGGCCGCGGTCTTGACATAACCCCAGTCCTCTCTCCATGGAACACCTCTCAAGCTCGGCGGCCTCTCAAGTTCGGCATCACCCGCCGCAAAGAATGCGCGCGCGGTCCGCCGTCTTGCGTACTCAAGTCGTGATGTGATATCCTCTGTCCGCGCGGGGTCCGTGTACAGACCCTGAACCACGACCAGCAACAGTGGAAAAGCAGTCATGAAGTAGGACGGCGTCGCAGGTCCGATGTAGGTAGGTAGATAAAGCGCGATCTGGCATCTTGTGTAGCTTGCGTGCTCAAGGCGTGATACCTTCTCTTTCCGTGGTACCGACACCAAAACCTCGCCTGGCAGCCGTGGTCGTGATGTATGGAACGGCGTCTCGTCGTACGGAACCTAGGTAGGCATCTCGGGTTCGGCGGCCTCTGCCGTAACGCAATGCGCGGTCCGCCGTGTTATGTAGTTTGCGTGCTCAAGACGTGATGTTCCCTAACTCGCGGTACGGATACCAGAGCAGAACCTAGGTCGTCCGGCGGCCGTGGTCATGACGTACCTTCCATCCCATCGAAGCCCTCCCGGCCCCGGCGGCCTCCGGCGCAACGCAAAGCGCAGTCCGCCATATTGCGTGCTCTCGACGCGATATCTCCTGCGTATTTATACCGCGGTGCAGTGCTAGGTAGGCAGCAGGGTTTTCGCTGCCGTAGGTAAGTATGGAATTACCTCAGCGCAGCAGCGCGAGCTTCATGCATACGTCACTAGACGCATCGAGGCTTTACACCTGGTCGTCGGAAAGGACAGGTAGCTCGCATTCAAAGGCCCTTCGCAGTCTGTCTGTATTTCCAAGCGCCTCCCGGCGAGGAATAAGCGTCTTACCCAAGAAGCCTTGCCCGAGTGTTGCAGCCCTGACTTTTTCCCTTTCGTTTTCCTTTCCTGACCTTGTTGGCCCAACCGCAAGACAGCTGCTGATTCCAAACGACCGCTCCTTTTCACACACATGTCGGTCATACACTCGGGGCCAATACTCCCCGCCCGTCCGTCCGTCCGTTTGTCCGTCTGTTCGAAGTAATCCTCCCAGTTGCCCAGACCTGAATTCTTTTGCGCCGAGTACGCCGTCCGTGTCTGGCCCGCGCGGTGCAGACCATCCACCTAATCCCATGGTGATGACGCCAGTGCAAGATACTCACGCCGCGCACGCCGCAGTCCCGCAAGTTTCCACGCCAGGAATTCGCAGCATCGTCGGCGGTGGTGTCCAGCATCGCGTCGGCCTTCGCATGGTTCTATAACGAAATTGCAGCCGTAGAGACCCGCTCTCATAAAACAACACAGTAAGCTTCCGATTCACCGCCGCTCTGGCATTTGATGCTGGCGGCGTAAGTATTCTTTCTATGACGAGCTGGTGTGTTAGTATTTTTTTGGGGTTCTGAATTCGGTAACTGGTATTAAAATGCGACACTAACCTCATTCAATGCCATGGCTAGGCGACCGTTCTCCTCTACAACTTTCCGTATCTCTTCCTGGACGTTGCCTTCCAGGCGCACAACCGTGGCTTTGGGTAACCAACGCAGGATGTGGAATGCGTTCGCGTACACGTTGGTCGTACTACTAGGCACACTGCGCTCCTCGGGAAACATATCCGGCAAAGTGATGGTAAAAGTCTTGAGGCCCCAGCAGTAGCGCAATCCAAGGCGCACCAGATCGGCAAACCCCTCAAGGATGTCGTGATGCGTAGGAATGGTAAGATGGACGTGCTTGATCAAGCTACGACTACGTTGATGGAGACCATTAAGCGTGCAAAGCGCGCTGGGCAAATGCAAAACGAGTTCGTTGTCCGAGTATAGGACCGGACGGGCCTCGCGGTAAATCTGCTGCGAGACGCGGAGCAGCGCGGGGACCAGTGGCTCCGTGTTGACATTGTGCGGCAGCTGCTGCTTGACTTCGAAGCGGCGGGCGAAGGTCCTGCCGCCGGGGCGCGGTGCGCGGGGCGATGATGGCCGCCGCCCCGGCCGCGGAGGAAGCCCCAGCGTTACCGGGTTGTCTCCATCCCAGAGCTCCGATACTTCGTATTCGTCGCGTTCATCGGACTCTTTTGCGGCTGGCTTCGGCATGTGGAGGAGAATGGGTTTGGGGCGACAGAGCGCCATGCGATAAATATTCAGACGGAGTTCTGGCCTCTAGTCAGCTGGAGGCATTCCCAATCAAGACATCTGTAGGCCACGGAACCTGAGGGCAATTCCATAAAGGGGAAATGCTTCTTCTTTAGCAACAGCTCCTCCCTCGTGGGCTGAGCATCTTCGGCGTCGGCGCTCGGATCGGCGACGGGAATAGCACCGGTTTCGAGACCATTTTCCATGGCCTTGGGCAGTTTGAGGACGACGTATCCAGGCCTTTGTGTCGGCGCCGGGGTGTCGCGGACGGCTTCGGCGGGCATTACGGCCAAGACGGGAGGCGGGAAGGATACAATGCGGAAGAACTAAATACCTAGCAAAACTTGGAAAGGAGCTGCCGAGAAGTTATGCGCAGTATATACGGAATAAGACGGGTGGATAGTGGAGAGGCGGCAGAGGGGTGCAGGGCTAAGACGGCTGACGGGTTGTTGCGGGGAAGACGAGGCGTGATGTCAAGGAAGCCAAGCCGGGGGGCTTGTGCTGGTCCTCTAAGCCGCCAAGCCTTCCCGTGGAGTGATTCAGCCAAAACGCCTTCCCGCTTCTCTCCAGATCATACCACTCGGCGACCTCCGCGGGGGATGCGTGAAAATCTGGGGTAGCCGGGCTGACACACCTGGTCGCCGGCCTGGACCTCAACCCTTCTCTCCTGCACTCATGCAGCCAGCCCTTCAGCCCGCGGCTGCACAACGCGGCAAATATCTTCACTGCACCCCCACACTGCAGCTCCAGTGACACAAACTACGACAGGCATTCTGCTTTGCCCACTTACAAATCACTTCGCTTCATCGAAAACAAAACCTCATGAGACTCTGAAACACTCTTCATTATGCTATCTCGGCCCCATGGAGCGCGCTCCGCAGTCAATTATGGACAACGCATCCGCATGGAACCATCGCCAAACCGTTCCACCAATCATACAGCTAACTTGGCACTTTAATTACTACTAAACCCATTTACTGGAGACGCTTCTCAGCCGCCTTCCAGTTGACAACTTCCCAGATCGCCTTGAAGTACTCGGCCTTCCTGTTCTGGTACTGGAGGTAGTAGGCGTGCTCCCAAGCGTCGATACCAAGGATGGGACGGAACTGGCCAACAACGGGGTCCTGGTTCTGGTAGGTCTTGATGCCAATGTTGCCGGTCTGGACGTCCTGGACCAGCCAGGCCCAACCGGAACCCTGGATGCCGGCCAGAGCCGTGTTGAACTTTTCCTTGAAGGCGTCAAGGCTGCCGTAGCCCTCGTTGATGGCCTTGGACAGGGCACCCGAGGGAGGCTCACCACCCCCCTGGGACTTGGGAGCCAAGTTCTCCCAGAAGAGGGTGTGGTTGATGTGACCACCTGTCGAGCGAGTGTCAGTAAAGATGAAACCAATTGGAAAGAGACGGAAAAGGGCCGGAAACAGCTGAACCAGGAGTTCCGGGAGCTTGCTCTAGCTTTGGTTCTTCATCTCAGTTGCACTTTTTTTTTTTTTTTTTCACTCACCTCCGTGGAAGTTGATCAGGGGCTGCAGGTTGATCTGCTGCTTGATGTCGTCCTTGGCCTTGGCCTCGGCCATCTGCTCGGAGAAGTTGTTGAAGGAAGTCACATAGGTGTTGTGGTGGTTCTTGTGGTGGAGCTCCATGATCTTGCCGGAGACGGCGGGCTCGAGCGCACCATAGTCGTCTGAAAGGGGCAGCAGCAGTCAGCACGGCTGTACTGGTGCCAATTGAGATTGGGGGGGAGCTTCTTACAGGCCAGGTCAGGGAGGGTAGCCTTGCCGCGGACGAAGCTGGCGCCGGCGAGACCAGCGCGCTTGGGGGCGGCAGAGGAGGCAGCGCGCAGGGCGGAGCGGGAGAGGTTGTTGCGGAAAAGAGTAGCAGACATTGTGGTGGATGGGGTATCTTAGAACGTGAGGCGTGAAGGGTGAAGGGGAAGAACAGCGAGGTTTTTGAGTTGTTTCTGAGCGTCGGAGCAGCGGGAAGTGGAAGCTTGAGCTATGACGTTCGGCAGAAGTGCGGGCGCGAACGTCATTCTGAGAGGCCTCAACTGGAGCCCCCACCCTGCAAGCGTGTCATGTGTTGCCTCCACCAACCAGTGCGCCGCAAAATGCCCTTTCGTTTGTTTACCGTTGCGTGTCTCACCACCAGAATGGTCGCCTGTGCGCGCCCGCTGGAAAAATTTCGAAATATATAGCATGCCTGGAGCCCCGAGCCATCTCCTATCACCTTTGATACCTCCCCCGTCTCCCCCTCCCCACATTTCCCTAATGGCGCCTGCCACCGTCCATTTGCCCAACGGTCAGAACCTGACCGTGACCCCCGTCTTTGGTGGCCTGCAGTTCAAGGTCAACGACCTGACCAGCCACTCGCACTCGCCTTTGCCCCCAGGATGGGCTGTCGTGCTCAACTCCGAGGATGACGAGCAGCTAGTCCCCCAGAACAACGGCCCCAATGGCGACGACGACGACGACGACGACGACGACGAAGACGAAGGCTCCAAGAGGCATTCCATCCATCGCTACACCCGTCCTACCCTGCAACGCGACCATCTGTACATCTCCTCCATCTACCAGCCCAGCAGCAATGAGCTCAATCCCACCTCGTCGCCCACGCGCCAGATCGCCATGATGCTGTGGGCCACCCTGTGGTGGTACTTCCACCAGCAGGAGCCCGACCCGCGCATGACCAACGACAAGTCCAAGAACACGGCCCAGCTGGGCAAGCCCAAGGGCGAATGGCGGATCAAAATAAATCGCGAGGGCATCTTCAAGGGACGGACGGTGCTGCCAAAGCTGGAGCGCATGGGCTTGATCGCGAGCGAGGACACCAGCGTCGGCGTCGACCAGGATGAGCGCTCCGGCGAGGGCTGGCAAAACATGTTCGTCAGCCGGCGCGCATTCTGGCAGCTAGACCCACGGCTGTACCTCTTCACGCTGTCGCCGCTGTCCAGCTCGCCGCTTACGTCCGGATCCCCTCTCAATTCGAGATCCAGCTCCCCCACGGGCGAGGAAGAGACGAAGCGCCACTCGCGCCCCATGTCTGACAGCTTCCCCGCCGGCCTCTGGTCCCCTGCTGCGCCTGGCCCGTTCCATTCCAGCAGCCATCTCCCGACCTATTATCCGCCGCACCCGCCGCAGTACATCTACACGAACGACATACGGCACCCGCTGCGCCCCAAGCCGCCGCGGCAGGGCGAGACCTTCTACACGCGCTACGTGCCCTCCGTGGGGCAGTACCTGTCGTTCCGGGTCGCGTCCGCGTCGGCGCAGCCACACCGGCACCACGGCCCCGTGTCGTCCATCTCGTCAATGTCCGACCTGCGCAGCCCAACGCGGCCCGGCGGCCGACGTGCCAGCGTCTCAGACTCCGCGCTCCCGATCTTCAGCCACGTCGGCGAATCCGACACGGACCTGCTGCACCGGTGGATGAACGACCCGCGGGTGGCGCATTTCTGGGGCGAGCAAGGCCCGCGCGACCACCAAGAACAATTCCTGAAGTCGGGCCTGCGCAACAAGCACTCGTTCCCCGTCATTGGCTGCTGGGACGGCAAGCCGTTCGGCTACTTTGAGATTTACTGGGTCAAGGAGGACGGGCTGGGCAAGCACCTTGGCGGCGCGTGTGGCGACTACGACAGGGGTATCCACCTGCTCATTGGCGAGCAGGAGTTCCGTGGCGCGCACAGGGTCCGCATTTGGCTGACGGCGCTGCTGCACTATTGCTTTTTGGCTGACATGCGCACCGAGGCCGTCATGCTGGAGCCGCGCATCGACAACGAGAAGTGAGTTTTCCCCTCTTCCCCGCGTTCTTTTTCCTTTCGTCCCCGCAGCTCCGTGCCCGGTCGGCCGGCAAATGCACACTCGGCTGACAAATGCGACAGATTGCGCAAGTACCTCGAGGACGCGGGCTTCTTCAAGGAGCGCGAGGTCACGTTCCCTCACAAGCAGTCTAACCTCATGAAGTTCAAGCGTGAGAACTTTGATGGCCCCGCGCTGTAGGTGGAGGTGTGGTGTGGTGAGCTGTTATGCGGCTTGTGTGCGCGCTTGGGTCTCTCCGATGCGGTTTTCGCGCCTATCTTTTCTATACCCCCTCCTGTACTGTATACATTGAACGAGCAGCGGAATGGGTCTTTTTTGTTATTTTGTTCTTTGAAGGGGTGGCTTCGTGAGTGTGCCCTTGTAAGATGGGTTTCGTGGTGGTGTTGTGCGCTGTGTGGGCTGTGTGCTTATGGGCGGGGTTTGTTGGATGGATTGAGTGACATCAGGCATGTATGTTGATATTGAGATTTATTGTGCGGTGTGGGCTTGGGGTGAACTAGTGCTATGATGTGATTGTGCTTGAGCTGCTGAGTAGTTGTTCGGTGAATTCGTGTGCAGTGAGACTTTAGGTTTCTGTGGAAATGGCAGTGGCATCTCTTTTCCCGTAAGGGCTTTGTTCTGTCCTGATATGCTTACTCCCTGTACTTTGAGTGATTTGGCGATGTTTACATCTGGTTTCTGTTTTGATAACTATATAGTGGTTGTTGAATTGAAAGCCCAGTACAGTGAATTGAATAGCTACTTTTGTAGACGTCTCGGCGTTCCGACTGCGATTTTCAGCCTACCATATAACCATGAAATAATTATTTAGCTAGTAGGGATATTTTCCTGGCTGTAAGTGAGGACAACTCTTACTCCGGCACAATCTTTGCTCTTCAGTTTGAACTCACTAGCCTCTGCTCAACTAGGCTAGTGATGAGAAAACAGACGTGCCAGCTATACCAAACTTCTTAGTTATCATGGTAATCTAATATAGCATACGAGTAGCTGGTCACTTACCGATAGCGAAGCTCCGTTGGGTGCCGACGGAATCTGACTACCTCCACCACCGCCGTTGACCGCTGACGGAAGTAGGTCAGCTTTAATGTATCGCATAGATGTTTCCCGAACGCTGCCAGGGAGCAATCGTTGATTTGACGAAGCCCCAGGAGCCGTCTTGAAAACCACAAGTGTATGTCTCTGCGGAAATAGGCCATGTATCTGCAAAAATGGGATCTGCATCAGTGTCGAATGGGAAGTTGAAACGTATGTCCTTGAATGGCCGTATTTACGGCATGATTCGCAGGTAGCCGTATCCATACATTCAAGTGCCTGGAGTACGTCCCGTATCTTTGGTCGACACTCTGCATCTTTTTGAATCATTTTGGCGTATGTTTGGATCCATAATACCGTTTTCTGGACCACTACAACCTGCAGTGGTGCCTGAAGTTGTGAATCATATCCGTCCGGAATAAGGTATGAGTTTGGCTCAGCCTTTATCGCTGCATCTTTTTTGGCATCATCGAAGCGCTCCTTAAGCCAACTCTGTATATCCTGAATACATTCATGGAAAGGTGACAAAGCTGAAACGCTGTCCTGACTGCCCGGGGGACATCCAATCAGTGTACTGTAAATTTCTGCTAAGACACAACCTAGGGAAAAGACGTCTGAAGCGCGTCCGCTCTTGCCGCGGTTTTGAAGCTCTGGTGCCATGTACTTGGGTGTGCCTCGCTGAGTGCCGTCCGTTTGCGAAGACGTCAATGCAGAGATGTCCCGAGAGATACCAAAGTCGGTGTATAGGAGACGTCCATCACGGATAAGTATATTCTGAGGTTTAAGGTCCTTGTGGCGGATGCCGCAATCGTGGATGTGAGCAAGACCAGTGCTCAGGCATCCGATAGCCTCCCAAAGCGTGGCATCTGATATTATCTTCCTTCTGTCAGACAAAGAAAGCGTCAATGCTTGCCATAAGTCACATTCGGCCAATTGCAACAGAAGACCCATCTGGTTTCCTCGGGTGTAGCTCCCTAAGAGCTCGAGTATATGGTATCTTGTGTCCAACCTTTTCATCATTTCCACCTCTTTCATCAGGCGGCCACGGACAGATTTAGCAGCGCTGAACCAACGTTTTTCTGCGTATTTTCTTTTGGAAGCAAGATGTTCAACCTCATTCACTGACATCTCCCATTCGCGACTTAATGAGCGAATGTACCGAAATGGGAGTGGTTCGAGTCTTTGGAAGTCAATGTGCTCCCCTTTCGGCCATTCCCTTGCCACGACGCGATACTGTTCGGTGGCAAACAGTTTCGAAAGCCTCTCTCCCTCTGGATGAGATTTGAATAGGTCCGTGAGTTTATCCAGGGAGAACGGAAGGGAGCTGTCCATTAAACCTGCTTTGAGAAAGTTGTCCAGAAGTTCCCTCTGCTGGATAAGCTCCAGCACGAGGCAGATTTTCCCCCTATGTTGCACCCCGTTGAATGTATCTGCCACTGATGATGGCACCGCTCCAGCTTCGATGTAGTGGGTTTGAAACTCTCGGAAGATAGCTTCGGTAACGTGTATTTCCTCATCAGTGACCATATGTCCATCACCCAGATCTCTAGGGGGTCGGGATGATGGACGCAGGTGCTCCAGACTTGGTAAGATATCCCAAGGTAGATCGGAGACATTCAAAGGTTGGTCGCGGCAAGCTTCCCAGTCGATTGTATCGAAATAGGTTTTCATGCGAGAAACAACATCCAATCTTGGTGTCCTTGGGACTGTGATATTTTGGGGTGGCGATGTGTCGCTTACGAAGGACATGGTAGGCATTCAAGGACAATCTGTGTCTCGGCCTGTGAGCTGTGTGCGCAAAGACTGCGGCTGGACAGGGGGATTACAAACTTACCTCGCAGATCAACGGGCGATAGCTGCGCAGTTATCCGTACAGTGATGCAAATATTTGGCTAGGAGGTGAGAGTTATATGGGATGGGCAACGAGACTGACAGTCTGCCACGTAAAGTTGCATCAGCTGACAAGCCATGCAGGTTGCCAAATTTGGTATATCATAATAACCATAGTCACACAATTTCTCCTACAGAATATAACCAATGAACAATACTTTTTGATTAAATAATAAAATAACCTTAAACTAGTAATGGAGCAAGGGGTCAACGACTGGTATATGTCACTTACCTAATTAGGAATAAGTCTCTTTTGATATCCTGACACACTGTGTCAGCTTTCATTGTAGGCTTATCACCAGTGTCGTATCGGTGGCGCCATACACAGCCGGCAAAATAGCCGCCTTAAGGCAAAACTCCGCGCCGCGTATCTGATCCGGTAGGCAGCAGCTTTAAAGCTCACCTACATAAGAAAACCCGAAAAAGCGAGTTTTCAAACCCACCACAACTAACCACCAAGATGTCTTTCGAGCTCCAAACAATTTCCCCCGCCGACTATGAAGAAATGATCGCCTGTGGGCGATCTGCCTTCATGAACGACGCATTGCGCCTCGTGCTCTGGCCACCTCACCTAGCGGATCCAGAAAATCCGAACGCAGAGCAAGAATGGAGGCTCGATAGATTAAGACGGGTCGTCGAAAAAGGAGCCGTGTACCGGAAAATTGTTGACAAAGAGAACGGAAACCGCATCGCTGGCTTCGCCGGCTGGGCGCCACCTCATGAGACCGAAGAGGAAAAGGACATTTATTCAAAAATGCCGCTCCCGAAAAGCTTGAACAAGGAGGCGCTTGATGTGGTAACCAAGTATATGCACGATGCAAAGGAAAAATTTATGGGCAAGGGCAACAACAATTTCTGGTGTAGGTTTTGTCTTTGAGCTTTGCTGCTTCTAGAGCGCGTTTTATGCTCACTGAAACTTAGACCTTTTCTCTATTTGTGTCTCGCCGGACTATCAGCGGAAGGGCATCGGTGCCATACTGATGCAGTGGGGAATGGATCAAGCGGACAAGGATGGTCTCCCAATCTATCTTGAATCTACGCCAGCGGGCTACTCTTTGTATAAGAAGATGGGGCTCGAGACTATTGGGGAAATCAAGGTTCCAGAGTTTGAGGGCCTCAATTACCCTGTTATGATTAGACATCCGAAGCAGAACGGTGCTTGATAGCTAACAGAGAGTTCACTGTGGGAATCGTTTGGTTAGTGAGCAGCGTTGGGGTCATATTTATCCATCAATATAACGCTTTTTTCTCTTGGGAGAAGCATTCAAAAGCTTTATACAATGTAAAACTTATCGGGTTGCTTTTGAAAAGTCGAGAAACGTTTCACTGACTGCAGTGATACAAAGGGCCTGAATACAATCTAGCCGAAAAACTATATAGCTATGGGCTTGTGGACGTGTTGCGTTCTTAAAAGCTTCTGTTTAAATAGTAAGACACACTTTTAGATGGTATACGGGACAACGCCTTTTCAAGTAGATGCTAATATCGATATTGTGATACCAGGCAGGCAAACAATCATACTAAAAGCCAGAAGTAGCCACTAAGAAGCAAATACCGATTAATTACAATCAATAACACCTTCCACCACTACTTATCATACTTATCCGTCAGCGCTATTTAACTATAGCAATGAACGTGTAAAATCCGGAATGTTGATCATGGTTACCTTCTTTTCCTACGGCGAGTTTGGCCTTGGGGAATGCAATCGGAGTCAGAACTCTAGTCAACTACCATGGCTGGCGGATCTCACCCATCTCAGTCCGGTCCCCAGAAGTGCAAGGCGAGCTGTCCTTCTCCTTTCCCGACTTTGGATTCCGCTTCGCCATAGCCCTTGGCCTAAATTTCATTCAAGCTCAGAGCTTTAAAGCGTATGCTAATTTGCCGATTAATCGAAGGGCGTACGCGCTGGCTTCAGGACAGGTAAACGAGCAGGATATATAGACTTGTGTTCCAAGAGTTCTTGGTTTAAGGATCCATAACGATGGAGGGTAATCTCAAAGGTTAGCTGCTCAAGACTAAACACTTTGATATTGGAGTAACCCGGGATTTACATTCTCAGTGAAAGTAGATTGTTCAAAGAAAGGAAACCGTTGGAGCAATCAAGACCCGTAAAGCAACTTATTTATGAAAAGCTGCACGTGTGTCCCACCTTTTTGCTATATTCCACTGTACTTGTGGGCTGCACTCCCGAGATCGCCGAACTCCTCAAATTCGTCCTTCCGCAAGTAAACTACGGCATCTTCAACCACGCCACCAAGTCCATGTGCGTAGCTCACATCGTAGACTTTGCGACGTAGGCAGGTGAAGTGGACTCAGGAAGAAAATAGTTAAGGTACGCCGATACATCATAACATCTCACTGAAGAAACACCTCTAGCAAGTGGAATAGTAGGGAAACACGCTTTAGCAACTCGAGCTACCAAAAGCATACAACCAAACTATATCAGTAGAGTAGGCCTCCGTCTCGCTTAGCTTATAAGTAGGTCAAGGCAAGTGATTGTTCTTACATAAATACACAGGCATCTCAACTCTGCTCAAAACTCAGACATCGCAGCAAAGTTCAGCAACGGCGTGTCCAAGAGATTCCGCCTCATCTCTCGCTGTCTCTCAGGATCAAGACGAGCGCGTATAGCCACATGTACTAACAGGTTTGCAGATATTGGCAAGCGCCCGAACTTGGCGCAGGAGGAAGAAGACATAAAAGCAGCCTCAGCCTCAACTGAGAAGCAACCGCATGCCGCCTGCGTGGAGGGAGGAGCAGAATCAGGAGCAGGAGCAAGAGGCCATTTCAGTAGAGGCAGCTGATGATGCGTGGGAGGACCTTAAGTCCTCCCTCGAGACGAACCCGCGCTCCCGCGATTCCGAGCAATTGGTGAGAAAAGTATGCATTACGTCGCCGATAGACTTCACCGTCACTTAACAAAGCTACCCCTCATCACTGTTTGATTTTAACAGCGAACTTGTTCAAGTGCCGTAGCAGCCTAGACGTAAATGCCACCCACCCGACTAGTTTACTGGTCGTTTATTTTGGCCGTGGTATTGCTGGTAACCTACATCTCTGCATAGCAGGTCAGCTTTTGCAGTGTCAATAATCGACAAAGCGTGTGCTCAGTTGCGGATAGGTCATCCATTTATGCAATCGGAGCCTCTTCTTTTTTACTAGCGTAGAGAGAGCAATCGTGGGGACGCATTACACTGGCTAAAAGGATTATTTGTACGTTCTTCATCCAGCAAAGAAGACCAACCCAAACCACTCTCCTCACTTATCCAATCCGTCACCAGAGCTACTACAAAGCAGACAGCCACAACCACTACCGACGAAACAAGACCACAAGTCATTTCAGTATTATTAAGTAGCTAAGAGGAAACAAGTACGTACATCCGTATGTCCGTAGACAGTAACGTGAAAAGCCACAGCAAAATACCTACCGAACACGGCCACCACCACCACCAGCACAGCTCCCTCCCGCTCCGCAAACCCACCCCCGCGCAAGCAAATGCCCCAACGGCAACAAACGAATAAATAACTGACCTTAGTACGTAGTATATGCATACCAATACACAGAGTACTAGCCAACCATTCCACCATCCAACCATCCAAACCCAAGGCGTCCATCCACCCCGCCCGCTTTCCCTCCCTACCCTCCTCTTTTAACCCTCCACCTCTTCACCCCTCCACCCACCCAATAAAGAACAAAAAACCCACCCTACCCATCCACCCCCTTACCAGAAAACCCGCAAGCAAGCGAGCGAGCGTACGTGTAAAAAACCGCAGCCGCAGCCGCAGCCGCAACCGCCGCCGCCACTACCACCTCCCACCCACACCCCAACCCCAGCCACCATCACCACGACCACGACCACGACTCGCGGTACTTCCGCCCTGCCCTTCACCACAACCACACACACAAGCAAACCAAAGCCCAGCTCACCCAACCAGGCCCGACCAAGCCGATCACATCACACACATGCAGACAAGCCAAGACAAACGCAAACGACACACACAAGCGCCAGCCAAACAGGCAAGCAGGCAAGCAGGCAAACACCAAACAACAAGCAACAAGCAACAGGCAGCAAGCAACAGGCAAACAAATGGCATAAGGCAGCAATAACCATAAGTAGGTAGGTAAGCACAGCACAGCAGCGTAGGAAGGACTAGCGCAGACTCCCACGACCCCAACGACTGCACCACACCGCAGGAAGATGAGGGGGCAAGCAACCCCGGCTAGAAGTCGTCGTTGTAGCAACAGCAGCAGTGGACCGAGAAGCAAAAGCAGCAGAAGAAGGAAACAGAGACGGAGACGAGAAAGAGATGAGATAGAGGAAGAGAAAGAGGAGCTGGTAGTAGTGGTGGAATAGGTATGTAGGTAGGTAGGCATCCAGCAGTTAAGCAGGCAGACAAGCAAGCAAATCAAAGCAAGTAAAGAAAACAACACCAAACCAAAAAAACGCACACCAGGAAAACTGAAAGAAGAACAAAACTTCCAACAAAAGAGACGTCCAAAAAAACGAACACTGGCTGTAAGTAAGTAAGAGCGAGTTAACCAAGCAGCGATGACGATGTCGATACCGCCGTCGAAGAAGAGCGAAGAAGAGCGAAGACAGAAGAAAAAAAAAAAAGTAGAAAAAGTAAAGTAAAAGTGTACCCGTGTGCTGCCTTTGACTCGACAAAAAAACAAGAAAACAAAAAAGATTCCTGGTGCCCCATCCCTCCGGTGCCCCATTCCTATTCCCCGTCCCCGACCCCTGTCCCCGGCCCCGTCCTCGTCCGCCCTAGGTTGGTAGGTAGGTTAAAAAAGTTCCTTGTGTCCGCCTAGCCCGCTTGTCTGCCTGCTTGCTTTCCTGCTTGCCTATATGTATGCCTGTCTGCCTGCTTGTCTGCTTGTCTGCTTGCGTGCCAGCGTGCCAGCCAGCGTGCCATCTATCGCGTCCGCTGCCCCGTCCTGTCCATTCAGCAATACATAGCAGGAGGTCCAGTGCAGCCGACTCGGCTCAGCTCAGCCAAACCATGCATACAGCCAGCCAGCCAGTCAGCCAGCTCTGCAAACCTCACCTATTGTGGTCGGTCGACGAGGCTTTCCCTGCCCAAAAATAGTAGCAGCGACATCAGCAGCAGCAGCAGCAGCAGCAGCAGCAGTAGCAGCAGCAAGCAAACCCCATCCAACCCAACCCACCCAATATCGATCGATCATGTGGAAGAAGCAAAAACGAAAAAGAAAAAAAGCCGTAGTAGTCTCCCCTTATCATCCTCCCCTCTCCCCTCTCTCCCTCGAAGAAAAAAAAAAAAAAAAGCCGTAGTAGTCTCCCCTTATCATCCTCCCCTCTCCCCTCTCTCCCTCGCCGTCACGTATCCTTCCTTTCCTTCCCTTCCCTTCCTTGCTACTACGTAACCCCGCCATTATACACAGTCAGTCAATCAATCAAAACGATAACTCCCCCCGGCCTCATCCCGTCCCTCACAGATCGATCAGGCTTCCGCTCTGCTGCTGTTGCCCGCCCGCATGCTGCTGCCCGAACGGGTTCGAAGACCCGCCGAAGCCTGCGCCAGCGAATCCACCGGGGCCCGTCGCCGCGGGCATCAGGCGGTTCTGCTGTTGTGGCTGCACGAAGCCCGTCTGCGCCGGCATGCCCGTGAACTGGCTGTTCAGGAAGGGGTTGTTGCCCGTGGCGTTGGCGTTGATGCGGCCCAGACCCGCACCCGCGCTGTTGACGAACGTGCCTGGCGCCGTGTGCTGTGCCGGAATGCGCAGGTTGCCGACGTTGCCGAAGGTATCCTGCCCATCGCCAGAGGCCAACAGCGCATTGAGCCTCGCCGCGTGCGGGTCCATTTCCTTCTGTGGCTGCTGTTGTTGCTGCTGCTGCGGCTGCTGCGGCGCCTGGAAGTCGCGGATCGGGTTCCAAGCGTTGGTCGGCGAGCCGAAGTTTTGTGCGGTCTTTTGGTCGGCGAGCGAGCCGAGGGTGGGAGCGGTGCTGCGCGTTGGCTGGGCGGTTGCGGGCCGGTTGAGAGCCGAGGCGAACGGGTTGTTGGAACCGGTAGGCTGCGGTGCGATCGAGTCGGTCGTGTGTGCTTGTTGCGCCCAAGGGTTGTGACTGCCAGGTTGGAGCGTGTTTTGCTGCTCAAGCGGCTGTTGTTGTTGCTGGCCGTACATGTCTCCGAAGCCGTTGGACATTTGCTGGCCGTACGGGTTGTTGACGTTGAAGGCGGTCTGCTGGGGCTGGAGGTAACCCTGTTGGCCGAAAGTCGGGTCGAAGCCGGTGGGCTGCTGTTGTTGGTAACCGCCGTATCCGAAGCCGTTCTGGAAGCCGGTCTGTTGGGGCTGCATGCCGGTGGGCTGAGAATATGCGGCGTTGAGATAACCGGTATTCTGCGGTTGTTGCTGGTCGACGAGGTTTCCGAACCAATCCACGGCGCCTTGTTGCTGGTATCCTTGGTTCCAACCGGTGGGTTGAGCAACCGCAGGTTGGGCGGGCGTGTCGTCGAACAAGTTGGAAGCGTTGGTCTCCTCGAGCTCTCTCCGACGAAGTTCCTCTTCCTCCTTACTGAGCCTGATAGCCTTTGCGAGGTCGTCGTCGTCCATTTCGCGGGTGTTGGCCCGCTCACGCCTCTTCCGCTCTTCCTCCATCTCGTTCTTGCTTGCCTCAATCGCCAGCCTGTACTCGACGTCTTCGTCTTCGTTCCTTGGCTTGCGGTTCTGAGGACGGGGCCGCGTTGCGTCGCTTCCATGTCCTCCCATGTGGCCGTAGTCGTCAAGGCCAGTGACGCGCGACTTCCATGATTTCCGGTCTGCTCTCTCAGCGCGCAGTCGTTCCTCATCCATAATCAGGGCGGTGAGCTCCTTTGCGGAAACACGGACTACACACGTTGCGCTTAGCGGTGGTCATTGCGACGGCTTCCCCTGGGGGCAACCTACTGTTCTGGCCCACGTCGCGGCTATCCTCGTCGACGTACTGGAACTCGCGCAGTGTCTTGATGATGTAGAGGTTCTTGCGCGCCCAGGTGACGACGAGTTCGGAGCCCTCGTGCAGGCAGTAGTCCAGGACCTTGAGCGACTTGAGCACGTGCCGCCAGTTCTTGCCTTTATCGTTCAGCCGTTTGTCGAGCATGTCCATGATCTGGTAGAAGTCCTGGGAGCTGTGGGACGTCAGTCTTTTGCCGCTCAGCCCAGCGTCGGGCGATCCCTAGGCCACCCACTTGTTGAAGGTCATCTGGGCGATGTCGGCCATGTCGCTGCCGACAGGGCCCCATGGGTCGTTGCTGGTGGCTGTTGGGCCGTCAGTCGAAGGGTCGGCGGTGGCGGCAATGGGTGCGCGACATACCATTTCGCACCTTGATCTCGACGCTCGAGTAGCCTTTTGTGACGTTCTTGACGCTCCGCACCACCTTGGACATGGTGAATGAGCGATGCGCGCGAGTGCGGCGGGTATCAAAAGTAGGAAAGAATGGGTGTGGGCGCGAGAGTCGGGGTTGTGGAGAGGTTGGAGGAAGAGGCGTGGTTCGAGGGGATGGCTTGGAAGGGCAGAAGGTCGGGCGATGATGCAACGTGCAGCCGGAGCGTTCCTTTTGGGCCGGGGTGCGCGGTGTGCCGGGGGTGTGCTTTAATTAGGTTCTCGTCCTGCAACCAAGCTGCTCGACGCGCAAACGTGTCGAGCGGAGGTGCAGCGTCGGTGTCGACAGGAAGATAGGTAGGACGGCGGGCAAGTAGGTCAGTATCTAGGCAGGAGGATGCTGTTGGCGTTGCTGACGACGTGCGTTCGCTTTTGCCGCCCGAATTGCGATCTGCTGCGGCGCATATGGGGGGGAGAGTCGTAAGTGCCCAGTCGTGCCCAGCCGCCTTGCCTCTTTCGGCAGCCCATATACGGCTTTGACTTTGCTTTGTCGCTGCTAGAGCTGCTGCTCTGCTCGACACACACGCGTCACACCCGCTCCGCTCTGGCGGCTCGCCCGGCATTGCTTGCGATCGTCTTTCCTTACCGCTTGTTGCCGCCGCCATTCGGTCATCATTCCTCACGCTCCCATAATCATAATCAATCAATCAGACAATCACGGAGACGCACGCGCATCGCATAATACAAGCCATTCTAGTCGAACATTTGGAATGAAATTTTATGCGCTCCGTAAAACGTGAAAACGAACACATACCCGCCCCCCCAGTGCCAGTGTGCAAGAGAGGAAAAATAAAAAAGAAAAGGGAAAAACCAGAAAAACCAGCAATAACAAAAAAAAAAAAAAAAAGAAACCCCCCGCATTCACTCCCTGCGGGGCCTCGGACGCCGCCCCTTGGCCCCCCCTTCTATAGATAAAACTCCCGGTTGCAAAACAAACAAGCCAGACCCGTTGAGAGGAACTTTGAGGTATCTCGTATCCCTCGCCGAAAAGTGAGAGGGAAGCACATGCAGAGCCCGAGCCAGTATTAGTTGGTTGGAAACGACAAAGAAGAGTCCGCACGCGTTGAACCGTCACCAAGGGAACCGCATATCAGACCCCGATGCTGAAAGGCAAAACAAAAAGCTCCGTTCCAATGCAAGACGTCCGTAAGAGCTGCCCTTTTTTCTTTTTTGTGCAGCCCGTGTTATTACCCGCTGCTAGTCTTGGCCACACTCACTCTCTCATTTCTTTTCTCTTCCATCGTACAATTAGGGAGGTAGGACGTATTATGACGCAACTATTGCACAGGAGGCGCCCACATGCCACCATCCATCCTCTGGCGAGGGTCGTAGCCGTCAGGCTCAGTGCTGTTGGGCCTGCGGATGTTGGGGTTGGCATAGTACATGTTGGGGGCCGAGGCACCGTAGTGCGGCTCGGGGTAGGTGTAGCTGTCAGCAGGGCCCGGAGAGGGCATGTTCTGCTGGGCGGGCGACTGCCATCCCATACCGCTCATGTGAGGGCTGTGAGGAGCACTGCCAGGCTGCTGCTGGTGGCTGTTCGCAGGGGGCTCCAGGACCGAGGGCGGGCCGTAGGCGCTGGGGTGCGAGGTGATGGTCGGCCTGGGGGGAGCGACAGGCGTGTAGGACTGGGAAGTCAGAGAGGGAGAAGAGCGAGGGCTCGGTTGCTGCATCTCGGGGCGAAGGTGAGCGGGCATGTTCACACCGCCCATGTAGGCGAAGTCGGAGACCTGGCGGTGCATGGCAGGCACGACCGGCATGCCAGCAGCCGGCGAGAGAGAGAGCGGGCGGTTGTTGGGCGAAGGGGTGGGGAGGGGAGAGGCGGTCTCGGAGTAGTCATCCGCATCAGAGCGAACGGAGCGGGCAGGGGCAGCAGAAGCCCTCGACGCCAACGCGGCGGCAGTGGCAGCCGCAGCCTCCTCGACGGTGCCCGTGTGGTGGTTTTGGTGACGCGTGAGCGTCGTCCTACGAGTGAAGGTCTTCTGGCAGTCGGCGTAGGGGCACTTGTACGGGCGCTTGCCAGAGTGAATGCGCCTGTGACGCGCAAGCGAACTCGAGTCACTGAAGGGCTGTTTGCATCGATCGCGTTAGCGTCGTCGACCTCGGATGAAACGCAAGGAGAAAGAAGGCAATTGCCGGCTTACCTTTCCGCAACGCTCGCACATGTGAGGCTTCTCGCCAGTGTGGACGCGTTGGTGGACGGTCAACGCGGAGCGCTGGATGAACTGCTTGCCGCAGTTGGGGAAGTCACACACGTGAGGACGGACACCACTGTGGATGCGCTCTGTGTGTGGGGTTGACGTCAGCTACCCGTTTCAACAGCGAAAGAGGGATCGATGGGACGCGTTTTGCCTACCGTGACGCGCCAAGTCGCTGCGGCGAGCGAAGCCCTTGCCACAGGTCGAGCAGGCGAAAGCCTTGGGTGGGCCCGTGTCGGATGCAGGCCTGCCGCCAACCTGCTGCTGAGACTGCTGATCAGGCTGGACCTGAGGCGGATACGCGTGCTCTGGCGGGGGGTTGGGGAGGTATTGCTGGTTCATCATGGACATGGGCGCCTGCATGGCGGAGGGAGAGGGATAGCGCATGCCGTTGGACATGGCGGGCATGGTCTGGTAAGCCTGAAGAGGAGGAGGAGCGGGTTGCGCGTAACGCGACTGGTAGTCGGAGGGGTGCGGCGACACTCCGCGCTCGGAGTTGGTCTCGGACTTGATGGCGCCGTTCTGGTAGGGCGAGGGGGCGTAATGCTGTTGTTGCATGCTGGGCTGCATCTCGTATGACATGGGTCTTCCTGCTAGAACGCGACCAGGCATCTTAGTATTAAGTATTGTCCCAAGTTCCATATCCTCCCACGGACAAGAAGTGGGTGTGTCCACGCGTTTGCAGGGCAGGCGTGGAGGAGTCTGGAGGAAATGGCGGAGTCCGAGGATTCGGGAGGTGCGCACCACTATACTGGGACTGGCTTTCCTGGCCGCTCCTTGAGAGATTCTGCGAGCGAGGAAACGATGCTAAGGCCCCTTTGCGAAGGGTCTCCTCACCGACGGGGCGTGGGGAGGTGGTTGTTGCGGGAGGGTGGTCCGTCCGAGGGTGCTGTCGAAGGTGCCGGGCCACGCGCGGGTCAAAGCTGGGAGCAGCACTGGCAGGGCGGGTTCGCGTCAGTGACGATTCGGGGGCAAGGAGTCGAGGGACGGGAGGCGCAATGCAGGCGTGTCGAAGGGGAGCGGGAGCGATGCAGCGGTCGTCGGGGCAAAAAAAGGGGAGGGATCAGGGAGTTGGCGGTGCAGGCGGGCTTGGGGAGGTGGGCGATGGAGGGGGCCCAGCGCGGCCAAGGACATACCTTTGAGACGGGACAACACGCGAACAGGGTGGAGGGAGGATGGGACGAGAGGTGGTGAAGGAGAGAAAGTTCGAAGGTACCTACGTGGAATACCGTTCTTTTCCTTCGCGTTTTGGATCTGACTGAGATGCGCTAGGCCGAATTGGGCTGGCGCTAAATCCCTTTCACCCGATTCCCTTCTGACACCAGGATCCAGAGTTTCACCAGTTTCGCCGGCGCTGGGTAGGACGCAGATTGCTGTCGACCGGTGAGGCGTGCTGGGGTATAGTCCGTGAGCTGTGTGGCAAGGGTAGGGGCGTCCTGTCAGGGTGTCAGCCGTGTGCGTGGGTGCGTGGGTGCTTGGGGCGCGTGGCTGGCTATACCTTTGATGCAAGCAGCCGGAGCGATCGCGGGTTCGAAGAGTGGTTCAGGTGGCGCTGGGTATGGCTCTGGGTTTAAACACTTTTAGCCCGCAGGCAATGGGCGCTCGGGAGGGCGGGAATGCGAACAAGTCAGGGCACGCAGAATGGTCACGGCAGCAGGGTCACAGCCCAGGACGGGGCGGCATGGCATTATGTAGATCATGCCGTCTAAACTCTCGAAGACGACGCTGTCTGTCGCGGCCCAAGCTTGTTTGGAGCCGCGGGTTCATCCATTATCCACCCCTCCCCCCTTCACCGCACTGCTGCCAGCAGAAAGGGGGTTCGCCCGTCGCCTGCCCGCACGGCCCCCGTGCAGCTGTGCCGCCACGTTTGGAATGCCGCTAGAAGCCAGGGAAGCCTTCTAGAGGCTCCGCCGGGACCGCCATGCTGCCAGGTGGCTGCAGGGCCCCAACGGCCACACACACGAATTGCGATGGCCGCCAATACGTGCCCATCATCCAGGGGGGGCTGTGTATGTAGGCCGGGAATCTCGGCGGGGGGTCGGAAATGGGTGTGTGTGTTCCCATCACTCATGGCGTCAGTGGGCATCGGCAAGCTGCCGGCGCCACGAGAGAAAGAGAAACCTCAGCAGCCACAGGGAGCGTAGCGCGGCGCACGCCCCCCGAGTCAAGGATACGGAGGTTAAATCCGCACTGATCGCCCTCGGCCAGCTGGCAACGGCCACGCGTGACCTTCTTCGCGCCTTCGACGCGCCTTCTACCAGATCTGCCTGTGCGTGTCGTGGCCCCCCTTTCCAGCCTTTCCCTCGCGCACGAGCAATCTCCGACGCCATGCGGTCAAGTAGACTCGCCACCGGTCACCGATCCACGCGCTGCTTCAGGGGCCGCCCGACTATCGCGCAAGCAGCAAATTTCCAGAAGGCTTCCTCATCTGACCGGCCCTCATTTCCGCATTGCACCGCGCTGCACCGCACGGGCCTGGCCCCACGCCTAGCGTTTCCAGAAGATTGCCCTCTTCGGACTAATCGCTCGGCGCCTCTCGTGAGAAGCGGTGAGCTCGCTGGCCTGCCAGATGCGCGCTCTGCTGGCCGCGCCCCACCCTGCGCCCACCACGACCGGAAGCTATCGCTCCATCCCCGGCCACCACGCTGTCGAAGAGCTTCCATGCCCGATCCTCGATGCTTCCATTTCCCCGCTCGCCTGCGTCCGGCCTGCCAGAGGCGTACACGTTCGTCCCGGCCCACGGGGTCTGAGTCTCCCACCCTTCTCACACCACGATGGCCTTCTGGGGAACTGTGAGACCTCGCTCAATCTCGCAATATCGGCTCCCGCTTCTCATCTCCCGCCCCCGAGTCATTCCTCTTACCACATTGTCCCGCGCCGTCGTGCGCCTTTCTGGAACGACTCAGCGCCGCTTCGGTGCCATGCAGGTGCCGCCCCAAGCTTGTCGTCGATCGTGGGGCTGTCTCACGCCGTGCCGAATCTTTGGCCGCGAGCCCTCCGTGCCCCCCCTCCCTTCAACAGGCCAGGCCGCGAGCGGTGACCGGTCAGAGGGCGCGAGTGGCGAGCTCTTCGGGTGCGGTGAGCCATCGGCAGCGAACCGAAGCCGTGGATCCCAGGGTCCAGAGGGGGCGCATCTCGTCGAGATTGCGCGCAAAAGCCGCGGTTGGCTGCGAGTGACCCAGCTCACAGACGGGGTTGCCGCCGGCAGTTCTTGACGGCCGGACGGGCTGAACGGCGACCTCTGCGAGACCGGCCGCCGCCCGTTGACGGGGTCAACCTGGCTTCGCCCTCAGCCCTCCAGCCTTCCAAGGTCGGCCAAAGGGCCTCATTTCGCCCAATGTGCTCCCAGCTGCCCAGCTTTGGACTGTGAGAGGCCCTTCATTCGCTGCTGCCCGCCTCAGCCTTACGGCTTGCCGCGCGAACTGGCAGCGGATCATGGAGAGCGGCGCGACGGGAGAGCTGCAGACCTGCACGGCGTCCAACGCATCGTACCCTGGTGGCCCGGCGAGCCGAGTCTGCCTGCCTGAGAGCTGCGTCAGTGTGCCCTCATGCCGGTCGCAGCCGCCGCCGCCGCCGCCGTCGCCGGTGCGATGCCGAAGCAAAAATGAGGCTGGCACGGCTGGATCTTCGAAGCGGCGTCCGATTAGAGATTGAGGAGGGGTCACAATTGGAGACGAGCTGCGTCACAAAGGCGCAATTCTGATGAGCCTACACCCGGGTAATTACTGCATTATCTTGGAATATGGCCTGCGTGCCTACGTACCTGTCTGTGGCAGTCGCGCGATCGACCTCGGTGCACCCCCGTTCGTGCGTTGGAGCTTACGCATTGCTGGCCTATTTCCGCTCGAGAAGCCTTGATCCTTCTGGTTGAGGAATCCTTCTGGAAAACGAGATCTGCCACGGTTCATTTCCTGGTTTCTGGCTATCGACGACAGGCTCCCCGGGATCCCGGCTGGGCAGCGGAACGCTGAGACGTCGGACGCCGCGTGAACAAAACGTGAGACGATCGACTGTTGTAAACGGAGTAGTCTGTGTCAGGCCAAGGCTGCAGCCGCGGTAAACGCATGATGCCATCATTCATTGCGTGAGACCCGAAAGTTGCCGTTGATAGCCAGAGCCAGACGTCGGGCGTGTGTTTCCAGTGGTCGGTAAACATGCTATTGAGGGCTTGGCGTCGTTTCGGCAACAATATATCGATATCAAATAGAATGGAAAACGAAAGCACCCGCGGAAGCGAGGCGACAGAAGAAACAGCGGCGTCGGAACCAATGGACATCAGTCCTGCAGGTGGAGAAAGCAAGGCATTGGCAAAAGTCTGAAGGCGGGGCAGGATAGGGTAGGCGAAGGATCCGGCAAGATATTTGTAGACGTCGGACAGCCAGCCAGTCCAGTAGCGGAAGGGCCAGTCGGAAAAAGCTAGACAAGGCGGCGTGACGTGGGAAGCCGCTCTGCTGTTTTCTGATCTGAGAGCCAAGGCGTCGTTGCACGCCGCCGCGGCCTGGCCTGAGACGACCTTTTGCGCGTTTGATGCTCTTGCTGCCTTTGCGGCCCCCGCACTTCGACGCACCTGCACCTGCATGCCGGGGCCTCCCTCTCTGTTAGGCAACCTCTCCTCGCCATCCTCGCCACCATGATCCGCAGCTATCGGTGAGGGGTGCGATGGGCACTGCAATGCACCGCACCGCAACGCACAGGCACCACGTACAGTACCGTGGTAGCAAGTACCTCTCGGGTGTCGCCCGTGCGCTTACTCAGAACCGCCCGCCAACCAGCCCAAGACCTAATGTACATAGGTGCGCCGGTCGTTCGTCCCGTCCCGTAGCCAGCCACACGGCACACGCCCGTGAGCCTCCCGTCCCCCGCTGTGCCTGTGCCGTGCCGTGCCAGTCGTGTCCTAATTTTGGTACAATACACCCACCAACCACCAACCACACCCGTCTTCTGCTCTGATCTGATCTAGCTATCTGGCAGGCGTGGCAGGCGTAGCAGGCAAATGCGCAAGCATGCACGCATCCGCCCCAGCGTCCCGTCCCTGCGCCGTCCCCATCAAACCTATCAAATAACCTAGGTAGGTCCCACCCCACCCGCCACGCACCCGGCAACCCGGTTCCTGGTTCCCGGAGCTCCTATGTACGAGTACCTAGGCTCTGGCTCTGGCGCTGCTCCCCCGCGTCTCATGCCGTGCGCTGTGCTCGGGAGCGCGCTGTGCTGCGCTGTGCTGTGCCGCGCCGCGCTGCTGTGCCGCTGCTCGAGCCGGGGGTGCGTGCGTGCGCGCGCGTGTGTGCGTGTGCGGGGACCGGGACCGGGACCGGGGTCATTGGCGTTGGCATGGATGTGTGCGTGCTGCGGTGGGTGGTGGGTGTTGGTATGGATTTAAATTGGGATGGCGTGTGGTGGTAGGTAGTGATGGATCATTTCGGTGGTGGGTAGGTAGGAGCTAGCTAGAAACGTATATTTTGGATATCGACTACAGGATATATAAAAAGCAAAAAAATAAAAATAAAAAATATCCGACCACATGCTCTGCGCCACGGCGCTGTCGCGCCTTTACCATCTCCTATTTTCCCCCATCCCCCCCTCTCTCCTCTCAAGAGTGAAGATTACATATACAAGCAGCCGTGCAGTGCGTGCGCGTGCGCGTGCGGCACGTCCCATCAATCCATCCATCAATCAATCAGCTTAAGTACCAAGCAACCAACCAACCGGCCTTCAGAGCGCAACGACCGGGCAAAACGTCATCGTCTAGTCGCGCAAGATCTAGGTCAGCAGCACGGCACGGCCTCTAGCTCTAGCCCATCGTTCATGCAAAAGTACAGGACGGAGCGCGCAATCAAAGCAGCAGTAGCAGCAGCAGGAGCAGCACACCGCGCGCTCAAGCCTTAGGCACGCCACCAGTGCCAAACAGCTCCAAGTGGACCCTGCTCTCGTCGACGCCCAAGCTCTTCAGCCCCTTCTGCATATCGACCATGAACTGCGCAGGGCCGCAGACAAAGTACTGCGTCTCCTTGACGCCAACGAAGAGATGCGCGTCCTTATCCAAGCGGGCCAGATCCAGACGGCCCCGGAAGTCGAACTGCTTGCCCTCAGTCTCGCCGTCGACGGGCTGCGACACGAAGAAGACGGGCTTGACGACGCCAGGGCTCTGCTTAGCAGCGCTGCGGACGTGGTCGGCGAAGGCGCGCGCGCCCGTCGTCCGCGACGCCTGCACCCATGTGATCGGGTGGCTGGCTTTCTCGCCCGCGGACAGCGAGTTGAAGATCGAGAGGAGGCAGGTCAGGCCCACGCCTGCCGAGAGGAACACGATGGGCGCCGAGGCGGGCGTCGCCGCGCTTTCGTAGAAGAAGTCGCCGAACGGGTGTGACACCCCCAGCACGTCGCCCACTTGCTTGTTCTTGTGCAGCAGGTTCGAGATGTAGCCGGGGTGCGCGACCGCGGTCGGGTCCTTCATGTTGAGCCCGTCCTCCTGTGATGCGCGTTAGCTGACTGTTGTTCTTTCTATACCCGCCGATCGTGGCGTGCGGTGGTGTGTGTAGTGGGGCTAGTGTGGGGGATATGCGGACGGGCCTGCGGGTGTGTGTGGGGTTGGCGCGCTTACTCTCTTGACGCTGATGCGGTAGTAGTCGGAGCGGGGCGCCTCGCTGAGCGAGTACTGCCGCGCCTGCAGGTGGCCGAACTCAGGGACCTCCGTCTGGACGGAGATGTACTGGCCGGGCTTGAACGAGGGCAGGGGCTTGCCGTCGACGGGGACGAGGTAGAAAGACGTGATCTCGTCGGACTCATTCTCCTTGCGGTCGATCTTGAACTCGCGCCAGTCAGTCCAGCCGTCAGCCGACTTGTACAGCTCCTCCTCCTTTCCGATCATGAGGTTGGCCAGCTGCCAGTAGGCCGCCGCCCACGCGTCGTGGATCTCAGGCGTCAGCGCGTCGCCCAGGATCTCCTTCATGGCCGCCAGCAGGTATGTGCCGACAATGTTGTACTGCTCCGGACGGATGTACAGCGAGGCGTGCTTCTGGCAGATGAGCTCGACGGTCGGGCTCAGCACGCCCAGGTCGTCAATGTTGCTGGCGTAGGCGTGCAACGCCATGGCCAGCGACTTGGGCTGGTGTCCATTGAACTGGTTGGCCTTGTTGAAGACGTTGTTGAGCTCCGGGTTCTCGCGCAGCATGTTGCTGTAGAAGCGCGTCGTGATGGTCATGCCGTGCTCGACAAGGATGGGCACGGTGGCCTTGATGATTTTGGCCTGGTCGGGAGTCAATGCCATGGCTGCGGAGGGTATGCTAGGTAGACTCTGGTGGGTGGATGTATGAGATTGAGTAGCGGGAGAGTGAAATATATCAGCGGCAAGGGTAGATGGCAGATACAAAAGGGTCGTTTGATGTGATGTAATACTTCCGCTACTTTTCTCCTAATCCCGGCCTCTTTATACAGGCCCGGCGCGGTGGATTACAGCTGGTAGTCCACGGAGAAGCCGCGCCAGCTTCAGGGAGACAAAACCCTTACAGGGAGAATGACCGCCTGGTCACACCATCTCATCCCGTAAGCCTCGAGTAGTAGGTCGTGCGTTGCTTCCAGGAAAAGCATGGCGAATAAAATTTCCGCTCGAAATGGCAGCCAATGAAGCCACGCCCTATAGCGAGCGTTGCAGTTACCCAATTTTTCGGTGCGGAACGGATACGTTAGCTCGGATATTGCGGCTGTGACGGGCAAGTAGCTGCGGCGTCAGCAGACGGAGCTCCGTCAGCAGAAAAAGACTCGGAGGCATTTGTTGAAGATTGTGGCTGCTTTCTCCGCGGAGGCGCGGGGAGTGACTGGCGCGCGCAGCACGTGGCTGGCTCGGCTTTCTGTCCCGTGCCTCTGCGGTGGCCTGACTTCCTTCATTCATCTTGCAACCTGCGAAGCCATGCTCGCTGCTTGCGCTCATTGTTGCGCCAGGCCAAGCCTTCCTGTAGAGCTGCTCGACTTTGGAACTCCAATCCTTCTTTTCCCTTCGCCCGGCGGGCGCCAGTCTGGCCACATCTTCTCACGCGTTGATGGCAGCATGCGCGCCGCCACGACGTCCTCGACCCGTTACACCGGATGACGCCAGGAACGGGCCGTAGCTCACGTTGATCGACTGTTGGTCTGGGACGTGTTCGCCGGGGAGCCAAGAGTTGAGAGTTCATGCAAACTGGAGGTGCAACCAGCAGACCGGGGAGATGCGGGGACTGGCTTCTTGGCTTCGTGCATCATGCTGCATGTCGCTTGCCTTGCCATTGCTGTTCGCACATCATTGTACGTCCAGACTTAAGCTTATTGTCACGTCTGTCTGTCTTGCGATCTCTCCCCTATTCCAATATGCGCGTCGCACAGGTGGCCATGTCCATGTCCATCTCTTTGATCGACGTTTCTACCCTATCGCTCCCCTTTCGCTCCCTATAGAACGAATCCCTCCTGAACGTTCACCTCGTCACGTGATTTGGACCGAGGATCGAAGGATGCTCTGTTCGTTCGAGCATCGACAGTCCAAGATCAGTGCCAGCCATGCCTCGTTGCTGATTGCCGCTTCACCGGTGCGCCGCCTTGGGAATCGATAAATGCTTTTAGCGGTGGCACGGAGCATGTTGATGGCGAGATCTCGCCATCCAATGTCTTGGCGGCCGGGTAAATGCACGGTCTTGGTATCGATGGTGGGCGCTCTGGCGCCTCTCCACAATCCTCCAGAACGACAGGGTTGCTGACCATTGTCTCTTTCCTGTCTTCGGGCAAAAACTATACATCATTCTGAAGTTGAAGTGGTTCACGAACATCGCCATGTCTCTAGCCACGACAAGATAATACATCTATCCAAAACACGACATCTGACATTGCGTGTTGCCTGACTATTCTCCGTGGCTCGATCCAAACAATGCGGAGCCCCGCAGTGGGGTATTGCATGCAAGAGCCGGGATCGTGACCTTTTTCCGCAGATGAGCCGCACCTTCTCTGACCTTTTTCGTCTTGCAATCCCGTTTTTCAAGAGCTGTTTGGATCCTAATTGGCGGATTTTTTCTAACATCCGGCAGGAACAGGTTTCTCGCCATTCGAATATGCGGAAAAACGAGTATATGAGGGTCACCATTCTGCCCATGATGGACGGCTTTTAGCAGCCTCCGGAGCACCGTTGTAGCAAGATGCGTATTCCTGATATCTTCACATTGGGCTCATTGCTTGTGTCTGCTGTTGCAGCGGCGCCGAGCGGCGGACGCCCCTTCTTCTACAAGGGCCATGACCTGTCTTCCTTGAGGATCCTTGAAGATAGTGGGACAATTTACAAGGACACGGCTCGTAACAATGCTACGAGGCCTGTCGAGGACATTCTCGGCGATGGCGGCATGAACACGGTGCGGTTGCGGTAAGTTAAAATGCCTCCAAACCTTTGGAATTTCTCACTGACACCAAATCCAGTCTCTGGGTAGATCCCCTTGACGGCAGCTACAACCTCGCCTACACCCTCGACCTCGCAAAGCGGTTCCACGACAAAGGCTACCGCATCTACCTGGATTACCACTTCTCCGACACCTGGGCCGACCCGCAACATAACAATGCGCCCGCCGCATGGCCCACGACCCTTGACGGTCTGACCAGTACTCTTCGCAGCTACGTAAACAGCACGCTGCTCGCCTTCACGGACGCGGGGATCGACCTCAGCCTCGTGAGCCTCGGCAATGAAATCCGGCACGGCATGCTCTGGCCCCTCGGCTACGTCGACGTCGACACCCAGTCCGCCGCCGCGCGCACAGCAAACTTCACGCAGCTGGCCGCGCTGTGGGCTGCTGCGCGCGGGGGCGTGGATGACGCGGTCGCTGTCGGCGTATCCAAGCCCGAAATTATGGTGCACATCGACAACGGCTGGAACGCCACGCTGCAGGAGGCGTGGTTCGATGCGCTGACGGGCTCGGGCATAGCCTCGAGCAAGGACTGGGACGTCTTGGGCTTCTCGTTCTACCCGTTCTATGGGACCGCGGCTACGTTTGACAATCTGCAGAAGACGCTGGATGCGGTTGCGGAGAAGTATGGCAAGCCGGTGCATGTGGTCGAGACGGATTACCCGGTGCAGTGCGATGGCGCGGACGCTCCTGCACTGAGTGAGCCGGAGGTTCCAGTGTCTGCAGAGGGACAGCTCGAGTGGGTGCGCGAGGTTATTGATGTGGTGAGGAAGGTGCCCAAGGGCTTGGGCCAGGGCGTCCACTATTGGGAGCCCGCGTGGTTGAATTCGACGAGCTTGGGGAGTTCGTGTCAAGATGCGATTTTGTTTGATGCGGATTGGAGCTTGTGGCCGAAGAGTACGGGGTATTCGAGGAAGTCGGTGGATATGTTTAAGTATTGAGTGATTGGGGTGCTGTTTAGTTTGTTGTAAAAATGTTTGAGGGTTTGACACGACCAAACTAACCAGGTCTCACTCGTCCTGATAGATGTCAGTCTTTAGTGCGTGGTCATGGGAAGGTTCAGACTTACCTCAAGAGCTAGGTACATACGCACAGGTCACGCAGTCGCAAAGTGACCGCCCACGCATACTTTCTGCAGGTTGTCAGCAAAGGCAGTTACGAGCGCAAGAGGAAGAGGAAGAGATCAAGTAGGTAAGCTTCCTGCATCAGGCTTCCATACTGAACAGTTTGCGAGGTGCGGACATGTTTGCTTGTCTGCGTCTTTGTAAGCGGCGTGGCTTTCAACCGGCAGGTGCGCCCTGGTCCCAGCCAAAGGCAGGCACCGACCCAGCTCCTTCCCCATCTTTCACCACCGCTCCATTTCGCTACTAGCGCATGCGCGCACTGGCCACTCCCACGAACACACAACTTCCCGGCCAGACAGCTTCTGACCAACATTTTTCTTCATCCTCATCACTTCTCCGCTGTCGTTTGACGAACCTCCACTGCTGCTTGTCCCACAGACCGAAGGATCCATCTGCCGCCCAGGCAGGCACTAGGTCACCTGTGCCTGTCACTTGCGGTGCTCGTAAGCTCCAAGCTGGTGACTTGCGACTCTTTTCCAACTTTCACTTCACGGCAACCGGTCACGGTCTTGAATTAAGCTTGAGTGTCAACACAAAATGTCTGATTCTCCTGAGTCTGAGTCTGAATCTCCCGGGAAACTTGACATAGTCCAAGTTTGGGCTATCCCTGTGGAACCAGATATACTGGGAGCTCATCTACAAGCATATAAAAAGCACCGCTGCTCAGTAAAAGTTTTCCAGCTCTGCTATGATTCAGGACAAATTCAAGGAGCCCCAGTTGGTAAACTACCATTGGAGCTCGTTGACATGATTGTCGACTGGGTGATGGTGCAGGATCGACAGGACAACATCAGGGTCTGGGCCAGAGAAAGAGCTTGCTGCGACAACAATTGCCGGATTACAGGCCATGGATACCTCAGTCATGAATCAATTATTGATTTATGGCGTGATCATTTGAGCCATACTGGACGGCAATACAACGAGAAAGACTTTGCTATTGAAGATAATCAACATGAAGTGGTAAGAGTTGAAACAAATGGATGATATAATCGCCGTTCTCCACTTACTAATACATTGTTTATCTAGAACGAACTCTTGAAAACAACTAGTACCCAAGAATTCCAAGCAAAGCATTCTAGACAAAGCGAAGCTGGCCAACGTCGCTATTTTGGAAAGAATCATGAGGGTAGTCTAGCTTCCTACAATACCGTTAGTAGCTGGTCACTTTAAGGCGTATATACAAGTACATTAACGCTGACAGTTCTACTATGAATAACAGATGATGATCAAGGAATTTGGTTTAGAGATAATCACCTTTCATGATCTGGTCGGCATACACCTTCCGCTTTATGAGTTGGTCGATCCCTCCTACGAAGAAGACGTTATTCGAAGGCGAGGTACCGGTTCAAAATGGGACTGGACTTGTGCCCTCTACAACACCGTGGCTTTTCTCACCATACCAGCAATCAAATTTTCCTTTGACGACATTAATTGTCGCCCCGAGCTACGTTATCTTGATGTTTGTAAGATTTCTGGAAGCCAGAAACGCAACTTCGCCATTGCCATGAGGATGCTGAACATCAAGCCTTACACGGCTATTCCCAAAATACCTACGAATATTAAGTCTAAAGCTCATGTCCAGTCTATCTCAGAGGCGCTGTGGAGGCTTAGAGATGGGGCCTTGAATCCCGAGCAAGAAGAAGAACAGAGCGATTCGAAATGCTCATTATTTATGAATCTTACTCAGGCCAAGTGGCCCCAGCTAACAATAAATAGCGTATGCTCAAGGACCAGATCGTGGTATACATGGCATATGGTGGAATATGTATAGAGTAGACCTATGCCTTTGCCAAGAAACACTCAGCAGTCTTGTTTGCTAAAACTCAGCTTCTTCAAGCACGGCCTAAAGGCTAAAACCATCGACTTTGGCTTTACGGGAGGGAAAATGGGAGCTGAAAATCCGGTAGCAGTGCGACAAAGGAACACATATTTCCAGGAAGACCATGATGGTATATCGGTTTCTCTACTTTATCCATATTTACTTATTCTCAGGATCATTGGCAGTTTGGCTAGGAGTTTTTGCTTGACCTTCTATTAGCTAGAGACAGCTTACTATATTGATGCGAGGAGTTCTGCTTTGCTGTCTGCTTTGGAAACTTCAAAACTTTTCCGCCTTCTCTTACACAACCATCAAGTATTATATCATACTGTCTAGCAGAAGCTCCCAAATATCTAGCAAGTTGACGAACTTCTTGCCATATCGTTCTTTGACTGGACTCCAGTCAGGTGAAAGCAGAGGGGCTGATCTGCGGTGGATAGATTACCAAAGCTAGTAGATTATATACTTAGGTACCCATTCGTCAGGCAAAAGAGGCTTTACAGCTTTAGTTAGGTAACTCAGCTTCCATCAAATAAAATAGCGTTGCTGGTGCCACGGACAGGATGCGAAGGAAATTGTCACTAGCTGAATGAAGGTTTAATTTCGGTGTAAGCTTGCTCAGTGATAGATAGGTATGGTACGTACACTGTGAAGAACTTCTTTTTGGTAACGTGAGAAAAGAAGATGTCAGCAGAAAAAGTAAAATAAAAAATAAAAGTAAAAAAAAAAATAAATGGCCCAGCCAGGAATCGAACACGCTTGCAAAAAGTATGGCGCCTGGAGTGTGACACTTACTCGTCTGGGTATAACCCATACAACCCTCGTCGGTAAACCAGAACCGGCGAACCAGTAGACCAGTAAACCAGTTAGGGAGGGAGGCATCATTCACAGGGGCCATGCTGAATGAATGACATCTGGGCCTTATATACTTGTGGGTGTGGTCTGTGGACTTTTGGCGATTATGCATGCTGATAGACACGCAACAAGGCTCCGACCGCGTCTATCCACCCTTCCATCTGACCCCGACCTCTCCAGCCACAACCCCCCGCCTCCCACGACCTCAACCCAGGAACCGAGTGCGTGTATATACATACCTACGCGCGCACACATCCTCTCCAGCTTCAGCCTACCAACCACCAGCACCCTCACCGCTCCACGCGCCGTACTCGAAGCTTGAGTAGCGAAGCATAAACACGTGAATAAACCCCTACCTACTCTACAATCTAACCCGAAGCTTCCTTCCCCCCGCCGGGCCCCCTTCACGAAATTAAACCTCAACCCTCTCGTTAAACTAAACTCAACCCCACCCCCTAGCCAAACCAAACCAAACCAAACCAAACCCTCACCCCCACCCCACCACCCGAAGAAAAAAGCGCCCCCGACAACGCGTACCGGGTATAGCGGAACCTGTGACCGTGCAAGCGCTGCGCTGTGATAAATAACGAAAAGATAGGAGAGGAAAGAGGAAGAATAACACGTCTTGTACCGCGCCTGCACCCCTAATCTCCTCTTACAGCCACCGCCCTACGGCCATCGTCCTCCGGCCTCCGCCCAGCCTCTATGCCAACCATGTAGTTGTTCCAATCTTTCTGCACCCAACAAACGAACAATCGAACGAATGAGCGAACGAACGCTTTTGCGGCAACGACGACGACGACAAAATCAGAGAGAAGGACGCTGGCAGCGACGCTGACACCGAAAGATGGATATGCGAGACGCACAGCAACAGCAGCAGAAGCAGTAGTAGCAGAGCCTTCGTTTATACTCACGTTTCACGCCTTCCCCACCTCTTTACTTACCGACACCTTCTGCACACCCCTTCCTCTCCTCCCAAACCCACAACCCGCGCCTACCGAAACTCTCTCTCTCTCTCTCTCTCTCTCTCTCTCTACCTCCTCTCCCTCACCTCCCCCTCATCCCTCCCTACCGCTTCATCAATGCTCAAGTCCTTGTCCGCCTTCGGAATCCGGACCCACAGCAAGCAGACCACGAAGCCGACGTACGCGCTCGCGCCCGCGTAGTAAAACACCGCGCGATAGCACTCCAGCAAGCCTTTCCCGCGGTTCTTCTCCACGCTCTCCACAATGTCCGCGAACGCGAGACTGAAACTAATGCCCAAGTTGACGAGGACGCTCGCGACGGCCCCGGCCAGCGCCTGGTAGCGCGCGGGCTGGGTGGTGGAGAAGAAGACGGTGGAGATGGTGTACGTGAGGTCGAGGCCGAGGGTGGCGCAGATCATGGCGGGAAACACAAAGCCCCAGTAGATGGTGCGGGTGGGGGCGGAGGTGGCGGGTGCGAAGGCCAGCAGCAGGGGCGCGAGCGTCCACGCGGCGCCGCTGAACCACAGCAGGTACGTGTTGGGCAGGGCGTGCAGGACGGAGCCGCCCACGGCCGCGACGACGAAGCCCCCGACCGCCAGCGGCAGGTACCACAGCACCGTCTGCAGGCCCGACCCGTGCATGATGTCGCGCATGTAGAAGGTGCTGTAGAAGAGGAAGGTGCCGAAGGTGGCGTAGAAGAAGAGGCCGGCGACGCAGAAGGGCAGCGTGGAGCGGATGCGGAAGAAGCGCGCCGGCAGCAGTGGGCACGCTGCGATGCGCAGCTCGACGAGGAGCGCGAGTCCCAGCAGCGCAAGGCCGAGTAGCAGTGTCGTGAGCACTTCGGCGGATCGCCAGCCCCCCGATACGTGCGAGCTTGCGGCCATGGCGTACGCGAGCAGGAAGAGCCCCGGCGTGATGGTCACGGTGCCCAGCCAGTCCATGGAGAGGCCCTTTTCGGCGGCGGAGGACGAGCGGGCCACGGCCGTCGTGGGCACGGTGATGTAAGCCAGCACGGCGACGAAGAGGGAGGCGCCGGCGGCGGTGTAGAAGTAGACGTTCCACGAGGCGAACTGGACAGCGAGGCCGGAGGTGCCGATGCCAGCGAAGAAGCCGACGGGGGCACACGCGCCGTACAGGCCGAGGACGACGTTGCGCTTGCGGCCGGGCGGGTACGTGGTGCCGATGAGCTGGAAGGCGCCGCATTGGATGGCGGTGATGGCGAGGCCCTGCATGGCGCGCGCGACGACGAGGAAGACCTCGCTGCGCGCGAAGCCGCCCAGCAGCGCCCACAGCGCCAGCCACAGCACCCCGGCCAGGAAGAACGGGTACCCGCCGTACATGTCGACGGCGCGGGAGCAGGGCAGCGTCAGCGACGCCACGACCAGCGTCATGACGCTCGTGGGCCACAGCTGCGACACGGACGGGTCAGGAAACTCCTCGACTAGGTACGGCAGGATGACGCCGAAGCCCGAGATCAGGAATTCCGCTACCACTTGCGTCAGCGACATGGAGATGATGAAGCCGATCTCGAAGGCGCGGTTGCGGAACGGGCTCGGCGCCGGCTTTTCGCCCAGCTCGCTGTCGCTGGAGAAGTGCTGCAGGGTGCGGTGCGGGGGCGCTGCGGCGTCTGTGGTGGTGGCGCTGCTCTTGTCCTCCGAGAGGGCAATGCTGTTTGTGGCGGTCGACGCGGCCACCGAGCTCGTCGTACCGCTGCTTGCTGGTCGAGACGCCGCGTGGTGGCCCAGCACGTTGTGCAAGCTGGAGACGCGGTGGAGGGCCCGTAACAGAGACATCTTGGGGCTGGTCCAACGGGTGCAGTGAGCCAAGACAGATAGGGCGTGTCTTGCCTTGTGTACGGAATGCTGTCTGTCCCTCTGTATGTTGATTGGAGATATATAAGGCCACGGCGAACGCACGCAGGAAGGGAAGCCTGGAGGTGTTATCAGCGGGCCAACAACGTCTTAACGAGGACATCAACAGCGCCCTTCCCTCCGGCAAAGCCGCCCAGCAAAACAATTTATACCCTTCCCCTGGGCCGGCAGACACGTTACGTACTGTTGGGGGCATAGGGAGGGGGGGCGACGGGACAGAGCTAATAGACGCATCATCCACAGGGGTGACAACTGACGCAGCGGGGGGCTCGCCCGCGCAATAGTCATTCCCCAAAGTCACATCGACGCAGCGCCTTTTTGCCATGGAACGTCGCGCGGGGCGGGCTAGCAGCAGCAGCAGGGCCGGCCTTGTCGCGGGGACGAGGGCAGTCACGCAAGGTAGGGCGGCCGACGGTGATGATCCATGCTCTTGCCTCCCCCCCTAAGTCTCGTGCCTTATTTTGCTCTGCCGCGAAAGCCTCCCGCGCGCGCTCTCTCTCTCGCCCTGCCGAACAGAGGGATGCCCTGCCCGCGAATCGGAGCCCCACGATAGCGCTCCCCAGGGCATCGACGCCATCGCATTCCTGTGCCACCCCTAGCAACCCCAAACGCAACATCTCGTTCGCCAGCGCCGGGTCTTATCTTCGTTGGCATCTGGATCGCGGCATTTCGATGCGTCCGAGACTATAAGAAACGAGAGAAATAGACTTATTGACTCTGTCCTGTCTGGCGGCCCTTGCTAGGAATATGGCTCGACTAGCTCGGCGGGAAAACGTCCCATCACCCCGTTACCCGGGCTGCTGGCAACTGGCGCGCCCCAAGCCTGCCTAACTTCCGGCAGATCGGGTCTATTGCTGAGAATGATGGAAGAGGTGAGGTTGTTGTTTGTAGGTCGTCGGGTCCTTGTCAGGCGGCCCGGGTCAACCGCGTCCCGCGTCCCGTCTGAGGTGTGACCCTCCCACAACTCCCTCCCATGACCGTCTCACAAACGCCGACACAGCCCGCTGCTACCCGCCTCGGTTTCTCTCGTAATAGCAGCAGCAGCAGCAGCAGCAGCAGTCATATAAACCCCACTCCCCCTCTCGCGTCCCATAAATCTGCCATCTTCAATAATATATAGTAGAGAAACCCGATCCCTGCTCCCACGCATCAAAGAAGAAACAAACAGCTCAACCACAGCTCCACACCTCCCCCACACACCACCGCATAAACCAACGCAAGCAGCTATCTAGCTAGCAACAAGCCCTACTCGCGCCAAGCCAACAAAGCGCACACAAAAAAGCAACCTCAAGCATGCCGACGCCAGAGTATGTACCTAAGAACCAACCTAGCATCAAATAGTCAGACAAGCTCGCATGCCCTTCCGGCTTTTACATCCAGCTCTGTACGGCGACGCCGACTTCGAGATCATCAAGCGAGCTAGCTAGCTGGCTACTCTGTCTTGGACTACCCAGCCTAGCCTTTGGCCTATAGGAGTAAGACATCGCCGCGACAAAAATGTCTGCTGGGTCAGTTGGCCATGGAAGAGAACTTTGTGTTTTGCGTTTGCCTCCTTCCTAAGTGCTGGTGGCACCGTGAGGCTAAGTTTTGATGGCTGCTCGAGCCGGCCAATGCTAGAGCGCCGATTTGCCTTTATGCATAACGCGTCAGACGTCATCGAAGACTGATCCCAACAAACATGTGTTCTGCTCGACTCTAATATCTATTTACTCTACGAACAACGCTCTACTTGCGACTCTTTCTTCTAAAAACGTGTAAAACAGAGTGATCTAACCGCCCAGGTATCTATCTACTGTACAGTTGTCATCTAAGCGCTTTCTAAGTTCTAACAGCAAGCGCCATCTAATCTTCTATAATCACACTCATAATCTTTACAACCGCGCTCTGTACTTTGCGTTCTCCTTTCTGAGCGGCTCCGCCTCCTCATTGCTCTTAGCCGGGGCGCCAGGCTTCGAGCTCTTCTTCGGCGCACTGACATAGCCGCCCTTGGTGTTATCCGTGTTCAGGATCTTGCCACTCGCGTCGCGCTCGATGCCCAGCTCGATGAGCTTTGCGAAGACCTTTGCAAAATCCGCAAAGAAGGCATCGCGATCCTTGGCGTACTTCTCGACCCAAGGGCGAAACGCCGGATCCGAGATGAGCGCCATATCCGTGGGCAACATCATGAGCTCCGTCTCCGTGTCCTCGTCGACGTAGGCGAATTGGCGTATGCCCGATGGCAGCGTCTTGGGCTTCCACTCCAGCGTCAGCAGCAGCTTGTAGTACTGGTTGCTGAAGCGGGTAGGGTTATTGACCCAGGCGCCCTCGAAGCCCGAGCGGTCCGCATGGCAGCGCCCCAGATTATGTGCGCCGGACAGCGCCACGATCTCCTGGTCCGAGAAGCCCATGCGGTGGAAGATGTGGCGCAGGTGGTCAGCGCCGAGCGCGCCGTCGGGCAGCCGTCCCCGCGGTGGGAGCTTGCTGTCGTCGACAAAGTCGGTGCGCCCAGGCAGCCACGAGACCTCGGGCCCGCCCATGTGCTTGACGGCCACGGTCCCAGCCAGCGTCCACAGGTCCGAGTACGTAATCCAGCTGTGCTTGGCCTTGAGCGGCTCCAGGAAGACACGCGCGTGCTGCAGGCCCGCGTTGGCAGGGTCGCCGCCTTCCGCTTCCCAACGCATCCCCGCGCCGTTGCTGCCGCCCGTGTCCGTCTCGGCGTCATATGTTCCCGCCGAGTGCCTGCCCGTACGTGTGTCCGTCAGCTATGCGCTTGCGTGACGTGTGACGTGTCGTGTCGTGTCGTGTGATGTCGCCGCCTCCTAGGGAAAGGAACGGAGGTCTCGGGGATGGCTGGAGATGGACTCACCAGGCCAGACGGACGAGGATCGGGCCTGCGCTTCCGTCGTCGTACTCGGGCTGGTGCAGAAGCGTGACAATGTCCTGGCGGACGGCGTCGTAGTCGCCGGGATTGCTCATCGTGGGGTGTTTGCAGAGGAGAGAATTAAGAATGAACCGGGCCAGAAAAGACAGACTGGAAAAGAGCAAGCAGTGGCGGCGAGAAGGAGGGAGGTAGCGGGAGGAAGGGACATTTTCCCGAGGGGGAGTGTCATGGATCGTTATCAGATGCCGAGGTGCATTCCGCATCGGGCAAGAGGGCAAGGGACTTATCGGGCGGCGGGCTGGGCCGGCGCAGGAACAGCGAAACGGCGAAACTTGAAACGGAGACGCTCAGAGCCGCATGAATCACGTGAAAGCTGTAACGTCGCGTGACATTTTCGTGCAAGGCTCATTGCTCTCCCGCCTCCGGGTCAAGTTTGACGCGATGGCTCGTCATGCATTATTTGTGGCGTAGGTGGCGGGTCCTGGCCGGCTTAGCCTGCTTCGGACCAATCCGCGCAGGACTTCGGGGCTTCAAAGGACATTCAGCTCTGTTACACTGAGAGGGAAATCTCTTCCTCCCCTAAGCATCCCCCGCATGCTCCGCCTTCCTCCCATGCTCCCCCGTGCTCGCGTCGTCAAGTAGCGCCGGCCGTCTAACCACCGAGGAGCGGCCCCCCCGGTCATGCCCTCGCCAATGCAGATTGTGGAGATCGGGACCCTGAGAACCACCTCCAACGACGAGTCCAGCTTCATCGGCTCCAGCACCGGCATCTGCTTCGTCAACACCGTCCGCAACGCCTTCCGCGCCTCCAAGCACGGCCACGGCCCCGCCCCGCCTGACAATCCCGCCGGGCCCGACCATGACCGTCCCAACCCGCTCGAGGACTTCATCCTGGCCGACGGCGACGACAGCCGTCCAGGGACTCCCTCCCGCCCGCTCCCTGCGCCTGCTCCCACCATCGCCAGGGGCCCTTCGTATGATGCCGCACCCCCCGGCATAGGCCGCGCCCCCGATGCAGCGACCAGCAGGAAATTGATGGTTTTGTACTTCAAGCTATGGTCATTCCAGCCCGCCCCGCTTCGGTCCGTCCAGCCCTAATCTGATCCTCAGGCATCCGCTCTTCCCTTTTGTCCACGGGCCCACATTCTACAGAGAGGTGCTGTGCTCTTCCAAGACTGCTCCATCCCCCGTGCGCTGATGACTGTAGGTCGAGGCTTTGTACGACCCCTCAAAGCCCTTCCACAACCCTCCTGGCAATGATCCAGACCGCCACCGGTGCTGCCGCGCCATCATCACCCAATGCATCTTGAACATTGCCGAAATGGGCACTGATAAGAACCTGCTGCCGCGCTACTCCCGCATCGAGTCGGCCCATAGCCTGCTCTTTTCGTTGAGTTCGCTGGCCACTAAACAGGACCTTCACAGTCTTCAGGCCTTGTTCGCTGCCCAGCTGTACCTCCTCACCGCGGGCTCGTTCAGATCCTCCTCGGCCATTGGAGGAACACTGGCCAAATCATTGTTTCATGCGGGTCTGCATAGATGCCCATATCGCTATCCGCAGCTCTCCGAGCACGAGCGAGACCTCCGCAAGCGTCTCTTCTGGAGCGCGTATGTAGTCGACAGATACCTGAGCCAAGGACTAGGCTTGCCCCTTGGTTTCCAGGACTCTGACATTGACGTGTGTCTCCCGGGGGAAGAAAGGCATAGGCCTGTCATTCTCCGTGAAACTTCGTCGGGAGAGGCCGCCCGTAGTCAATATCCGCGCGAGCCTTCGACCGCGCCTATCTCAACGACTATCGTTGCCAGGGTCGCTTCTCAGAGCAACGGCTCCGGCGTCGAATGCCGCGCCGGGCCAAGCATTGACGGGGAAAGGATGTTCGCCAGGAGAAATCCGAAAGAGGAGCACCGAGATATCGTTCTCACGGGCCTGGTTGGGTATAGCCAGTTGACTGGACGCGCTGTCGAGCTCTTCCACAAATCGATACACGTCCGTTCTGTCGACCATAGCAAGATCCTATACATAACGGCCGATATCCACAGCTGGTGGAACTCTCTTCCCCCCAAACTCTCTGATCAAGATACAGTAGTGTACCCGCGTGGAGAGCCTGGCGATGATGATAGCGTTAGCTTTGTCCCTCTCTTTACGATTCTCTATCAACAGCTTCTGCTTCTTGTTAACAGACCTTGCCTGTCAATGAATCCGACGTCGCCAGAATTCATGGCCAGCATGCAGACATGTATCGGAGCCGCGCGAACAATTATTGGAGGACTGGAGATGCAGTTGCAAGTGAGGCAGCCGTTCTTCTTGCCGGAGTTGCTCTCCGCGAGCTGGATGGCTGGGTTGATATTGGTATTTGCCTGCCAAGTGCGGTACTATCCTGCAGAAAAGGGACACGCGTGAGTTATCTCATTACTGCAGCAAGAGCGTGCTAACAATAAGTAGGGAAATCCAAGCATGTCTGCAGATCTTGCGCCTCATGAGCGACCACTGGAAGAGCGCAACAAACTACTACAAAACACTAACATCCCTCTTCGCGGATCTGCAAGCCTGCCACTCTGCCTCCACCACCGCAACCACCAACGTCACCACCGCATCCAAGCGCGTCTTCTCAACCACCGAAGACGACGCACGCGCACGAAAGCGCGCACGCACAACCCCCCAAGACGAAAACGAGATGCGGCCAAGCGGCGGCCTCACCCCCTCAGCCGCGATCCACCGCGCCCTCTCCTCTGGCGCCGACAGCCAGCCCTATCGCACCCCGTCCCTCCAACGCGCCTCGAGCTCCCTCTCCGAAGCCAACGCCCTGCACACCCCCGTCGCGCACCTCAGCCCGCAGAGCCTGTACGCGGCGGCAGCGGACCAAGCGGCTGCGCAGATGGGGGGTTCTGCCGCAGCGAACAATGCGACGCTGACGAACTCGGCGCTGACGACCTCACCGCTGCCGTTTCAGCTCCCCCAACAGTCTCCGCAGGTGGGCGCTGCGCAGCAGAGCTACATGCAGAACATGTCGCCTCCGGGGCCGGGGTCCGCGGCGTTTGACCACCAGCAGCAGCAGGGGCTCTGGCACGATCCGGCAATCTACGCGGATGGAACGGCATTTTCATTCCTCAGCGCGGATCCGCAGGGAGCGTGGGACCCGGACGCGCTGGACCCGGACATTAGCGCCGTGGACGCGTTTGGGCAGGTCACATGGGGGAGCCTGGACGGTGAGTTTGCGCGCGCGATGGGGGCGCCGAGCCGCTGAGTTTGGGTGCTGCTTGGTGCTTGTGCTGATTGTGGTGGCAGATTTCACGTGGAACCCGTTTGCGGAGGGGTAGAGTTGGCAAGGGAGGATACGGTTGCGTTTTGCTGCTGGCTGGCTTCTTTGCCGCTTTTCTTGTTCCTTGCCTAGGTTGGTGTCTTGCCCTGTCTGTCTGGACTTGTCTTGTTTCAGGCCTTAGTCCGTGGCGCGCAATAGTGCGCAGTGCGAGTGTCTTGTCCGCGCGGTTGGAAAGACGAGGCGAGCCGTGTCGTGTCTATGGCTTGCTAGGCCGGTCATCTAGGCCGCCGTGGCGCAGACAGACTACCTACCTAGGTACCTACATTGCACGCTGTCTGAGGCGGAGGCGCGGGGGCGCGGAGGCACGAGGCGTGGGAGAATGCCGCGCCCGGGGTGGGGTGGGAAGAGGAGGGGTGGACGAGAGACGAGCGAAGTCGAGATATAAAGCCGGAAAGACTCGAGGATCGGAGGTCCGAAGCGGACGGAACTACCTACCTAGGCCCTGCCTAGGTATATTTAACCCGCCAGGGGAGAAGAAGCGGTATCACCTACTCCTAGTGTGAGAAAGGGGCGGAAGGACATACATCGGCCGTTAGGGTCCGATAACAACCCGGTGTCCGCTCTGCCACACCGCCATCTTTGATTGGGTGGGTATCAAATACTTTGGCATGTATGTAGACGAACTCGTCTTTTGGCATGCTGGTGGTGCTATGCCATAGGTACTAAATAGACGATAACGAGCGTGTTCGTGGGATGCGTGTGCTGGTCATGGTGTTTGGCTGTTGCTGTTTGGCGCCGTTGTGTGCTCATAGCGACCCTTACCGACAACAATGGCAATGCCGCCCGCCGTCCATGACCACGACGGGTCGACTTGGTCTTGGGTGCGGGCATTGCCCTTGCCTTTGCCATTGCCTTTGCCGTCCCCATGGGCTTTGGCGTGGGCTTCGACTTGGTGGAGGAGGGAAGGGAGCGTGGTGGAAGTTTACATAGGCAGTGCGTCTAGAGGTCTAGCTTGTATTGTACATGTACTGTAGAGAGGTACGGATATGCGTGTGCGTAGCTAGCTAAACAACTGCATAACCAATGCTGATATTGCACCTACCTTTGTTCCCGATAAGGCCAAGTCGTTCAAAAGTGCTGCGCCGCCGCGCATGCTTGCTTGCCCCACCCCCGCATGCACCCCAGCCTACCTGCTTCAATGGCTTCACAAGCAACAATCCCAATCCAGCACGCACAGCACGCAATCACATTAGTAAGGTCCAGGTGGTTCGGTGTTGGGCCGTCGCTGTCGACATTGCCGTCGTGGATGGTGCGTGGTGGTTGGTGGTGGAGCGAGGGTGCCAGGGTGCGTGGATTTGTCATCCGCGGCGATGAGATCATCGGAGGGGTGGAGGTGGGGTGGGGGGGTATATAGCCTAGCGCTCAGAGCTCAATTTAGATGACAATTCGGATTGGAAAGGCAAGAGCTAGGGAATTTGGGACCGCGTGTCAGAGATCTGTTTGTTTGTCGGCTTTTTGGATTCTGACACTACATCACCTACTATCTGCGCTACGTACGGTCAGCGATCACAACAGCAACAACAACATCATCATCATGGCCGAACCAAAAGCGGCGCCCCTCTTCCCCGCCTCCTTCGTCCCTTTCGCTGTCGAAACCGCAGAGGGCGTCACCATCCGCGGTCTGCACAACCCCAGCACAAGCAGCAGCAAGCCGCCTCTGCTGCTCCTACATGGCTTCCCCCAAACGCACGCAATCTGGCATCTAGTCGCGCCGGCACTGGCGCAGCAATACACGCTCGTCCTCGCAGACCTGCGCGGGTACGGAGCATCGTCCAAGCCGCCCCCGTCGGCCACGCACGCCGCCTACGCCAAATCCGCGCTCGCAGCCGACTGCGCAGCGGTGATGACGGCGCTGGGCCATTCGCGCTTTAGCGTCCTGGCGCACGATCGCGGCGCCCGCGTCGCGCATAAACTGTGCGTTGACTTTGCGGACAGAGTGGAGAAGGCGATATTGCTGGACATTGTGCCCACGAAGGCGTGTTATGCGGCTACGGACAAGGACTTTGCACGCTGGTACTGGCATTGGTTCTTCCTGATCCAGCCGGCGCCGCTGCCCGAGACGCTGATTAATGGGATGGGGGGCGGGAAGTTTGTCCGCATGATGCTGACGGGAAGGGAGCCTGGGACGGGCTTTTTTGCTGAGCATGCGTTGAGTGCGTATGAGGAGGCGGGGGAGCTGGAGGGCGCGGTTCATGCGTGGTGTGAGGACTATCGCGCGGCTGCGGGCGTGGATTGCGATGAGCAGGAGGCGGATGAGCGCGAGGGCAGGAAGATTAAGGCGCCCTTGCTTGTGCTGTGGGGGAAGAAGGGCGTCGTGGAGGCGTGTTTTGATGCGATAAAAGAGTGGGAGAAGGTCAGTGTGGGGGGTGTGAAGGGCAGGGCGTTGGAGTGCGGGCATTATGTCCCGGAGGCGCAGCCGGAGGAGCTGGTGAAGGAGGTGTTGGCGTTTCTGGCGGAGTGAGTGGGGAAGGGACGACTTGTGTGGTTACAGTATGCGCGACAGAGGGAAGCGGCCTATGTACCTAAATGGAAGGCGAGACAGACGAGTCTCTCGCCCTCTTATTCTTCTTCTTCTCGCTCTCGCTCTCCCTCTCCTCTCCATCCCTCAACCCTCATCTCTCACTCTATAACCATCCCTTACCATCCCAACCACGAACCATCATCACCCTACACCCACTCATCTCTACAAGCCACTACTCTACCCACACCACAAGCAGCACCTCCGACGCCAAACCAACCCTCCTCTCTACCTACCACCAGCTCGACGCCAACCGACCAGTAACTACTCCACTCCCAGCAAACGCAACAACCGCCAAAATGACCACAACCACAACCGATGTCATTGCCTCACCCTTCACCCTCCTCCGCGCCGTCCTCACCCGCATCATCACACTCGTGGGCGATGTCTTTTACCTTCTCGTCAGCATCTTCCAGCGCGCGACGGGCCTGGCTGAGGATACGGCTGAGTTGTTGTTGCGTAAGTGCCATCCATCATCCCTCTTTCCTGTTCTTGCTCATACAAAGCTAACCCCCTTCACCACTAGGCAACTTCATCGCCCTACTCCTCATAGCAGGCATCGTGCTCGGGTGGCTCGCGTTCGTGGAGCGTCAGCAGCAACGCCAGGGCGGTCCAGTGGGTCCCATAACGAGGACTGGAACCGGCCTTGTCGAAAGCGTACAGCAGGTTGTGGGACAAGGGAAGAAAAACGTGCAACAGGCTGTGGAGAAGGGTAAGAAGAAGGCTTGATTGCGGGATGGTCGTATGGGTATGGCCTTGTTGGTTTGATCGCTATTGTTCGGCTTGTCTGATTAGGCTGAACATGTCTGGCTGTATGGATAGAGGAAGGAGGGAGCGCTAGACTTAGACCTGATTAGACGGAGGAAGCACGGGTCTGGCACCGCTGGTGATACATACCCTAGATAGATAACCCGATCAACAAACTGAGCCTTTCTACCTCAACACGACTACATCCCCAACTTGTACATTCATAATACGCGCGATCTCCACACCAGCACAACCACAACCACTCACCCTCATTCCATCCCACACACACACACACACACACACACACACACACACCTCCCACTCTCGCCCCTCCTCCCACCCTCCTCCTCCGCACCCATCTTAAACACCACATTCACCGGCACCGCTCAAACAACTAGGTAGCTGTAATGAAGACAAAAGAAAGTGCTCGCAGCGAGAACGACAACTTGACAATCCCACGCGCGAGCAAGAAGAAAAGATCAAGGAGCTAGGGTCCCCCATCACGACTCTCTCCAATTCACGCGTCCACCCAACGCAAAAGAGCTACCTACCCTAGCTGCCATGTGACGAGGCCAATTATTGACCACCAGGCATGAGGCGGGGATGCTCACCATCACAGAACTCTGTCGATATTGAACGCCACTTATCATTAACGAGGTATTCTGATGACGAACGACAGTAGGTCAGAGAAGAAATAGACAAATAAAAATAAAGACTTAATTTTTATTTTTCTTTCTTTCAGTGTAAACATTTAAAGCGTCTCAAACTCTTCATAGAAACACCCACTAAATGGCAAAACAAACGCCGGCGTGGCGGGCTTTTCTTAGCTTTGTTTCGAAATCTAGGTACACAGTGCAGACGCCCTTCCGCCTACCTATCCATGTGTCTCCGTTCACGTTTGTTGAATGCAGCTTTGTTCTTGTTATTCTGTTTTCCTATTTCACTCTCAGCAGGACCATCCATACCTACATACCCTCCTATATCTCCCCTTTTCAAAACACACACACGCCCTCTCTTGCCTCTTCACCAAATTCCCAGCCAGCTTGCACAACACGCAAAGCGTCACTATGCAGTCAAAGCAAATCCATTCACGGCATCCTGCATTGCCAAACTACGGACAAACGAGCGTGCAACGCGGGACAACAACGAAAAAGGTACAGCGAAAAAACATTATCCTCCATACGACCTATACGACGCAGAGTCCAAAAGCCCAAAGAAACCCCATGAGTAGGAGAAGGAAAGCCCCACATCAGCAAAAAAGAACAGAAAAAAAAAAAAAAAAAAAAAAAAAAAAAAAAAAAAAAAAACAAGAAACACCAACACAACAAGAATACATCTTCGCGATTAAAAGCCGGGAAATACTCGCGATTGAAAAAAGGAAGAAATACCAGTACCAGAAAAACTCTGCGCCAGACTTCTTAACAAACAACAACAGCAAAAAAAAGCGCCTGCAAAACAAACCTCTTACAATGCAACGACCCAAAACCCCCCCTAAGCAAACTACCGCCTAAAAGCCCCCGCGACCTCATCGCCCCAACTACCCACATCGACCTCGCCGGCATACACGTCATTGTTAACGCGAATCAGCATCTGCCAGACGTCCTGGTACTTGCGCTCGCACTCGGCCAGGACCTTTGTGACGAGGCCGCGGCTCAAGCTCGGGTCGTCGGCGTCGCCGAAATGCTTGTCGACGCGCTTGCGCAGCGCCTCGATGCCGCGCCGGATTTCCTTGGTGTCGTTGGACGCCGTGATCTTCTTGAACAGCGAGCGCGAGTGCGACGGCCGCGACGAGATGGCCGAGGGCGGCGTGCCGGCCGGCAGCGCGGCGATGATTTGCGGGATGGGGGAGAGGAAGTCCTGGATTCGTTAACGCCTATACCATGCACATACACACACTTCACACTCACCAGCAACTTGCCCAGCGGCCGCCGGATGACGGCATCGACATATAGGGCCATGTGCTCGTTCATCTCGGCCTGGGCGCGGTCGCGCCAGTCACCCAACACAATATCCCCCCGCGGCTCGACCTCCTCCATGTAGTGGTTCATGTTCTCGATATGCAGGATATGGTAGTTCAGGGCCTCCTTGTCCTCGGGGTCGGCGCCAGCACCACTGACACCCGGGGCCTGGGCGGCGACGGCGGCAGGGCTCTCCTTGGCAATGACCTTGAGCGACTCGAACATGGCCTTGTTGATCTTCTGGTAGGCATCGTCGACCATGGTGCGGACCTCGAGACGTTCAGGATCGTCATACGCCGGCAGCATGTTTTCGATGGCGGCGGAAAAGTGGGGGAAGGTCTTGATAAAGGCGATGACGCCCTTGCGCTTCTTGATTTTGACCTTGGTGTCTTCAATGGCCGAGATTTGCGTATCCACAAACCGATTAAACAGTCCCGTCAAGCGCGTGTGCAGGGCCTGCAGGGTGCGGGTCAAAAAGTCCTGGTTCGTCTCCTCAAGCTCGATGAGCTTGCGGTCCAGGGCACAGAGAATGCCAATCCCCTGCAAAGGATCGTTCCGCACTACCCACTCCACCAAATTCTGCAGCTCCTGCGGCCAAAAGGCGAAAATGTCGTCCATGACCTCGGCGACGCGCTTGGCCAGGGCGCGGTCGGGCTCGAACATCTTGCGCGCAAACAGATTACCACCGCGTCGGGACTGCGGACGCGCAGACGTGACGGCGTCGGCAAAGTCCATGTTCTCAATCGATGAGGCGTGGAAGAACTCAACGACAAAGTTCTGCTCCGTAAACACCAACGGCGTCATCTCATCCAAAGCCCCCGCAAACGACTCGTAGTGATACAGCGTGCCTCCCTGTAGCTTGGTCGCCTTGTCGGCGGCGGACTTGAATTTTCCGGCTAGGCCTTGGCTGCGCTTGACGGTGAGCTTGCGGGCAGCGCCGTGGACCGACAGACTCTCGGTATCCTTCTCTTGCGAGGTAAATAGCAGCTCCTGTTCCTCTCCGGTGCTGCTCCGCGCCATGCGCTTCCACGCGATGGCATTGTCGCGGAATTCGTCCTGGTACAGATGACGGGCGCGGCCTTGGTACATCTTCAACAAAGCATCCCAGGTATACAGGTCAATCTCCTTGGCAAACAGAAGCAGCGGACTGTACTGCCACAGGGCATTCCGGGCGACGTCGTGCAGCGCAGGATCCAGCTTCGTGTCCGATCCCGCCCGGTTCATGGCGTCGCGGGCGGCGAGCATGGCGGCGCCAAACGTCATATCCATGTGCTGCTTCAGACGTGCCAGGAACGTCGCGCTCTCCTGCAGGTAACTCTCCTTCTTCTCCTGCAGAGCGCGCATATTTCCAAGCTCTGTACTTCCCATACCCCCAGCACCATCAATGAGCGACGAATGAACACCCTGGCGCAACGACGGGTCGATGGTGATCATGGCCTTGTACAGCAACAACAGCGAGCTCTCAATCGCCTCCAGACCCTCAATCTTACCAATTTGCGCGCGCTTGAGCGGCTCGAGATGACGCGTATCAATCGAAATGGTATCCACCAAACTCTTAAGCTCGCCATGAAGCAGCTTCTGATTAGCCGTCTGAACTTGCAGACCTTGCGACTGGGCTTCGATGAAGGCGATATCATCATTAAGGCTCTGTTTCCGTTAGCCCTCGTCCACCACCACAAACACAACACACTCACGCTCAACTCCACATTGTACAAGGTCAACAAGCCCTCCAACTCGTCACACTCGCCAATCACCTTGTCCAACAATTTCTCCACCGCATCGATGCGATCGTCATTGTGCTCCTGCTGACTGAGCCAGCTCCCCGCTTCCACACGCGCAATCTCACGCTTCAATTCTGCTTCAAAAGCATCCAGCTTCTTCGGCTGCATACCCCCTCGGGCCCAGCCAAAGTCGGAAAATACGGCCTCAATCTCCAGACCGCGACTGTCCAATACACTAGGATCCAAACCCAGAGATGCAAGATATTTGGCTTGCGTGTTGGACCGACGCCTCTGTCGACGAATATCATCAGGCGATTTCGACCTCGCCGCCTCTTGATTAACTTCCAACGTCCCCGCTTCCGCTGCCACAGCCTGCGCAACAACATCTTCAACGGCCGGGGTCGGGGCTGAGACAGGCTCGGACACCTTGAGCGACGGAACTTCGGCCTCCTCTGGCTTACCCTCCATCTCCACAGGCGTCTCCGGAATCATACTGTCATCCGTATTCTTCCTCGCCAACGACGGCGCATTGAACACGGCAGTAATACCCTCCGCTGCCTCGCCCGTCGGCTCTTGGTTGGCCGCCTTGAACCTCTCAGCAGCACCGCCAGTTCTCGGCTTAAAGGCTCCATACGTATTCGCAGCCCGGCGAAGAATATCGCCCATTTTCTTTTGGTTGTTGTTCTTCTTCATTAGCATCAACGCCGCGGCGGGCCTGGCTTCTTCCGATACAGACGTGGCGGGGGAATCGTCTTGGGATGGCGACTTTTCTGGCGGGGTCGCGTCAACCGGAGCAACCGGGGGAGTGGCCAAAGGCGTTTCGAACGGCTCTTGAGGTTTTTCCACGGGCGTGGCGGGGGCGGGTTCCTCCCGCTTGACTTCCGGCTCCTTGACCTCGGGCTCCAGGGGCGTTGGCGGGGCAGGTGTTGGTTCGGGCACGGCCACGGGCGGGAGTCTCGGGCTGAGAGCCGGGGGCAGACCAGGGCTGGGCGTGGGCGACGGCAATGGCGATCCGGCCTTTGGCGGGGCGCGGGGCGATCTGAGAGGAGCGGGAAGGTCGTCGTACTTGGCCTGAGGGGCCAGCATGGGGGGACGCTTGCGGACCGGAGCTTCAATAGGTTTTTCTTCCGTTGACAAGGTGCTAGTCGCCGTCGATGGGCGCAGGCTATGCGGTGAAGGTTCGCGATTCGCACCGTTCGGGCCCCATCGATTCATGGTCGAGCTGGCCAACCCAGATCCAGCCAACCCAGGCCCCTCATCTTCCCTCGACACTGGTGACGCCGGATACTCTGACCTTGAAATGGGCGACGGCGGAACATCCGTGACAATCGACGCAACCTCGGGCTTAACAAGAGGCGACGCCGGCACATCCTGAGCTCGGACGAGCGGCGACGAAGGAAAGTCCTGACCTCTGACGATTGGCGACTTTGGAATATCCCTGATAATCGGCGAAGACGGATCTTGCCCCCTGATCGAGGGCGAGGCTGGAAACTCTGGCCGCGAAATGGGCGACGCGGGAAATGGCCTCGGCTTTCCAGGGCTCGCCATGTTGGTCATGAGCGGAGGAGGGCCGCGCCCTCTCGACGTCGAACTTCCATTCGGCGATGTGGGACGGAATTCAGAGTGCGACGATTTCGGAGTAAGATGAGCGGTCGAGAGCGAAGGAGGCAAGGGCCGGGCATGATCATGACTAGGACGATCACTGCGGTCACTACGGTCACTACGCTCACGGTCATAACTTGGCCGTCCCCGCATCTGTTCCCTACTCGGGGCCTTGCGCATTTCGCGCTCTTGCGACGGACGCGGTCTCCTGGCATCACGATCCGGTGGCATGGGCATACGATCTGTGGGCATAGGATCCCTCCCGCGTGACGGCGGGGGCCGTGGCTGACCAGGTCTATCTTCACCCGCCGTGCCTGGACGACTCCTAGGTTGCAAAGGGCGCGGTTCGTGACCAGGCAGCGGCGGTGCGCCAGGCGAAGCGCCGGAGCGCGAAGGCGGGGGTCTCGCAGGACTAGGAGGATTACGGGCAGACGGCGGCCCCGGACTAACCGGTTGACGACCAGACGGTGGCCCAGCAGGACGCAAGACCTGGTCGGCCTCGCGCGAGCTGAAACCTATCAGCTGCGGGGCCTTGCCAGACGTATACTTGCCATAGATTTTGATTAAACTGTTAATAAAAAAGTCCTTTTCCTTTGGGGAATTTGCCTGCCAGTAATACGGCTTCGCAATGGTCACGACGAAGCCAACGGCGCCGGCCCACTCTTTTCTTTGCGCATCTTCCTGGCTCTTGGGCGAGGCGTGGGCAAACGTCTCAATGGCAGACAGATCCTCGAGGTTCCACGTCTTGCCAATAGAAAAGGAACCATTGGCGTTCTCCCTGCCTTTGTGAATACGCACGCGGCCGGAGCTGCGCACGGCGATAATGACGACTCTGGGTTTCTTATTTTGGGGCGGCGAGCTAGGAGGCGGGGGCGTCTGGGGGTAGGCGGCGTCTTCGGTGACGCGCAGGTGGGTTATGTACGACTCGGATACTGTGCGGTCAGCGAGGCTCAGGCTCGGAAAGGTGGCGGCATACACGCTCCGTTTGGATCCATTTTGGAGAAACAGCTCTCCATGATGCGGCGCTTTTCGTCCTCGTACTTTTCGGCGCGCGAGGAGCCTTGGGCGGGGGCCCTGGCATGGCGGGAGTCGTCGCTGGCCCGGGGGCCATTGGCGCGATCGTGGGAGCCGTTCATGGCGGGCGGGAGGCGAGGTTCAGGGCGTAGGGGATATGCGTGTCAGGGCGGTGCAAAGGGCAGCGTTCATTGTCCGAGGCGGCGGTCGTGAACGAGGGCGGGCATGGACGGGAGTTGGGCGGAGCAGCTCCCTGACGACGCTGGCTGGTGCGGGAAGGCGACACGGGCGGGCGAGGCGGCGGCGAGGATAGACGGGACGTCGAGACTCGAGAAGAGGTCGACTCTGCTTTGAGCCCAAGCTGAGACACAGACACAGACGAATGATGCAGCCAGCCAAACCCCGACAACCTTAGGTAGACCTTGGGTTAGTCCAACGTAGCGCCACGACCGCCAGCCGCCAGCCGTCAGGCGGTGAACAAGAGTCACCGGCAGAAAAAGTTGACCATTTTCCTTCCTTCTTTCCCCACCCTTTTCTCCCCCCATCCCCCCACAATGGCCAAGTCTAGCAAGGTCACCAAAAAGTCAAAGGCCCCCAAGGCCCCCGCCGCCCTCGTCGATCTCGTCCACGCTTTCCTCGCCGACCACGGCTTCGACAAGGCCGCCAATGAGCTGCGCAATGCCGCCAAGGCCGACTTTGACGGCGCCGCCAAGGGCAAGCCCGCCCTGGTAGATGTCTACGAGGAGTGGGAGGAGGACCGCGAGATTGACGCCGAGGTCAAGAAGGAAAACGGACCCGCCGACAACGGCTCCGACGTCGAGAGCAGCAGCGACTCGGACAGCGACTCGGACAGCGACTCGGATAGCGACTCTAGCGACGACAGCAGCGACGACGACGAGCCGGCCAAGAAGAAGGTCAAAACCGAGTCCAGTGACTCCGACAGCGACTCGAGCTCCGACTCCAACAGCGGCAGCGACTCGGACTCGGACTCCAGCGACTCGGGCAGCGACTCTGACTCCGACTCCGACTCGAGCGATTCTGACAGCGAGTCTGAAAAGCCCAAGGTCAAGACGCCATCCTCCAGCTCCAGCTCGAGCAGCTCTAGCTCTAGCGATTCCGAGTCTGAAAAGTCCGATTCTGATTCCGAGTCTGGCTCCGACTCTGACTCCGACTCCGACAGCTCCAGCTCCAGCTCCAGCAGTTCCTCCGATTCGGACAGCAGCGACAGCAGCGAAGACGAAGAGAGCGACAGCGGTAGCGATAGCGACTCCTCCTCCTCCTCTTCATCTTCCTCATCCTCATCCTCCTCTTCGTCGTCTTCCTCCGCCTCCGAGAAGAAGTCCAAGAAATCCAAGAAGTCCAAATCCACGCCTCCTCCCCAGGCCAGCAGCACGCACAGCGACTCATCCGCCACCATCGGCGCAAGCTCGCCCGCACAAAAAAGCAGCAAGCGCAAGCGCACAGACGACGAGGCCACCACGACCACCGTGACCACGACGGTAACCACGACGGACAACTCGGGCACCGACACGCCCACGTCGGCCAAGCGCGCCAAAACCAACGTCCCCTTCAGCCGCATCCCGCAGGACCAGTACGTCGACCCCCGCTTCGCCAGCAACAAGTACGTGCCGTACGACTACGCGAACCTGGCGCACCAGCGCCTGATTGTCACCAAGGGCAAGGGCTTCACCAAGGAGAAGAACAAGGGCAAGAGGGGCAGCTATCGCGGCGGCATGATTGACACGATGGGCGTCAACGGCATCAGGTTTGATGATTAGAGGAGAGGGAGAGAGGGAGTTTTTTGGGGGGCATTGAGGTTGGGATTGGTAGAGCAGAGAGCGGAGATGATGCAGGAAGCGTCGTGTCTGTCTGTCGGATTTTTTCGTCCGTCTGATATCAAAAGCAGCACCGTCGAATGTTTGGGCTTTGCCGCAGCTAGATTAGGTAGGTATTTCATAGAAAGACAGAGTTTCGCCGGCATAGAGCAGCGTCTTTCCAAGTTTACGTCTTGAGTATCTGCGTTTTTATCCGTCGTGCCAAATGATCGCAGATTCAATCTTGGGGATTGAGGTCAGTTTAGAGAAAAGATGACACAGCAGAACTCTCCCCTCCCGTTTGTCTCGTTTTATATCAAAATTATCCGTCTGGCAAATCTTTGTGAATTCTGTTTCCATGAAGAAATGAATTTACCTTAAGCATCATGCCCCAATTCAATCTCAGAAATCTCAGTCCCTTGATTCAAAGAAAGACAGCAAACTCCCGTTGACCCCGTAGCTTTCCTTGAAATACAGATAGAATCAAGTGAAGCAGCGCGACCATCGTCTAGGAAAAATACATCTTCAAATTTGACCTTCATGATTCTAGAGAAATGAAGAATTGAAAAGGCGGTGCTTTCTTTTGCCATAGGCTTTCGAAGAAAAGTGAGACTTAATAGATCTGTTTTCTCTGTTTCTTTCCCTCATTGTCTTCTAGTTTGATGGGCATTTATTATTTGCTTATCGTCTATTTCCCGTCTATAATGCATTTTTCGTCGGTTTCGATGTTGGAATGTTGGGAATGCTGGGATTTTCGTTTCTTGTAACGCTAGGGATCTCAAAAATAGGAATGTTAGACGCGGGATGTCTTTTCTAAGTCTTTTTCTTTGTGTTTTGAAAAGGCTCAATGTTTTCTCACTATCCGTTTTAAAAGTCAGAGTATCCAGTTTCCCCTCGGAGGCCTTCATTTATAGGAACTCCGTAAAGCATTTGCAGTATTCAAATTCTAGACAAGACGGAAGATGAGAGATAGACCCTAACATGTCATTTGTCATGGAAGTTTCGTGTCATTCCCCGTGTCATCATCGGAAGGGAGACGTGGAAGACACTCAAGATTGAGCAGGTATACCCGGATTTGACGCGTAGCGTCAGAAATACTCCACGTATATCTGAGACAGACGCGCGTTGGCTTATGCCAAAAAGAACACAATCTTGATACACCATCACGTCAATCCAATCCACACAACATATCGATTCAGTTGGGTATGCATCAAACGTCTCAGCCCGCGCACAAGCATTAGATAACCATCTTCCGCGCGCAAAACACCTCCATCATAGCAAAACCATAGCCATCAGGAAAAAGAAAAAAGAATCAGAAGAATCAGACTCATCAAACATACAAAAAACCGGTGGACGAAAAAACGAACAAAAAAGTCCACATGCGGAGAGACGAAATAAGACCGGGCGTCCGCTGAACAGAGTCGCTTTTGTATTCTGTCGTCGAATCGAAAATTCGCGGCCTCGAACCGATTAAAACTGCAGATACCACGGGGGGAACAAGATAAACCGCGGCGAGGGGTACTTGGGACGAAATCCGGGACTCGGAGGGTAAACAGATGGCCAAAGGTGAGCTGCATAGACACAGCAGCCAGAGAAAGTCGAGGCGATCGAATAGGCGGAATTAAGCCGTTACATGATAATGGCCGGCACTGGTCAAGTTAGCTTCGTTCGTAAGGTCAAAACATCATACGTACCATCCACATTCTGCTTGATGCTCTTGTGCGGCAGAATAGAGCCTCCATTGACATAGACCTCATCGCCAATGGCAACATCATCACCCAAAACCGTGACATTCTCCAGACGCGCCCAGCGACCAACCGAACTGTTCCAGCCGACAATGGTCGACTTGACCCAGGCGTGATCCTTGACCTTGCTACCAGACAACACGACGCAACGCTGCAGACGCACACCATCGCCAATGACGACATTCGGCCCAATCGTCACGTTTGGTCCTATGCGACAGTTTTTGCCAATCTTGGCCGTAGGGTCGATGAGAACGTTGCCGCCGTGAACAAACGGCTCCGTGGTGGGCGTAAGCTCGCTCGAGTTGCGCTTGGCCAGCGAGGACAGGTAGAGACAAGTTCCAGCAAGGAAATCCTTGGGCTGTCCAACATCCATCCAGAAACCCTCGAGATCGAAACTGTGCAGCAGACCATCCTTGCAAATGGCGGGGAACGTCTCTTGCTCAATGGACGTAGGACGCAGCTCGATGCGGTTCAACACCGAGGGATTCAGAATATAGATACCCGCGTTGATCCGATTGCCCACAAACTCCACCGGCTTCTCGACGAAGCGGTCGATGCGCGAGGCCTGGCCCGGCTTGTGTACGACGACACCGTACTTGGACGGCTCCTCGACCTTTGTGACGACAATGGTTCCCTCGTCGCCGTGAGCTTTGTGGAAGTCGGCGAGCTGCTTGAAGGGGTATTCGCAAATGACATCCGAGTTCAGGACGAAGAATGGCGAATCGTCCTTGCCGAGGATCTTCTCGGCCAGCTTGAGCGGACCGGCGGTGCCCAGGGGCTCGTTTTCGACCGAGAACTCTATCCGCACGTTGTACTTTGCTTCATACTGGCGGGGTCAGCGGGGAACATCTTGGAAACGGAGACGAAGTCGCCGTACCTCCTTCAGCGCGGCCGTCATTATCTCAGGGCGGTAATTGACGGCGAGCACAATGTCCGTGACGCCGGCGGCGGCCAAGCTCTCAACCTGATGCAGGATCATGGGCTTGTTGGCAAACTCGACCAGCGGCTTGGGCAAGGTGAGGGTCTGCGCGACTGTCAATGCTGCGTCTGAGCAGGGGGCGAGCGGGGGAGCGCACCAGAGGGCGCAGGCGGGTGCCAAAGCCTCCGACGAGAATGAGGGCTGGACATGGTCAGCGAGAGCGGGGAAGGGACGCGGACAGCGGAGCGACGCACCCTTCATGTTTGACTGGGGGACGGGCGAGGAATAGGTGCACGTTGGCAGCAGCAATTGAAAAGGTGGAGAGAGGCTGTCTTTGTACTCGTGCGCAAGGAGTTGATGTCAGCTAGAAAGGCCAGCGTGGAGTTCATGAGGCCCGGTCGGACCACGCATTCCACCTGGCCCTGAGCTCCAAGGGGCAAGCCACGGCCGAGTGTCCTAATTTCAGCCCAGCCCAGGCCCGGACGAGTCAAGCCTCGCGCGCCATTGCCCGCTCCCTCGCGTCTGCCCATCTGACCTCGTATGGGGTGAGCCCGTTACCACCCGTGGCACGCTCGTCTCGTGACGCCCGTCTGCGCAATGCTGAAACGGCAATCCCGTGGTTCGCCATGTCGGAAACACGGTACAAAATCTAAAAGATTCGACGTCTTGTAAAACGCAATGCGACGCCACTAGGGATACTATCGCGAAACTTGCTCTGAACGCAAATCTCCATCCACGGCCGAGTTCCAGTCTGATCTACGAGACGACGCTGTCTTATACCCCTCTACTCTGTCTGATCCACGAAAAAATGCCGTCTCACACCCTACCCGTCATCTCTCTCTCTCCGTTATTCATCCGTGTTTATTTACAGTAAATTCTCTCTCTCCATGTCCTGATCTACCCCTCCCCCGCACACCCGAACCCGATCGTGACGCGAAGCTTCATCCCTCTACCTAAACGCGTGACCCGGTGATGATCATCATCATCGCGGGGAAAACAACATCATCATCACCGTAGGGCAGAGGCAAGGGCGACTTGCTCGTCGTGGCAGTCTGCAAAATAGATAGCTAGGAAGGGAAGACATGGACCGGGGTCAAAGATCATACTGTGCATGGGAGGATGTCGTGTCCAGGAATTCATGCTCAATTCAAAACTCCTGTCCTTTGGCAAGTGTCTAGGGAGAGCAATATCTGAGATAAGAGATAATGTCGCAGGCAGCATGATGATGCGTCTACAGAAATCCTGGGGTTCTCTTCACAGATTCGTAAACGACGAGAGGACATGACTGGGTGGTCTTTGCGCCATAAGGCTGAGGGCGTACTATGTGCTCGAGAAAGGACGATTCAATTTAAACATTAACCATTGTCCAGCAGAGACTGAGATCAGGACGACGTCGAACGCTTTATACACACGAAAAACGATACAAGAAATACAAACCTTTGAAGACAAGTCCTCATCTTAAACTCCAAATCACAAAAATACAAAGAAAATGTCTATGCAATGTCGTACTCACTCAACAACCCCGCATCATACGGACACGCAAGCAGCATGTCCTACAACGCCTCCAGCCATGGCGTACCTGCAGGGATTACTGGCGTGAGGCTTGCAGGTCATGCATGCAGTCAGCGTGAAGAAACGGGCGGCGACAGGTTTGCGCCACCACGAGCTACGTACGACGAATCAGCGCAAGTGGCGGGGGATGACATGTGCGGACGGTGTTGAGTAGCTTTAATACGAGGCGTGGTTCTGAGATCTCGTGTTGGCGGTCAGAATTAAAATGAATCCCTGCGTAGAGTCGAATGGATTCCGTAAAAGTACTCGTGATTTCGTATATGGGTTTCTGTAAAGACATTCACCTGCCCAGCTGAATCGACGTTGTTCATGATATCCTTGCAAGGTAGTGCAAAGCATGCTCAAGCACGAGTCGCCCGGTGGACAGAGACCTGGGGTCGGATCCTTCGTCGATGCCTCCGGACCCTTTGCGGCGTCCTTCCCCAAATTCTTCACGTCCATGCTCCAACTGTGTCCATGCTCTAAACTCTTTACGTCCATGACCTTTGTCCATGCTCCCTAGGCTACGTGCTCTGGCGCTTAGTTCTTCCAACTCGTCCATACTCAATCAATCTTTTGCCATGCCTCCATTCTTCCAGTCAACCTTCATCTCACCCCGGTCTTCACACCAAACTCAAAATCCCTCTCAAACCCCCAATTCCCCCCCTCATACCTCCACAACGTACACCCCCTCGCCTCCCCCTCGGCCCCCTCAAAGCCCTCCACCTCCTCAAACGTCTCCCACACTTTCCGCTCTTCCGTGACCTTGTTCTGCACCGTCCAGTGCAGATGCCACTTCTGCCGGTCCTGTTCGCTCAAAAACCCCTTCCACGCGCTCTGCAACTCGTAATGGACCTTCTTGGCCTCCGCCGCCCCCTCGGCAACCCCGATGCCCACGCCCCTCCGTAGCCGGAACGGCGCCCCCGTCCGCATCGTAAACGGCTGCGTCGCCGCACAGAGTTCCTCGATCTTGGCAGTGATGCTAGGCAGCTCGCTCGCCGGCAGCGCGTGAAACATGGTTAGGTGGGCGGGGGTGAAGTTGAGACGAGCGGGAAAGTATTTCTTGCGGAGGGCGTCGAGGGGCTCGCTGAGGGAGGGGCTCGTGCTCAGGGTTAAGACGTAGACTTGGGTGTCGGCTGTCCGTGGAATGTGTGCTGCTTTTCGCGAGCGTGCCGGGTGTGCACTTCGCAGGTGTGCTGCATTCGGAGGGGGTGCTGGCCGGGGCTCGTGCTTATCCTGGTGGGCTTGTTTATCCTGGACTCGTTTATCCACTCGTCTATCCTGGTCTTTATCTTGGCTTTTGTCTTGGCTTTTATCCTGGCTATCCTGGACGATTGATCTCGCTTGTTTCCCCGAGAGGACATGCGCATACGTTTGTGCCATGACCGGGCGACGGATAGATTGGAGCATTGTCGCGGTCTCAGGATGCCGCCAGTGCGATACTTGTATCTAGTCGTCAACCGGCCCGAGTCGAGTCAATGACGCCTTCATGTCAAGGCCTGTCGTCGTTATAAGGTAGATCTGAGATAGACGACTGTGGAGAGGGTGATCTCCCGCGGGCGTGGCGGAAGCATGTGAGTTGTCCAGACGGGCTAGGATTTTCGCAAAAGTGGTGTGAGAAGCGGTAGACCCCGCAAGCTTCCCCGCGTCAGCTTTGGAGAGAGTCAGAGAGAAAGTGTGTGCGCACACGCGATGAACTCGGCTGACAAAGACAGAAGGGCAATAATCGCACGTCCACTCACCAAAATAGAACAACGAAATAACCTTACACCCTCACCCTCACGAGTTTCGCCCGAGGAGACCAAAGACGTCAGCATCAAGACGGCCAGGGCAACCCATTTGCCCATCGCCATCACCAATGATGCCCTCCACTGACACACACCGAGTCGCAGCGAGATGAAACACCTCCTGAGTCGGGCGCTGGGACCGCGCCGGGGAACACGAATCATCCTCGAGCTCCATGCCTTGTCCTGCACCCCTCCGTCATGAAAGGCACGAAATGCCGCCTCCTGACGGCCAAGCATCGTCAAGCTTTGCCTACCCCCGATCCGAGCCGTGTCTGGCGTGTGCTTCCCGTCCAGCCCATATAACCGCCCAGCCCTCCCGCAACCGTGACGCTGTAGTCTTTTTCTCTCTCTAAATCGCCGAACCAATTGCCGTCATGTCTTCCTTTACGCCTACCAGACCGCGCGCCCCCACCGGCTTCGGCCACTCGCGCAAGTTCTCCATGGCCAAGGAGCAAAGCGGTACGTAACGAATCCTGGCAATTCGTCAATTCCCGTCATAGTCTGTTCCATGTCTTCTCAAGACTTCTGTCATTCCTCTCGTCACTCCCCTCATCATGTCTGACCATACCAAAGAATCCACCTCCCAGGTCCATCGCCAATTCCGCAAGGCGCACGAAGGCCACAAGGTCCACTCCGGCCTCGACGCCACGCGCGCATCCACCGGCGTCGTCTGGACGTCTGAGCGCGCGTACGAGCATGGCTACCTTGAGGACCCCGCGTCATGGGCCAACCTGGGCCAGGGCGCGCCCGAGGTCGACGACGAAATCGAGGGCTCGTTTGTGCGGCCGCACAAGATCGACATCTCGATGAGCGGGCGCGAGTACGGCCCCACGGCGGGCATCCGGCCGCTGCGCGAGGCTGTCGCCAACCTTTACAACGAGCACCACCGGCAGGGCAAGCCTAGCAAGTACACGTGGGAGAACGTGTGTATCGTCCCCGGTGGTCGCGCGGGTCTGATCCGTATCGCCGCCGTGCTGGGCAACAGCTACCTCTCCTTCTTCATTCCCGACTACACGGCGTACAACGAAATGCTGTCGCTGTTCAAGAACTTTGCGTCGATTCCCATCCCGCTCAGCCAGGACGACAACTACCACATCCATCCCGACAAGATCGCCGAGGAAATTGCGCGTGGTACGTCGGTCATCCTGACGTCGAACCCGCGCAACCCCACGGGCCAGGTCATCACGAACCCGGAGCTGGCGCAGATCCAGGACATCTGCCGCGACCGGTGCACGCTGATCATGGACGAGTTCTACTGCGGGTACAACTACACGTCCAACTGCGACGGGACGGTGGTGTCGTCGGCCGAGAACGTCAAGGACGTCGACGAGGACGACGTGCTCATTATCGACGGGCTGACCAAGCGCTTCCGCCTTCCCGGCTGGCGCGTGGCGTGGATCGTCGGCCCCAAGGAGTTCATCAAGGCCATTGGCTCCTGCGGCTCGTACCTCGACGGCGGCACCAACGTGCCCTTCCAGGAGGCCGCCGTGCACATGCTCGACCCGGGCAAGGTGCGCTACGAGATGCAGGCGCTGCAGACGCACTTCCAGATGAAGCGCGACTACGTCATCGGGCGCCTGCGCGACATGGGCTTCGGCATCACTAACGAGAGCGTGCCCAACTCGACCTTTTACCTCTGGCTCGACCTCAGCATGCTGCCCGACGGCATCAACGACGGGCTGAACTTCTTCCACGCCTGCCTGCAGGAGAAGGTCATTGTCGTGCCGGGCATCTTCTTCGATCTGAACCCCAGCAAGCGTCGTGACCTCTTCGACTCGCCGTGCCACCACTTTGTGCGTCTGTCGTACGGCCCGCGCATGGAGACGCTCAAGGTCGGCATGGACTCGATCGAGCGCATCGTCAAGAAGTGAGTTTGTCTTTCCATCCAAAATCGTGCATTTGCTGACTGACTCGCACAGGTACAAGGGCCAACGGGTCGTGCCGCAGGCGGCGGATGCCAAGGCGGCGCTCGAGGGCAACGGCCAGATGAGGGCGTAGAGCAAGCGGATAGATAGAAGATTATACCATAACCGCACAGACAGAAATCAAAATAGAGACTTGCATTTTAGAGACCAAAATAGACTTGCACTCATACGAAACCCCGTGCTCTTTTCAGGACGTATGCCTTACAGAGCCTCACCTCGCCGGCGCGCAGGCTTGCTTGCTCGCCTCCGATCGTATGTAGTGTAGAAAGCAGACCCCCCGCCCAACGCCTCCGCTGTGAAAAAGCATGCATGCATTATCGAACCCGCCCGTGGCCGCTGCTCGCCAGGGAACGCCATAGCAAGCTCCGCGTCTATTGGCCCAGGAAAAGCGAGCCCTGCACACAGACACACACACGAATACGTCAGCCACGCCGTCCGTCTGCGAGGTAGGAAGGAAGGGAGCAAAACTCACCGCCATCAGGACGCAGCACAAGCTCACGTACGGGCTCAGCCTCTCGCCTACGCGCGCAAACTTCCAGAATATGCCCAGGACGCTGTATGCGGCGACGGTGTTAGTGCTGCTCTCTTGCCGTGTGCGGTGTGCGCCCCCGGCGTAGGCTGCGCCCGACGCAGGGACGTGGATTGGGGGGAGGGGGAGGAAGGCAAGCGCCTCACCTGTCCTTGTTCCGGTCCAGGATGCTCGGCCACACGGAGTGTATGTACGTGCTGGTGCAGATGAGGAGCAGGATGACGAGGAGGAGGGACTGGAAGTTGAAGAGGGCGGTCTGTGGGGAGTGTTAGCTTTATGCCCGTCGCTGGAGGATGGGAGAGGAAGGGGGGGGGGGGGGGGGGGGGGGGGGGGGGGGGGGGGGGGGGGGACTGACCATTTTGGGGAGCTGTGTTGGGGAGATGCTGGGGTGGGAGGGTGCGGAGCGTCGTGGTGAGGTAAAGGTGTCTGCCCCGGTCGGGCGGCGTTTGCGTGATGGACGGCCCGGGCGGAGGTCGGGGTCGGGGGTCGGGGACGGCGGTGCCGACATCACGGGTGGACTCCGTTTGGGGGGTATTTATATTCATCACCCAAGCATTACTCCTTTTTAAAGTTTGTCTTCCCCTTCACTGTCTCCCTAGATATTTACACTTCAAATCACAAAATCAGTCTCTCAATTTCAGAAACATAAAAAAAGTAAACAAAATCAATTCATTCCAACTCATAAAATCATAAATCTATCATCTCACGCACCCCTCCCCCTCAAACCCGCAACCAGCGCGCTCCCATAATCCCCCCTATTCGGGAACCTATTCGTCGTATGGATATGGCACCTTGCCGGCGTCGTATTCGTGAGAAAGACTAAAAAACATCAGCAACAACTCCCAAAAACCATCAGACAACAAACTTACTCCCGCAATGAAAGTCCAGCTCGCAAAACGCCACGGGCGAGTGAATGCGCACATAAAACGCATCGTCGTCGCCGTGCGGCCCAATCCACGCAAAATACGTCTCGGGCAGATGGGCGCGGAAGCGGGCGAGGACGCGCTCGAGCACGGGGGCCGGGTAGTAGGCGTTGAAGGCGCGGTAGAGGGCGACGAGGCGGTCCTGTTGCTCTGGTGGAAAAGCCGTTACGGGGCAGCCCTCTGCTGAGGTCAGTGTTCCTTCGCTTATACGATACCATTTGTGATCAATGCTTACCGTACGGCACGACGCGGTTGTCCTGGCGCGCGCCGCCCAGGTGCCGCTCGTCAAACGGGTTCCACCGATCTGGGGGTAGATCTGGGGGCGCCATGCCCGTGGCCAGAGTGGCGCGCTGCTGTAGCTCCGGACTCAGACTCTGCATAAGCTTGAGACTGTCCAGCTCCTCTTCCCTAAACAGACGCAAGCCCGCATGTGGCCCCTCGTCAATGCGGTCAGGCTCCGCGCCCATAAACGAGGGCCCGATAACCATGCGGCGCCCGGCAAAGACGACGACGAGGCATAGATGGTGCCCGAAGAAGGAGAAGCCCCAAGGCGCATTGGGCGCTGTATTTGGCGTCCCAAATAGTCGCAGGTTGTACGAGTGCTCGTTCAGGACACGGGGCCCGTTGACCAGCTCGCCCAGGAACCCATTGGTCAAGCAGCAGCCGCGGGCTTTGGCGTAGCCCTCCGGCGAAAGCGAGGCCTTCAGCAAGCCGAGCGCCGCGTCTCGGACATCCTCACTGCACTCGTCTAGACGCAGGCCGCCCGGGTTGACATAAAGCTCGGGGTTCGACCACAGGCGAATCTCGTCTTGCTCGACGTCCGGGAAAAGCGTCTCCTTGCGCTGCTGGTCCGACAACAAGCCCAGCAGGGCATCGGCCGCCGCCGCAGCCGCTTCGACGGGCGCACCCTCGTCCTCCTCGTACTGGTACAGGCCGTCTTGGACGCGGCCGTCGGCCGTAAAGCCGCGGAATGGGCGCTCAAGGTTCTTTGCGTCGAGGCGGTCAATCAGCCAGGCGGGGGCTTCGATGCGCCGGCGGGAGTCGCACCAGCTGCACGCGGTGCTGGATTCTATGCCTGCGATGCGGGGGTGGCCGGGTGGAGGGATGAGCTCTCGAAAGGGGACGGCGGCGTCGGTGCGCGGTTTTGTGGGATCGGTGGTTTGGACGTAGCCGGAGGTTGTGGGGATGTTTGCCATGGTGTTTATGGTCAGTTTGTACTCAACCCATGGCCGTATTTGTACACGCTCTCGGAGTTAGCCGCCAGCATCTCGGCATCCGAGCGCGGGACACGCAGTGGGCATTGTGATGGCTGCCACGGAAGCGATGCCACTCCACGGAGGTGACGATGCGGGGCAGCCGAGGCGGGGCAACGAAGCCATCGGCGCGCGAGCCGGCAGTCATACATAAAGACAATCCCAGTTGTACATTGTTGTAAGTGTGATCGTCCAGCCATGGCACCCCAAGGCCCCTACAAGCTCGTCACCGTCAACAACGCCCCCGAGCGCGCCCAGCGCCTCATCGGCCGCGTCGTCGCCGACGTCAAGGACAAATACACCATCATCCACGCCGCCAACTGCGAGGGTTCGCTCTCCCCCGCTCCACCCCGCTCCGCCCCGCCGCACCACACTTACTAACCACTCCCTAGACATCTCCCCCGAAGCCGTCAGCGCCATCGTGAAGGATGTCCAGCCTGATCTTCTCGTAAGCCAAATTTTACCTTTTCCCCAGCATGAAACTCTAACAAAACAATCTAACCTCCCCCTCCCAGTTCACTGCCTCAATGTGGACGCCCGAGCAAAGCGATGCCGCTCATGCGGCCGCCCGCTCTGCCGCCCCAGGGATCCGCACCTTTGCGCTGCCGCAAGGTCTGCAAGTCGAGCGGGGCCCCGACGCCGTAGTCGACTTCATCAAGGAGCATTTGCCAGGGCTATTGGAGGGAGCGGAGGCGGACGGCCCCCGGGGCTAAGGCTGACTGTACTGAGTCCCGTGTACGCGTGTCAGGCTGGACAAGTTGACTGGATCGACACAGACGGCGACGATGAGACAGATTAACAATGGATTGACAATGGGCGGGGCTGGAGTGGACCCCGAGGACCCCGACCCCGACCCCGACCCCGACCCTCCCCGGCTTAGCATCGCAATTATACCTCTGTATGGATACGACGCAATGTCGTAACTGGCAAATGATACAGTGGTGATTCGCAGCTCCCCTGCCGCCCCTGAATTGATCCACGCAAAGGGGCCAGGTTGATCGCCGACGCTCGATTAGGGTGAACAAGACTCTAGATTCCCACAACTCCACAAACCACCGCGGTAGATGCCTAACGCAGCAAAAAAGATATAGTCCTGGTATCCAGACAATGTAACAACGGACATAAACGTAAACGCAAAGAAAAGGAAAGGAAATATAACGTGTGAAATGTGGTTGAAATGTGATAAAATGCGAAAATGTGGACAAGTGGATGAGCGCGAATGGACTAAAAATCTCCCATCATCATCCAGTACGCACCACCTATCGTGCTGAGAATCAGAAAAATGGTCAAGATGGATGCCCCCGCCTTGTCGCCACCCGTAATGGGCGTGCTGATATCGTACGTTCCGTCCGAGTTACTGGAAGAACTGCCAGTACCAGCATTCGGATCGGCCTTGGAGGTACCACCCGTCGCAAAGGTGACGGGAGGATCAAGGTTCCCCAAATCCAACATGACCGAACCAATGACTTGAAGTGCGGACATTTGTTCGCCGATACCCATGGTGCCGTCCCAGGTGGTGCTGTTCCACTGCCGACCGCACGTCTTGTCCGCGATATGGCCACTGCCGGAGCACTGGCCTGCGGCCCCCTTGGCCGACGCGCGGAGGCGCTTCATAATATCTTCGTAGGAGCTAGGCACAACCTGGGCGGTCAATGCTAGCCAGCGCGATAGGTAGGCCTTGAAAGACGACTGATCAAGATCGCACAGCGAAGAAGGTTCGCACGTCGTCTCGACCATAATGTTGGGACCCATCTGGTCGGGGAAGAACCTGGACCAAACCGACTCCAGCAAGCCCTCGGTACGCTTCTTCCACTTGTCGCTCTCCGTCACGTTGTACATAAAGGCCGACCCGACGAGGAGGGTGCCGTAGTTGTAGGTCCACTGGGTTTGATCGGCCTGACTGCAGTTGCTCAGCGTCGACGTACCGTCGTTGACGATCCACTTGTCGACGTCCAGCAAAACCGTTCCCTCGGCCCAGTCCCAGATCTTGTTGGCCCACGTCTGGTAGGTTTCGTTGCCCGTGTAGCGCGCGAGACGGGCCGAGAGTTGGAAGAGACCGCCGTTGGAAATGATGTTCTTGTAGTTCCATCCACCGTTAAAGGAGTAAATCCTGCGCGCGTTAGCATTCGTCTTACGAGATGTTACAACACACATACTGCCAGCGGACACCTCCTTGACAAGAGGCAGTGTCCCAACGGCCGGCCATCTCGTTGAAGACGGCCTGGGCTTGCGCGACCCAGGACGCATGAGAGTTGTCGGGATCGGAGAACTTGAGCTCGGCGGCGGTCATGGCAGCAAGGCCCCAGAAGAGCTGATCGTCGTTTCCTTCGGATTTGGTCTGGTTGGCGGGCATGTAGTCGTTTTCCTCGCCGACCTGGTGCAGGAGGGCCTGCTTGGTGACGGCGACGTACGTCTCGTCCTTTGTGTAGTACCAGTAATCGACCATGGACATGAACATGGCGCCGGCCTCCCACCAGTAGTAAGGATCGGGCAAGTTGCCGGGCACGTCGCCCGTGTTGTTTCCGGTGTAGTACTTCATCATGTCAAAGGCAACCGAGGCGGCGGCGTCCCTGACGGACTGGGCGTCCTGGATGTCAATCTCGACGGCATCGGCGACGTAGGCATGCTGGAAAAGGGTCAAAACGAGCGACGACAGTATCCCCAGGATACCGATGGGCCGGAGGGAGAAGTTCATGATTGAAAGAGTGACATGGAGCAGTGAACTGGGGACGGGGAGCGGACATCATGAAGGGCCCTCACGGGCGGGCACAGCCTCGTCAGGGAGGCCTGCCGATACGTAAGGTATCGCTCCGAAATTGACGCGTAACAGACCGCTTGGGCGCGCGGGCGAATTGTGGGTCAAGGCGCTCAGGAGATGGAGGGCCCAGCATGATCGACAACGGCTCTTGACACGGCCGCTGCGACGCCCTGCAGGATTGCCAACGGCGCGCTCCCATTTCTTGCGCTGCTGCGTCTTGTCTTACCCAAGCTCATCGTCCAAGGCCGCTGCCACGGCTGGGCCGCGTCGTTGTTGACAGCCCTGCTCGGCCCGCCGCCGGTTTTTCTTTTTGGGCGTCGGCGAAAGGGGCCTCGGGGGCGACTGGGCGGATCGCAATCTGCGCCTCAACACCACGCCAAGCATCACCATCTCTGCTTCCATTCGTCGGGACCATCCAATTCTGCCTTGACGCAAATAAACAGCTAGCTGCAAATTGCCCGCAATCCCGCTTCCGCCCGTTTTTTTCGTACTCGCGTCGACCCGATCACGACACTGGCTCTTGCCGATCCCAACCCCGCGTCTCCACGTCGAGAAAAAGACGGCAGGGCTGACGTTTGCACACTTACGCGTTATATCAGGGTTCATCCGCCTGACAAATCCTGTGACGGGAAATTGTCACGATTTGACCGTGTGCCCTGCCAGACTCCAACTGTATGAACGGAATCCGTGGATTTAACCACAGCGTGTCGTCTTCGTTGAGCGACCGGGTTTCCAGTCCATCCAGCCACCTGGTTCGCTCGGCGGTAAGCTTGCCTAATCTATATCCGTTCCTCGTGACTTGATGAGATAGACGCATCCTGCGCGACTTTTGCCGTATTCGTCGACGACAACCACGCCACGTTTCTGCTAAACTCCTGCCATATCAAGCATGCCGTTCATGATGACTGCAGTTCGTGACATTTGCTGTGGCTGGGAGACTTGTGTCTGTCTATGTTTCTCCGACAATCAGGCTTTCGTGGTCGTGACACAATACATCTCCGCACGTCGGGTTGCATATGCGTGTGTGCGAGTAAAGTCTCAGATTTCCATCTGATAGATGAGCAATTCGCTCTTTACCACACCATCCAAGCATCCGTCTCAACGATGCTCCCAGTGTCGATCTCACAGGGAATCCAAAAGCAGCGTCTTGTCCCTGCGATATCCCAGCACCCCCTCTTTCCCCTCAGATAGAAGGCCGAGGGAGTGTATCCTATGCCAGTCGACTGTCCATCTCAACTCACACACACTTCCCATCTTCTCAGTTGTCAGCGAGTCGAAGAGCGCAACACGGCATTGTGAACGCGTACGCCAGTCGACAGTATACATTCGATGCAAGCATCGCTCTGCCTTCAGTCAACGTCATCTCCGCACCATAGCCATAGCCGTCCAGACCAGCTGTCCCTTTTGTCCGTCTCAACACTGTGCACGCCAGCAGCTGCTCTTCTCCATGGTCCATCGTCGTTGAGTAGCGTGCGACACGCCAGCGGTGTTTGTGTCCAAGGGGTTCCAGGCCCCAAACATGCGGGAGACAGCCAGGCCACACTGGTAAGACAGCCGCGTGGTGCGCCTGACCGTGATATGGCGAGGAACACCAACGACAGATGACTGTACGGAACGAAAGAAGATAGGGAACTCGGGCTGCGGCCTCGGTGTTCTGACTTGCACGCCCACAACTGCGGGGATTCGTCTACTCTTAACCGGATGACGGCGTCTTCCTCCTGCATTTGTGTCGAGGCCTGTGTGCTCAAGGCCGTAGGGACACTTCCTGCTCCCATGGAACCGATCCCACGGCACTAGTCCTACTCGCTGACGTGAGTGACGGAATTGAATGTTGCTCCGCCAGTCCGGAAGCCAGGTCGTCAGGTCGTTCAACCAAGACTCCATAGCAGGCAATCCGGCAGCTTCTCGCCGCCTTACCTGCCGCCAGCCACTCCTCCATTTCCCTAGTATGCCCCCATTCCCCGCCTAATCCCAGCTCTTGCGTTTTTGTCCAAGTAACTTCACAGCTCGACAGACCAGTCCTGCCAAAAGAATATATACGACCTACCTCAGTTTCTCCAGCTGCAAGCACTCACCACATACCTCCCATAGCAGCCGTTGTAACATTGTCTGTCCATGCCCCGGCCCACGTCTGCTTCGACCTAAAGACAGCTCCGCGGCCCCAGTCCTTGATAACCGGAAAGCCCGGATGTCTCGAATCTAGCAATCAACATTGCCTTGGCGCAAGTGGAGTGGAGCGGGCGACATTATGTGCGTCGTGGACGGGCGAGCGGAGGGGTTGCCGTGATGTGTGGCATAGGCCGGAAGTCGTGAGACAGCGAGACGTTGGAGGGTGTAGACACCGTCAATGGAGGAAGAGTTGGATAAGTTTGACAGACGCGCTGAAGCTGCTGAGTATTAGCATTGTTGTCGATGATGTTGATAATGGTGGTGATGGTGGGGGACGCCGACCGCGACGAGCGACACCATGGCCAGCGTGCCAACTCCATGACCAGCTCCATGGCCAGCCATGCCAGCTCCGCACCACGAACTCCAGCAGATAATCCAAACCAAAACTCGCATGTATGGGAGGTCAATGGCAACGTATCGACGAATCCGTTACCCGTCAACCGTCATCGTCATCCTTCATCCGCTCCTGAAGCTTCGATGCCAATCCAATTGATCGGTTATCCCCGGCAATACCATCAAGACTCAATGCCTACTCAGCAATCACCTCGGCCATTGATTCAATCATGTCATGTCACGCCAGTTACCGAATAAGAAGACTCGGGCATTGCGGAGAAGCTTGTGCGGGGAACGGGGAAAGCTTAGGAGCTATGGCGATTCTGAACCGGGCAAAAGGGTCATCGGTAGAGGTATTGAGAAGAGATTGCCGTCAGTCGTTGGATGCAGTCGTCAATCGGATGCATTGTCGTAGAGGTCGGCAGTGCATCGACGCATTGATATACAGGCTATGAAAATACAGTGCGGTTACAAAGGAGAAAAGAGCTTCCTTCTATAATACCACGAAGATTTCGCTGGCTCTATGCGGTATTTTTTTGGTACAGAATACACCTCCTGCCCTCGAACCACTGTATGGAGACCTCCACGAATCGACCCATCCCCTGTTCCAACATCGGGCGACGGCAGGAAGGCCAGCGACCAACACTAGCCAGCACCTAGCGAGAATCCCATTGTTTAGACGAACTTGGCCATCATGGCAACCATCAGGTCGAAAAGACCAATGGCCTCGACGAAGGCGAAACCCAGAATGGCGTAGGAGAAGAGCTGGCCACGCATGCTGGGGTTGCGGCCGACGGCAAGGATGAGAGCACCGAAGACCATACCGATACCGATACCGGCACCACCGAGACCGATGGCGGCGTTACCCATGCCGAGGTTCTGGGAGACCTGGACGAGGGCGTTGGCCATCTCGGAGCTGTAGGGACGGGCAGACTGGCGGTTGAACTGAGCGGCCTTGAGGATCTGGGAAGGCTGCTGGCGCTTGACGGCCTGGAAGGGAGTGGCACGCTTGACAGCGGGGCTGGCAACTGTTGATGAAAGTCAGACAACAAAGTTTTCAATGGGCGGAGCTTTGATGTTTACCGGTGAAGGCGCGCTGCTGGACCAGGTTGCGGCCGAAGACGGGGCGGGCGGCCTTGGTGAGGTTGGCCATCTTGGGGGTGATGCGAGCAGCAGCCATTGTGATGGAAGTTGATGGAATTGAGGCTTGGGGGGATGAAAGAAGCCTGGTGTTGGACGAAATGGACGTAGGGTCTGGGTAGAAGGAGAGGAGTGGAAAGCTCAGCAGGAATTGAGAAAAAAGGCGGCCGGTGCAGAGTGGTCCGTGTGCGCCGGCCGGGCAGCAGCACGAAGGGCGATCTGCAAACAGCGCGGCCAAATTATCTCACCGCCCCGATCCGGCATAGCCATGGAATTTTGTGCCCGTCCATTCCACCCTCTGCCAGCTATCATATATCTTGCTCTCTGCCTCACCCTCTTTTCCCGCGGGCCTCTGTCTCCCTCTGCCCGTCCTGCTGCCGGTGGGGGCCGTCATCGCTGCGTCGGTTCCTGTGTGCGAGCTCCATCCGCGCCTTGCCGCAACCGATCTAGCGTCCACCGTCCGGCTGGCCGCGGCAGCCCTATGCCAGCATCGGTTTCCAGCCTACGAGCCAGTCTTTTCATGACGCTGGTGCACCGCGCCGTCCGCCATCTCGCAGCTCTTGACCTTTGCATCTTCGTTGAGATGCCTAGGTACAATTGCCTTGGTAAGCTGGAACAGGACGCCTGCACACTCCGATTTTCGCCGAGCGCATGGTCGTTCCAGCGTCCGTGTGAAAAGCCACCGAGCTGAAAGCTGTCAGTGCGGGTCCTCGCCGACGAATCAAACGCGATAAACTTGCTGGAGTCTTTGCGTAATCCGAGCCGGCGCTGCATCGGGCTTGAGGCTGATGAGAGACGGCTTCTCGTTCACCGACTACCCGAGGGCCAACCACGACAACTGCATCACTCGCAGCATCGCGGCTTTGCCCTTGCTCCTCTTCCTCTCCTCGCTCTTGTCGCGGGACGCCAAGTCGTGGCTCAGGGAGCTGCCGTGTGTTGAGACGACGTCCATCTGTGGGCTGAATCGGACCGTCCCAAGTCCGCTGCATGCAAGCGACAGCCGCCATGCCGTAAGCGGTTCAGCCGCGCACTATCCCTGCTGCACAAGCATTCTTCACAACTTGGGATAACCTGCTGCATAACTCCGTCCGTTCCAATTCCTTTGCGGAGACAGACTACATCTCCCCAGATCTTCCAGAATTCCTCGTGGCGATTTGCGAGCCCACGTTCCCCATGGCCCATAGCACCTGCATCTCGCTCCCGTCTCGCCCTGCTCCTCTCGACTATTCGTATCGTCACGCGGCCAAGAGCTCAACGCGATACATCTCATTTCTTCTGTACCACGCCACTATCAAATATCGCAACCGGGGTCTGAGGTTGTCTAGGATCACCGCGCTTACGCCATATCACTCAGCAACATTCCTCGTCAGCCCCCACGTGGGCAGGGCAAATTTTGATGGAGGAATTTCTCCGTCGAATTTGTTTGCAAAACGCGTAGAAGACTGCTCTGCCACGCTCGCAGGCAGTAATGCAACGAAGCATTTACCTCAGCGGCCTGGCAGTTTTATCTCTAGGATGATCGTTTGCAATCTGCAGCCGTTCGACGTCATTCCCGACTGAGCAACGCAAACGCCTCCAGAAAAGATTCAGCGTTGTGATAAGCTGTTGAACGTAGAACATTAGGCGATCAATCGGGTCTTTCACTCAGCTAACCTTGGACTCGCGAAGCTTGGATAGTGGATATCCGACGCGCTCCGCTTGGCCCCCAAAATCTGAATATCTGGGGTTGGCGTCCATTGACGTCTCCAAACCATGAACTAACAAACACTGATTAGGACCAGCCATTTCAGAGACAACACAATCGCACATTTGCTATTTGGAGCGCTGACGTTGGCAGGAGCATCGGACATCACCACGCCTGGACGAGCTGATAGATTGAGGTCACCATAAGCAACAGGCCCTCCATTCACCGCAAGCCCGACATCCCCCGACTCGTCACACCTCTGCGACATCATCCGCGCGTAAATCGCCGCCTTTCGAATCGCCAGCCGTATATTGGACAAATCGCATGCGCGCATTAGAAGGAAGGCGATAAGGCATCAGAGCTCCAAGAGCTCATGCGCAGATGCTATGGAGGAGCCCGAAGCCATGCTTCGCGCACAGCTTTCAGAGCTCACAAACACCATCGCCCTATCCTTTCCATCTTATCCGCTCGACCAAACACGCCTCAAACCCCAACGCCAGGCCGACCCCGTCACCCCAACAAACGAGATTTTTTTTCTCGCCGCCCTGTAAGCCCTGCATGGGATGCGCGCAGGCGTGCATACAAGTGCAGGGATGCTCGCCCCGGCCCTGGCGCCGCGGCGCGGCGCGGTGCGACGCGGCTCCGACACAGCTGCAAGGTACGCGCGGTGCGCCTGTCCTGTGTCTCGGCGCGCCAGGGAACGGGCAGGGAGCGCGGTACAAACCCTGCGGTGCGGCTGAAGAGGCGAAACTGAGGCTGACGTGCTTGCGTGCGAGGTTGTAGGCATACGTAAGTATAGATATAATTAGGGAAATAGCCCGTGGGGGTGTCTTAGTATTGTAGACGGATCGTCGTACAAAAGCTCGCGAATGAATGCTGCTCGCCGCTCGCAATGTCCGCTTTGCCTCGCTTCGCCTGCTTCTCTCACATACGTGAAAATACATAAATAGAAAAAAGCTCCCTCCCGTCCCCCATAAGATCGCCCCGCCTCCCCTGCACGTCTCAAACACAGCCGCCCTCAGGCGTCATCCAAGCTTTATCAAGCAGGGCGATCATGACGATCACTTGCTTGCGTGCGACGTCTTTGCTATGCAATGTCTGCAGAACGAGCTTGTTCTTCCCTCTGGCGTCTCGGTTTGGGTTTGTCGAGAATATGGATAGATCGAGAAGACAAGGCAGCGGAATGGAAAGATGAGAGGAGATGCTGTCAGTGTTCTACTTTATGTCAGTGAGTCGTTTTCAGATTAATTTTATTTCCCAACTCAATATTTTCAGCTTCACATTTCTCCAGGTTCAAAATACAGTGATAAAAGCATATGCAAATACTTAAAAATATATTTAATCAACGTAACCATCGTAGCCACAGGCTGTATACCCCTAGGGCGCAAGCACAGCTTGTCTCATCCCTCCCCTCCTCTTTCGTATCTATTTTGTTCGGTCGTAAGCAAGGGGCAAAGCAGATCAACTGCTGGCCCAATATGTTCAGAAAATATAACCCAGAAGCAGCAACTTTTTTTCTTTGTGGAAGTGCAGTCCAGCGCACCCACAGTTCCCAAACCGAGAACCGAATCGAACCCAGACCATCCCAACCGATACGCCAGTGATACATGCAATGCAACACTCAAAAACCCTCGGCAGCTCTACGCCGTCGTCTTGCCCATACCCACCAACACCAACAGTGCCACGTTCATAACGACAATGATCAACCAGATCACGACGGCAACCGCAGCCGTAATCCAGTTGTTCTTCATGTTGACCGTCTCTCCACCCGGAACACCCGCCTCGGCGCCCGTGACGACATCATTCGCAACGGGATCGGCGGCGCGGCCAACGCGCGTGTTCACCGCCGAGATGGTCATGTACTTGGAGCGGCAGGTGAAGTAGATGAGCGGCGCGCTGACAAACGGGAGAATGACCGACAATGCGACCTGCGAGCCCTCGAGTGCGGCAGTCAAGCCTTGTCGCCCCACTGCGCCCGCAATGATGATCGACGGCGTGATGCTAATGCTGCGCGTGACCGTGCGACGCACCCATGGCTTGACAGTCCAGTTCAGCTGGCCTTCAGAAACCATCTGGCCGGCAATGGTACAGACAATACCGGCAGAAATACCAGAAAGCAGGAGGGCGAGCGCGAAGATGGTGCCTGCGGCGGGGGCGATCTGCTTGGAGAGAAGGTCGTGGATTCCAAACAGGTCAGCCTCGTCTGCGCCCGGGGTGCCGTAGAGCGCCGCACCTGCGACGATGAGAATGGCAGAGTTGACGAAGAGGGCAAACGTGAAGAGGGAGATGGCGGTTTCGGCGATCGAGTAGCCCATGCAGGAGCGGATAGCCTGGACCGAGGGACGGTACTTGGAAAGCGAATTGACCGATTCCGTGTCCGAGTCGGCATCAGACTGGGGCTCCGGCGCAGTTGCGTTGTTGGCGGCGTTTTCGGCGGCGGCATTTTCATCATACTCGCGCAGGCGCGGCTGAATGATTCCAGAACCCAGATAGAGCGAGTGAGGCATGACAGTGGCGCCCAGGATGCCGCAGGACTGGTAGAGACCATCCGATTCGACAACGGCGCCGCTCGGGAGGTAGCCCCTGAAGACGTCGCCAACAGAAGTGTTCTCGAGCAGACTGAGCTGGTAACAGAAACAGACGACGACGCCAACGACCAGCAGCATTACAAAGTACTCAAAGTAACGGTAAACGCGCATCGAGCCGTTTGGACGGTAGAAGAAGAGAATGATCATGACATCGACGATACTGATGGCACAGCCCGCGACGAGAGGCACATTACCAAGCACATTAAGGGCAATTGCGAATCCGATGACCTGCGATTGTTAATACTGATCCAAAGGAATAATTCTCTGGAGTACCCACCTCTGCAATGTCCGTGGCTATAATGGCGGCCTCGGCAAACACGTAGAGAATTATGTTCAACCACTTCGGCAAAAACTCCCTGCACGACTCGGCAAGGTTCATGCCCGTGACGGAACCCAGCTTGACGCAGAGAGACTGCAAGAAAATGGCGAAAATGTTCGACATTAGGATAATAAAAAGAAGCTTGAAACGATAACTGGCTCCTGCGGCTACATCCGTCGAGTAATTGCCTGCGATGATCAGCGCACATCCTACCAAAATTCGCAAAACACTTACCAGGATCGACGTATGCCACAGCAACCATGAAACCAGGGCCGACGAATTTAGCATACTTGTAGATGACCTCCTTGGTCTTGAGGATAGAGCTCTTGCAGCCAGCTGCAATGTCTCCTTTCTTCACAGACCAATCAATGGAGTTGACACTGTACCCCCGTGCCCGCTGCATCAAGGAGAGGTTCTGCTTGCTGCCATTGGGTGACTCGTCAATGCCCACAGTCATGCCCTTCTTGCTCTCGGTCTCGTGACTGTTGGCATCGCCGCTATCACCACTCCGGCGCTGAGGGATAGACATGATTTCGTCTTCGTTGGCTGGGGCGCGCTGCGCAAGGTCGTTGGATTGGTCGTCGTTGACTCGGGCTTTGTTCTTGCGCTGCCTACGCTCGTTGGCAATGTGATTGAGGTCGTTGCGAGTGGTGGAATCGGCGTTGAGATGATCTGGGTTTTGATTCCAGTCGAGAGGGATGTCGGGCTCAACTCTGGACGGGCAATTCATCGTTTATACAGGTCTTTCGCCAGGTCGTGGCAAGCTCGTGAGACGTGAAAGGTCGTAGAGGGGCCGTGCAGGCGGTTGCGAGGCGTGACAAGCGTTGCCTCAAGTGCGGAGAGCCAGTGCGAAAGCTTTATGCGGGGTCGCGAGGAGTAGGAGCCCAGGACGGGTGCGGGTGTGACTGGTGTAGGCAAAGGTGACGACGAGCGTCCCGGTTTCTCACGATTAGGGTGTGGTCGTCCGGAGCACCGGCCGGGCTTGGCGTGAATAATGGCCTCGGGATTCGAGGCTGCAACGGGCTTGGAACGAGAGACATGGCCATCAAGGTGGCATAGCCAGCAGATCTCGCGTGCGGTTGTGAGCGCCGGGCTGCATCTGGGACACAGCGGCCCGCAGCCGAACTTCCCCCCAGTGCTTGATGAGGAAACGGAGTTGGGATCGACGCAGATCGCAGCCCGGCAAGACCCGACGATCTTAGCATCCCGAGTCGCAGCAAGTCGCAGCAACTCAAACCAAGTCGCAGCTGTGCCTGAGGCCCGGTCAAAGCCTCTGAGCGACAGTCTCGTCGCCGCGTGGGGAAGTGCACGACGCGTCCCACCTCGGCTACGCTTAACCGCAACTGGCCATGACTAAGTCGCGCGTCCATGGATCTCGTGCGTTGCCTTTCGTGTCCCGGCCACTCGGCCATCATGTCCACCAACACTGCACGCCAGCCCCGTCAAACCCGTTCGTCCGCCGCTTGTGACAGCTGTCGCTCCAAGAAACAGAAATGTGGCGGCGAATGGTGAGTGCCGACCCTCTGCCTTCCCGTTCACACCCGTCTGACCTCGACCAGGCCGGTGTGCGCGCGATGCAGGGAAACGGGCAACCCGTGCGTCTGGCCTCAGCAGCTGCAGAGGGGCCCGGCAAAAGGCTACCTTGAGGCCATTGAGTCCCGTCTGGACGAGGTCGAGAGCATTCTTCTCCAGGTCTTGCCGTTGCTTCCCTCCGAACAGCTGCCCAGCGCGATTGTGTGCCACAGCGCCGCGAGTCCTTCGCAGGCTGAAAATAGCCAGAAACGCACGACACAGGAGAAGCGAGCGGCGCTCGAGTACTGGTCTTCGTTTCCTCTCAACTCGCCTCAGGCAGTCTTGGTTTGGGCTCGCGACCGTCAACGACGATCCGGTTCGACCGGCAAAGGCCAAGTCGGCGGACACGTCTCGGCAGGGCTTGCGTCGTCTGGCGCCAATAGCCCAGGCATCTCCAGCTCGACTGTTCCCTTGGCAAGCGTCGAGGCCACGGCGACGGATGCTGCCCAGCCCGAGCAGGACCCGAACGGAGGCATGGTCAGCAACTGGCAGGCTCAGCAGATACCTTTTGGCATGTCAGAACCGCGTACGCGGCCGGGAAGTTCAGACGTACCCAGCGCTGGCACCGTTCAGCCAGCCGACCAGGCCAACGGTATGCCGCCAAACACGCCCACGTCTTTATCTCGATCCAGCTCTACGCACACTAGCCGGATTGATCTGTCGGACGAGTTCCAATCAAAGTTTCTTTGGTGAAGCTGCAGCTGGATGCGGTTGCACATGCAGCTGGCCCTGCGTGGCGTCCCCAGCCATCTATATCGACCTCAGTGATGCCAGCAAGAAAGCTCATCACACGCCGATCGATTCAAAAGCCGAGGGGCCAGCTTCCAAGAAACTGATCATCCACACGCCAGATGATGAGCACGATCAGCCTGAATGCCATGGCCCCTACGTCCGGCATTTGGTAGGTGTCCTGCCGTGTAATTGGAGCGTTTGCAGCAGCCTCACCGCGGTATTGGACATTGACAACCATGCTGCGTTGGACGTAAACATCCATGCCGCGATATCGGATGCTGGCAGCCGTGCCGCGTTATTGAGCGTTTACAGCAGCCTCGCCGCAATATTGGAAATTGACAGCCATGCCGTGTTGGGCGTTGGCAGCCACGCGCCTTATTGAGCGTTTAAAGCAGCCTCAATGCGTTATGGGCTTTGCAACAGTCTCTCCACGGTGTTGGACGTTCAGCCTCACCGCGTTATTGCAACAGCCCCGCCGCAATGTTGAATATTCAGCCATGCCGCATTGAGTGTTTACAGCAGCCTCACCGCACTATTGAACCAACAATCCCGCCGCATCATTGGATGTCGCAAGTTTTGTATGTTATTGAACGTCGCCACAAAAACAACGAACAAGGTATCCGGCCCCTATTCATACTCATCCGCCCAACATCCATATTGCTCATATCCACCCCGGCAAATGCCGTCATTCATGTCTTACTTGCGCAATGCGCTCATGATTCCTGAGGCTGTGACCAGGCACATGCGTTCCTGGTTCTGAGGTTATGGCCAAGCACATGCGATCCGCATGCGTCACTACGGAAAAGGTTCCTTTTAACTCTGGGATTAAAACGTCTACTATAGCACGCATCGGCACGTTGGCCCCGAACGGCAATGGACGCGTGTCTAGCACGATCCTTTGCCGATTGCCGATAATCGGAGGCAACTCCTGCACAGCATTGGCCCATCCAACGGACCGCAGAACCGTGAACGTGGTTAGACGGATCAATGTATTCCTCACCGATAATTGCATCTAGACGCGCAGCTATCTGGAAAGCAAGATCTAGACGGTGGGGACAAAGAGGGCGATAGGAGTTGTCCACGTCGTCGGCTACATTGTGATTGGCAAGGAATCTGCACCGGGGTCCAAAACAGGAACAACAATTTCAGCAAGAGAAGCCATTATCACACAGTTTAATGCTTCTAGTCAGAGGGCACTTTCGCGCAAGAATTGTTGTTGGAATTTTGCGTGGCTGCAGCAGAATGTCTTGCTCTGCAACAATTGCGTGTTTCAGCCGAGTTCGGTAGGCGAAAAAAGTCACAAAGTCGCCAACAACGCAGGTCCGTGAGCACGGCATGGCGCCGATCAACGACGCAATGCCGGCCGTTTCTCACGCGCAGACATGGGCAGAGGCGGGCGAGCCGCGTGGGCGCGAAACAAGGTGCAACTACGGGCTGGCGTTCGCGCCGAGAACTGGACCCTCGGGCGGGCCCCTCCCGCCGAAACAGGTGCTGAAACCTCCACATCAGCCCCATCCGTGCTCGGCGAATTTAGCAGGCAAACATGGCGTTTCTCTGCGCGCGATAGATGAGCCTCGCTGCATTGCTATGCCCGTTTCGCTCCTGCGAACCATTCAAAGCCCGGCTCCGCGTCATGGCTCTCGGTCTAGGCGGCCCGGTCTGGCCATGGGGTGGCAGACAATCCTGGGTCAGGAGCAACGCCTCGTCATCCACCCTGTCGCCCATCAGGAGGAGTGCGAATCGAGATCGACTCATCACAATTGAACAGAGCTATAAAGAGCAAAGAGTAGTCACCGACTTTCTTTCCTCTCCATCCACAGCAGATCGTCTTCCCTCTCTCTCCTTCTACAAAACCAGCAGCAGCCAGGCTCCGGTAGCCCTGCGTGTACAGTCCTTCTCTTCGCTTTCGCTTTTGCATCAACAAGACTCGACGTCTCCATATCCAATCCCTCTCTCCAACCTCAAAAATGGCCATGTTCCTTCGCTCCGCGGCCCTCTGCGCTGCCCTCGCTGCTGCGGCTCCCGTCTCTGCCCCTTCGCAGGCCCTCTCCGTCCCTACCGGCCTGCCCACTGCTTTCCCTACTGGTGGTGCTGGCGGCAGCTTCCCTACTCCTGCGGCCGGCGGCCCTGGCGGCTTCGGTGGTGCTTTCACCCCCGGCGCTGAGGGTAGCTTCCCTACTCCCCCGGCTGGCGGCTTCGGCGGCCCCGGCGGTGCCTTCACCCCCGGCGCTGAGGGTAGCTTCCCCACGCCCCCTGCCGGTGGCTTCCCCGGCGGTGATGTGAGCGGCTTCCCCACCAACTTCCCTACGCCCTCTGGTGGCTTCCCTGGCGGCGAGGCCGGCGGCGCTGCCCCCACTGGTGCCCCCTCTGCCGATACCAAGCAGAAGCGCCAGGAGGCCTCCGGCGCTGCTCCCTCTGGCGCTGCCCCCTCCGGCTTCGGCGGTGCTGAGGGTAGCTTCCCTACCCCCCCTGCCGGCGGTTTCGGTGGCCAGCAGACTCCCGGCGCCGGCGGCGCTTTCCCTACTCCCGGCGCTGAGGGTCCCGGCGGTGCTGGTGGCTTCGGCGGCTTCGGTGGCCAGCAGACTCCCGGTGCTGGTGGCGCTTTCCCTACTCCCGGCGCTGAGGGCCCCGGCGGTGCTGGTGGTAGCTTCCCTACTCCCGGTGCTGGCGGTGCTTTCCCCACCCCTGGCGCTGGCGGCTTCGGCGGTCCTGGCGGCTTCGGTGGCCAGCAGACTCCCGGCGCTGGCGGTGCTTTCCCCACCCCTGGTGCTGGCGGCCCCGGTGGTGCTGGCGGTAGCTTCCCTACCCCCTCCGGCTCGTTCTCTTTCCCCGCCCTCCCCACCGACCTGCCCGCCGGTTTCGCTGGTGACCAGGCCAGCGGCGCTGCCGCTGTTGCTACTGCTGCGGCTGGCGCGGCCAAGGAGATCGGCAGCGATGCCCACAAGCGTCAGCTCGGTGACCTGCCTTCCGGCCTTGCCGGTGCTATCCCCACTCCTCCTTCCGGTGGTGCCTTCCCCAGCGGTGCTTTCCCTAGTGGCGCTATCCCCACTCCTCCCGCTGGCGGTGCCTTCCCTTCTGGCGCTATCCCTACTCCTCCCGCTGGTGGTGACTTCACTGGTCTTCCTTCCGGCGCTGGCGGCAGCTTCCCCACTCCCGCGGCTGGTGGCTTCGGTGGCCTCGGTGGCTTCGGCCAGTAAATTCGCAAAGCATTACAGTACTTTTGACAATGCACGGGGGGTGATGTGGTTATGAAGGAAGGACTTCCTTGGCTCGACAAGATGGATTGATTGGAGACTTACCTACTGCTGTGTTTCATTGCTTTCGTTTCTTTGTAGTGCGATGCGCGCGCGCTTGCGGGTGGCGCATCGTGTAGGAATGGAAATTTCAAATATCTCGTGTATTCGGATCTTTTAAGTGTTTTGTGTTTAAGTGTTTGTGAAGAGTGATTGGGGCACTGGCTTCTGCGTGGTGGTCTGTTTAGGCTAAATGTAAAATTGAGGTTGAATATATACACATTTCTTCAGTAGTACCCTCTTAGCGATCCACGCGTTCAGAGGCAAATGTAGGACTTTAGCTCTAGATGTGTATGATGTGGGAACGCAGAAGCCGTCGATATAAGCTTTGCGTTAGGGTTATCAGATCGGGGATCTATCTCGTATTCCTGATTAAGCGGATCCGGTTGCTTACGGCGGGGGCGGCGTGGCGTACCGCGGAGTGAGGGTTTCAGAATTCGTTTCTGCCTGCTTGTGGCAGGGGAAGGTGTGCGGGGGTTTGGGGTTTGAGATTTTTTGTTTTTATTTTTGTGTGGAGGAGTTGTGTGGACATCTCCGAGAAGACCAGATTGTTAGTCCAGTGTCGCGTCCGCGAGTTAAAAACCAGGCTGCGTACAAAGAAACAAACAAGCAAACAAGCAAACAGGTACCTAGCAACCCATTTAGAGGTCTATAAGAGACCACTAGGTAGATACCGTTGTTCAATCAGCATTGCGATCCAGTACATCAAATTCAAACCCCAGCCGGTCGAATGAGACATTAAGTTGGTCAATGACATGATGTAGTTGAAATTAGAAGTTGAATGGCGCTTGTGCTATGGTATGTCACTTTGGTGGGAACTGCTTTTTGAAGAATATCCTGTTTTGTTCTACACCACATTCGACAGAAGCCGCTCTCAAAATACTACTGCTGCTGCTATGACTATGTGATTACCGGGCAAAACCTTTCGTGTAGCTTCTTCAAGAGTCACTGTATGAAGAGAGCCCGTAAACATTAGTGCTAATCTCAATGATGTCGCTAACAATTTCGAGGACACCGGCATCCTCCAATCTCTGTTGGTAAGTGCGTCCAGTCCCATCATCTTGGTTCATGAACTTGAAGACCCATGTTTTGGCCGCGTCATCGTCTTCTTGGTCGCCAGCCCCAAATCTCATCACTAACGCTTTTCTATCAGGAATTTTGCTCCATTCTTCAAAGGAGAGGGTGTGCTGTTTGTGATCCCAGGTGATTCTTTGGGAAAACCCGAGTGGATTCTCAGCACTGTCCTTGACCTTGCGGATTAAGATGACAGTTCTTTTGGTTGATGAACTGCAATAAGCAGTGTCTAAGTGTCTCGTAGACACCCCCTACGGGTCTGATAGAGGACCACTTGGGGCCCTTATCGGAATTGTGCTAGTTTCACATTGTTAGCCATTAACTGCTAGACTGCATAATAGACGATTACCCGATGCTGGAGAATGCTCTCCTCAAGTCTCCAGCTCCACGAAGGAGTCTCATGGATTGGATTTCCCTTGTCTAGCAGAAATGCAGCATTGGCTGACGAATCCACCACTAATCCGTCAGGGTGGAATAGGGCGCGATGACCGCGCTTGCTATGTCCTATCTTAAGCCCAGTCATGCCGAACTGAGATTCAAGGGCATTTTTCATAGATATAGCGAAGGCTGTGCAGGTACCAGAAAATGAATCTGGCATGAGAGCGTCTAGGACAACGTCCTTGTTGTCGCATGCTTCCTTGATTGCCTCTTTGACTTGGGCACGGTTGCTTTCTAGAAGCGTTGGCTCCCGGATGATATCTTCCAGTTTATGACCTCTAATCTGTAGGAGCGTCTTAAGTACAGTGAGAGTGGTGTGAATGGAGCTTTTCCATTTATCAGCATAAACGCTGCCGGCTATGCCGAGTGTCTCTTCTGGCGTGGACATGCTGACTGATGTGCATAGGAGTTAGTAGAATGTATGTGAAACAGGCCCGTTTGGTGTTCTTTGGACATGCCAAATGTCTAGATAAGTCTTGGGTGATAAGCTAGGTAATAGTACGTCATGCGTGACCAAAACTTAGTACCTACCTAGGTCTGGTCACAACTCGCAGCATAGGTGGCCTTTACCACGAAAATAAAATTCCTGCACTACATAGCACCACTTCTGCTTCAGTTTCCACCCAGTACGTTCAAACTTAAGTCAACCAAGCATGCCTTCTACACCACGCAGCTCCAAGCGCCCTGCGACGCAGCTGCTGGAGAGTCCCCCCAAGAGGCACAGTCCTGAGAAAGCAGACGCGCCGCCGACAGAAGAGCTGCGCTTGACCCCATCCAAGGAGACCATAGATACACTCACTCGCATTCGGAGTCTCTCGCTGTCCCCGGGCGTAGGCTCCGCTTATGCGAGAGCCAGGAGCACCAAATCGCCGTCTCCTCGCATAGGCGCGCATGCTAGAAACAAGAGCACCAACTCGCTGCCTATTGGCCTTATTATCGCTCTTACTAGAAGCAGGGACACTACCTCGCCGTCTCCTGGCATTGGCACCGCCCACGCTAGTAACAAGAGCACCAACCCGCCGGAAGTCCCGAAGAATCTAGCCTCCAAGCGCAAGGAATACGCGTGGGAAGCGGCTCATGCGCGTTAAACGCCGCACTGATGGCAAGGTCGAGGAATATTTGATTTCCAAGGGACTCTCACCTGGTAAGTATTGCAGCTCTATAAGCCTTTATTGTTCTGACCACTTGCATACTAACCATTTGGATACTAGCTACTTCCGACTCCTTCACCAACGAACAGCTTAGCGGCGATATTGATTCGGGTTTCATGGACCCCAATCCCGATGAATCGTCTTCTGACGATGACGGCCTTGAAGATGTTTAGAACATCCACGATGATGGCAACTAGGACAATGGTTGAGGAAGGAGTACTATAGTGGTTAGAAAATATTTGAGTCACTATTCAATACGAAGACATTAGCGTCAATAGTAAGGCCACTCTCCACCAGCTCGGCAATGCCTGAACAGAACATTCTATTGGAGATAGCCCCCTTTTACCAAGAACCATCTGAACTTGGTTGGCGTGGACACCAGTGAGCTTCTCAGCACTGTATCGCTGGTCGCACTAGTCATTTCCATGCCTTGACCAAGCCCTTGAATTTGTCAACCTTGGTCTTTTAAATCCTCTCTTTGGACATCGCACGGCTGACCAAGCCGTGCCTCAGCGAATGTTTTGCCAAAAGGGGCAACAGGTAATTTTTGCGTGGTTCCATGGTTGCTGATTTTATTTCAATAATGATGTGTAGTTGTTGTCGTAGGCGAGTACCCATCAAACCAAAACAGGAGGTGTTGTAACGTCCGCCACCGTGAAGCGAGATGGTGATAAGTGTACGGAGTAGAAGAAGAGATCCAGTTAAAGGTGTGTAGAGTCTGTGCGTGCTCTAAGAGCTTTTCACCTATACCTAGGACTCGGGCTGGGAGCTAGGCAAGGAGTACTCTAGTGTAGGGGCTGCTTGTATCGCCTCCTGTCTCGCTATACGGTGGATCTCGGTTCGCGATGACGGACGTTAGATATCTGATCAACTGTTGTTGTATCGTGACATCCTTGACTGTATTAGAGGTTTGCCAAGAATATCAGACATCATCGCGACCAGGATGTCTTTTGTCTTCTTGGCGATTTCGTAAACTTTATCAATAGTAAGGCCACTCTCAACCAGCTCGGCAATGAGTCCACAGGCATCAAACAGAGAGCGTCAGCAAGCACAATCTTCCTGGTTGATGCCCATCTCTTCCATCAGGCACGAAGACTTCAGGCCGATGGGTAACAGAAGAGTCGATCGTAGATATCGATGCTTTTCGATGAAGGTGAATTTCTCGGATGGGAGGCGCTGGGTCTGACGTAAAACGGTCCATGTCGCTGACAACTGTCTACCAGATACCCTTCTCTTTTATTTTTGTTTTTATAATCATTCTGTATATCTTTTAGTTATATCTGGTGTGCAGTTGCATGCGACTCGATAGCTCAGCCCATCATACGATGTATTCGCCTATAGCTTATAGGCGCTGGTCTGTGGTTAAACTTAGTATAGACCTATAGACCTACTCGACCACGTTCATCAACATATTATTCATTCAACCACCGCAAATCGATCTGGGCATAACGTTAGTGCTGGTTAGTAATTTTGCTTTTGCAACCAAAAATATTCCATTTTTACCCCTGTCATCCCGTGTGACAGACATTGAGTATGTCAAATGACCTTGATGGACACGCGACTCGTCCTGTGCTCACTGCATCCCCTGACCACAGCCACCATCCTCACAAATAAACATTTTTGAACGAAGCACAGTTGATGATCGAGCCGGGTCGTGCCGAGAGTCGAAACGAGTGATCTGGGGATGCGGCACTAGGACGCCACGGCGTATGTAGCCACCTTGCCACTGGCTAAATAGCAATAGGCTCCATTCGTCCACGGCATCAGCTCCCCCTATTCGGTACAGCACATGCAGGTGGCCCGTGGAGACCGGTGAAGTTTGTAGAGGCATCAGGGCCATCGGAACCGTGACAGGGGGAATAACCGAAAGCCGACGACAAGCGCGATAGCCAACGAGAAGCTCGGCATGACTGCGGCGCGACGGACAGCAAGACGAGGAATGAGAAAGAAAACGAAGCAGAAAAGGTTGCAGCAGAAGTGCCTGCGGCATTATTGCACGGAGGCGGCGGCGGAGGGAAAATCCGAGCGAAGCCGACCAATGACCGTCGGCGCTGACAGGGCAGGTGGCCGGGTGCATCTGGCGTATGAGCGAATGCTTTCTTGGCTCTTTTGTAAACTTGTACCTGGCTCACTGTACTCCGCCTCACCTCCCAACTCTCATCCCTCGCTCGCCTCGAGGTTCCCCTCCATCTCCCTTTGATGAATTGTTAATCCGCGTTAGCACTTTCATCATGCTGCGCACCGCCCTCAGACAAAGTGGCAGCCGCCTGGCCTCCGGCAGCAGCTGTGCTGCGCGTTCATCCTTTTCCACCGCCAGCGCCTCCCTCGCCTCAAAACGCAGAGCGCTCGCCGTCACCACCTCCAAGCTGCACGCCAGGAGCTATGCCATCTCCGCCGAGGACACGAGCAAGGGCGTGGTGCGTATCCCGACCCCGCGCCTCCTAGCCCTCACTAACACTCGCAGGACCCCAATGACTCCTTCCTCCAGGGCAACACGGCCAACTATGTCGATGAGATGTACATGCAGTGGAAGCGCGACCCCTCGAGCGTCCACGTCTCATGGCAGGTCTACTTCAAGAACATGGAGTCGGGCGACATGCCCGTCTCGCAGGCCTTCCAGCCGCCCCCGACCATTGTCGCGCCCCTCGGCGGCCTGCCCGCCTTCACCACGCCCGGCCAGGGCCTTTCCGCCAGCGAGGGTGGCGAGGTCATGAACCATCTCAAGGTTCAGCTGCTTGTGCGCGCGTACCAGGCCCGCGGCCACCACAAGGCCAAGATTGACCCTCTGGGCATCCGGACCGAGGCGGAACAGTTTGGATACAGCCGGCCCAAGGAGCTGGAGCTCGACCACTACGGCTTCACCGAAAAGGACCTCGACCAGGAGTTCACCCTCGGTCCCGGTATCTTGCCCCGCTTCAAGACGGCCGAGCGCGAGAAGATGACGCTGCGCGAGATCATTGCCGCCTGCGAGAAGATGTACTGCGGCTCCTACGGTGTCGAGTACATCCACATTCCCGACAGGGAGCAGTGCGACTGGCTGCGTCAGCGCATCGAGGTCCCCCAACCCTACAAGTACTCCGTCGATGAGAAGCGCCGCATCCTCGACCGCCTCATCTGGGGCTCCAGCTTCGAGTCGTTCCTGGCCACCAAATACCCCAATGACAAGCGATTCGGTCTCGAGGGTGGCGAGAGTTTGATTCCCGGCATGAAGGCGCTCATCGACCGCAGTGTCGATTACGGCGTCAAGGACATTGTCATCGGTATGCCCCACCGTGGTCGTCTTAACGTGCTCAGCAACGTCGTCCGCAAGCCCAACGAGTCCATCTTCTCCGAGTTTGCCGGCACCGCTGACCCCTCGGACGAGGGCTCCGGTGACGTCAAATACCACTTGGGTATGAACTTTGAGCGTCCCACGCCCTCGGGCAAGCGCGTGCAGCTTTCGCTCGTCGCCAACCCGTCGCATTTGGAGGCCGAGGACCCCGTCGTCCTTGGTAAGACGCGCGCCATTCTGCACTACAACAACGATGAGCAGGAGGCCAAGACGGCCATGGGTGTTCTTCTCCACGGTGACGCCGCCTTCGCTGGCCAGGGTGTCGTCTACGAGACCATGGGCTTCCACGCCCTGCCCAAGTACCACACCGGTGGTACCATCCACATCATCGTCAACAACCAGATTGGTTTCACGACCGACCCCCGTTTCGCGCGTTCGACCCCCTACTGCTCCGACCTTGCCAAGGCCATTGACGCCCCCGTCTTCCACGTCAACGGTGATGACGTCGAGGCCTTCAACTTCGTCTGCCAGATGGCCGCCGACTACCGCGCGCAGTTCAAGAAGGACGTCGTCATCGACATGGTCTGCTACCGCAAGCAGGGCCACAACGAGACGGACCAGCCCTTCTTCACCCAGCCCCTCATGTACAAGCGCATCAGCCAGCACGAGCCGTCCCTCAACAAGTACGTCAACAAGCTGCTCGAGGAGGGCACCTTCACCAAGGAGGACATCGAGGAGCACAAGAACTGGGTCTGGGGTATGCTCGAGGAGAGCTTCTCACGCAGCAAGGACTACCAGCCCACCGCCAAGGAGTGGCTGACGTCTGCCTGGAACGGCTTCAAGTCGCCCAAGGAGCTTGCCACCGAAGTCCTGCCCCACCTGCCCACCGCCGTCGACGAGGGCGTCCTGAAGCAGGTCGCTGAGAAGCTCGGCAACCCGCCCGAGGGCTTCAACGTCCACCGCAACCTTAAGCGTATCTTGCAGAACCGCTCCAAGACCGTCACCGAGGGCAAGAACATCGACATGGCCACCGCCGAGGGTCTCGCTTTCGGTACTCTGTGCTTGGACGGCCACCACGTCCGTGTGTCCGGTCAGGACGTCGAGCGTGGTACCTTCTCCCAGCGCCACGCAGTCGTCCACGACCAGGAGAACGAGGGCACCTACACTCCTCTGGCCGACCTCAGCAAGGACCAGGGTACCTTTGTCATCTCCAACTCGTCCCTGAGCGAGTTCGGCGTGTAAGTCAAACCCCCTCTATTCCAATTCCATTCCAATGCTAATTGATTAGTCTCGGCTTCGAGTACGGCTACTCGCTGTCTTCCCCCAACGCCCTCGTCATGTGGGAGGCCCAGTTCGGTGACTTTGCCAACAACGCTCAGTGCATCATCGACCAGTTCGTCGCCTCCGGTGAGACCAAGTGGCTCCAGCGCAGCGGTCTCGTCATGTCGCTGCCCCACGGTTACGACGGCCAGGGCCCCGAGCACTCTTCCGGCCGCATGGAGCGCTACCTCCAGCTTTGCAACGAGGACCCCCGCATCTTCCCCAGCGCCGACAAGCTCGAGCGCCAGCACCAGGACTGCAACATGCAGGTCGCTTACCTCACCCAGCCCTCCAACATGTTCCACATCCTTCGTCGCCAGATGAACCGCCAGTTCCGCAAGCCGCTCATCCTCTTCTTCTCCAAGTCCCTCCTGCGTCACCCTATGGCCCGCTCCAACATTGAAGATTTCACCGGCGACTCCCACTTCGAGGCGCTCATCCGTGACCCGGGTCACCAGAATGGCGAGATTGCTCCCAACGAGGAGATTGACCGCGTCGTTCTTTGCACCGGTCAGGTCTACACCTCCCTGGTCAAGCACCGCCAGGAGAACGGCCTCAAGAACACCGCCATCACCCGTCTGGAGCAGCTCCACCCCTTCCCGTGGGCGCAGCTCAAGGACAACCTCGACTCGTACCCCAACGCCAAGAACATTGTCTGGTGCCAGGAGGAGCCGCTCAACGCCGGTGCCTGGTCATTCACCCAGCCCCGCATTGAGACTCTGCTCAACGAGACCGAGCACCACAACCGCAGGCACGTCCTGTACGCCGGCCGCAACCCCAGCGCCTCCGTTGCCACGGGTCTCAAGTCGACCCACCAGAAGGAGGAGAAGGATCTGCTGAACGATGCCTTTACCATCGCGCAGGAGAAGCTCAAGGGCGAGTAAAATCGGAGACGATGAGACTTTAATGCTTCGTGTGCATTTTGATTAATCGGCATCGGACATTTTTCCCTTTGTTAGTCGAGGTTTGGGTGGGGCTTAGAAACATGCGTTCAGCTGCTGGTTGGCGGCGGTCATCTCTGGATGGAATTGTGAATTGTGTAGTATTAGCGTGTGCCTTGCAGGTTGAATAAGACGTCTGCCTCAATGTTTGACAGTGGAATCTGTATTGAGTTTGCCGCATGTGTAAGCAGCGTGGCGGAGAGCCGAGGGGCGATCTTCCGAACGTCATCGATGAAGCTGTGAAGCGAGCCTCCGAGCTTCAACAACATCCATTGCCACTTCTTGCTTATGCCTGGAGCAACGCCTGCGTCCTACGTCTGCCTTCGCTGTCTGCGAGCTTCGCAGCCATATCAATCGACATTCTACCAAACCAAACGCTGGTTATCTCGCTCGCCACCGCACCGCTCGACCGCCCGCCCCGCCGAGACCGAGCGGAACGACCGCCACACCAACGATGGAGACAAAGACAAAGAAGTTGGCGCCATGTCGCGTCGGTTGGAAGAGCTCAGCGAGGACGCCCTCGTGAGTGGCGGTCGCCGCGCGCAAAAGGCCGCCGAAGAAGCCGGCTTCTCCGAGGAGCTGCGGCAAAAGCTTGAAGAACGCATCGCGGGCGCCGACTTCAAGAACACGTACGCGCGGGAGCTGTCACAGGCGAATCTGCCGTCATACGCGGGTAAGGGGACGCGTGACCTCGCGGGGGCGCAGCACTGGACGGGCGAGGAGAGCGTCGAGGACGCGAGTTTGCGCATGCTGAACGATTCGATGGTGAAGCCGATGAGGACAAAGCCGCGGGTACCGGGTGTACCGACGCCGAAAAAGGTAGATACTGGACGCCCTGCCCCTGGAGCGGCGGCTTCGAAGGGTGTGAGACTCGCGAATGCACGGGATCAGACGTCAGTGTATAGTGCGCTGCGGGATTCGAGCATGACGGACGAGGAACGCGAGAAGTTTAGAAGAGAGATGCAGGAGCGGTTTCAGTCGCATGGGCGCACAGCGGCGTGGAGCGTGCGGGCGCTGGAGTCGTTGGCCAACGAGCGGATTGAAGACGCGATTGCACGGGGGCAGTTCAGGAATATCCCGCGTGGTCAGAAGATCGAGCGCGATTACAATATGGGGAACCCGTTCCTGGACACGACGGAGTACTTTATGAACAAAATTATTCAGAAACAAGAGATCGTGCCGCCATGGATCGAGAAGCAGCAGGAACTGGTGGGCAATGCCAGCCGATTCCGTTCAAGGCTGCGGAATGACTGGCGCAGACACGCGGCGCGCATGATTGCGAGCAAGGGAGGGACGCTGGATGCGCAGATCCGGCGTGCGCAGGCGTACGCCGCAGCGGAGAAAATATTCAACCCCAAGGCGCCAAAGCAGGAAACGCTCAACGCCGTCAACGACGAAGGGCATCTGAGTCAGATCACGCTGTCGGGCGAGCTCAAAGCGTCGCCAGTTCCCGACCCGGACGAGCCCGAGGAAGTCACCGTCACGGCCACGTCCGACGTAGGCGCCGCACCTACGGACGCGCAGGCCATCGAAGTCACCACCATCACGGCGCTGGAGACCACCACCAACAGCACGCCCGGGCCCACGCCAGCAGCGATCCCAGCGGCAGACCACCCCTTCCGCGACGCGGACTGGGAGGCCGCGGAGCACTCGTACCTGACGCTCGCGGTAAAGGAGCTCAATAACCTGACGCGCTCGTACAATCTCATGGCGCCGGACCTGGCAAAGAAGCCGTATTTCTCTCTAGAGCGGGAGCTGCGGGCCGCGTTTGCGGACGTGGCACCACAGGTGGCGGAGGAGATACAGAACCGGGCAACGCGGGCACCGGCAAGGACATTGGGAGGAAAAGGGAATGTGCGGAAGGGGGGTGTCATGGAGAGGCTGAGTGGGCCTGAGGTCAAGGTGTATGATGAGGTGAGACCGCAGTACGGATTCAAGGAATTCTGGAGGGATTTGTTTCGGAAGGGTGAGTAGAGCTAGGGCGTGGTTGTAGAGTAGATATTGTATTCTGTTATATCGTGGCTCGTCAGCTATGGAGTACAAACGCAGCAGCACCCCACCAATCAATGCCAGGTCTGCAGCTGCTAAGCTCCGCTGATCATCACCATCACACGGGGAGTCAGCGTCCGGCAGTTTCCAGAGACCAGGATTCACAAGCCACCACTACGCACGCCAACACCACCATCTACCTCACCGCATGGCGCTCGCAGTCTCGGCCTCGCGTTTGGCGCAACCCGGCCACCTCGCCATCACGCCCAACCGGCTCCACGTCTCTTGGACATCAGGCGCAGCACCCCCAGACGACCCCTGTCACAAGCGCTAAGGTCGCGCTTAAGATCGTCGCGACACCTGATAGTTGCGTCTTTGCGTTTGGGTTCCATCTACGCGCGAGGACTTGGTTGTTGTTTCTGGGTTGCTGCGACGGGCTGGTGGGTCTGCGGTTGAGCGCGCTCTGGATGGTCGCAGTTGGGGGATGGAGGGTAGGTAGTTCCCGCTGGGCTTGGGTTTTTAGAGTATGTGGATTGGTTGATGGGTGATTGGTGGTTAGTAACTGAATTTTTTTGCTTGAAATTGACTTGTTCGCGAGGAAGAGGTTTATGAATCTACTGTCGGTCTTAAGTACGGATCCGTACAATAGTGGCTCTTACGTTCCTCACCTATATCAGAATTTCACCGTTCAGCGAACCGGTCCTATCAGAGTGTGTCGCGCGGACCTCGATTGGGTACTGATTAGCCAGATGCGCTGAGCGGTGAAATTGAATATGGGAGAACGATGTTAGAGCATAAAGGACCATCTAAGCTGTGGGTCCGGACGCCAGTAGCGGCGTAGAGCGATGGCGTAAGTAGTCCATGAGTGGGGCAGTGGGCGGCAGGGAGCTGCGGGGAGGTGGGGCAGGTGGGCAAGCGTTCTGTGGAAGTCAAGATCGCGGTCTTGGGATGGGAGGTCGATGGATTGAAGTACCGTTTTAAGTAGTTGCAGAGCGAACGGGACGGGAACTGGCGCCGGCACAGCCTTATAGAAAGACGGAGATATTCACGGCGCGAGAACCAAAGACTAGGTATAGACGACCTCGGGCGTAAAGCGGACGGTATGTCCGTCGAATTACCTAAAGAGGTTAGGGCGACGCTCGGGGCGTGGAAGAGGCGAGCCCATTGGGAAGGCGTAGGGCGGAAGGTCGTCTGACATTGATGAGATGATCCTCCGTTCCGACTGCAGCTCAGGGACGAATCCTTCCTTTTTTTTATTTTTATTTTTTCTTTTCGCGCGCCGGAACGGGTTGCCGGCCGGGGGATTGGTGAAACGGACGCTGTGCCGGTTCGGGCGGCCTGGGACACGGTTTGTGGCTCGACGCCGGTGGCCGGTGGGCCTCTTTCCATTTCGCGTGGCGCCCCTGCTCAGTTGTACGACGGGAGGCTGTGTGGAGCAGGAGGGCGTTTTTCGAGAGGCGCGTGAAGAGACGCGTTAATAGACAACGGGAACAAGCGGGAGCGGCAAGGTATAGCTGGAATAGGAGTACCACGGTCAGAGGTCGGGGCTCGGGGCGGGAAGAGTAGAGGGCTATCTATCTCTGGACGGAAGCTCCAGGAGTCAGGTAGACCCGGGCGGATTCATGCCGTGCGCTCAGCAGAGGATTCCGCCTTGCCATTTGACGCCGAATCACTGGTTGGACGTTGAGGCTTGTGGAGTGTGAGCACCGATCGACCAGTGCAAGCGCCACAAGGGCTGGCATTCGCTGATCAGGCCTGTACGCAAGCCGCGCGAATCGGCGGCGGAGGCTGGAGGCGTGCGAAGGAGACTAGCATTTTTGCTTCTGCCCGAGCTCCGGGCCCATCTTGACATCACTCGCCGAGTCCCCAGCCAGCAAACCCGCAGCAAAACAGATGTGGATCGGATATTCACGGCTGACATGGCATGGGATGTCGTCTTCTTTTTTCCCATCTCGACCAAATAGTCGCGCCTTCGTCGCCGCTAGTCTCTGTCGAGCCCAACCTTACTTTCACCTCCCGAGCAAAACCAAGCTTCTCGCCACCCCTTGATTCGTGGCTCTCAGATCTCCACCGAGTTAGAAGTGTCCTAAAGATCGACGCCGAGCGCTGCTTGCTCCGGCCCGGCCCGGCACCATGACAAAATCGTCTACTTTTCTTTGCTCGTCACCTCGTCCTCTCGTCTGCAGCATCCGCTCATCAACACCTTCCAGAAGCCGAGCCATTCCGTTGAGCTGCGAGGAGCCTTTTCCTGAGCTAGCCGGTCGAACCGCCGAGTCCTGATGGACTGCCAAGACACCGTGTCTGCACGGAACAAACCTCCAAGATCATGGCGATATCTGAAAGAGCAACGGAGAACAAGAGGGGAACTTTTCTGGATTGTTTGGGCGCCCCTGCCAGCATGGGCGTGCTACGACAGACTATTCAAGGACGGTCTAGAAAGGAGAAGAGCAGAAGCGAAGAAAGGAAAACAAAGAGACACAATGGCGTGAGACGACAGCCAGCTGCGGCGGCGCGGCGGCGCGGCGACACGGCGGGACCAGCTGTCTGTGCACTGCCCTCAACTCCAAACGCCAGGTATACCATCTCTTGCGCGAACGGGCGTAAGTTATGCTGCTGGCAACAGAGGAGCGGCCATGCCTCAGCCCGCCGCCAACGAAGGATGTTGTCGCAAACTCAGAACATGTCGCCAATGAAGATATGCCGCCACCGAAAATTTGTCGCCAACTCAGAATTTGTTGCCACATAATGTTGTCCGGTTATCCGCTGGCCGGATCAGAGGTCCCGGACGGGGTCGTAGCGCGCTGTCGAACGTGTTATTATGGGTCCGTCTTTTTCAGCCACCAAAAAAGCTGACTGCATATTTTCGGGTACGTACCTCCCAACGTTCCACCGGCGGTGTTGCGCCTCTCAAAATGGCCGTCAGACTGATCGGACACAGCTTCTTGGCCGTCGGCCTGTCTCCCTGACCTCGTGGACGAAATGGCTTCACCGTTGCGGTGCCGGTTACGGTTGTCTCGGTAGCGGAACACGTGCCACATGAGCCATCGGATGATCCAGTTGTCCTCGTTCCGGCCGTCCATGTAATGGCCCATGTCGTAGTAAGGCTTGGTGTAGGGGCTAGCGCCGTGGTACACGGCCAGGACCTCGCGGTGCATGGCCGTCTCCGTTATCTGGTTCGAAGAGTAAGGTGGCTGCACCTTGGGGTCGCAACGGCACTGCGGGACCAAGTTGGCAGGGTCCTGGCTTGTCCGCCGCCTTCCCTCGGCGGCCTCTTCCTGTGCACGTGTTAACCAACACGCCCAATGCTGCTGCTGCTGCTGCTGCTGCTGTTGTTGTTGTTGTTGAGCGAGGGACCGGCTTACCTTCATCAACTCGTACAAGTCCTTATGGGCCGGATTGTCCACCGACAAGCCCAGTCTCTGGAAGAAGTCGGCCTTTGTCCTGCTTGGCGCGAGCTTAGCCAAAGCCATCATGTCTGGATCTCTTCTGCGCAGGTAAGCTAGCTCTCGTTAGGTGTGTGCGAGGACTTATATGTACCGAGGGCACGCCTTATAGATTCCTGACAGACGCAACTTGCACGTTCTCTGCCTGCTCGGCATGGCGTATACTTAAGCACCTCCTTCCCCCACCCCGCCAGGGTTCGGGAGCGTCAGTCGACCAGACAGGCTGCAGATCCTGGGAATCTATCGATCTCCCGATTCCCGCTGTCCCCCAGGGTGGGAGAGACGCCGTCCGAGCTGATCCCAAGATGTGAGTGCATCCGAGCCCAAGCTTACACAGCCAGGAGGTTACCAATCGCTCGGACCGAGCCGCTGCTTCCAAGTGGTCTGATAGCATCGTGCCATAACCCAGCACGGCGCAGGAGTCTCGATGTGTGACGACCATCATTTGACGGAGGTATTGGTGGCTTGCTCACGACACGTCTCGGGTCCAAACAGATCTCTCAGCGACAATTTGCACACCCCGCCCACGATTATCTAGGAACATGTGGCATGAACGCAAGAGAAAGGTGGCTACCGCCCCAGGCAAAGGATCAGCTCCTCCACTGCCTGATCTTGGGGCTCTATTGGGGATCTTCCCCCAGGATGTCACGGGACATGAACTGATCTCCGAAAGGTAAATGAAGGCGAACTGGGAAAGACGCGAGTACCTTTTGGCAGGGCCGAATCGGCCTGTTTCCGCAACGAGTGCGATGCGCAAACCCGTCCATGCGGTCTCTAGGAACAGCCCGTTATTTTTTATTTTGTTTTTACTTTCTTTTCGCTCGACGTTTCCACCAGGGGGGTGGCGGGGTGCATTTATTTTGTTTTTTCCAATGCCTGTTCTGACATGCACATGGCTCCACACCCGGGACCGCGTGCCAAATGGCTTATGTTGCAAACGCGCAACGCGTGGGATGGTGTCAAGTCAGCCATCGGACTTAACGCAGAGACACGCTGGGTCAGCCCCAGAGTGCCCACGGGCTCGAGTGAGGCTAGGATTGCCGATCGCATGCCGTTTCCTCGATAGCGCCATGTGCGCTGCATCTCACAGTGCAGATTTCTCAACAGTCTAACTGAATTGCTCGTCAATACCGTGAGCATTGGAGATATTTCCATCGAGCCTGACGATCTCGCTTTATGGACGGCGGAAGGGAAAAGGCAGGCTGCCGAAAGGCGAAGGCAACCTATCACCGGCGCCGCTGCGCCACGCCTCCTGAAACCCTGCATCGCGGGCGGGCACGAAATTGGGCGCAGCTGGCGGCGGGTCGGGAGCGCCGGCGAGCGTGGCGCGCCAATAAGTGCGGGATGGCCCTTCATCCTCTCTCCTCCCTCCCCTACACTACCCCCCACCGGGAGGCCTCGTCCTGGCAAAGAAGTGCCGCGCCAGAGAGTTTGTCCCACCGTCTCATGCGCATCTCAAACTCGCTTGCGCTTCGGTTGAGATCTGGGCCCGGGGCCATGATACCGGTCCCGCGCATGGCTGCCTGCCGAACCACGGCCTGTCAAGCCGCCGCTTCCACGTGGTCCACGACCTCTTATGACGTCGTGCGAGATCCTGTTTTTAGGAGCCCGAGTCTTACGACTACCTACACGCTTGTCTTCAGGGCTTTTCCCTCAGCCCGGCTGCCGACTGTAACAGCCACCCGCCCGCCGTGCCACGCCTGCCGCCGCTCATCCCCGAGGACACGTTACGAACACCACACAGCCTCACATGCCACTGCATCTTAGGTGGAGGGGAATTGGGACGCCCTGGCGTTCGTGACTTGTCACTCTCGGCGACTTATGACTCCTTCTCCTTCTCCTACTTCCTCTCCTACACACCGTCTCCCACCTCGGGCATCCACCCCCTTCTCCAAACGCACATTGGTGACAGGATACGAGACGGCGTGAAACGATGCGGGCTCGCCGGCGCAAAGCTGCACCCCAGAACCTGGACTCATGGTTGTCGGGGACTGGGATCTTCCATGGCGGCCCGTGTCACAAGGATCCGTGCGGCTTGTGGGCAGTAGCAGCGGGTAGCATCCGTTCGAAACGCGAGATGGGGAAGAGAGGCAATGTCAGAGAGGCACGAGGGGCAGCAGAAGCAGGAAGTAGTGGGTAGTAGCGAGAGAGAGGGGAGACATGGGCTGATTTTGGCGGTGCGAGGGTGTTTTTTTTTTTTTTTTTTGCTTTTGCTTCTTTGACGACCGACAAGGCTGCGTTCATGAGACGAAGATGGCTGATGCGCGCCCTGCACGCCGCGCGAAACGACACCCGGCCCCCCGCCATCACCTGGTTCGTATAGTGTGGCTCGGCGGGCGGCGTGGCCGTGGCGGCGAGTCTGCGGCGGCGCGTGGCCTGAGGAGACTTTCAGGCACAGGAATGATTCAAGTGAGTGCGACGTCTGGCGGCACGGGACCTGAGGGAGAGGGAATTGTGCAGACGGGATGGGAAGCCACTCTCGGTTAACTTCAGCGCGCGCGCTTCGTGTTTGCTTTTGACGTCAGACAGACAAGGCAGGCGCGGTTGGCGGGGCGGTCCCCATGTCCATGCCCGCTTGCCTGTCGATGCCGCCTCACCCTTTGCCTCCTCTCATTCTCCCTTCAGGCCTTTGCTACGACGACAGCAGTTTTTACCATGGCAGCATCATCTTCCCCCACCAGCATTCCCCCGCTTCTCGACCGCAGCAACAAACGCCATCGCTTCCTTAACCTAGACTCCTCCGAATCCACTCCTAGCGACACCAGCTCCATCTACACGGCCGACAACTCTAACGCGGCGAAGCCGGCGTCGCCTCGCTCCCACTTCCATGAAGCCCGTTCCAGCGGAGAAGTGCAGAGAGCGCGTGCAAGGGCACCGACTACACCGCGTACGCAAGCCTACCTTGGCCCCTGCCCCGCCGTATGCATCAAGAGCTGATCAGTGCTATCATGTCAGATGGGCCGGGAATTGCCGTGCGCTTCACCAACCGCCCGGACGCCACGCCCCTGACGACGATCCTTGAGCAACGGTCTGCGTCAACGCTGCGTGAGAGGGCTTCCCAGCTTTTGGCGAGGGCCAGCTTGCACCAACGCCCGTCATCGTCAGTGCGCCCAGACACGCCCGCGGCTGCGGACCATGGTACCCCAACTGACAGGAAGGATGCCGCCGGCACGAGGGTAGATGGCGTCAACAGGCGTCAGATCTCATGGTCCATCAATGTCGATGAGGCCACGCTGCGCGAGCTACATGAGATCATTAGCAGCCAGCGACCCGCGCGCCAGGATCCCAAGAGCGCCTCCAGTCTCGGCTCCTCGCCCGGCACTGGCAGTGACCCAGCCCGGCCTTTTTCGCCCATCCATCCTGCCTACGCCCGCAGCTCCACGCCCAAGGGCGCGCCGCGCTGGCCGGGAGATCTGCCGACGATGGTGCGGGCCCCTACGCGAACGGTGTCGCGTGCGAGGAGCGTTGGGCACGCTCTGCGTGACTTTATCCGCGGGCCTCGAGGTAACATGCTCTGAGATGTGACATGTATCAATCTCAAGCAGGAGACTTGAGAGCCACATCATGCTAATCAATGTTGGTAGCTGCCAGTACCAGTGGCGCGCCGAGTCGCGCGCAGACGGTGTTTTCCCTGGGTAATCTACAGCCCCGGACAGCGGCTGCGCCGCCCAGGACCGGCAGAGCATATTGGGCGCCGCCACGCAGTGGCCATGGGCCGTTCAATGCAGGCGTCACGGACCAAAGCTATCCTTTTCCAGACTCGGGTACAGGCAGATCCCCTGAAGAGCGTCAGCTGTCGCACGAACCTGCGCAGCACGCTTCTACAGGCCCAGGGACCCCGTATACTAGACCTAGCAGTAGTTTCCGCCAGCCTTTTACGCCGCAGGACGATGCAGTTCTACAGAATAATATCCCCACAGCCGCTGCTGCTGGCTCAGCGGCCACTACGAGCCCTTCCACGCCTCCTAATCACAGCCAGCTATCTATGCACGACCTTATCCCAGCACCGCTTTTCACTTCGCCACCGCATTCGAGGCAAGGCTTGGATCCGCGTGTCCCGGAATCGGCGTACGATCGCGTTACGCACATGGTTAATCGGGAAGGGACACAAGGCCTCCTAGACACTAATCAATGCGGTTCCACGGCTGCGGATGGCCCACTCAATCTCAACAGGCCCTCCGCAACAGCCACAAGTCTCCGTGACAGCAACGCCGACGCCGAAACAGCAGTACCGGACGTGCAGCTCGCTCCTACAAATACGCATTTTGCAACCACACCCACAACCCCAGATCCTGACCCAACCCTATGCAACCCCATCAACGCAACATCCTCCTACAAAAACAAACAAAAGCAACCGTCATCGCCCATCCCCACACACCCCACACGCCCTGCCACCCTCCACCTTCACACTTCACCCTACTCCTCTACCCGTCCTGCCACGCCTCCTGGCACAGGCCTCATTCGCTCCGCCGCCTTGCCATCACTCCTCCCCATCGCAGCGAAAGAGGGCATTGTGCGACCGAGGGGATTGCCACTGCCCAGGGCTGTGCCTGCTTCCACACGTTCAACTGCTTCAGTACATTTGGTTGCCTCTGTTCCGTTTGGTGCCTTGGTTCTACCAGGTCCTTCGCATCGCTCAGGCACCTCGTTCCACTCGGCGGCCTCGACACGCGCGCTCTATGGCTCGGCTACGGCTGGTGGTAGTAGTGCGAGCTCAGCCGGCACGCAGGAAACATGGCGGACGGCACGAACGGCGCAGGCGACGCCGGTGGCGGGCGGCATTGCTGCGCCCGTTGTGCCAGAAGCTTTACGTCCGAAGGCTCGGGCACCGATGCGTCCGGGGCCGGGGAACGGAGCACAGTCTGCTCGTAGAAGTGGGCAAAGGAACAGGGACAGGCTGATGAGGGTGGTTATGTGGTGTTGTTGTCAACCTTTTCATTCTGGGAGCTGTGGGTGTGAGCCTTGCACTGCAAGGCGGGCGAGGAGGATGAGGAGGGGGTATCGGTGGGTGATGTTTCAGGGGCCGGTGGTGGATGGTGCGGTTCATGGGATGGTGTGAGGGGTTGTGATAGTGGTTTGTGGGGTGGGAATTGAATGAATGTGCGTGTGGTTGTGCTGTGTGGGTGGGTGTAGTGAGGTGAGTATCGTTCAATTGCGTCTGCGGTTCTCTCTCTAGTCTTATTTTGCTGCGACGGAATCGTGATCGTGATCAGGGTAAGTAGTTAAGGTAGGTGAACGCTGATGAAGGAACGGGAAGGTAAGTAAGTAAGTAAGCGGGTAGGTAGAGTAAGTTCAGCACGGTAGGCAGTACATATCTGAAATCAGAAGCATAACCTCACCCCCGTCCATCTGCGGCATGCTTTAACTCTTTCTTCAAGCGACGCCCCCACCACCCCGACGCCACTCTGGCTCATCTCGTGAGTCGTATCAAACACGTGCTCAAGCCTGTCGTAGTGCGTACTTAAACCTCTCGCGGCCTTTCTTTCAGGAGCAGATACAGCCCACTTAGCCGTGGCTTGTTGGACCAACAAATGCAACGACCAGGTGTGTCCAGAAATGGACGACTCACGGTGGGGTGGTGCACTACTTGATCATCCTTGAGAGCTGTTTCGAGCAGTGTGCCTCTAGAGCGTGGTTCTGAGAGGATACATGTGTAGGGAGACGGTGATATCCCCCACCAACATGCACTGGTACTGCGCTGCATCGGCGGAGATGGGTGGTGGTGGTTAGCATTAGGGAATGGGAGAGTGGGGTTGGTAGGGGATTAGTTTGTAAGAGATTGCTGCTTTGGTATGCTCGCCGCGCATACCAATGTATACTGATTGTTGAATGCCCCCTAGTCTATTAGCGTGATGCAGTTGATCAATGTCATGGTATGGTGGGCAGTGGGGGTTGAATGGCGCTTGTGCGATGGTATATATGAATGGGCTGAGGTGAATAAGGTGGGTTTCCTGAGAACGCACTCATTGTATGAGACTGCAGAGAACTTGATTTGATTTTTGAAAGAGTGGCTATTTAGGTGGATGCTGATAGTTGAAACCGTTGTGATTTAAATGAGTGTATGGTTCGGTAGAGAGATGTTGTTTGTCCTGGCGCGGAAGGTTCTCGTGGTGCGAAGACTTGGGTTGGTAAACGTATTGGTGGTGAGCCGGAGGTCGTGGTGTGAGCCATAACTAGAAACTGAGTCGTGAGTGGAAGCCCTTGTGTAGACTGGAAAAGTAGTTGTAGAAGATAGGCCGGGCTTATAACTCTTGAGCGTGGAGGGATGGTGGAAACAAAGGCGACACGCAGCGCAGTGCTGCGCACTTGACGGCTTGGTACAAGCAAGCGCCTTTGCATGGTATAAAGAAATTTAGAAAAGACTAATAATCTGCACAATGATACTTATAACAGAAAGGACCAAAAAAGAGAGCCATAAGAATGGTCAGCATGATGATTGCTTGCGTAAGATTGTTTGAAGCCGTGAGAATGAGGAGGAATCGGTATCTGATTTTTGAAAGATCGGCTATCTGGAGGGCAGCTTATAACCGCGAACTCTGTACCCTGTTGTGTGAGTTGTTGCATTGCAAACGTGAATTGAATGTATACCTATGGTTGAGAAAGGAGTACTGTGATGGTTAGAGAATATTTGAGTCAATATTCAATACGAAGACATTAGCACGTTACGGATCTTGGGGACGATTAAAGCAGCTATAGTTAGAAAAGATGAACCTACTCCTAAACCAGACCCGCTTGAATATTAATATTCGTATACGGTTCGTTAACGTCGGTCACCGTTAACCGAGATTCACCGTAAAGCGAGATGGTGATACTTATACGGAGTAGACGAAGAGACCTAGCTAAGGTATATAGAGTCTATATATACTCTAAGACCTTTTTATCTATGCCTAGAACTCGGGCTAGGAGCTGGGCAAGAAGTACTCTATAGGGACTACTTATATCGTCCCCTATCTCGCTATACATTGGATCTCGGTTTGCGGTGACGGATGTTAGAGGTTGAAGGCATATGTTTTGAATGGAAGGATCAAGATACTTGTTTAGCTTGTTGGGAAGTTAGTGAAAGGGAAAGAGTGCATTAATCTAGTTTAGCAAGGCAGTATCGCTCCGAAGTAAATATCGAAAGCTACAAACTTAGAAAATGCAACAGAACTGAATACTGGAGAAGAAAAGTCCGCATAGACGTTCTCTTGTGTTTGTGCAATGACCGGGCCTTCACTGGTACGGCCTGGATCCGTGTAAATGGACCGTTCTGAACAACGCGCCCACCAGCAAGTGAGCAACCACGCAACCATCCATACCGGCCAATTAGCCAATCAGCTGTCAGCAGCAAAAGCAGCATGGAGCCCCGTCTGTGCAAAATAAATTCGGCCCAAACACACTTACACAAACTCGAAGTGCGGCCCGAGCATCTCAAAAACCCAGGGCTCGATACCCTCACCGTACCCAGGTGAGAGCGTTGAAGTCGCATCCACATTACCGGAAGCGGCTTCAATATGATGTTCAGTGTTGTGTGACGTGGTATCGACATCGTCATCCTGGCTGTGCTTAAGCCTAGACTTCTTGAGCGGAGGCTCAGAGAGGGGTAAAGCGTCTGTCTCCTTGCGTTTCTGCATTAACAGAGCAGGAGCGTCGCTGTTGGTACAAGCATCAGAGCTGCTCGTGTTACCAGTCACGAAGAGCGACTTCTCTGGCGTCTTGTGCTGTGCATATTTGGAGACATGTTGTTCAGCTGGCTTATGAGAAAGTTCCAGCTCTGTTTTTTCTCCTGGACCATAGCCATATGTCGTTTCCTCGATCTGCGTTGGATATCCGGGCTCCAGGTCGCGCAATTCCTCCATCTGTTGGGAATCTGCGAGCCCGACCATGGCTTCATCCAACAAAGAGTCTGCTTCGCCAAATGCTTCATCATCTTGTTGACCAGGGTCATGAGTGTTCTTAAGGTCTATGTCTTCGTCTAGTGGCAAACTCGCAAGCCAGTCATCATCAAATTCGAAGTCATCAGTCGACTCTTTTTCCTTTGCCGGCAAGAACGAAAGTTCCGGCTGGGTATCTTTCTTGTAGTTGTGGATCGGTTTCTTGTGCGTAATCCTGATAGAAGACTCAATGCCGGGATCCCGAGCAGCCGATGGACGATCCAACTTTGACGATCGTGGACCTTGACCAAACGATTTTAATCCCAGCTCGCGCGAAGGTTTTTGAGGCCGTTTGTGATGTTCCGGTTCAGCTCGCGTGAGATCCAGTTGTTCGACATCTGAAGATAATTCCAACTTTTTCAGTCTAGACCTGATCACGGAAGAAGTCAAAGTTGTCTGTTTCTTTGCGGCGGGTGTAGACTGTTTAGTATGTGTGTCTTTCTCCAAGACAGTTGATTTCCAGTTCTTGGGGGCTTTAGGAGGTTTGTCTAGGCCCTCTTTGCAACACATGTGCTTGCATGAAGACCTTTCTTTGCAAGGATGGTTACACTTCCATTTGCCATTGGGTAGCCTTTGAGGTTGCCATTCATGGTCATTCTTTGTGGTAGCAACTTGGTTTGTCTTGCCCGAGCCAGAGTCTTGGATATCGTCAATGTCGAGAAAGCCGTCACCTTTTTCTGCATCCAGGGCATTATCATAGTCCGAATCGGCAATCCCATCATACTCAAACTCGTCAGCCCCGGTATTTGAAGACGTTTGGTCAGGCTTAGAACCCTCGGACCGCCTTCTGGAGATGTTCATCGGAGGCTTCAGGCGGGAAAGCAAGTGGTGAGGGATCTTCGGTGTTATCGTAGCTTGCCTCATGGTGCCGGCTACAAAGTGTCAGATGATGCCATATCATTTCGCTTGGAAGACTTACCGATGCCATCGCACATAACGTAGCAATTGACGACTTGATTCAGACTTGTGATATCAGCAGCAAAGAAAATTTCTTGGTCATGGCCGACTCTGTCCGCACTGTAATTAACTGTTAGAGAACCGTGGACTTTTTGGAACGACGAACTATCACTTAGCCACTTACGGAATTCTGTTGAAAATAACCATGTGGCCATCAGAAGTCTCCGCGAGCAAGCACACGTGAATTGCAACGCCTTTGTAGAATGACGGTGACGATTCATTCATAAATCCAAATTCAACCTTCAGATTGACAGTTACCACGTCGTCATTTTTTCCTTTCTGTCTCCCAGTTAGAACCATCACAAAACATCAAGTCTCTTACTTACAGCATCTTTCATCTGCTTGAGCGAAAGCCGCAGCTTTGGAAACGATTTCAACCCTTGTAGGAGTTTCGTTCCATACGGAGGATTTTTGCCCAAAAGTGTTTCTATCCGGCGGGGTGCCGTATCCTCGAGCTCTTCTATGGTCCTGACACCGGCATTGACCAGCTTCCGAACAGCTACCGGTCCGATAGATCCAATCTGTTTCATCTGAAGAGGAGAATCATCCCATACCTGGGCCTTTAGACTCCGAGCCAAAGAGAGCGCGTTGCGAGCTGTGACGGAATCCTTTTCGTGCAAGGCGCAGTCTATGATGCATCGAATGAGTCGGTTGGTATGCTGGAACACCAGGTTCGTATCTGTCCTATACTGGCTAAGGCTTCGATTGTCTTTCTCGTACGAAGCCGGAGGATCGGCACCACCCAGAACTGATTGAATAATTAAGGATACCTTTTGCGGAGTCTGAGTAATGTTGTGTGGAATGGGGAATTTGATCGACGGAGATGTGTTCAGAGCGTTGTAGAAAGGCCTGTCACCTTGCCGGAGTTGAAGATTCTTGAACTCTTCGGAGCCAGCCAAGGCGGATATCTAATTCGCATTAGCTAGGTGAATTGCCAACAACAGTCGTAACCCGATTGAAACTTACAATCTCGGATACTCTTGCTTGACGGTCCATACCCAGAAAATGTCTCATCGTCCCCAGACGAATATAATACCGAGCCATTATATCACCATGTTCTGTCAGACGGATACGCTCATCACCTTCCACCAGCTGATGTTCCTTAAGAAGGGTTATATCTCGGTTGCAGATGTGTTCGAGGTAGTCATCTAAATTCTGGTTTCGAAGATCACCCCCTAGTTTGTATCGGCTAGGGTTCTCTTGAAGTCGGACGTAGAGAAATGTGCTGGCCAACCACTTCTTCGCAGAACAGATGTTTGTCACCGTACCGAGTCCGATTTCAGCATTCTGAACTCATGTCAGTTTCCATTAAATCATCTAGAAAGTCGCGGCTCTCTGTACTTACCAAATGTTCGACCAGATTTAAGTGCAGCCTGCCAACAGTTAGTTGCAATGAAAAAAGGCCTGATGATATACTAACTGGCTTTCCAACACTTCACTCCCAGTGACCATCTTCTCGTATCTCATGATCTTCTCGTTCTTCGTTAAGATTACTGCCACGCCATCGTTGTCAAACTGCGGACGACCGGCTCTTCCAAGCATCTGCATGATTTCGAGATCCGAGTATTCCTTGAGGCCATTCGATGTGTAGCCGACAGTGTTCTTGATGATGACAAAGTGGCAAGGTAGGTTTATGCCAACAGCAAGGGTAGACGTGCAACATATGACATTGATGTTCCCTTTCAAAAAGCCATCTTCGACTGCTTGTCTGTCGTTGATATCCATACCAGCGTGATGGTAAGCGACCCCGGAGGGTGTACATCCTGGCATCTTGTCAGCAGCCGCATACAACACCGAGTTAGTTGTCCTTAGATAGTTACCCTGTAAATCTCGCTCCACAACAACAACTCGTTTCTTGGGACATTCCCAACGCCTCTCTCTGGGATGTGACTCCGCCCACCACTTCGCAAGTGCCTTTGCAGTAGTGGCAGCGGATTTTCGTGTGAAGCAGAATATCATAATCGGTTTGTTTTTGGAGTATTCGGCAATCACCTCCATCAGCCTGCCATGCGAGCAATGTCAGTAGGACACCAGCAACCACAAAAAAGTGTACACACTTGTTGTTAAGGGCCCAGTCGATGCTGAACTCATTGTCCTTAGGGTTTTGAAACCCGATAACATGCTTCTGGAGCTGGACAGGTCTAAACTCCTCACCAAACTGTTTAGTAGTCGCTGGAATGTCTCCGTTTAGGGAGTTCTTGCCCAACCATTTTGCAATGTCGAGGAAGTTGGGCACGGTAGCGGACAGCGCGACAAAGCGTACATCCGATCCCACGCTCTTCATGCGCGAAACGACGGCCTCCAAGGTTGCACCCCGTTCATCGTTCAGTATGTGTACCTCATCGATGAGAAACAACTTCACCATCTGCATCAATCTGTCGTGGTCTCTCCATTTCCTTGTCATGCTGTCCCATTTTTCCGGTGTCGTTATGATGATGCTTGCGGCCTGGATAGCCTTCAGTTGTGCGCCGTCGCTATCTCCTGTCAACTCTGCGCAGTTCAATCCCAAGGCGTTGAACTTTGTTTGCCAGTCACGCTGGCGCTCGGAACAAAGCGACTTGGTTGGGGCTTGGTAAACGACTTTGAACTGCTCCAATGGTTAAAAATACCACTCCACTCCTATCAAGGCAAACATACCTCTCGATCGCCAAACTCGCTCACAAGTCTGAGGATAGCAAGCTCGAAAATCACCGTCTTGCCGCTTCCAGTAGGTGAGCTCACCACGAAATTGTTGTTCGTCCGATAGGTCGCATCGAAACATTTGGACTGCATGCAATTGAAGGCAGGGAATGTGAAGATGGACCGGAAGCGGTCAGGAAGCTCCCTCGTAGAGACCAGCTCGATACCCCGAACTGTGGGCAGAGAGTTTCTCCTTTTTGGCTGTGGTTTTGGCGGGGCTTTGATCAGCTCCGGCTGAAGACATGCATCGTCATCCTGTAGGTCCCAGCCGTAGTCGTCTTCTTCTTCCATCGATTGTGGTCTTCCCAGTCTCACCGCGCGAGAGAACTTTGATTGGGTGGATAGCCTTTGGCTTGCTTTGAACGCCGGACTCGATGGAAAGCCATGAGTCTTAGGAGATGAGCTGGGCTGAGGCAAGGCAGGATTGTAGGCAAACTGAGCTACGAAGAAGTCAGTCGCATGACAATCTCATGAGAGCTACTGGCATACCAAGTTTTTGTCTAGCGGTCATTGTGGGAGCGGAGTTGTGCTGGGAGTACTGTGTCCGCCTCGGCGGCAGCGAGACCCTCGCTCTCCCCTCGACTAGGTCCCCGTTTGATTCCCGCAAGAGCTGCTGGTCTGAGTAGTATTAGCACAACCACTACTTCACTCTTGATTCTTGCTACTCACCGAAAGCGTCAAACGCTCCTTGCGAAGCGAACCCACGCTCATTATCAACAGCTGCTTCCATGTAGGAGTAGGAAGGAGGTTGCGCCAATTCAAACCCACGGCTGGCATGCGAGTATTGCGATCGTGTAGTTCCATACTGCTGCTCTTGTTCTTGCGGTCGGCGTACGCAATTGTCGATGTCAGCTAGTAGCGCTGAGACCGAGTCGTCGCTCATTGTTAGTGCGCTAACTTGACTTAAAGAGACAGATGAGGACAAGAGTAATAGGTGGCGGTGAGACCAAAGTTTTGAAATTGGTTGTGCGAAGAAAAGTTGGTGCGGTTGACGAATGTGGAAAGAAGAGAGTGCCCGTCAGATCAGGCAGGCGGCATCCACGCTGCAGGGCGGACAAGCCCGCCCATCTAAACCCCGATGCGTGTTCATCCAGCGAACGCTTAATCATAATAAGTACAGAATCTAAAGTGCCCACTCCTCAGGCTGCGCGCATAGTTTGTAATCTTACCCAACCAATCTTCCTTTTATCAATGCCAACCAGTGACGCGCCAAAGTCAAGGTAACGGATTCGATCCGATACAGATGCTAATGACAATCTATGCCTTTGTGTTGAGAATAGTACCAATGTGCTGCTCCCACCTGTCCATGTACGGTCAGCTACTCGTCCCGCTTAAAACTCTGCCGTTCTACACTCGGCGTGCTTGGCCTGCTAGTGGACAATCCTCCGATTTTCGGCGTCTTCAACATCTTCTCCGCGCTGGGTGTGAGGTCAAAGTATCCCGCATCTGCGCCTACGATAGTCTTCTCATACTCCGCAATTTTAATGGGAGGTGGACGATTCCGGTCGTGGCTGCTGTAGAGATATGTCGCAAAAAGCACAATGGACGTGCCAATAAGGTACTGCTATTTGTTAGTAGCTCGAAACTAGCAACACAAGAAGACTTACATGTTTCGAGATTTGGAAATCGAAAAACCATACACTGGCCAGGCAAGAGATGATGATCGAGATGCTGGTCGCAAAGTTCTTCGCGATGTTGTCCGCATAGCTGACCACGAGCGCCACGACTACGCCGCCGAGCGCTTGCATGCCGATTGCAGCCCAAACCACCCAACTGTAGCCGACGAAGAAGCCGAATTTGGCAATCTCCTCGCCATCTAAGAATACGACGCCCAGGAATAGCGCTGGGAACAGAGAGTAGAACGACAATTGCACGTTACGGACCCAAAGGCTGGCAGGGGTGTGCGATTCTTTGAGAACCTTCTCAAAGTAAACGCCTGCAAGACCAGATAGCACGCATGCCACTACAACAGCCATAAGACCGAGAGAAGCATTGGGCGTAGGATGCTGCAGTGCAACATCCTCCTCAATCCCCTCGTATGTCGCCGAGCGTCTGGCCATGGCGCCTGCGGTCCGCCGCATGAGTTGCTTGGCCGTTTCACTACCCAGCCCACGCAATTCCTCTATACTGCGTGGCCAGAAAAGGCGTATCCTTTCATCGCGCAGGCTGTCCATGTTGTTGGTGTCTCCACTCGCCATCGGCATCTGCACGATCGCGATCCCCAGCATGAGAAGCACCAGGCTGGCCCATTTACGCAAGCTGAGACTGCGGCCCAGCAGCGTCACACTGAAAAGCGCCGTCGTCAGGATCTTCAACTGGTATGTGACCTGGAACGTTGCGGCATCGAGGTTGCTGACGGCAAGGTATTGTAGCGAGTTCTGGAGCGTGTACAGCATTGCAGGAATGGCGAGTTTCCAGCTATCGCCGGTGAAGACAGCTCCGGAGAGGCTGCGGAAGAGGGTCGTCGCAGGCGTAGAAGAGGGCAATGACGCGGAGATTTCGTAAAGGGCCATTGTCAGGGACAACGACAGCTTCAAGACCTCGTTCAGGAAGACGGCGGTGCTGGTAAAGTATCGACGGGGTCCGACGAGCGGCATCATGCGTGAATAATGCATTATCTGACGACCGGTTAACCACATGCCCACATGTTTCAAGACTTATCCGGGGTAGAGGTCGCGTTGGGGCATACCAAGATCAACGCCGAGTTCTGAAAAGTCAACTATGACGGCCGTCAGCAATCGCTCCCCACGACGCGAGGATGCTGGCACGAACGCAGATCAGAGATATTGTTCTGAGAGACATCCCACCCCACGAGGCTGCCCGGCGTTCGGATGTGACTCCCATTGTCTTCCCTCCTTGGTGTGACAGCAGCGGTGAACGAGCAAAATTTGACGCGCGCAAGGAGCGTGAGGCAAGGCCGATGCGGGAGTAGGCTGGCGGATGGAGCCAGCACACGATGCAAAGTGATGAGGCGCGGCCAGCAAATGGGCGAAGGGCGAGCAAGCGACGACGAATGGCAGGGTTGAGGACGGAAACGGCCGCGCGGTGCGTTCAGCTGAGACAGGGACGTTGTGGTGTTGCGATCAGGCATGGATGCGCGGTGAATCCCTGACGTAAACCGTTTTCATGGGCCCCCCTTCTGGGCCGTCTCGAAATTCCTGATTTCCATCCAAAAGCGCAAGCCCGACAATCCAGGGTCATAACACGGAGCGCGCCCCGCAAACTTGCATGTCAGAGGGCCGAGCGCAGCGGGCACTTCCCCGGATTTTCCATGGCGCTTGAACGTTTTACGAGGCTGTGCATGGGCATCGCCGCGCTCCTGCAGCGCGCAAGGCGTACCTGTCCATCATTCGCCGTTTTGCGTGCTTATGGAGCGCCTCCGGTTCGATCGCACGATTCCGTCTTCGCATCCCGAGGAAGAGGCAGGTGTAATTTGTGCTGTGCCGTTCCCGAACAAACGTCCCTGTAGGCTGGATACCCATGTGGAGACATCACGCCATAGCGCAGCAACGGAGCAACTCGTCACGACCTCTGAAATCATCATGCTTAGACGTCGGCCTCTTGGCATGTTGTTGACTATCTATAGAATGCATTGCCAATCACCTACTGATGAAGGCTGTTCCCCGGCAACGAAAACAGCATGTATGTAACCGCCAGCCCAGGCTTGAGCCGTATCCCTTTCGAGCTACTCGGGGACGTTTCTGGGTCGGGTTGAAAAAATGAGGCGACGATATATCCAGAGCGGCTACATACTGCTAATTGCTACGCCAACATTCACTTTGGCAGCGATGCCAATAAATCACCGCATCGCTTGCATTGCTCACCCGATGCTGGTGCAGATCTTCAAGCTTTCAGAAACGCCGGCAGTGCTCACATACCCTCGTCACCGACAGTCAGACATACTTTGTAATTCCTTTTACCCTAACATCTGTCTGTTATTTCCAGCCTTGGTCATGGTCATGGGCAATAAGGGTCAAAAGCTTGTACCAAACCTTATATTAATGGGTTCGCGCTACATCAAGACGACCACGGGTGGAACTAGCGTAAGAGCCGAAACGCCGGGACAGTGATTCAATGGCGATTGGTCAGCGTGTTGGTTCTTCTTCATGGATTGTCTTTTGTCTTTATCAATTCATGACTGGGGAACGATGCTTTTCCGCCATGTTATACTCTCCGAGCAATGCAGGGACACAAGGAGTACCTACGATATGTAAAACTAGAGGCAAAGGCAACCGCCGATGATTTTGGCTAGCAAAGAGCCTAGTGGTGTAGAGTATAGCATGAAGTGGGGCCATCCAATAGAGTTAAAGAGTCACGACGATATAGTGAAGCGACGGTAAACTGAAGCTTAAATTTGGGGCCAGGCGTATGGCTTCAAAGAGAGAGTATCGGGCCAGGAAGCAACAAAAATATATTAAATCTGGAACGATAAACTACGAAGGCAGCCAGCGCTGGGCTTATTTAAAGTTGTCTGGATTGGATGTGGACGAAACCACAAAAAGCAAACTGCAGACTGCTGCTGCATTTTTTTCATCACGCGACATATAGCCGGATTGCCGTAAGCGATGGAGAGATGTTTGATGCGGTGGCTTTTCGCGGAGCACATTGATGCTCAACTCTTTTTTATAATTTTCTCTTTCCTGAGTTTCTCATTTCTTATTTGCAACTACTCAGCATCCTTCTTTTCCAGAAGGGGAAAGAAGAACGAAATAGCGGTGTTTTTTGCGGCGGAAGTTTGGCATGTCTTGCAAACCAAGTCTAGTGTTTGGTCAACGATCAAGCTTAGATGTACGTTGAGTTCCTACAAAGGGACTAAGAAACCAGTCAAATTTTGCTGTCCATCAATCAGCCACGGCGATATTAGGAAGCCAATTTAGTATTGTTGAGATACTTAAAGGCTTTTGTTCGAAAGGGACTATAGGTGTTTGTTAATGTCTTGCCTAAGGATCTTAGATGATATTTTAATGGACATCGCGTATAAATAGCCACAGGGGTTGGAGTTTCACTGTGGCATATAAATATGTTAAGAAGTTGTTTACTTTCATGACCGTATCTTCAGTTATATATGCATCGTTGGTAAACGGATGGGATGTATATGCTAGTAAACAGTTGTAAACTGCCATGGATCGAGTTTTGTCTGATGTAGCCTCTTATATTCTGTGTTCTTTCTCCTATCAGCAAGCTCAAAAATGGCATCGGAAAGAGAACCCACGTGGCCATTAAAATACTAGAATACCTCATAATGCCATCACTGTTTTCATTTCAGCCCGCCTTTCTGAACGCAAGCTTCAATAGCTGGTCAAATCCAGTTTAATGACTCCAGGGAAGTTGGGAGCCTTGTGCCGCAACCGCGATCTGTATTTCGCTCACAGCCCTAGCTTTTTCATAACGGTTCCCCATCTCATAGCGATAACTAACGAATTCGACCGTCGACATGGTCCGTCATTATCATCATCACTACCACCGTGCTGTGGTCAGCCTTCAACAAAGAACTGAGCGGTCGCTTGAGATATGCCAAAATAGATTGAACGAGCTCGACAAGGTCCTTGAAGTGGCAGTAAACCAACACCCTAATCATGGGAATGGTTCAAAAAATTGTTCCGACGCTTAGGGAATGGAAGATGGGTTTTGAGTTGGAGACAGAAATTTTAAAAATAGAGTTCGGAGGTAGCACGACGAAACTTGAGTGAACAACAGCCATACGCCAGACACATGGTGTTCGATAGAACTGTTTGTTTAATAGTCGTTAGAGTTTGATCATCATTCTTCATCAATACCGAAAGCAAGTCAGAGCTCCAAAAATAATAGACTTCAGCAGCCGATTTCTCCAATGAAATCCCTGAGAAGTAACGCATTCGGCGAAATTCTTGTCGTTGTTCTGTCGTGGCCCAGGGTATTTGACACGGCTACCGCTGGACTGCGGCTGGCTCGGTACCCATAGGATCAACCATGTTCGATTTACGCATGAAGTATGCGCTCGACAATTCGTGGTGTGGATGTGAGATGCCTCGTAAGGCGCCCATGTGGCTGGGTGCACGGTTTACACGTGACGTGGCTCTGCGCGCCAAGACTGCCGCATCATCGCTGGCGACAACGACAAGCTATCACACCTCCAGTCCGACTTCGCCATCGACGGCAACCATTCAACCATCAGCACAGGGGACGTCCTTCGAGGTACTCCTGATTACGACACCGCCAAGATGGCGCCGCCTCAGGACACACTGTTCCGCTCTGCGGACATGTCCTTAACGCAGCTGTATATTTCTAACGAAATCGGTCGCGAAGTTGTCAGCGCTCTGGGAGAGCTGGGTGTCATGGACTTCAGAGACGTGAGTGGCATGGATGAGGCCATGGTGGTCTAGTGCGAGAGCCAGAGGCTGACACGAATGCCGTACACAGTTGAACGCCGAGACTACTGCCTTCCAGCGCACCTTCACGCAAGAAATCCGCAGGCTCGACAATGTGCAGCGCCAACTCCGTACGACTCCCGATATGAAATGAGAGGCTTGGATAGGGGACTTACTCAGGTTAGGCTACTTCCACGCCCAGATGGACAAGTCCAACATTCCCATGCGTTCCATCTACGAATTCGACAACACGATTGCCGCCCCTTCTGCCTCCGAAATCGACGAACTCGCCGACCGCAGCCAGAGCCTCGAGAACCGCATCGCTTCGTTAAACGAGAGCTACGAGACCCTGAAGAAGCGTGAGGTTGAGCTTACGGAGTGGAGATGGGTGCTTAGAGAGGCTGGTGGCTTTTTCGATAGGGTATGGCTGGATATTGCCGTTTCACGAAGACTTAAAGGTTGACAATATGCAGGCTCGTGGCCAGACCGAGGAAATCCGTCACTCCATGGACGACGAGGATGACGCTCCTCTTCTCCAGGATGTCGAGCAGCGCAACGGTGACGTTGCTGGTGAACGTTCCTTCTCCGTCATGAACATCGGCTTTGTCGCTGGTGTTATCCCGAGGGACCGTATTGCTGCTTTTGAGAGGATCTTGTGGCGCACTCTCCGTGGTAACCTCTACATGAACCAGTCGGAGATCCCCGAGCAGATCATCAACCCCGAAACCAACGAGGGCATTAACAAGAACGTGTTCGTTATCTTCGCTCACGGAAAGGAAATCATCGCCAAGATCCGCAAGATTTCCGAGTCCCTTGGCGCGGACCTCTACAGTGTCGATGAGAACAGCGATCTCCGCCGTGACCAGATTCACGAGGTCAACACCAGGTTGGGCGACTTGAACAACGTCCTGCGCAACACCAAGCAGACTCTGGATGCTGAGCTTACTGCCATTGGACGTAGCTTGGCCGCTTGGATGGTTATTATTAAGAAGGAGAAGGCTGTTTATGAGACGTTGAATAGATTCTCGTATGATCAGCAGCGCAAGACTCTGATCGCCGAGGCTTGGGCACCGACCAACTCTCTTGGTCTGATCAAGTCAACCCTCCAGGATGTCAATGACCGCGCTGGTCTGTCGATCCCGACCATTGTCAACCAGATCAAGACGACGAAGACTCCGCCGACCTATGTCAAGACGAACAAGTTCACGCTTGCTTTCCAGACCATCATTGACGCCTACGGTACCGCCAAGTACCAGGAAGTCAACCCTGGTCTGCCTACCATTGTTACCTTCCCCTTCCTGTTCGCCGTCATGTTCGGTGATTTTGGTCACGGTATGATCATGACACTTGCCGCTGCTGCCATGATCTACTGGGAAAAGTCCCTTTCCCGTAGCAAGCTGGACGAGCTGTTCTCCATGGCTTTCTTCGGTCGTTATATCATGCTTATGATGGGTGTCTTCTCCATGTACACTGGTCTGATCTACTGCGATGCTTTCTCCAAGGAACTTGCTATCTTCCCTTCCATGTGGGAGTGGCCCGAAGGTTTCAAGGAGGGTGACAGCGTCGAGGCTATCCGTAAGGAGGGTTACACCTACCCCTTCGGCTTGGATTGGAGGTGGCACGATACTGAGAACGACCTGCTGTTCTCCAACTCCTACAAGATGAAGCTGAGTATTCTGTTGGGTTGGGCTCACGTAAGTATCTATCGGCCATCTAGTCATCAAGCTGCTAACATTTCAACTACAGATGACGTACTCCCTTTGCCTTTCCTACATCAACGCCAAGCACTTCAAGTCCCCCATTGACATTTGGGGCAACTTCGTTCCCGGAATGGTCTTCTTCCAGTCTATTTTCGGTTACCTTGCTTTTGCCATTGTGTACAAGTGGTCCGTCGACTGGTATGCCATCGGCCAGGCTCCTCCTGGATTGTTGAACATGCTCATCTACATGTTCTTGTCGCCCGGCACCATCGAAGAGCCGCTGTACCGTGGCCAAGGTGCTTTGCAAGTTCTCCTGCTCCTGGTCGCCGTGGCCATGGTTCCTATTATGCTGTTCCTTAAGCCATTCTACCTCCGCTGGGAGCACAACAAGGCGCGTGCCCTTGGTTACCGCGCCGTCGGTGAGTCGAGCCGTGTCTCCGCTCTTGACGAGGATGACGAGCACACGCCCATGAACGGCGGACGCGAAAGCTTCGGTGATGATGATGAGGGCGCTGCGCTCATCACTCAGGACATCAGTGGTCACGGCGAGCACGAGGAGTTCGAGTTCAGCGAGGTCATGATCCACCAGGTCATCCACACCATTGAATTCTGCCTGAACTGCGTGTCGCACACGGCATCGTACCTTCGTCTGTGGGCCCTGTCGCTCGCTCACCAGCGTCTTTCCATTGTGTTGTGGCAGATGACGATCGGCATTGCCTTCAAGCAGACCGGTGCCGTGGCTGTTATCGCCGTCGTTTGCCTGTTCTACCTCTGGTTCGTCCTCACCGTCATGGTGCTGTGTATCATGGAGGGTACGTCGGCCATGTTGCACTCGCTGCGTCTGCACTGGGTCGAGGCCATGAGCAAGCATTTCATTGGTGATGGTGTCACCTTTGAGCCTTTTAGCTTCAAGGTCCTGTTGGAGGAAGAGCCTGTTGAGTAAGCGGGCTGCCTCCCTTCGCTTTAAGCGGCGTGACGTTGCATGCAACCTGACGTGCCTTGAGCGGTTAATTTTTTGGGTTGTTGAGCGGAATGGTTGTGTAGATCAAGTTGCTGGCAGGAGAGGTTGTATAGATAGTTCGCGCGCGCCTATGTTATAGTTATAGAATTATTGCTTTCATATCTGGTTTCTCTGTTTGTATCGTACGTGCCATTAATTGCTTACAGTCGTGATCCAAACTCGGGGGATATTGGTGTAGTGTCTTTGTTTTCATACATGAAAATGAACCAAGCAACGCTTCGAAGCAGGCTGTTACAAGGCTCCTTGCCAATTATGTCACATCACATTTTCAAATTCGCTCAATAAGGGTTTTAGAAAACAATGGTCAGACAAAAGCGCGTTCTGCGCATAGAATTCCGTTCTATCAAACAAGAAAGAAGCCACTACAAACATCAACGAGCAAGGCCAAGATCCAAGCAGAGGGTGTGTCAAAGAAAGAGAAACCATACTTACCTCTAACAATTCTAAAAAAGCTTTACTTACCATTTGCTATCACTTCTATCTTACCTCACTCTTCACTTCAGCATCAGACTAACCAGTAGTCCAGCGCCCAGCGCTCTCCAACTCTTGAAACTTACCTTTTCCCCTATCCATTGTCTCGTTTACTTCTCCAACTTCTCCAACTCTTTTCCTTTTTATCACCTTAGGCTTTGAGTAGCTCGAGGTGTCGGCTGTTTAATCAGAAGCGAACCGCATCTCCCTCTGCTCATCGTAAACGGTCCTCTCCATCGCCTGCTCCTTCCAAGCACACTGTCCACAGTTCTCGGTCGCGGGGAGTTCCGGCAGCGGGTCCTCTCCAGTAGCGGGCACAGCGGCGCAGGTAGGTGGCGTGGCGGTCCAGAGACCCTCGGCGCAGACGCGGAGGGTGCGCTTCGTGTCGGTGCAGGTGGCGCAGGTGGTGAGGATGTAGTGGCACATGGTGGTGTCTAGGGAGTTAGTAGAGCTTGGGTTAGTGGTTAGTAGGAAGGGTATTTTTGGTTAGTTAGTTGTAAGAGGTAGTGAGTGTGTAAGCGGATGCCGTGGCTCTGTAGGTGCTTTGGGTTGTCTCTCAACATTGAAGCGGGAAGGAGCTGTATTTGTACACCTACGTTGGGTGTGAACAATGCTGTTGTTTTTGGCTGATATACAAAGAAGCCCCGGTAGTGCGTGTGTACAATGCAATGCGGTGCGCTTTTATGCGTTTAGCTGGTTTCAGCTGTGTAGATCCTGTAAGCAAAGAGAACAATGGACATGTGTGTCTAAACTTGGCCTTGCGTAGCTAATCTCGTCTCAAACATTATTATTGTTAATGATAAGCTGTCTACGCTGTAGTGCAGGTGTGCAGATAGATTCTAGGCAGCATAGAGATCAAGAATTAGTTAGCAGGGTAAGTTGTAATCGCTGTTGTTTAAACAGACGTAGTCTCTCTAAACTCACAAGCTGCTGGAGATCAACAAGTGGGATCAACGAGTGCGTCACATATCCGAGGTGTCTCGAAAAGAGTTAATTCGTTCAAGCATAGATATTGTCATACAATCGTCAATACAATTATTTTCAACCCCATGTGAAGTCATCCATCCGGTCACGATCATACCAACCAGGCCTAAGGAGCGGCGGCATCTCCGTAACTTACACGTCCTTGAGGAACGTCATATATGCCTCGATACCTTATGATGATACACCCTAAAAAGATGGTTTCATCCACTAGAATACTACAGTACACCACCAGATACAGATATCTCATCGTACCTATCATTACCTTCCTTCTCAACACGGCACAACAGGATCAGTCTGCTCATCATGACACAGACCACTTCCAGCAAGGCCCAAAGGCCACCCACTCGAATCGATGCACAGCCTCAATAACAACCAGCCGCGAGTCTCCCACTCCCTCACTCCCTCCGCTCAAGGACAACTCACTCCCCCGTCTCAGCTACAGGCATCTAAGCCAAACTATGCCCGCCATCGCCGCAATCCTACACCATGCCTCTCTCCGGAAGAAGAAAGCGCAGCCGACAACGCCGCCAACGCCGCCTACGCCGCGAAAGCCGTCCGTCTACCCTGTCCATGCCGCTCACTCCGCCCACGCCGCCCACGCCGCCCACGCCGCACATCCCTGACCCATAAGCACCACATCCCCCACACCATCCTCCTTCTACTCCCCAACCTTTCGACTCTCAACTTCCCCACGCCAACCGCCGTCCACTGGTAACCTGACCTATCCGAACCGACAACTCCGCCGCGCCCACAATCTCTCAATACACGCAACATCCAAACTCATACCGCCACGCACAGCAACATCTATACCCCCCACTTCCCTCGCGCGCACCTTCACGATGCCTCCGCACAATGGCACCTACACCAGCATCGGCGGACAGCCAGACAAACACACAGACAAACAGACAGCACGACCGAACGAGCAAACATGGCATAGCATAGGTAACATAGCATTAGATGTAGCTGGGCCCAGCCGGCTAGGTAGGTAGTAGGTAGGTAGATGGGTGATGCATAGATATGTGCCCAACTCCCTCTCACCCTCCATTCCTCCCTCCCTCCTCGACGCAGAAGACCAACCACTCAGACAGCAGTTGAGCTAGCAGCAAGCTACTCTAGCTTCTCGTCCCCTCCCCTCCCACCACCACAACCACCACCGCCGGGACGACCCTCCTCTTCCTTCCCTGAGCGTGGAACGCGCTCGCACTGCGCTGCACTGCTGCTGGACTGGACAAAGGCATTGACTGACAAAGAAGTGCGCGTACGGCAGACGCTGACGGCCAGCATACGCCCTGCGAAGACGCGCAGCGCAGCGCAGCGCAGCGCAGAGCAGAGCCTCACAACAAGCGCGTGCAGGAAACGCTTCCTCGCGTGTGCCTGCGTGGCCAATCGACCAACCCCTTGCCGCGCTCCGCCTTCTTCTCCCTCCTCGTCTTCGTTTTCTGCTCCCATTTCCACCGCTCCCCACTGACTGTGTTGCGCTGTCTAGCCCAGAGCAGCCGAGCCACGGCAACAGTGTGCCACCGAGAGGGCGAGAACAAAAGCAGGAACAAGAAAAGGAGTGAGGGAGATTGAGAAACAGAGAGAGAGAGAGAGAGAGAGAGAGAGAGAGAGAGA